CCCTTGAGCCTTCCTGGTCTTCAGCGCATGACAGGTTTCTCAGCCATGACCAAAGGCATAAAGAAATTTGTTGTGTGTCAGGATTGTCACAAGGTGTACGAAGAAAGTGCATCTGTCCCGTCTCATTGCGATTTCGTAAAGCTTGGTGCACGCTCGTCTTGCAACTGCCAATTGACGAAAACATCAGCATCGGGTGCTTTGGTGGCCAAGCGTTCATACTTGTACCAGTCCGTCGTTAATACTTTACGAATGTTTTTTCTTCATCCAGGATTCGAGGATAAAATTAGACATTGGAATCACGAGCTGAAGATGGTGGATACGATGTGTGACATATACGACGGTGCCATGTGGAAGGAGCTCAAAGACAAAGATGGCGTGCAATTCACAAAGGATTCGCGTTCATTAATGTTGACTCTCAACATCGACTGGTTTCAACCTTTCGATAACGTCACGCACTCGACTGGTGCCATATACCTGGTAGTAAACAATCTGCCTCGCAATGAAAGATACAAGCCAGAGAACACACTTCTCGTAGGATTGATGCCTGGCCCAAAGGAACCCAAATCCGAAGAGATAAACCATTATCTCCGGCCTATGGTAGATGATCTGATAAGATTGTATGAGGGACTGGCAATCCCAACTTTCGAGTGTCCTAGTGGTGTCCGCGTCCGTGCCGCATTGATGATGGTGGCCTGTGACATCCCAGCAGCAAGAAAGACAAGTGGTTTCACCTCGCACAACAGTACATGCGCATGTTACAAGTGCAACAGACATTTCCCTCGCTTGGAAAACGGTGTCAATATTGACTTTCGTGGGTTTGACTTCTCTCGGTGGGTGCTTCGTGACGGTGTAGAGAACAGGTTGCATGCTGAGGAGTGGGAAAGTGCTAGTACCCCCTCAGAAAGGCATCGGCTGGAGGTCGAAAATGGTGTTCGATGGTCGCAGTTGCATCGCCTTGGATACCTTGATCTAGTACGTGGAACGATCATCGATCCCATGCATAATTTATTCCTGGGAACGCCTAAAAGATTGATGGATCGTTGGATCAAAGACGAAGACATTCAAGATGGCGATTTTGCGGCAATGCAGAAGACTGCAGAAACGATGATTGTGCCTGGTGGATACACCTCTTTGAACTCGAAAATAGGAAAGCAGTTTTCGTATATGAAGGCAGACGAGTGGAAGTCATGGGTGCTTGTATACTCGCCAGTTCTGTTGAAAGATGTTCTTGCAAAAGACAGATTCGAAAACTGGATTAACTTTGTTGATGCATGCCGCCTGTTGATCAAGCCAACGATCACGTTCGATGAAGTCAACACTGCCCATCAGTTTCTTCAAACTTTTTGCACCAGATGTGACGAGCTGTACAATGCCGAAATCCTCATCTGTAATATGCACCTACACCTCCATCTTCGAGATACAATTCGTGATTTTGGACCAGTGTACGGTTATTGGCTATTCGGGTTCGAGCGGTTTAACGGGTTGTTAAAAAATTTGAAGACAAACAGGAAGATCGGGTTTGAAGAAACATTTATGAAGAAATTTATTGAAGATGTGCACAAAGACGATCTTGTCAACAGTTTCCTTCAGAGTACCCACCAGACATCTGCATTTCCTCTCCTTACCAAACTCACTTCTTCCTTTACACCCGCCACCATTCCATCCATCCGTCAACGTACCTTCCGCATACAGTCATTTGTTGAGGCTTCTGAAGATCCAAATGTACTTGTAAAAGGCAACGAACCTCTCCCTCCTTCCGCATTCCCTCTATCATTAAAATCCGCTACCACAATGAGTGACATTCACTATGTTCATCTCTTACAATACTACAAAGTTGCGTACAACAATGAACAATTAGTTCACTTTCAACAAGCGTCGGAATCACCATACTTTGTCGACAATACAATCACCCTGTTGAAATACATCAACATCCTTGGGCAGGTCTACAAGGGTAAAGGTGAATCTGGAAGTCGTGGCTCTCTTGTACAAGCAAAGTTCATTGGAAGTACTGGTGAGCATATCATCGCATACACGGGTCAAATACAGTACATTTTCACCCATTCTTTCACTCCTCCACCCACCTCTTCATCCCTTACTCCCTTGCTCCGCACCCATCGCCGCCCAACACAACTTCTTCACAATTCTCAACATACTTTTGCATTTATCAAATGGTACACACCCGAAAATGATAAATCGCGAGAGTACGAACACGTTGAAACCTGCTTTCCAACATTTTCTCCTGACGATTTCCAATGTGTATTGCCAGTGCATAGAATTATGTTAGAAGTAGCAACTGCTGAGCACACAACACGCAGAAAAGTAAAAAAGATGCTGGTCATTCCTTTGCCAAAAAAACAATACATTTAAAAAATAATAAAATTATAACTCCCTTTTTTAAAGGCACACAGAAAAGAATAATCATAGTGTTTGTATTTGTTGGTATGTTTATCATTGTCAGATGGAGGATGTGGAGGATGTAGAGGATAAGAAAACAAAATTTATTGAAACTCATCTCTAAAAGCCCAGTGAGGGAGAAGGGACGTCAATCTAGGCGGGACTGCTAAAACAGCATCTCTACCGAAGGACCTCTTCAACATCTGACGCGAATTGAAGTCCATGCGATTACGCATAAAATCATCAACAACTGCAAGAAAGTGATTGTACTAAATACAAATAAGTGATTAATCAAAGTTCTGTTTCATTTAAATACATAAAAAAACAAAAAAAAGCTATATACAATAATGTAAACAAAAGAAATTACCTCATCGCTTCTCCAACTTGGACGCACTGTACAAATCGCACGGTTGCTCGAGACTCCAGGCATATCGTCTTCAGATTCGCCCTCAGACATTGCTTCTTTCTGTAAGAGTCCGTCGCAGCTCTTACCCACCTTCATATCAATTTCAGCCTTGAATGTATGGTAGGTCAGCTCGCGACGGTCAAAATGCTAGTTTATAAATGTATTAATATGAATACATTTAATTTGCAATCAAAATATACTTCTAACATACATCGGTCTCTCGACCTGCTTTTCTTGACCGAGAATTTGTCTTTTTGCGCGCTTCATAGGATTCCTTGACTTGGCGTCTCGTTCCACAAAAGTTTGTGTAGATACAATCGCTAATATCGGCCTGTCAAACACTAGTCCCAACAACCTTTGGAGCCAGGTATGCATGAAGGTCATGCATCAGCTGTCTGTTGGGTGGAAGTCTGTAATCAACATTAACATCCCAACTGCGCTTGCTGTCGTTAGCTGCAACTAGTTCCGGCTTATTTGATTTGAAGTTGTGTTTCTTCAACTCTCCTCGGATAAGAGCCTATACTTAGTGTGAGATATTATGTTGATGAGCTACTGTACATCTCAACACTTACTAAAACTCTAGTGCAATCCTGTTTACTAAGTTCACCAGCGTTTGCACCAGTAAGAACCACTGGACCAACAGAAGGAGCGACAGAAGGACCAACAGAAGGAGCAACAGAAGGACCAACAGAAGGAGCAACAGAAGGAGCAACAGAAGGACCAACAGAAGGAGCAACAGAAGGAGCAGCAGAAGAGATACCAAAAAAAGCCTCAGAAGGTGTTGTATACCAATCCAGAGTAGAACCAACGGAAGAAGCTGCGAAAGGGACAGAAGCAGAAGCAGGTATAGTGGTAGGAGCAATAACTGCAAGAAGTTCTCCAGAGGCATCGGCAACGCTATCAAGTATTTCCAATGAATCTTTGTTCCCCTTGATAACAATGCCAATGTTTGAATCCATGGTCTTGAGACTTTCCTCCATAGCGGTGAGCCTTCTTAAAAGCTCAGTATATTCCGGGGATGGAGCCGGGGCAATTGACTGACGATTGTTAACCATGGTCTGAAAGCTATCTAATAAAATGTTATACATGAGTTGATTGTTAATTATATTTGTTTTATATATCTATTCATTGTATATATAGAGTGTTATTAACATACAAAAGAAGTTAGGTGTTAAGCGAAAGAATAAAGTGTAGTTAATGGAAAGATGGTAAAAGTAAAAGCAAGAACCCATTTATTATATTACACTTGTTGCTGTAAATACTCAGGATTTCTTTAATATGCGTATCTCTATTAATACTTCCTGGAATTAACGGGGTGCAAATCGGCTTTGAACATGCTTTTTTCAACTCAATCCAATATATGATTTCTGTCTTTCGGCCTTTTGGCCCTTTGGTCTTTTGTTCTTTTTGTTTTTTTTTTTTCATTTACAAGTTTTCTCTCTTTTCTCTCTTTCCAACATTTATTATATTCACAGATTTTCTTGGTAAGATATCTTATTCTTTAATATTATATATATATATATAACTAAAATGATAATAGTTGTTTTTTATTACTACAGACACTCGTGTTTTGTTACCTTCTGATGCATCCCCTTCACAATGTCCATCCGGATTAGCTAAGGTTAGTAAATATACTGTGGTGATCCAGACACTCGGATGTTGGATTTATCACATATAAGAACATATTCATATTGGGATAGCATAGTAGCTATCATCTTGTCAGTATAAAATATATATAAACGATTAAGTAATCAGCCCAATAATTATTACAGTTAGTACTGTAGATAATATCTTAAAGATTGTTAAGATAATTATATCATACTGCCGGGTAAACTGTGTCAGATCGATATGGAGCTAATTTAGTAGGAAGTCCTAAAGCTCTAGTATAAAAGAGAAAAGAATAGCTAAGAGCTAAAGAAGTACGATTTATGACTTGATGTCATAATTGTAACACCGACACTAGTTAAGCAGTAAATACACTCTAATAACCAAATATAGTAAAGGAAGAAAGCCTTAAGAAACTAAGACATAATGACAAGAGCAGATTGTGTTTTCTTATAAAAAGGGACACTTTTTATTTATGAATAAAGACAACTTATATACAGTCTCAAAGTATTTCTATACGTCTCTATTATCAAATATTTTATTTTTCTATTGTTTCGTACCTGAAATACCACATTTTTTACTTTGAATTCTCGAAATGTCTCAACAATCCGCTGTCAACTCTACTATTGTTTCTGGTGAAGAAACCGCCCGTGTCAACTCTGGTGTCATTCCTCCTCCTTCTGCTGCTGGTTCTGCCGACCACGATGGTGATACCGTGATGACTCCCTTGTGTTCTGAGGACGGTGCCTTTGATTCTGAAGAAGGTTCTTCTGGTTCCAATGCTGGCCGTTCTGGTTATGAGGGTGCCAATTCTCCTCGCATCTATTTGGGTAACTCTGGAGTCAGAGTTAACAACAACCTTGTGGCCACCGTGGAAATGTTGCTGGCTTCTGCTGAGGAGGACCTCAACACTAAGAAGGGCAACTACTATGCCGCTCTAGGCCACTACTTGGGTGTTTCCAAGAGGGATCCCACCTCTACTGCTGCCAAGTCTGCTTCCAAGGGTGCCAAGGAAGCACAAGTACTGTTTGCTGAGGCTGAGCAAATCCTCAAGGACCTCAAGGCTTCCACTGCTCCTGCGTCTAAGCCTTATGACAAGAGAAGCACTCTGGTTCCCAGTAACCTACCTTTTCTCCAGCTTTGTTCTGAGGGTCCTCTGGTGAAGGCCAACCGTGATGTGTTTGATTCGGTGTATGACTTCTGCCAGGAGTTTACCACAGTCCTGGAAGCACACTCTCTGTCCTTGGATTCCTGCTGGGAACGTCTGTTGCCTACTTGTTTGAACAAGGAAGAACGTTCTTGGTTTGAGGACAAGCTCAAAGGCAAGGCCTACAACTGGAAGAAGGCCGAAAGTATTCTTCTAGATCACTATGACACGCCGTTCTGTAAGTTCCTGAACATGGGTCGTGTCTGGTGCATGAAACAAGGCAAAGGAGAATCCGCTCGTTCTTTTGGTGCCAAGTTCCAAAAGTTCCGCCGCCAGGCCTTGTTGGACGATGGTGTTCAATTGGTTCTCTGCTTCTGGTGGAATCTGCGTCCGGAAGTCTGGGAAGCTTGTCTCATTCCTTTGTCAGCCAACTATGGCACCAAGATGCCCTCAAAGATTGAGGACATCATCTCGTTGGTGAGTGTGTCAACAAGTGACTCCACTGCTTTGTTACATAATCCTGCCAATGGTACTGCCGCGTCCTCCTGGAGTTCGTTTGCTGCTCACAATGGTGCGTCCTCTCTCTCTGCTGGTTCCCACAAGGGAAAGAAAAGGTCTTTCTCTCGCGAGCGTGGTTCTCAGTCTCCCAAGAAGGCATGGGACTTCAAGAAGGCGATGAAGGATGGCATCTGTTTTTCATGCAAGGCTCCCTGGGTTAAGGGACACTCCTGTCCGGAACGGGAGAAGTACTTGACAAAGGTGTCAAGGATGGCAGTCCGCTCCTCTGCTGGTAGACCAGCAAGAGCTTCCACTGTGGTTGAGGGGAGTCCCTCGTTGTCTTGGTCAGAGTACCAAGACAACACTAGTGCTCTGGCCAAGATGGCATTAGATTGTAAGTACAATCTTAAAGACATGGTTATTAAAAGAGATTTTAAGAACATGAGCACTAATATTACCTTTCCTATTTTGGCAAATAATTCCATTAGAACCATCTCCTTGTTGGACTGTGGGGCCACGTTCAGTTTGGTGGACAAGAATTTTTGCTTGAAGAATGGAATAGCCATTAGTTACATCAATCACATTAATAAAGATTTGTTGAACAAAAACAATGTTCATAAGTATTTTATTCGTTTGGCTGATAGCAATACCCAGATTAAAAGAATTGGTACTTGTGTGATCAGTGTAACTTGCAATAGTAAGACTATTCAACGCGAGTTTGAAGTGATGAATTTAACTAATAGTCATGAGTATGATTTCAGTATTGGTACTGATTATATGTCTTCTCTTGGTATTGGTATTTATGGTTTACCTTTATCATATGATGATGCTGATTCAAGTGAGGAACGTAGAGAAGCCGATAGACGCTTCAACAATAAGAGTGATCTTCTTGAATCCATTGAGAGAGAAAATGAACGAAAGGAAAATAATCCGGCTGTAGGTCCCACACAGTTTGAGGATGCTATGGATTATATTCGACCGTTCATTAAAGACAATCAAGATATTCCCAAGGGTTCGTTTTGTACTATACCTGAAAGTATTGTATGTTTGGACACCCCAGAAAATGCTACGGCGTTCAGAAGCCCTTATCCCATTCCTTACAAGATGCAAGGTGTAGTGGATGAACAGGTGAAAGAATGGCTGGACAATGGTATAATTGAAAGAGCGTCTGCAAACACACAATGGAATACGCCTTTGACTGTTGTCAAGAAGACAAATGGTAAAGGAGAAATTACTGGATATCGCGTTTGCCATGATCCCAGATTAATTAATTGCCTGTTGAAGTCAATTGATTGTATGCCTTTGCCATTGATCGGTGAATTGTTTGAAGATTTAAAGGGTGCGAATATTTATTCCACTCTGGATTTGAAATCTGCGTTTAATTCTTTGAGGTTGAACCCAAAGGACACACACAAACTTAGTTTCACATGGCGTGGTGTACAGTACAAACCTATTGGTACAGTGTTTGGTATAAAGCATGTCAGTTCACAATTTCAAAGAACTATGAGTATAGCTTTGGAAAGACTATCTTTTGTATGGTTTTTTGTGGATGACATTGTTTGCGCAAGCAAAACGTTCGAGGAACACAAGGAACACTTGAAGCAAGTGATTGAGAGATTAACAAGGGTCAATTTGAAGTTGAATCCGAAAAAATGTCATTTCTTTCAGAAAGAAATTTATTTGCTTGGTTTTCATATTTCACCTGAAGGAATTACAATGGACTGCAGAAAACTTGTTAATGTTCTTGAATTTCCTCAACCAAAGACGGGTAAAGATATCCAAAGTTATTGTGGGTTGATCAACTATTTTAGAACGTTGATTCCGAATGTATCTTCCATTATGTCGCCACTAGATTCATTGAGAAATGAAAAGTCGATTACCCATTTATGGACAGATAAGCATCAAACTGCATTTAATAACTTGAAAAAAGCACTTTTGAGTGATCTGGTGTTGTCGTACCCAGATATGAACTCTCCTTTTAGTATCAGCTGTGATGCATCTCTTACTGGTATTGGTGCAGTGTTGTATCAAGTCAAGGATGGCAAGAAAAAATATATTTCTTTCGTGGCTAAGAGCTTATCCCAAAGTGAAAGAAAGTATTCTGCAACCAAAAGAGAATTACTAGCGTTAGTATTTGCACTCAAGCGTTTTCACAAGTATGTCTATGGTTCTCACTTTACCTTGTACACGGATCACAAGGCATTGACATATCTTCACACCCAACGTGTTGTGAATCTGATGATGATCGCATGGATGGACACGATTTTACAGTATGACTTTAAGATCGTTCATTTGCCTGGTGTTTCGAATGTGCTTCCTGATGCGTTGTCACGTTTATCTGAAGAGACTGAAACATTATCAAATGAACTGGGTGGGGATAGTGTGGTTAGATCCATCATGAGAAATAGTGCTGTCACTATGGAACCGCTACCAGACATCTTGAGTGGTGAGTACTTTACTCCTCCCACAGAAAATGAAAGGAATAAGTTATTAGTTGAAGAACATTTGAAAGGTCATTTTGGTGTAGAAGCTATACTACATGCCTTAAAGAGAAAAGGTATCTATTGGACCAGCTTGAAGAGTCAAGCAAATGATCTTATACAATTGTATATACAGTGTCAACGTCATAATATCACAAGAAAAGATTATAATCCTTTAAGACCTGTGACTGCAACACTTCCTGGTGACAGTTGGGGAATAGATCTGGCTGGGCCATTTACAATGTTGACTAGAGGAAATGAGTACTTGTTAGTGATGATAGACATCGCAAGCAAATTTTATGTATTGCGTGCCATACCTGATAAAAGGGCAGCTACGATTGCGTTACAAGTACTGGACGTCATTAGTACATGGGGTCCGATGAGAAAGTTGCAGAGTGATTGTGGACGGGAGTTTGTGAACTCGCTGATGACATGTATAAAAGAGAATGTTGGTTTTGAACATGCGTTGATTTCGCAGTACCATCCTAGAGCTAATGGTGCAAGTGAAAGAGCTGTCCAGTCGGCAGTGAACACCATTAAAAAACAAATAGTTGGTAATGTCGCTGATTGGGATCAGAAGGTGCCATCTGCGCAGTTGTTTTTGAATAGCAAGTATAATGCTAGGACTAAGAGTACGCCATTCTCGTTAATGTTTGGAAGGAATCCAAATGACTTTGTCGATTTTAGTAAAGAAAAGGATAGTGCAACTGCTGAACAGATTCAGAAAGAGTTGCAAGAAAAAATTAAAAGAATGACTGAGATAGTCTACCCTGCCGTGTTTGAACACGTAAAGCATGTCACAGAAAAGCAAAAGGAACGCTTTGATGGAAGTCACAAAATGATAGATCTGGTTCCAGGAACCACGGTAATGATTTTGGTGACAGAAAAACAGAATAAATTAGATCCGAAGTATAAGGGATTCTACACTGTTGTTAGAAAGACTGCTGCCAATACTTATGTATTGAAAAATGAAAAGGGATTTTTAGAACCAAGGAATTATCCTCCTTCTTTATTGAAAAAAGTTTCTGACAAGGTATTAGAGCAAAAGAATGACTTTTTTGAAGTCGAAGCAATTATTGGGCACATAAAAGATGACAAGAACAATTATTTGTATAGATGCAAATGGTTGGATTATGATGAGTCTCACGATACCTGGGAGCCAGAGGATCATTTTACCGATCCTAAGTTCATAAAGGAATACTGGCAAAGAATTGGTGAAGCTCCAGAAGGTATCAAAGACATCAATAAGGCCAATAAGAAATTATTAAAGGATATGAAAGTTGCATATTCCGCACCTAAAGAAAATTCAGGTACTAAAAGGAAGAATTATGCAAAGACAGCTTATCAAAAGAAGAAACGCAGTAAGGTCTAAATAAAGAGTTATTTGAGCACCACAGTACTCGTTTAAAAAAAAAAAAAAAGAAAAAAAAAAAAAAAGAAAAAAGAACAAGCTGATCAGAAGAATTGCATAGAGTACTTGAACGGTATTTAGTTAATACCTGGGTGGGGATAATGTGGTGATCCAGACACTCGGATGTTGGATTTATCACATATAAGAACATATTCATATTGGGATAGCATAGTAGCTATCATCTTGTCAGTATAAAATATATATAAACGATTAAGTAATCAGCCCAATAATTATTACAGTTAGTACTGTAGATAATATCTTAAAGATTGTTAAGATAATTATATCATACTGCCAGGTAAACTGTGTCAGATCGATATGGAGCTAATTTAGTAGGAAGTCCTAAAGCTCTAGTATAAAAGAGAAAAGAATAGCTAAGAGCTAAAGAAGTACGATTTATGACTTGATGTCATAATTGTAACACCGACACTAGTTAAGCAGTAAATACACTCTAATAACCAAATATAGTAAAGGAAGAAAGCCTTAAGAAACTAAGACGTAATGACAAGAGCAGATTGTGTTTTCTTATAAAAAGGGACACTTTTTATTTATGAATAAAGACAACTTATATACAGTCTCAAAGTATTTCTATACATCTCTATTATCAAACATTTTATTTTTCTATTGTTTCGTACCTGAAATACCACATATACTTTATGCTGTCATCCTATAAAATTATCCTGACCTTTTCCTTTCTTTTGTATAGGCCATATCGCCGAAATTACTCTCTACTATTAAACATGGTTATGAACACGGTAATATTTTATTTTATTTCAATCTATCTCTTTTTAATAAGCACATGGCTTAACATAATTTCTATTATAGATGAACCTCCCTCTCATGAGCACATCGCGAATCAAGAACTTTCATTTCATACGAGTGTCATTGACATGGTAATTTTTTTTGTACATATAACAATATTATTTATTTTGTATATTAATGTATATCATTTACTGAAGACAATATTAGCGTCTCCTATGTACTCTCTTGGTCTGCAAATAAATCCTTTTGCTTTGGGTAGGTAAATGAAATATTCTACCACACAGTTCACAAAAAATAATTTTTTTTCAGCATTTTTATAGCCAAATAAAGTATATTGAGTACTATGGTTCGCATTCATGACGCCTTTTCTTTTTGTCTCTGGTAAGCTATTATATTGCAAGCATAATTACATATATATATTCTTAATATCCACGATTTCTTGTTCAAACAGCTAACACTTTTCTAATTTCATAGAACAACCATTTACAAGCAAGCAACACACAACTGGGCTTTTCTCTGGGAGATATTGTTTGGAGAATACTTGTTTTATCAGAACATTGGCCATTTCAAATTGTATGAAGGATAGAACACTAGCCAGAATGTTCCTGAATATTAAATATAACCACTGTACTATAAACCTAAGAATATTCTTTTCTTTCTAATAAAAACAAAATAAACCAATAATTATTATAAATAAATTAAAGATCGGAGAAGTGTATGGAAGCAAACAGTATAAGAAGAAGTCTCTAAGATTGGATAAAATAAATTCAAATACAACAAAACCCTGTAAAAACTGGCATATCCATAAATTAAACAATGTAAAAACTGGCATATCCGTATAATTGATCTTTCATTTATCGTTCTTTTAATTGGAAAGCGGTAGGATATATTACAACAAAACGTAATTCTGAGTTGCCGTTTTAGTGCATGTGGTAAAAACCCATATACAGAAAATGCAAACACATCCTACTATCCTGCTGTTCTGACCTTTTCCTATGTTCGAAAGTTGGTCTTACCACCTATGAGTAAGCCAGCTTCATACACTTGTAAAAACTATCTGATCACATTGTAAAACCTGGTCTTTTCACATAATTAATTACAGTTTTACACATAAGAAAACCGCACCTCTTTTCCAGTGAATAGTATGCCTGAATTTTCTGGTGTGTATTTATTGTTATTTTTCCAGTGAAAACCCCACTTTTTTTCTCATAGTGTTTGAGAGGAAGCATTACATTTAGTGTACAGGAATAAAATAAAGAGAAAAAGAAGAAAATAATTCTGGGAAAAATAAAGGGGAAAAGATTTTAATTTTTACAAAATTGGTTTTTGGAAAAAGGCGATTTTGTGAAAATGAAAGAAAGAATTTAAAATTAAAATTAAAATTTTGAAGAAAAATTAAAAGGGGTTTTCAAAAGAATGTCTGAACTTGGTAGAAAATGGTTTTTGGTTTAACTTTAATGAAATTATATATTACGTGTCAAAAACAATTATGGGACTATGGCCCAATGGACAAGGCGTCTGACTACGAATCAGGAGATTCCAGGTTCGACCCCTGGTAGTCTCATATTTTTAGTTTTTAACTATGTTGTACTTAATTTTGGTGATATTGTCAGAGTTGACATTGGTAACCAAAATCGGGATTTACAAGCAACCAGTAATGGTTGACTTTTTAGGATAAAAGATCTTGACTTTGCCGATTAGTCTTTCACATATGTTTTAAATGTTTAAGATAGTGAATATACTTGTAGAAGATATTACTGGACAACAAGCATCTAAGACATATTATCATAGCTATTCTTTTAGCCAGAAATCAATTATCATTTTGTATAAATAGTCAAGAAATACATTTAATAAAAAGCATCTTTATTCTTATCTAAAAATTATTCATAAACTTGACGATCCCCAGTGGTATTGATTCTGCGACTTAGTTACAAGTGCCAGAAAAGAAATACCAGATAGAGACTTGACAATTAGTTCTAGTAACCTGTTCTTGTTGTGCCCAAATTCTTGTCAGCCAATCAGAATGACGATTACACAGAATTCTCTTTTGAGAACGATGACCGAAGTGATTTCCTTTTGCTTACAAAAGAATTAGAAAGCACATAGCTTAACAAAAGTAGAATAGAAACCAAAACAAACATTTATAATGGCTGAGTAGGTTTAGAAAAGATATAAAAGTAGGCATTATTTCATTCAATAAAAGTTATCTATTTTTCTATCCTCTTTTGATTCTTTTATCTTCATTTACGATTCCCAGTGGGTTTGACCAATTTTGGCTGTGTTATAGCATTGGAAGAACAACCCAGATCGAAAACAACATTCTTATAAAAGAAGCAAAAATTTGTTGGTGACAGTAATTCCCCAATCAGAAAAGCAAGTCACACATTGATTTTTATTTGTTTCATTTGGGTAAACTTTTATTATGCATTTACCCCTTAATATTTTTTTTCACACACACTTTTTTTTTACCAAATCTCAAAATGTCAACCTTTAATATTGCTGCTAATTACAATAATTGCATAATTCCAGATTATATAGAAGCTGTCGACTCCTTTGACCTTTCATCTGAAGATGAATTTATAAATTGGTTAAATGATATAGCTAAAAAACATGCCAATTGAATTTATCATTGATCTTACAATCATGAGAAGAACATGGTCTTTGTTGGGAAGCCTCTTGAAAATTTTCTCAAAGACAGTAGTTTACTTATATGATCATGCTGGAAAATCACAAGTGAAAAAAACTTTTCAGCCTGCTCAGAAATGCATCAGAACAACCAAGTTCATCAAGATTGGTTGTCCTGCTAGTATCTATAAACATAACATAACTGATGATACTGTTTGTATCAAATACAACTGGCAGCACCCAAACCATGATCCATTTAAGATTGAAGAGATCAGTTTGTCAAGATTGCCAGATGAATTAAAACAATGGGTAGAAGGACTTGTCAGCCAAAACATGGATTGGAAATCCATCAAAAACATGCTTGGAATGAGTGAAGACAGACTTCTTGAAGTAAATATTGTACAATATATTTTGAGAAACTTTGCTTATTTAAAATTACATAGCTTGAACAAGCTGACAATAGATCTTCTTTCCCTTCTTCTCTTCTCATTAATTATCAATATGTGAGAAATGTTATCAATGCTCAAATAATGAAACTCTCAAGAAAACATGTGGATCATTATAAAAGTGTCAAACTGTAGGTTCAAGAGTTGAACGAAAGTGTGTTGTGGTGGTTGAAGTTGAAGAAGTTTTTAAGAGGAAGAATTGAAGATTTGAGATTAGGAACAAAGATTCTTGAGAACTTGTGTAGATTTTGCTTATTGAGAAAGTATTTTGTATCAAAGTTTGACCAGGTTCCTACACTGAACTACTACTGCTATTTATATTATTTTGGATTGAGAAAATTATATGACTAGGGTCAGGTAATCGATTCTATCTGAGCCTTAATCAGAGCAACGTGATTTTGGGATAATTAATATATGATTAATTATATAAATGTGTGTAGTCTCAATGAAGTATTAACATCGAAAGTAAATGTGTTTATGAGTTATAATTATGCTTATAATAATCTACTAATGTATCCCATATTATGGTGATATCATTATATGAAATATAATCACTATCATGCATGCTAAACCTGTGTGTTAAATAATAAAGTAATTGGTAGACACCTTTGACTGGAATAGCTGAGGCCTTATATTATTTCCTTCAGACTTATTCTCCATTACAGCAGTAGTCAATACTCATTTACAACACTTTTAATACATATATAAATGTTTGATTTCTTTAAAAAAATTACCCAAAACAATAGTAAAATCTATTGCTATTATCATTTGATTTAAGAATTTTTAATGCCAGGAAAACCAAATTTATGTTATATCTAATTGATTGGCTGTGTTTTTGACTTTGATCAAACTTGCAAATAAAAAACAATAGTTCTCTTTCTTTCCTCATTTAAAGCAGCTGTCTGAGTTAAACAACCAAAAAAATATGATTACTGGCACAGAGCTTCTAAAAAGAATTTAAATTGCTATAAGTTTAAAAAAACTAATAGGAGTTTTAAATATGTGCAAAGATTTTACAGATATGCATTTTTTTAGAAACCCTTAGAGCATCTCCAGTAGTATCTAAACCCAAATACTAAATATCCAAATTAGGAAACTGGTGTTTAGATTTTCCAAAAAAACATCTTCAGCAGTTTCTAAACAAAAATCTAAATACCTAAATCCGGAATTTAGATCTAAACTTTTTGAATCAAAATCAAAACTTCTGTAGGTTTTCTCAGAATTTGTTTAGATTCTATCATTTACTAAATTTCTATTTTTTATATTGTGACTTTAAATTGTCGATTTTAAATCTCAGCCTTTAGGAAAAACCTCACCAAAATCATCAGCTCTTTAGAATCTGTGTTAAGAAACTGCTGGAGTGACCTCAATATTCTTCATACTAAATTGCTTTATTTGTACTAGCGCGAGAAATCCTAATTTGGATATTTGGTATTTGGGTTTAGATACTGCTGGAGATGATCTTACACATTATTTTGTATAGTGAGTATCCAACATTTAAAAAAATATTTGAAAAGTCTGAATGTACTAAGGTCACTATTATTTTGATGAATCTGTAAAATTTGAAGATAGTTAACCACAGTACTTCTTTATGTGCAGTAATATCTTCCAGAGTATTAACTGCAGTATAATGACTATTTCTTTAATTAAATATAAATAATAACTACTGCAGATAATATGCAGTATTACTTTAGAAAACTATATAAGACAATTCAATTCCCATCAATAAAAAGTATCTTTTATTCTCTCTTTGATTTTATGTATACTTCTTGATCCCCAGTAGGTTTGATCTTTTGACTTTGTTATAGTAAAAGGAAGGCCAGCCCAGATTAAAAACAATAAGTGAACAGAATTTGTAGTTATAAGCAGTCAGTAAATTAGTGGCAATGCCACTATGATTAGTGACAAGCATAGCTCATTCATCACTATTTTTTTCAATTAAGCATAGTGTGATCAGCCACTAAATTTTATGCAAATTAGAAGTATTGCTACACTAATTTCATTCATAGTGTATACAATTTATGAGATTTTATATTATTTTGCATCTAAGCCAATGAAATATTCTAAATATGACAGACTTATATTTTTTTAAGTATTTGTATTCTCTTTATAATTGTTCCAATAAATGCAAAAAGTATTACATTGATTTTTTTTTGATTTTTATTGATTAAAATAATACAAATTAAACATAAAAAATACTTACAAAATCAGTTATTGATATAAGACTTCCTATTAACTACTTTACTAAATACCATATATAGTGATTTCTAAAATTCAAAAAAGACTATATTGCTTTAAAGTCTGTGTATTTTTCCCCTGCTCTCTATCAGAGAAAAAAATAATTAATACTCATATATGGTAATTTTTACAATTCTCATTAACACTGTGTATAAGAATTATCTTGTTTTTAATATATTAAATGATTTGTTTCTTAAGCCAAAAGTCGTAGTTTTAATATAAACAATTTAAATCCAGATGATCTTATTTTCTTCAAATATATCTGCTTTATAAAAGCCACAATAATAGAGTATATATGCATTGTCGGATTTTTTATATGAATATTGTTCTGATACTCTTTTACTTATTAAAAAAGCATTATAGCACTTTATTAAAATGTTTTTAAATATTGACTTTCGTCTTGTGTTTCATAACAGACAACAAGAGCTTCAGGAACAAACTGAAAACAATGATTCAGCTGAGACACCAAGAAACCATAATATAATATACAGCAGACTTGAGTTATATTTACTCATTGAAACTCAATGCATTGAACTTTTCAGATTTTATATGCCAGAGATTGAAATGATTATCATGGCACTTGGCTTGAAACCAACTTGTCATATTTTGAAAATAAGAGTCAGCAACATCTTTGGCTTTGCCATATTGATGTATTGATACAGTTCTCCCAGATGACTTTTTGATATATCTCTTATTTTCAGAATACACCCAACAAATATATTAGCTGTCTTAAGAGAGATAGAAGACTTGATATAAAAGAAAATAAGATGGGGAATTCAGTTCAATACACATCAACTTCGCTCAGAAAATTTGAAAAGATTCTTGAAGGCTGTTCTCAATAAAGATGCTTCCTTTCCTAACATTGTGGGGTTCATTGATAGAGCTATGCAAACAGCTTTGCGCCCAAGCAAAAAGCCAGACACCCAACAAATATTGTATAATAGGTGAAAGCATTTTCATGTATTGAAGTTTCAATCAATGATAATTTCTGATAGTATCACATCAAGTCTAATTGGATCATACGTTGGTTCACGGCACAATCAGCAAGTATTCAGTATCTCATATACCAAAATGAGATTGTAGAAATATCACAAGCTCTCACCAGACAGAAAAAACTGGTTTGTACTGTATGGCAATCCTGTTTACATCAATTGTGACAGCATGTTTAGACTATTTGACAACACAATAACAGACAGTAAGATGCAAATACTGAGTAGGTATTTTTGGTAGGCCATAGTCTGACTGAGTTTTATTCTCACTATTTTTGGTGAGATGAGATTGAGCATAGAGATACTCTTTTTCGGAAAATTAGGTTCATTTCCCAAAAAAAAAATCCAAATTTGTTAATAAAAAGAGGACAATTTTGATGTTTTTATCATAATGGATGTCTTTATTTTAACATGAATATGTGTCAACTAAAAGTTATATAATTCAAGACTGGCTACTACTACTACTAGAATGGATCTTTCTTGACAGCTTTCCTACCTTATAATGCTCTAATATATATGATTATTGATTGGAATTACTTGTATTTGTAATGCTTTATTACTTATACAGTTTTCTGAAAAGCCATAAAATAAGAACATATATTTTGATATAACAGTGAAAGTAGTACATATTTATTGAATATAATAAGAATTATTTATGTAGAAAAATAATTAAATGAAGATAGTTTTATATCTTTTACAATAATTGAGCTCTATATTTATCTAGAGAAATTCCAAGCTGAACTCGGTCATTCTCCATTCTTTGAGCAGCTTCTTCAGGGGATATATTCTCTAACTCTGCTCTTTCATTAATTGCATTGTACAGCTCTTTTCTTCTACTAAAAAATCTAGACTCTTTACGATCTTTTCTCCATGCAGTTCCGTACTTATTTTCTAAGGATTGAATGGATGAGCTGCTATTAAAGCCGAAAACATATTCTCTCCATATATCAGTAACAGAGAAAATTCTTTGGCTTATTGTATACTGTTCTGGCTGTTCTGAGTGTGTTGGCTGTTGAGATGTTACGACACTATGTAATGGAGTACTTTGGGGTGGTGGCTGTAGAGGTTGTGATATAATGATGTTACGCTGTAAAGATAGGTTTGATGGTGTTGAAATTGTAGAGTTACTGAATTGATTGTATCCGAGAGCAAAAAAATTGGTAAAATTGTTGTTTAATCTATTAATAGAGGCGGCATGTAAAGAGAGGTGGGCATATATCATGGACTGCATCAAATTCATGGTGGCATGAACTGTTCCAAAACCAGCTCTGACACTATCTACCATCTCTGGCATAACCATATCCATTCTGTTATTGCTCATGAACACCTCTTCTTCTTGCTGTACTGCAGAGAGAACTTGCTGTTTGAAGCTTTTGTATTCCTCTGAGCTGAAGATAGCACATGTTCAAAGATAATAACCTGGGAATTTTTTTTCAGAAGAACAGAGTCCTAAAAAAAAGCAGCAAAGAAATATTACTTAGAGAAAATATTACAAACAGTGCTTTAATAACAACATGTACCTGTAGAAATACCACTTGAAGTCGCAAAAGTAAATCCAAAAAATTTGGGCCAGCTATGTCCTCTTGGACATCTCCATTTGCAAATTTTTGTTTCCAAGATTTGATATTTGGGAAAACCATTGTTTGTAGAGAAGCCAAATGTTAAATCACTGCTCGTGCTAAAAAGAAGTTGCTACTGTTTCCAGAGAACCTTGCTAAAGCCTTCATTGCTTCCACAGGCAATGTTGACATATAACATCCCACCATACGGTCTGTTCCCCACCTTCCAACCGTTCGTTGTTGGTCGCCGGAAACGTTCTCTTGTGTAATCATATTGAGAGCACTTTTGCAGTTGGCATGGGTGATCTTTGAAGTATGGATCCCAACTGATTTGAATGTCTCAAGGTATATTTTATGCTGCGTCTTGTATCGTATTGGCTTGAAGCGGTTGTCACCTTTAAAAAGAGCTGTTTCATACCATTTTTCATGGGAAGAAAAGTCGGGAAATGGCTCATTCTCATAATGAAATCTTGAGAATAAACTCATGGCCAATGCACCAATGGAACAGACTTCAAATTGACGATGACAGATTGATGATCTATACTCAATCTTTCCGTGTTGATTGGTTTTTCCAAAGGTCATGGTTGCCACCAGATCAATGCATTGTGTAGCGCCTTGGTTGTCTAATTCCAAAGAGAAAAGGTCAGCAAATTGCATTCCAAGAACTGTTTGACTTTGGCATAGCATTGCATGACTTATAAGAAAGCAAAGTCGATCTCAACATGCGCGGGTATCGTTTTTTTCCATGAAATATTGACTGATTCTTTCTAATTCTTGCTTGATGTATCCATTGTTAAGTGTATTCTTTCCACAATCTTCGAAGTTTTTTCTAACAGTCTGTGCGCTTGCCTTATTTGCGGTATCAAGGAAAGCACGGACAAGTGGTCCTCTTGCTACACCATTGAGATTCAATCCAAGAGCTTTCTGCTTGCTACATATATCGGCTACTGCCTTGACATAGGCTGCTATTGATCCTTTGCCTAATGGAATCAGGGAGTTGTTATCATCCCTCTTTAATTTACGTCCTCTATTCATGACATAATCTATCATGAAAGAGCTTAGTTTCTGATCATTCACAAGTTCATTATCTCCGAATTCTTTCTTAAGACACTATTGCTGTTTGAAATGTATAAAAACACTTTTAATATTTTTTTATACAGAAAACTATATTATACATACTCTCCATTCTTCTTGCTTTGCAAGATATGCTTTCGTTGTATTTGTAGGGCGCTGGTCCAGGTTTTGAGCTAATACCAATTGGTTGCTACTGTATATTGCTAATGTGTTGTCCATCATACACTGAAGACTTGGATCATTGATGGTAGTGTTGTTTCCATTGTTCATTTGAGGCTGAATAAATAGAAATAAAATGATGTATAATATATTAATAACATTATTCATAAAGTCTTTAAAAATTTGAAGTAATAACATATTAATTATGGCAAGATATACTTACAGCTCTTTATGAGAATGTTTGGTTTGTTATAAAGGTAGTTTCTTTTTCTATTAATTGTAATACTCTTTTTATCCTTTTTTTTTAATAAAAACTATCAGAGTATATCGTACTAAAAATACATTATGAAGAAAACTAATCACATTCAAGTAGAATAGTGTATTGGAAGTATAGAAGACATTGTCAGGAACCAATGTCTTTGTTTGTTAAAGGTAAACCAATCTTAGACTTCAAATGCCTTGCAAATAAAGATATCTTTTTATTATTAGATGAACCACTAAGGATTCATACTTCTCTTCCTAATATATTGTAGTGTAACATGTAAAATAAATATAAAAATAAATATTGACTATAATAAGTAACCAAAAGCTAAAAGTCGTTGTTTATTGGATGTATCTGAGCTTGCGTTTCATATGAGTCCGATATGCAATATATCATGATATTCGTCATGATATTTTTATAAAAATTATATAGAAACAGAAAAATACTTTTCTTTTTTAAAAAAAGTACTGCCAATTTTTAAAAACCCGCCAAAAAATACCTGAGTTTTGTGTAAGTCTCAAGAATCAGATACTGCTGTCCAAAACCGTTTGGTTCAAGGAAAAACAATGACTTTTCTTAAGCATATCATATATGAAGAGCATATAGTTGTATTTCTTGACAAGATTGCTGACGTCATTGGAAGATATCAGCAAAGTCAACCTGATTTTGTCCAATACTTTGAGACCAACTGGTGTACCATGACTAAGTACTGTGTTTGGAGTAGAGCTTTTCATCAGCTTGAATTCTCTCACATGCCAACAAACAGCTATATCAAGTCTTGGCACAACCAGCTAAAAACTCATTTTTTAGGCCGCAGTCGCAACAAAAGATTTGATTGACTGATTTTCATACTGACAAACAAAGTAGAGTTCTACTTCAAAGAGGAGAGCATCAGAGTCAATATGTGCAGTAGCCCAATGACAGCTGCCCAAAGACAACAAAGGAAGATAGAGATGTCTGCTGAAGCTGTTCCAGCATACATGCATGCTAATATGATTGTTAGCCTATCAAAAGCAATGTCTCTGAACGTCACTCTTGATGACACTAATAATATTCTTGAAGATGGGGTTTGGTTCATCGACTCGTTTACTGAAGATGATATTATCTATCAAGTTGAAGTTAATAACAATGTTCTTCTTTTTTGTATGTGTTATTTTTGGGCTAGGTACATGAAGCCTTGTAAGCATATGCATTTGCTCCGTATTCATATGTCAGGATTTGCTTTCTTGTCTGTGCCTCCTGCAAATAATGTGCTGTCAATCACAATTTCTGGTGAGCAGTTCGTTAAGGACAGCACTATGTCAATTGATGGCACAACAGAGAGCACTAGGCGTGGGTATGACATAGAGGCATTTGAGTATGCAAAGAATTGTTTGTTAACAGCTAGACATAATGAGCAAGATTTGTATCAACTGATACAGTATGCTACAGAAGAGGAAGCAGAGGTTATCAGAGCAGCATATGCTGCTCCCATAAAGGCTTTTCAAGAAATCAAAGCTAAATATGAAGCTCATTTTAAAACTTTAAATACACAACGTCATTAATAAAGAATCTTCTGCTTTATTTACAATTGTTCTCACAATATATAACTATTCCTATCATCTTCTTAACATTATATATTTGGAAATATATATAAGTATAAATTTAAGCTGTTTTCTTGACTATCTTAATATGTTATTATTTTGGTTCTATATCTCTGCGTTTTTTTAAGAAAATGCAAAGGTAACATGTGGCTTAATTCTGAAATTCAAATTCTGGTTGTCTGGTGTGCAAAAGATACAGAAAATAAAAAGATTCTTTTTTTTAAACTTGCAGACATTTAATATTATTATTTTTCTATTAGTATTTGAAATGAAAAATTTGATACAAATCTCAAAAATTGCAATTATTAAGAAAATACACTATAACTCCAACTCTTACAATCTGCACAAAGGTTCATGTCCTCGTGATAACTAGTGATATTCCAGCAGTGACAAAGCTGACATGTCATGCTTGCCATATAAGCAAAAGTGACTGTCAAATCTGTAATGTTGTGGGCCAAACTTCTGGCTGTGACCAATATTTTAGATCTTTGCCAGACACCACTATGTGCACTTTGGAAAGCTTCCAATACTTTGATCCAGCAAGTTCGTTTAGCAAGGGTCTTGTAGAACAATCTTCTCTTTCTTCACTGACATCATTCATGAGCCCACTCTTTTTTACCCTTGACAAGATGTATGGCCTTTGTCATAGAATAGACAAACAGGTCTGGGGACTTATTAGTGAAAAGTATGGAATCAAACACTCTCTGTTTCTTCTTGCCAATATACTCAAAGAAATTGATATGGTAATGGCAGCAACAAGAACAATATTTTCAATGGCATTTCATGGCTCTTCAAGAAACATATCCAAGTACAGTGGATACTTTAAGGCTGTAAATTAGACCAACTTCCTTCTCTTCATTGTCTACGCTGGTAGTGGAGTGTATAAGAAATATAACTGCCGGAAAAGCATTGCTTGGACTTGTGCAAGCTTGTAACTTAGTAATGAGCTGGGAGTTATCAGCAGAGGAACAAACCTCTATAAAAAGATATGTTTAATAAGATTCAATGTTTTTTTTCTTGCCACTTATAATTATCTTCTAGAAAATTACAATCATGGAACATATATCTTGAAGACCTTTATTAAAATGATAAAATAGAAATAACAGTCTTTACTGTCAATCAGCACCTTTTACAACATTACCCCAATATGATTGGTGCCTTTGGTTTTTTACGTGCATATAGCACAAGATCAGTAGAGCATGCTATTTGTGATTACTCTTAAGCCATCAAAAGAAATTTGGCAATTGGCATGAATACTGAAAATGTAATGGTTCAGCTGGCTTGTACATGGCAATTGTTGACTGATTCCGAAGGATGCAAACAGAGAGGTGTTGTATTATAGTACAAAGATATGTCTGCTGGTTGGCCAATTACTAGTGAGGGCGAGTGTGCTGGTGCAGATTCCGATATCGAGTTCTGGGGACCTTTAGGATATAAAACAATTGATGATAGTTTTGAAGACATTTCTTGTCTTCTGATTCTTATTCAAGACTTTTATAAATCAAAGGGAGTAGAATGCAGGACGATTGAATCAGCTCTAATAACTAGCTGCAAAGCTTTTATTAATGGCTGTGTAATTGACTTTTCATTCTCCCAAAAAACATTAAGAGAGATGCATCACGTTTGTCTTTAGGTGCAAGTCGATCTGTTCACAAATGTATGTCACCAATACACTTTCATGGTAAACAACTTCTTAGGAAAAGTAATTCTTTTCTTTGAACATGAGAATTCTAGTAAAAGATGGCCCCTTTTTTGGTGCTGATATATAGCACTGTATGATATAATGCCATTCTAGTAATGGTAAATGGTCAGCTCAAACCAAAGGTAGTTCATATGGTGGAAGTCAATGAGTTGGTTAGTCTTGTAGTGTCAGATGCAACTGGCAGTACAATGACAAAAACAACAACAAAATATATAGTGTGACCAGAAATTAACTACGGCCCAAAATTAAATCTTGGTCAATATAGAGATCTATAATTTGTTTTTTTTTATTATAATATATTTTTTTTCAGATTGTCTTAACAAATTTTATTCTTGCAGCAGAAAGTTTAGATATTTCCCTTATCTTTTACTTCTGACTTTTAATAGTTCTCGATTTCAATCTATACATGCTAACAATGTAAAATCTGTAGTTGAAATATACTTTTGTGTCATCTGAGATCTAATTCTAGATAGTCAATTTGCTTTTTATCAGCTATTTCAAAAAACAGAGATTTTCTTGCTTCATTCTGAATTTTTAACTCTTTTATAATTATTATAAGCTAAAAATGAAGTAACAATTATAAAAAATGCCTCTTTTTTCCCATAGTGTAAGCTAATTAGATTTTCTTTTAAAGAAAAAGAGAAAATAAGTCCTTTTTTTATACAATATTTCTTTTAAGAAATAATGTTAAAGAGTAGTTTGTTTGTTTAGAGAAAATACAAATCCAATATTATTTTGTAACAGTGAAAACATAATATAGAAACTTCTTTGAAAAAACAATTCTTGGGGGGTTTGCATTTTTCAGTCAGTGTTTTTGTACAACTCTGAAAATTTGAGTCCATAAACTTCTTTATTAAATTGAGAATTTCAAAACACATCAGAATATCTAATGACTCTAGCTTGAAGTACATTAATTGTCATGTTGAAACAAGTTTCTCAGAACAATTAAGTGAGTTCATCAGACCTCAAACAGTAACAGAGAAGTGCTGTGATCATCTTATATTTTATTGAGCAAAAAGTAATTTCAAACATTTTTTTTCAGAAATTACTATAAAAGAGTGCTATGCTTCAAAGTATTGTATGTTGATCATCTTTTTGCTTGCAGGTCATTACTGCATAAAAAGCTATATCCCAAAAATATTTATTCTCTCGTCACACTCTTGTCTGCCCAAGATCAAACCCAAGCTCAAGCTTAAGCTTAAAATCTCCATGTTCTTTTAGAATAAGCTGATGTATACAGAGCTTAAATACAAGCTAAATTAAATCTTTTGGCTAACCAACCATCTCTTATAGACACTCAGTCAGTCTCTGCTTCAGCTACTGTTCTGCTTCATGATCTCCCTGTATACCAAACATATGAATAAATACTTTCTGAGAAGCTCATAAGCCTCTTGCCATCACTATAACATACTCTTTTTCTCATACTTTCACTGAGAATGTGAAACACAGCCTTCTTAACCAGTATCTTACAATATCAGAGGTCAAGTACTCCCCTTCTGCAACTTTGCCACAGACTATCAAGGTCTTTCACAAAGGTCAGCACCAGGAAGATGCCTTCCTTCATCAACTCTGATACGCAGTTTTTGAGGTACTGGAACCTTTAGAAGTTCTTGGACACTCTCTTTTTCAAGTGCTCCCCAAAGACCATTAACAATGCATCTTCACTATCTTAGAAGATGCCCAAGCAATGATATTGCATGTTGAAGATACAATCAACAACCAATGCAACAAACTAGCCTTTTGAGCTGTCAACCCTGTATTTTTGGTGATACCTTCTACTTCTAGCTACATTATGTCATCCAATACTTTCAGGGAAGCAATTGTTCACCAAAGATTGACTCAAAAAGTGCTTCACAATGCATGTCCTGCTTCATGTTCACATTTTAGAAAGTAATCAGGTACTACTTCCAATGACCAGTAGTTTTTTTGAGTCGCCCACCACAAAATGCTGGTAGACACTCTGCATCAATCTCCAATCAGACCTTTCAACCTCACCAGAACCACAAATTCTGTACACCTCACTTCTGTAAGTCTCAGGGTAACCACAACTATATATTTCAGTCTCAGCAGATCCAGCCCTCTGGAACTCAGTCCAGCAACAATCCATTCTAACTAGGAACAACTCTCAGTAGGTGGGCAGCTCCATCAATTCTCTCTGGCATAGCAATGACTCACTGACAGTCGTTGAGTTCTAAAATAAGTGTGATATGTTGGGATTGGAAGTTGCCTTTGAAGCGGCTGGAAGATATCACAAGAGTAGTTTTTCAGAAGAATAAAGATAATGTTTTATTTCGATGAAGCAATTTGTATTTATACTATCTTAAAGGGATTTTGCTAGAAGTTACCAGATATTGGAAACTTCCAGCAAAGTGCAGTATTTCTGAGAAGGATTGATTTGGATTGGTCAGATTAGGATTCAGATTCTAGGAACAACATGCTCATGACAGTTCATAACATCATCAAGGATGACTTCTATATTCACTTTTGACAAAACCCTTTGCTTTACAACAGTCCTTTCAACATTGTTTTCTCAACCTCCAAACAATAGAAACTTCTTCGACAAGAAATCTCACACCTTCTCTTCAAAAAAGCAAAAGAACCTGTTTTAGACCAGTCCCCCAGGTTTTACAGCAATATTTTTGTCATTTCAAAATGCAATGGCAGTTACCACCCTGTCTTTAATCTCAAATCACTCAATCAGTATCTGGACGCCCTGCACTTCAAGATGGAAGACATGAAGCAAGTGATCCACTTGATGCGCTCCAAGAATTATATGACATCCATAGACCTCTTTGATACATTTCTCCATATTTTGATCCACAAACACTTGTGCAAATATTTTTGTTTTTCCTGAAACAACCAAGTCTTCCAATTCCAGACGACCCCTTTAGGCCTATTGATTGTTCCGTAGCTCTTCACACAACTTACCAAAACAGTACTCAAGTGGGCCTATTTCTCAAGAATTTGCTTGACTGCATACCTCAACGATTAGCCCTTACTTGGAAAAACCCGGAAATTAGTCTCCAACCAGATGACTGCGGTCCTTCAGCAGTTGAAGGCTCTTGGTTGGTTAGTCAACGCAAAGACGTCTCACCTAACTCCAACATGCCGGATAGAACACCTGGGTTATGTCTTGGATACGGGTTTAATGACTACCAGCCTCTCTGGCAAGAAGATCCACAGCCTCCAAAAGTCCATTCAGATGCTCCCAATCGATACAATGACCACTCTCAGAAAAGTTCACAGCCTGATCATGCACATCAAGGCTGCGACACTGGAAATTTTTCTGGCCAACCTATATACACAACATCTACTTCGATTCAAGAACCAGTCCATTCGTTCACCACACTCCTGGAACCCCCTGATTCTGCTCCCCCCGTCTTTCCACCAAGAGCTCTAATGATGGTTGGTCAACCTGACGAAGTGGAATGGCAAGGCCCTCATTACATCCAATGCTCAATTCCAAATTCACAGTGATGCAAGCAACAGTGGATAGGGAGGTGTCTTCCAAGCCCAGCACAATTATGAACATTGGATCACCAAGGAAGCTTCTCAATCCCTCAACTGGAAAGAGATGAAGGCAGTGTAACTGACACTACAGACCTCATACCATCTTTGCAACACATCAATCGTAGTTCACACTAACAACACGAGATCCATGACCTACATCAACAAGCAAGGGACACTTGGGCTTTTCCCCTATCCCGCTTGGCCACCAAACTTTGGGAAATGTATATTACACGAGGTCTGTTCCTTACAGCAAAACACATACTGAGCCGACTCAATGTTCAAGTCAACTGGTCCACTTGTCGGGGCTTCACATAGAACTTATGAAGGATACAACCATTCTACTTCTGCCAGATTCAAACAAACTGGGACTCCCACGACGTGGATCTATTTGCAGATCGTCTCACAGCCCTTCTTCCTCAATATGTTTCTTGGAAGATCAATCCAGGGTCAACGGCAACCAATGCTCTCTCTCTGTCTTGGACGACCTTCCAGAACACTTATGTACACCTACCATGGAACTTAATCTTGAAGTCCCTACACAAGATTCATACCAAGAAAATTACAGCCACCATAGTAGTCCCCTTTTGGCCGAGCTCAATATGGTTCCCATTACTTCAATCTATGGCCATAGTCCCACCTCTCCTGCTAACAGCCAAGACAATCGAGACCATGTCACTGCTCACTCCGCATTCATTGGCCAACATAAGATGAAAGGTCTCTGTTTGGTGAGTCTCAAACAAACTTTAGAAGGCACTCTCCTTTCCAACAATGCACGTAAACTCTTTTTGGACTCACTCAAGGACGAACGTCCCACTAACCGCATCTATGCCAGAGGATAGTGTCTCTTTATACTTTAGGCTATTGCAAACAAGGTTACCCTTTTGCATTTTACTGCCACTGATATGGTTAACTTTTTTACCTTTCCTGAGATTTCCGTCTACAACGTCAATACCTTGCAAACCTTCTGCTCGGCTATTTGTCAACTCCATCGCAATCCTGCTTCTTTGTCCTCTGACCCACGCCTTGTCGATTTGTTTAAATTACTTAAACGCTATGCACCTCCAATAGCTATGTCTTGACCTTTGATCGATTTCTCACCCACCTTTGTGTTTTTGACCTCTATCCCATTAGATCCTTCTACATCTCTTTTTCCTTTATCCTGTAAATCCGCCTTTCTTCTCGCCATGGCTGCCTTTCTTTGCCCATTGGATCTTCCTTGAATAATTCTCAGTAAATGTTGTATCGATGGTCAACGTCGCCTCCACCTGGTCATTGAAGCTCTAAAGGAGACACGTGAGGGCCACCGTATCATAAAATCGCCCATCATTAATTCAGACGGCTCCAATCACGCTCCTTGTCCAGTTCTGGCCTTTTCTGTGCTCAAATATCACCCTGCCGCACACTCACCCCCCACTGACACATTGTTTGTTTGTTCCAAAAAACCGTCCCTCCCAGTGACCATCAACATCATTTCTTCCTGGATAAGCACACTCACTCAAATGTCTACCTTGCTCAAACCTTGTCCGTCCTTGCGCTCCATTGCCTTCGACCTTGCCATTCAGAGTGAGGTTCCTTTGGATGACGTAGTAGCTATGGGTAATCGGTATAGCTCTTCTGTATTTCACACTCATTACCATCGTTCTCGTGCCCTTCGAACCAATATCATGGAATCCGTACTCCCGTCTGAACTAGTCACTGGCCTTTCCTCAAACTCGGAATCTGTGCGTTCAATTTAGTACATGTCATCATAGATTTAGAAATTTTCGTACACTCTTTTCTTTCTTTATCATTTCCTTTATTTTACTTTGACTTTTTGCGCTTCTCTGAAGCAGCACTTCTCTGAAGCAGCACTTCTCTGTTCCTGTTAGGGGTCCAATAGACTCACTTAATTGTCCCGAGAAACTTGTTTCGACAGGACAATTGTGAGGTTAGTCCAGAGGACTAACCGAACAGGAACAGAAAACTCACCCTCCCTATCTCTACCCATTTTGACCTGCTCGTTTATGATCGAGGTACAATACTTTGAATCATAGCACTCTTTTATATTAATTTCTTGAAAAAAAATGTTTCAAATTACTTTTCGCTCAATAAAATATAAGATGATCACAGCACTTCTCTGTTCCTGTTCGGTTAGTCCTCCGGACTAACCTCACAATTTTGTGCAGAAAGATACATATCTCTTATATATATAAAATAGATAGAAAATTTGAATTTTTCTTCTCCATTATGTACCAGATATTTAAATTTACCATTTCACTGAAATATGCAACTAATAAAAGAAAATATGACTTTAGGATTATACAAACTGTTGTGAGTACTCTTAATACAGTTAAACACAACGACCTGATAGAACAATAAAAGAAAGACTTAATCTACTTGCGCAAGATATTAATTATATTACAACAAAGTGTAATGTGTTATTTGTGTCCTTGTTCTCGCTCTCTCTCTCTCTTACATATATATATAATTTGTTATTTGGTCGGTTGCATTATTATTTTGACAAGTATTGGTATATTTTTTTTCTTTGTATATATAAAGGGCTCGTCCCGCAAGTTTGTATTGATGTCAACATGGTAACGTCGATATAAGTATAAATAAAACTATAGATCAACATACAAAAGTCTATGGCTGTCTGTCTGTCTCTTTGTTTGTTTCATTGAATATTAAGTAAGTAACCCTCGATTTATATCTTGTACACGAAATAAGAAAGGTGGTGATGTCTATATACATGAAGAAATAAAGAAATAAAGAAATAAAGAAAAACAAAAAAAAAAAAACAAAAAGGAGAAGAATAACAATGAAGAAGAAAGCAAAAGAAAAAAAAAGGAAAAGCAAAAGCAAAAACAAGAACAAAAATCAAAAATCAAAAAAGAATCCAAAGACTTAAAGTGCAAAGAAAAAGTGAAGATGAAAGTGCGGGAGGGGAAGGGAGGGAAGGTGAAGAGATTAGAATGTGGGATATTAGGCGTGTGGATAGGATGGTGTGGATTAAATTACAATTAGGTTTGATCTGCTCTGCCCTGCCTTGGATTTAAATTGCTTTTCTTTGATGCGTTTTCTGCTATTTGCGTGTAGTGTAGTGTATAATATAGTGTATAGTGTGTATAGTGTGTATAGTGTAATGTAGTGTAGTGTAGTGTAGTGTAGTGTAGTGTAGTGTAGTGTAGTGTAGTGTAGTGTAGTGTGGTGTAGTGTGGTGTAGTGTAGTGTGGTGTGGTGTGCGAATGCGAATGTGAATGTGCGTGTACGTGTACGTGTGCGTGTGCGTATGTGTGTGTATTATAGTGTAATGTGCTGGTTTATTTCTAGCGTGTTTTAGGTTTACTCAGTGGACGTCGCCTCTGCCACCATATCGAACTTCCTCGAATGACGGTCATTTTTGGCATAAATGCGGCAGGACTATTCATTATTGAAGATGCGCTTTGGTTGGAAAGTTCTGCGTTTTCGTCGTCGTCGTCTTCGCCGTCGTCGTCGTCTTCGCTATCGTCATTGTGCTGCTTTGCTTCGGTTGCACTCATCTTGATGAGTTTATAAACCGCGGGACTTTGAATTATATCTCGCTTAACATTACCGAGACAGAGCCGTTGAAGGCCACCACCACCACCACAGCCACCACCACCTACCAGTGTTTTGTTTTTGTGATCGATGGAGGCCAGCTCATGCTCGACACGGGCAATGACAGTATCAAAGAAGAGAGCCCCGAGCGCACGTGCGTTACTGATTGAAACGACTTCAAGCGAGCGGCAGGTCTTAATGACATCAACTAGGCATTCTTCTGAGAGTCGTTCGCTATCAGGATTATCAAACAGGCAAAACTGTTTGAGAGCACGACATCTCCGGGCTACATATCGCATAGATTTGTCACTGATGTGGTGTGCATTTCCGATACTGAGGTGTTCAAGTGTAGCTCCACAGCGATCTGCTATCGTGGCCAGGGCAGAATCACTGACAGGAGTGGCGCCGGCGATTTCGATGTGTCGTAATTGTGGGTTGGTAATGGCTAGTTTACAGAGGGTTGAGCTCTGGAGTGTAGTGCATCCCGAAAATACTACTGTCTCGAGGGTACCTGATTTGAGATATTTTGCCATTTCATAAACCGAATCATCTGTTTTTGGACTATATGACACCAATCGAATAGAACGCAGTTTTGGGCAGTTGTGAGCAAAATGTGCAAGTGGTAAAGAATGGCTGTGACGTGATGCTGAAGATGCTGATAACTGTTGTTGTTGCTTTTGCTGCTGCTGTTGTTGTTGTTGTTGTTGTTGTTGTAGCAGTTGTGGTGGCGGTGATGGTGAAGGAGATTGGTGCGGAAGATGAGGATGAGGATGAGGAAGTGGAAGTGGTGGTCTTTGTTGAGGACGATGGTCGTGGTGTGGTCGTAAGATTGGTGGAAGTATGGGTCTGATGGCGGTGTTAGGTAGATTAGGTGCTGGAAATGCGACAGGAGCGGATGGGCGAATGTGGTGAAAAGATATGGCGATTGATTCAAGATTTGAACAGAGAGAGGTTATGAGTAAGATGATGTTTGGGCTGACTTGGAATTCACGGTCAGCGTGAGTGAGTTGAAGAGAGCGTACATAGGTAGCGTATGGCCTGAGGGTGTTGTGACGGGCGATGATAGCAAATACGCGCTCGAATTCTCGCTCACGAACGAATGTGAATGAGGACCAGAGGAGTTCCAAGGCTGGACGTGACCAGTGAGTGCAAACGAGAGCTACCTGGAGTTTGTCTGATCGAGAAAGATGGGAGAATATGCGGTGCAAGACGGACTGTCCCAGACTTATTGCACTGCCTGAGGAGGCAACCATCCGGGAGGCAGTACCCAAAGCCGCATCGCTCGTCATGCACAAATCGGCAATATTAGCGATGTTGTGACAAACGGTCGAGCAATCAAGCACCAAAGAAATGTGATAAGAGCAAAGATACCGACACGCGGCAAGAAGAAAAAAGGAAACAAGATGTAGGTATAGAGTAAGCGAAAGAGGAAGAAAGTAGAAAATGAAAAAAGTAGGCTTAAAAAAAAACCCACACACACACACACAGAGAGAGAGAAAGAGAGAAAGAGAGACTTGCACACATTTTACGCACACAATTTACGCACACATTTGCACACACAGACACACACACACTCCATACGCTCACTTACTCACTCACGCACATTATCCATTCTATACTTTTCACTTTTCACTTTATACTCATACTTCATACTCACACTTTTCTTTTTCCATCAAACTCATATTCACACACACACAAATTTAATGATATTACCAGTGAATCCCGTGTCTTTTGTTCTTGGGGAGTTTTTATTTTATTTTATTTTATATTATATTATATTATTATTTTTTATTTTATATATGTATTTATAATATATATATATAGTACTTTATTTATTTTTTTTAAAAAAAAAAATTGAGAATTGAAAAATGAAAATCTGTACAGAATTTTTTTTTATCTCTTATATAATATATGTTTTTTAGTCAAAATTATAGAATACAAAAAGATTATTAATATTCTATATATAGAGTAATAAAGCTATAAAGGAAGTATATTGTGAATTCTAAAGTGTGTCCAAGATAGTATGAGTATATGAGTCTAAGAGTATGAATGAGTGAGTATGAGATATTGGTGAGTGGTGAGTAGACAGTGTCTGTGTGAGTGTGATTGTCTGTGTGCATGTGTGTATTAAAGGCAAAGGTTTTGTTTTATTTTTTTTTTATATATCATGGATGAGACCCATGAAAGGGCCATTATATGTGTGGAGTGGTATGATGTCATGTCGTACTTTAAATACAGATATGCTTACACCCACGTTGCGTATGACGTAGATAACTCGTTCAAGGACGTACACACTTGCAACACTTGCACACTTGCACATTTGCACATTTGCGCGCTTGTAAGTTTGCACAAGCACAAACGCGAACACACACACACTCAAGAACGCAAAAACCCACGCGCACGTACATACTTTTTTTTTAGAAGAAGATGAAAAAGAATTAGCTCAGAGTAATATTGATTTCGGGAAGAAGAAAAAAAAAAGAAAAAAAAGGTCGTAAGCTGACAAAAATAGAAGTCGCGTGTGCCTAAGAAACTGTTTTTGTGTTTAATGATAAATCAGATGTCCGTATCCATAGAGACGATAATCTGTTGTACAAAGGCTTAGCAGATTCCAATCCTATATAAGCTTGCATGTCTTTTGAAACCCAAGATTATATCCCTTTTTTTCATTTATAGCAAAAAAAAATATGGGGCTATAAGCAGAATCCAACGTGTTGATCATTTTTGAGTATTTTATATTTGTATTAATATTGCTTATTTTGCAAAGTATATAATATCTTGGCAATAAATAGACTTTGTATTTTAATACTTTATTTTTAGAGTGGGCATTCATATACATACTGTATCCATATTTTCATATAAAAGATGTGGGAAAAAAGAAAGAAGCAAAATATATGAGATGTTTTTTTATACATTAAACGCATAATAGTATTCAAGGAAGAGGTTGAATGGAAGAAGTCAATTGCAGATTATTATAATGATAATTCAACAAAAAAAAACTTACCTTTTGAGAATTCAATACTCAACTTAAAAATCCAGTTCAGCGTAAAGATAAACGGAGATATTTAATACAGTACCAAAGAAAAGAAGAAAAAGAAAGCTTAAATATTAGAGCTCCTTTATATATCTATTTCAGTATTTGACAAGAGAAGAATAGAATAAAATCGAATAAAATAAAAACAATTCTTTAAATGATTTTTAACGATGATGATAACAGGATATATATATTTTAATAATGTAAATAAATATTGCCTTTGAATAGCTGATCAATATAAATTTCAAGATAGGGTCAAGGACAACAATACTTTTCAATGGTTTGTAATACAAAATTATTACATAGTATATAGACGTTGAAATAGTAAAGCAGGGCTATTACTATTATTACTTTTTCTATGGAGAATTAAGCACACGCTTCACAACACTATACTACCATCATATTACTATTATTTGTAAAAGAGTATGTTTGATAGAACAAAAATATATAAATCTCTTTGGAATTTATTCATGTTTACTTTTCTTACCATTATTGTAGGAGCTCGGAAACAAAAGGTAAAAGAAAAATGTCGTAAGAATGAGTAACTATGATGTATACTTTAATTGACAATTCAAGGATCTACGCTCACACCCACGTCTAGATCAAAATCCAAATACAAATTCAAATCTACGCTCACATTCACATATCATTTATATACAAAAAAAATGTCAAAGTAAAGTAGTGAAACCAAAGGGTATTAGATAAACTCCTCCAAGTTCATTAAAGGAAAAGCAAATCTTTAAACTTAAAAAGGTTTCAAGATCTTTTAGATTTTAGACCATATCCTTGACATTTCAGAAATATTTCATGATTTTTAAAGTTTTTTTTGTTTTTTTTTAAGATTGTCACTTTAAATTCTTGCCAGTAAAATTCAAACCTTAAAAGAAGAAGAAGAAGAAGAAAGAAGGAAAGAAAAACAATAGAAGCAATGGGCGTTTACTTGGCTGTAGTCTACCAATAAAACCCGGTTGACAATAAATTTCTTCTTTTACTGTTTACAGTAATATGTGACAGTTTGTTGCAGACCTTTTGACATATAAGGTACTCGTAGGAGGTAATATACCTAATTCAAAAACACTATTTCGAGAAAGGACATTTGAGTTACTAGCCAACAAACATTTTATATTTCTAGTTAATAGAGGCATATGAGCAAAAGATATATAGATAATTTCAAGAGGATATGTTTTCAAGATATCAGATACAGATATATGCACTCTAGTAGTAAGAGCGAGTCAAGTAGTAATATTTTAACTGCCTAGGTGCATTTGGTATTTTGAGGAAGAGGCAGCAGCCAACGGCTACTATAACTACCACCACCTTACTATCTTTTATGTTGAAATTGCCCTTTGAGGCTATATTCTTTTAATAAATGAAAAAAAATAGTTGATCGCAACTGGATGTGCCCCTAATAGTTTTTAAATATTTTTTTTTCTGAAAAGAGACTGCTGGAGTTGCTCTTAATGTGATTTTGTACTCCCTTTGTTATTTATTTATAAGTTACTTAGACAGAGATATATTACAGCTGCATAAATCATTCGACAGAATTAAGGATTATTATAGTAAAGGTAGTAATATTAGAACAAGTGTGGTGTGATAAAGAGACTGAGTAAGTGCCTGAATTATAACCAAAGTTGTCCCGGGTTTATTTATATTATATTATTATTTATTGGCGTCAATGGGTCATTGTGCTGCAACATCAATTCAATGTCAAGGTGATCTTGTTTTTGAAACTCATTTTTAGTAATAAAGTGAATTACAATTGTAGGTTTCCAAGGAAACTGAAATAATATAAATATAAATAAATAAATAAATAAAAGAACATTTTAATCTATTTCTATAGTCACGTATAAAATAAATTGATTACTACTACTAGTAATATTTTTTTTTCAAAAAAAGGAAAAGTAAATAACAGGTCTCTATCCATACATATATTTATGAATTATCTACTAGAAACGTGGTATTAATAATAAAATACACACACACCTATATATATATATGAGCCCAACAATATCAAAAACACCATAAAAGGTATTCAAAGAAGAAGAAGGAATAACAAACTATATTTGTTAATCAGGAACAACATTACCTAGTCACATTATACGCTAATTCTATTTAATTCGAGTACAAGGAAATCGAGACAAAAGACATCTTGAACACAGGAATCTAAAGGATAACCGAGAACAAGATAAAATAAAGTTAATGCACATATATTTAAGCAAACCACATGATTATGATGATGGTATTGATGATGATGATGATGATGATGATATTAATGGTAATTATTACTATTAGGTATTGGTCGACTTTCTGTTGAAAATATCAATCTCAATTATTTCCTTTTTTTTTTTAAAAAAAAAAAGAGAATAATAATAGTAATTCTGAAGTGTATTTGTTAACACAATGGGTTGGATATTATATATGTTATAAATACCAGTAAATTATTAAGAATTAGTAATACATGGCACAAAGCTTATGCACATTTCTTTTGGTGTAACTTGGAACTTGGTACCTATTTCACAAGAGCATGAATATCGTATTATATATATATATATATCCATAAATCCACATTTAGTTTTCCAAGTCGATTAGATATCAACCAATCAATTGATCGATTAATTAATTAATTTAAATAAATATTTATATCCATTCCCCTACCAAGCATTAATTGGAAGCAATATTTTACATCAGGAGAAACTACCAATAGATAAAATCCTAGTCTAGATTATTAATACACAGGCTACAAACAAGCTTACACTATAACATTCAATTAACCAATACACACTTGGACATAGACCTAGACATAGACATAGACATAGACATACAGGCATCATGCATGAACCTCGAGAATTCTTTCCTTGATTCTATTAGACAACCCTTCTACACCAGTCCTTACAAATACATACGCACCAATCATGATACCAAAGAGACCAACCACAATCACCATCATAGCCAATAGAATCGCATAAAATATCAAAGCTACAATTACCCCTTCGCCATCTCCTCCACAATCCGGTACACCTAACCAGAAGCATCCCGAGGATTGACAGTCGCAGTTATCTAAGCATCGACCTCTGCACCCTCCTCTGACAATAAGGAATATCATACCCAGCACAGAAACAACAATCACTCCCGAAAGGCAGTATATTCTGTCCAAACCGTGCCAACTTGGACCGTGGAACTCAACCCAGGAAGGATCGTCTGGCCTGATGGGATGTCCAAGAGCCCAGACATCGACAGCCATTGACGCATAAGACATGCCCAGGATCAACAAAAGGACCAACACCACGGATAAGACTCTTACTAGCCACACGGATCCAACTATTGACGCATAAAATGGTCTGCTAGTAGAATACTCATATCCACAGTAGTCACATGACACCCAAGACTGTTTACGAGGTGACACTTGGCGCCATTTCTCAAGGCACTCGACATGAACGTACATCATCGTTCCTTTACACATGCATGGTCGAATCAGAGGATTCGTCTGGTAGAGTCTTTCAGTGTCAGATTCCTCCTCGTCATCACCACAGATTCGACAGCTCTTTGTAGATTGATTTAGATCTGTACCTGAACTAGGATAAACTGTGGGGATTAACAGTGAGACTGAACTATCTGTCATATTGCTTGATAGATGTAAAAGAGAAGTGGAAGTAGGAGTAAAAATAGGAGGAATATGAAGAAGGAGAAGAATAAAAGGTTTTAATTGGTCTATATATATTATTGGATTGGACTAGACTAGGATAATCTCCATTTGTTTGTTTGCTTATTTGTTTGTTTGTTTCTTCTACTATCAGAAGACAAGCTCAAATATTTAAAAGTTTTGAGCAATTCTTTTTATTTATTTTTTTGAAGAAAGGCGGAAGTAGTATTTGTATTTGTAGTGTAATATAGTGAAGTGTAGTGTTGGCAAGGAGTAGATTTATTACACAATAAATAAATGGATATCCAATAGCTTGGTTTTCTCGAGTTATCTGAGGTGCTTATACTGTGACATAAACAGAAAAGGAGTGTCATTGTCATCACCATCAGCAACAGCATTATTTTTATTATTGCTATAGTGTTTTTACTCGAGATTGAGACAAGCTAGGATTTTATCAAGACACTTTTTCGAGATAAATTTAGCCAAATCTATACTTCTTTTCTTAAGGTAAAACCACCTCACAAATTGAGACCACAAAGATTCTAAACGAAGCCACAAGACAAAAGCCAAAGACACCATATAACTCATATAACACTCAAAACAAAATCAAATTAATGTACTTTTATCTTTTGTTCTAATTGGAGGCTTTTAATAAGTCTGGGCCTATCGATAGTTCCATACAAACAAACAAATAAAAAGATTCTAAATGAAATTCGTACTTTTTTTCTTTTGCATTTTGCTGTCTTTAGTTATGAGCAAATATCATTGGTTAACCTGACATGCCTTGTGATCCTTGACACATACTTTAATCTCTCGCTTTTCCACAACATCAAATACACCTCTTTTTTTTTTTACTTTTACTTTTATTATCATAACACACTTAGACCAAACAGTATTTAGAGAGAGAAAAGTTTATGAAATTTTAAACAAGTTAAAGAAGAAATAGAAGCATAAAAAGGCAAACAATCGTGGGTGGTATATGCCTTTAGGTATTTATGTGGAACTCTATGCATTTTATGTAATAGTCAGAATCAGGTGCAAGGACTGAAACCACGCTGAGAATAATACAAAAAAAAAAGACAATGAGGTTCAACAAGTAGAGAGCATATAAGCATGTCAGTCTAAAAGGGAATCCAATATGTCTCAAACTCAAGTTCAAACACTGTAATTGATTAAAGAGTAGATATCTATCGATAATGAAGTAGAAGACTCAATAAATCAATTAATAGTTTTATAGTAGCGTTTGATTCCCTAGCTAGCTAGTTAGCTATATATATATTTATTTTATTTGCTTGAATCCACAAGACAAAATTGATCATCTTTGACTGTACTGGCGGCGACATTTTCGATATCTTTTTCTACATGATAAAGCGGAGATGAGCTGTGTATACTTTTCACATCTTAAAACAAATCAGTCGCTGTACAATATTTTCAATCTTATCTTTAACAATAACGCCAAAAAAAAACAAACGATAGTAGCAGCAACAAGAAGAAACTTCTTGTGATTACTTAAAACGGTTTAAATATTGAGGGATAAAAAATAAAATAAAGAAATTCATTTACCAATTTTTTTTTTCCTTTGTCCCTTTAAATTTCATTTAACTTTTTTTTTTTTTTTTTTTTTTTTAGGTACAATTTTTTTTAAATTACCGACTTTTTTTTTAATCTTTCTCTCTTTGATTTCGTTTCATTTCATTAATTTTCTTCATTCTTACTAAGAGCGATCATGGCAGCCATTAGTCAAACCATTATGCAGACTGTAAAGAAGGCCATTTCTGAGAATACGGTTATGGTAAGAGCTTTGTGGACAACAGTCTATTTGAAAGAAAGAAAGAAAAAACAGATTTGTAAGCATGTCTAACCACACACACACACACACACACACATATATATATATATATGTAATATATTTGCGTGCATAAAACTGTACAGATCTTTAGCAAGAGCTATTGCCCTTATTGTACCCGTGCCAAGGATATATTTGATGATCTCGACGTTGACTACAAGGCACTCGAACTGAACGATCACCCTGAAGGACCTTCTATTCAACAAGCACTCCAAGAACTCACCAGTCAAAAGACGGTGCCTAACATTTTTGTGAACCAGAAACATATTGGTGGTTATGATGCATTGAAGTCTGCTTTGGACTCTGGAAAGCTCCAAACCATTTTGAAGAACTCTCCTTCTGCAAAATTGTAATATCACAAATACCAATACATAATTAGAAATTGCTACGATCATTATAGATGTATAATCAAAACAGATTGACTTTGTTCCTCTTCCTTTATTTATTTAATTATTTAATTATTTTTAATGATTTATTGGGAAGAACCAAAAGAGACAAACTTGGGATCCAGTGGAAGTCCAGTATCAGGATCAATGCCCTTTTAAAAAGTAAACACACACATACAATATAAAGAATATGTTGATATTAATAATTTATAATAGCAAATAATGACAATAATCACTAAACACACACACACATACACACACACATATTGGGGATTATCTTGTAAACTTACATTCTTACGCAAAAGACGTTTTTGGCGAATTAATCGTGCTTCATCAAAGGATACATTGTTCTTCTTCATAATCTTCAAGATCTCTTCCTTGTCTTTCAAACCAGCCCGGTTGTCGTTCTCTTCAAGGTTGGCTTCGAGATCGAATTGTGAGCTTGTGAGACCATCTTCAATGTCATTTTCAAAGGATCCAATTGTAGTAGGTAGTAAATGGTATCCAAGTAGTCGATTTGTTTGATCAGCAAGTTTGTTTGCTGCGCTTTTGATGGGATTACGCAATGCCCATAGTACTGTGCAAAATTTAGAATGAGATTTATTCACATTAACATAGCATATTATATTTCTGCTCTGTGTATAAAGTGTAGAATGCAAACTATAAAGTTGGGCTATTTGTTTGTAGTATAAGTTTTACTTACAAATAATAATAAGTAAAAGTATAAGGATAATGACGAGCATGTTAAAGAGATTAAGATGCCAAGCTATTCAATAACGGCAGAGAGAAAGATATACACCTCTCTGACTTCTTTACACAAGCCACGTGGTTATTCCGAGTGTGCCAAACTTGGGCTGTGTTGTTGCATGTTGATTGTTGCTTTTTTGTCTTGGCAAAAACAATAATATTATTTAACGATAGCCATATATTTGCTACTGCTTATTTGGTTGTCGGCTTGTATTTTTGTTTTTTTTTTTGTTTTCTTGTTTGAAGGGGTTTATCTTGATTGATTGCAGGCCCACACACTAGACTACCTCTTTGATATTTTTCTCTTTTTTTTTTAAAAAAAATAATAATAATAATAATTGTATATATACATATAATATTGTATTATATTTTTATTGCATTGTTCATCAGTGTGCCTCTGCATTTCCATATTTGATGTCATCATTTAAGCGCCTACTATTGGAAGATCTTTTTGGTTTCCACAATTATGAATCAATTTCGGTACTCGAGCAACACAAAATGAAAATGGAAAAGAAAAGAAAAGAAAACCCCTCATCTCTTTCTCTTTCACTCATTCTACCTCTCTGTTCTAATTCAAAATGTCTCAAGGTAATAAAATCCTGAATTTTATTGCATTCTAGTCTACCTTGCTTCAATAACTACCATAATAGCCATGACAGTAATAACACCTTGTTTATTTTATTTTAATTTGTGTCAATTTTTTTTTATTAAGAATCCAATACACGTCTCTTTTCTGGTGTCGCTTCTAGTTTCAGTGCGTTCTCTCAAACCTTTCAAAAGCAAACCTCCCAGGCATTTCCTGGAACTCTGAAACGATTCACTGATTTTACCCAGACGGTTCAGCAGCACGCACGCGAACTTCCTTCAAAGATTATTCAGTTACCAGATGCACTAGAGTCAGAGCGGGATGCTTTTATCAAAAACAAGACATTTGACCGACAGACAACCCACAAGACTGGTAAAGTGACTTTGTGTAGATCATATGCTTTTTGAGGGATAGAGAGATGAAATAAATAAACAAATAAAAGGGCACTTTTTTTTCCTTTAAATAAAACATAATAAATAATTAATCAATCAATCAATCAATTTATATACATATTTTAGAACCAGTAACCCCGTGGGAAGGTTATGGTGTCTATGAAGAAGAAATGAAGAAGCATATCATTGCACTTTCTGCTGACCAACGAAACTTTTTGCTTGCTCCTCCAGAAGGTACCAGCTTTCAATTTGACATGGCAGCCTATCGCCAAAGTGCAGTTGCAGCTCTCAAGAATGACCCAGGACTAGAGAAAATGCGATTCCTCTTGGTACCTCAACAGTAAGTTGATCTTTTTTTGAAGTATAAATTAATCAATCAATTAATTGTCTGATTGTTTGATTGTGGTGCCCTTTTTCTTATTATTATTATTTATGTAGGATATCTGAACCAATGTTCTGGAAAAACTATTTTTATCGTGTCACCTTGGTAAAGCAAACAGTGCTAGATACACCACTGGAAACCAAGACAGCTTCCAAAATAGATGACGATGTATTGTTTGATTTCGCTGGAACAGACGAAGAAGACGATCATGAACCAATTGAGAAGAAACAGACGAAAGGTAGGAAATATAATATTTGATAATCAAGACCAAGTCCCTCTACCTGTATCAATATCAATATCACTATCAGCAAAAAAAATTGATCTAGTGAATTTAACTTCTTTGTTTATTTGATTTTATATCATAGATAATAAGGTGTCAAAGGCTGAAGTGAAGATTGATGAAATTAGTCCAAATGTCGACGTAGCTGCCACCAATGCGAAGGTCATTGAAACCAAAAAAGAAGAATTCGGTGAAATGGAAGAATGGGAGAGAGAGCTGAGAATGGCAGCAGGTGAAATGCCATAGATACCCAACCCATACATATATACAAACTCACACTTACATACAAAAATATTTATTCCACACTTTCCCCTATTAACATACCATCATTTGTACACACCATTATATATTGTCTCCAATCAATATTCATTTTATTCCTTTTTTTTTCTCAAAAATATTTGCTTTAACAAAATTCTTATTAAAGAAAAAGAAATATATATATATATATATTAGCACACATCGTATTCCCTAACATAATAATTTACGGCAGCCTGTTCAGCAATCTGAAGCAATTTTCTCTTATTGTCGACAGCTTCCGCATTACTAACAATCTCTTCTGCCACAAGCTTGTTGAGTGCTTGTCTTGCATCATCGTTGGTGATTGATTCATTGTTTTGTTTTTGAAGTTCAACATAATCTTTAATTGCCTAATAGTAAACATATATACATGCATTAAAGCGATTAGTAAAGTATAATAGATATATATATTGATTAACTATCTGATTGACTAATTGGCATTTGTATGTGTGTTTTATATAAAAAAAAAGAGAGAGAGATAATTTACCTTAAAAGCAATTGCACCGGCTATTTGTTCCATAGTCATGTCTGTACGATGCTCACGGTAGAATGAGCGGTAAAATCCAAACAATTCTTCTGGGCGAGGGAAGCTATTAGTGTGCAATACTTTGTAGGATAAACCAAAAAAAAAGAGGGAGTGTTGGGGGTTATAATGCAATTGAAGTCTGTAAGACAGAGTAATTCTTACAAGGAGAGGGTCTTAGTAAAGCCAATTCCTCTTTGGATTTTGGGGTTTCAAAGGGTTCAATCAGCCATCTCTGAGTAGGGATAGTGGTATCTTTTTCATTTAGATATATTCCACTGGTTTCTTTATAGTCTCCACCCTTATTAATAAAAGTTGACAAATATTCATATTAATATATTTGTATACCCAAGAGTACCATTTAGAATATATTCAATTTCTTTGTTTTGTATAGACTAAAATCATACCTTGATATCCAATACAAGATGAGGGGCAGCAGTTGGAAATATGAATCCGTCATCATAGGACCAACGTTGGTTTTGTGCCAATCCAGGCTTACGAGAGTATTGAATCACTAGCTTGTCTTTCTTGAGTTCACCTAATCATATATACAATATATATAATAGTTAATTAATCGAAACAAAAAAAAACAACTCTCTAAAATATTCAACCTCTTTTTCTCTCTTTTTTTTTCAAAATAAATCAATTCTATTGGGGGATTTTTCCCTTACCTCCACGAATATCCAAGACTAACAACAGATGAGATCTATAGGTATCAAAGCACAATTCCATTTTGTTTTTTTTGTTTTGTTTTGCTTTGAAAATATTCAACATCTCTTACCAAGACCTGACTTTTTATTGATGATAAAGCCATCTTCATGCATCCAAAGCTACAATAATTTTCAATACATTATATTCTCTTTCTTTGTCCAACAAATATACACAGGCAAACTGCGTGATTTCATCTTAAGAGTCTTACTTGGTTGATACTGTCGACTAGTTTCTATAGGCGCTTGTTGAGGTTAATAATATGCGTACATATATATATATATATATATATATATATATACTCATAATTTGGGTTTGCTTTACCTGAGGCCAGATAATAATTGTTGCATCATTCTACTCGATTTTTTTTGTTAGCTTTGTTATTGCTTTTCTTTTTCTTTTGTTCTCTGTCAAGATGGTCTCTCCCAACATTCTTTCTTACTGTCATGCTTCCACCATTAACATCTACGGCCATTGGCTGGGCTTTGCAGCGAATAAAAAAGAATCCGCTGGGGAATTTGTTGACAGGTGGACTCAAGCTCATGATTTATTTCAAAAACTAATGATAATGATTCCTTTTGAAATGCTTTCTTGGAAGAGCTCGATTAAAGAAAATAAAATAAAATAAAATAAAATAAAAAGGTGTGACAGTAACAAGCACAAGATTTGTTTCAACAATTGAACATCATATATATATATATATCTACTATATATATATTTGCTGTCCCGATTTTCTACTTTTGCTGCTCTCCGCCTAATTCTCATATATATATATATGTATTTAAATATTCAATGACATAACTTTCAAGGTTCCATAACTGCGACTAAGAGTGATATTAATACCACTGCTATTTATTGTTCTATCTTTTGTAGTATTTGATATAGTAGCCAGATTCCAAGGTTATCATTAGAAAAAAAAAAGGGTGGAAATATGAACTTTTTGTAAAGTACATAAAATGGCTCTTGTCATTTTTTTTTTCATTTTAAGTATGGTACCACAACTTTCATCCGTTTTTCCTTGTGTCTGGTAAAGAAAAATATGAATAATTAAATTGATCAAACTCAATTGACCATTTTAGTATCATTAGTCTAGGATCCTGTAAGAGACTTTAAGCCGGCTATTATATAGTGGAATGGTTAAAAGCTAAAAAAACAAATAAAAAAACAAGTAAGTGAATATCTATATGTACGCATATGTGTTTGCATAAAGACTTCTTTAGGGTAAAGAATCCAGTCTCTTTCCAACAGTATCTATATTTATTTAGGCATCTTTGTAATTTCAATCGTTATTCCCAATTTTGTACCACATGGGTCAAAAGATATTTTTTATCATTTGTTTGAGGGTGTGTTGGTGTCTGGTGTCCTTATGATATAATAAGGTCACCATGATGTGCTGAAAGGAAGGAAGAAATATAAAGTAATCCAATTGCTTAATGGGAACAAATACTGGCTATGGATTTTCCACATAGGTTAGACCACCAATAAGAGAAGGAAGATTGATTTTCTTTTATAAAATCAGAATACACAATAATGCAAATTCAATATTAGGGGGTTTCACCAGCTTTGAATGTTGACTGTTGGATATAGCGGTAGTTTAATTCGAAAAATTATTGGCTGTAACGAATCTTCAAAAAATGAAAAACGAGCATCCAAGCATCTAAAAAAATAGTTCGATACTCTAGATGTCGTGACTTTGCCGAAATTTTGTAAATTTTGTACTTTATGTACGATTGATGGCGAAGTTCATATAGAAGCAAAGTCAAAAATAAAACATAATTAATCTATATAAAAGTAGTTATCTTGATACCAAATTATAGAAGTCTAACTTACTTGTGAGGAATTTGGGCATAGGCGCTATATTTATGGGTACTCTAATCAAGCATATTGTACATATGAATTTTGACGTATATGAGAAAACATATCAACCAAGGGTCATTAGGGGGTTTCACCAGTCTTTTTTCGATACTTATTATTATTGGCTGGTGCTTAAACTACCGCTATATCCAACAGTCAACATCCAAAGCTGGTGAAACCCCCTATTATAGTCTTTGTACACAACAGCAAAAAAAAACAAATGTTCCAATATTCTGGTTTCTGCTTTAACCAGGAAATTTTGCATGTTTGAACAAAGTAGAAACAAGCAAAAAAAAGGCCTTGTACCTATACGAGAGCTACAGGTTGCGCAGCAATTCTTTGTCACCTTTACTTTCTTGAAATGACTGTATATATTGGGATGATTATGTAGGGTAAATGCCCAACTCAATGACAAGATAGTGAATACGGGTAATAAAAAGACAATTTTATTAAAGAGCAATTAAATAAATAAATAAAAAAAGAAAGAAAGCTATTTAAACTACCTTGGGTCATTTCTACAGCTATGTAGCTAATACTAAGCTTGCTGTAATGAGCGATACAAGAAACAACAGTGAATAAGATCAGTCGTGTAAGTTCACCATTGATATCGGTTGATCCGACAATGAAGTCGTGTCCACCTGGCATGAACTTGTCATTTTAATTTTACTAGGGGAGTTCAACCGTCTCTTATAGCTTTTAATTAATCGTGAGAATGTCCTGAGTTTAAATTCACGTAAATGATTGGCTCAAAATAATTTATGGCCATTAAAAAAAAGTCTTTGAAGAAAATCTTAAAACAGCCTTTAAAGCTTAAATAGAACTTTGATGCAATCAATGTTTCTTTGTTGTTATTAATTATTACTAGCCAATTAGTACCTTTTAGAAGAATCTCGTTTTCATTTTTGTTTGTCCAAAAAAAAAACATCGTCTCAATCTCAAGTAGACTGTAATAAATTTGAAGACCCAAAAAGGTGTATTTTAATTTAATTATTTTATTTTATTCCTGACATAAATATGAATAAAAAGTGATGATTTAACTGGACATTATTGGTGCATAAAACCAAAGCCAAAACATTCGTCACACCACTTTTTTCTTATAGTGTATTTTTCTTATAATCAGGAAGAATTATTGGACTCCGATATTTTTTTCAAAAGGCAAAAACTTTGTCGGAAATGTCAATACAAAAAAACCGTCGCTCATGGACACGGAGAAAGTGTTTATGAAAAGAACTGTGCGAGCAGCTTGTTTGTAGTGACATTTCCGACAAAGTTTTTGACTTTTGAAAAAGTGCGGTGTTCCAATTTAATAGCAGGGGAAGAGAAATATTGAGACTTGAATCCACACCTCTGATGGCATCTCAAGGCAGATGTAGAGAATTATATATCCTAAATTAGTAATTACGTGTAACATGCGGAGTATAAACCACGTTTTTGGATGTGACAGCTGTCTATCAAGACTGCCCTGAAAACACTTCTTTTACTTTTACCAAAACAAATTCTTAAAAATGGGTCGTAAAAACGCTCGCTCTATCCTTACTTCTAAAATGGCTCGAAGAGAGGGCGGAAAATTCTGCGCCAAGTCTCCAATTATTACTATTCATACAGAAAAGGAAGCTGGAGAAAAGGAACCTGTTGAAGATCAACCTGTAGAAGAGTACGACTGGGAGCTCTTGGATTTAGATACGGATACGATGATTGCTGCGTACTATAATAGCTTTCTGACATGGAGACCAGACGCAGGAAAAAATTTGCGTGGAATCTACAGAGGAGACTCGAGATCATCGATTATGCGCAACAAGAGAAAAATGAAAGAAGAGCTTGAGGCAAATAAAGACAAGAAGGTCAGAACGCTTGCTGATTTCGGTCTCTCGGTTCCTGTTGCACCAGTTTCGCCTGTAACAGAAGCATTAACTGTATACAAGCAATCAAAAGATGAGGAACTTGAAGAGATTCGTGAAGCTTATGAGAAAATCTCTGAGATGATAAAGCCTCCAGTCAGTTCAGATAGCGAGTTGGGCAAGTTTGCTTTGTTTGAAGTAAGCAAACACATTGTTGTGAAAGAGTATTTCCGACGCCTCTTGAACAATTGCAAGAATATCAAGGCATCTGAAAAAGCAGCAGAGATTTTTTGGACAACACCTTCCAAGTACCGTGGAGAGGCTGTCCGCGGTTGGGCCAAAGAATTTCTTCAGTTTGGCAAAATTTCTGAACATCAACAGGGTAAGCATGCCAAGCGGTCTTCAATTGTAGACGATGAAGACCTTAAAAAGAAAGCAATCGTTTGGCTTCGTGCTCAAAAAGCAGAAAGACGAACTGTTGTGGATTTGAAAAAGTATCTCGATGAAATGCTTTTTCCATCATGCCTTGGTGTAAAAGGCAACGTGGCCATAAGCACAGCATGGAAATGCATGAGAGATTGGGGGTACGTCCACCGCAAGAACAACCAGGACGTATATTACGATGGACACGAAAGACAAGACGTTGTTCAGTATCGCCATGCTTGGGCAACGCGAATGATGGGATACAAACAATGTATGTCAGACTTTACTGGGGAAGATGAAGAAATTGAGGTGACCCCTCTTCTTTTGGAGAACCAGAAGAAGCTGGTTATGGTGACCCATGACGAGTCCACCTTTTATGCCCATGATGGAAAGGTGGACATGTGGCTTGAGGAAGGTGAAAGCCACATCCGCAAAAAAGGTCAGGGAAGATCTCTGATGGTCAGCGAGTTCCAGTGTGCTTGTCATGGCACTATGCGAGTGAAGGGATGGGTCTCCCGCAGAATATTTAATGTTGGGGCAGCATATGACGGTTACTGGACAAGCGAAGACATGCTTGACCAGCTGAAGAACCATGCTATCCCTCTGTTCGAAAGCTTGCACGAGGGATGCACCGGTGTCTTTATTTTCGACCAAAGCAGCAACCACAAAGCATATGCCACAGATGCCTTGGTTGCCACCCGCATGGTTCTAAAGCCAAAGGTCGTTTCTGAAAATGACAAGTTCATTTTCAAAGATACAACGTTTTTGAGGGATGGACGTATCATCCCTCAATCGTTTTATGAGACAGTCTTTGAAGCTGGAAGGAAAGGAAAGGGGCCGGTGGAGAAGAGACAGTTTGTTGGCGTCCAGCGGATCCTTCAGGAGCGTGGACTGTGGATGGAACTGAATCCATCCAATCTTTCTAGAAGATGGAGAATGGACTGCAATGGAGAAGGAGCAAAGAACCACTGTTGCTGTGCCCGCCACCTCTTGGCCTCTCAGCCCGACTTTTCTGGACAGAAGACAACTATTCAAGAGGTGGTGGAAGAGGCGGGTCACATATTTGAGCTGTACCCCAAGTTCCATTGTGAATGCAATTGGATCGAGCGTTACTGGGGCGCAGCCAAACGTGTGGCTCGCCTAAACTGCGATTATTCTTTCAAGTCGTTAGAAAAGAATCTCCCGTCTTTCTTGGACAGTGCCTCTCCTGTGGCTGGTTCTCCTTCCATGATCAGGAGATTTTATAAAAAGACTTGGAGATATATTGAAGCTTACAGCAAGTTTTTGGATGCTAAGGATGCTGATGCTGAGGTGAAGAAATTCACCTCAAGAATCAGTAAATCTCACCGCAGCATTGGCATCCATGATTAAAAAAAAATAAAAAAAAATAAAAATTTATAATTTATAAAATAAAATGCTGTGCCTATGTATAAGTTTCAATATTTTAGTTTTTTTTCAAAAACTAGCGGACATTTAATACTGGTTTTTGTTATCGGTGTTTTAAATGAAAAAATTGACACAAATCCTAAAATTCCTGATTTTAATAAAAATACACTATATAACATTTTTTTTTTACTGCGGCTTACCAAGAATTTAGACTTACACTCAAAAATCTGACTAAAAAAAAAAGTTTCGAACTTTTGCTGCGGACATGTGTGACTTTGTGTCTAATAAAATAAAATAAAGCGAGTATAAAAATGGATTTATTGAACAATAGCTTATAAATAATAAAAATAATATATTATTATTATTCTTATTAACTACATCGCCTCTTTATTACGGAATCATGTCGACCATTCAACAACAACAACAACAAACTACACCTACCAGAGAGGTGATTGTACCCAAGAGCACTGTATATACCTGTTTAGCATGTCAAGTTGCTTTTCCTACTTCTGAAAGACAGAGAGCTCATTACCGTACCGAGTAAGCTTATTAATAATCTTATTAATATTAGCATTTTCTTTAATTCTGCAACAATACTAAATATAACTTTATTAATATTATTATTTTAAAGCTGGCACAAATATAATCTTAAGCGTAAGATCGCTGAACTTGTTCCGGTCGATGCCGAGCAATTTGCTCAGAAAGTTCTTGGTAAGTTTGATGAGTAATTAACATTCTCTTGTTGCAATTAGTTTCTTTTTTCTTATTTATTTTTATTATTTTAGCCCAACAAGCTGTTGGTCGTGAAGAGGAAGAGAGATCTGGCTTGATTTACGAATGCCCTACTTGCAAGTGAGTATCGAATGATTTAATCAATCAATCATTAATTAATAATGCATAAATTGAATGACTGAACTGAACCAAACTAAACTAAACGCTGTGGTTACTTTGATAATCTAAAAGGAAATCATACGGCTCCGAAAATTCATACCACAACCACGTCCAGTCCCGAAAGCACCAGGAAGCTGAACAAAAGGCTCTTCAGGGAGCTAGTGCATTGGCAAGAGTACAGAACGAAGGACGTCTGTTTTCTGATCATTCTGACATGGAGGATGAAGATACTCACATGACCACCAAGACCAATCAGAATCCCGCTCTGGACTGCATGTTCTGTAACCACACCAGCAAGGACTTTGACAGCAACCTTGGTCACATGTTTAAGGACCATGGATTCTTCTTGCCCGACAAAGAGTACCTCAAAGATGTAGAAGGACTGGTAGTTTACCTAGCTTCCAAGGTCAACAATGGTATCTGCCTGTACTGTAATGGACGTGGCAAGGAATGGAAGAGTGTCGAGGCTGTCAGAGGACACATGGTGAGTAAAGAAATTAATAAGCAAAAAAAAGAAAGAAGGAAGGAATACTGATTAACAAGTGCAAAAAATAATAATAGCACGACAAGGGACATTGTAAGATGGCTTATGATGATACCGAAGACCCAGAACAATTGCTGGCATTTTATGACTTTGGACCTTTTGATGAAGAAAGCCTGTCAGAGGCAGATCAGCAGCAAGTTGAGCAACAGGGGTCAGACGCACTCGTTCTTGCCAATGGCACACGCATTGGTCACCGTCGATTCATGAAGTTCTTTAAACAGCACCATGCCTACACTCCTCCTACTGAAGAATCAGTAAAGGCAATTGAAGGCGCAGAAGAAGAAGCCAAGCCAGAGCCAATGAACCGTAGAGAGAGACGTTCCAACCTGACGATCACTGATGGCCAAGAAGTTGCTGCTCAGAACACAGCCTGTGGAATCAAGGAGCTTGAGATTCAACAGGATTTCCAGAGAAGAATTGGCATCAAAAGTAACCTTGTGAACCGTCGCCGTGCCCGCAAACAGGTCCCCATCTAAACAACAAACAAACAATAAGAAAACGAACGACAACAAGAGGGGAGAAAAGAAAAGAAAAAAAAGGATTTGTTTCGTTGGAGTACATCTGCCTATCTGCTTGTCTGCTTGCTTGCTTGTCTGCTTGCTTGCTCGCTTGCTTGCTTGCATGCTAGTCTTTCTTTATCTGCTTTCCTCTTTTCTTTACACTCCACTCCATTCTGTTCCACTCAAGGAAGTCTAAGGGAGAAGGGGTACTTTTTCTTTATTTTCTTTCTTTCTTTCTTTTTCTTTTTTTTTCTTTTTGTCTACTTGATTCATGTACTTTCAAGGCCTCACACTGGAAACTTTAATGTGGTTTTATCACTTGGCTGAGTCCGGGTTCTTTCTTCCCTCCCTTTCCACGCACACACACACACAACATCACCGCCACAACCACAACCAAAACCACCTTTTTCTTCGTATCTTTATTGCTCACAACAACGACAACAACAACAACAAAAAGGATCTTTTTATGGCTTTTGATTTAAATCTTTGAAAAACAACAACTTTGTGAATTTTTTGTTTCTTTATATATTTATATATAACAAAGGGAATAAATGCAAATATTATAAAATAAATAACTTTTTTTTTGTATATTTTTCAGTGTGTGTGTGTGTGTGTGTGTGTGTGTGTGTGTGGCTCTTGCTTTATTTCTTGTAAACGACGCAAAGAAGTATTTAAAGTTTAAAAGAATAGGAGAGAACAACGAAAAATCCAACAAAAAGAAGCCTTTAGAACGAAATCTTGTGCATACCCCCCTTTGATTGTATCTTTTCTCCCTTTATTTCACTCTATAGATTAAAGAAACCAAAAGCCGATAATTCAACAACAGAGTATAATTATCATTATCATTATAATTATTCTTATGAAATTACATAAAATAAATAACTAATAGAAAATCATGTACCGTGTGATTTATGTATTATTCTAAAGAAGTTGCAATTACCATTATTTGAATTTATTTTTTATAAAAGGGAAATTGTTGCTTATTTAGCACTGAAACAAATTGGATTTGATTTTTTTTTTAGAGAAAATGGAGATCAGCTATTTATTTGTCAGTTAACTTGTTCAATTATATTATATTATAATTATTTATATATAAAAACTTTAATCCCCGCTTGGTGGGAAATATATAGACACATAAGAAAGAAGAGGGGAAAACGCCCTCCCCTTTTTTTTTTATATATATAAGTGTATTTAATCGTATAATAAAAAAAATAAATTTTGGACTCTTTTGACCACCACAGAAATTCACCAAAACTTATATATTTTTTGTGCGTCTGCTTGTGTGTGTGTGTGTGTGTATATATATATTTTGCTTTTATTTTATTGTTTTCTTTTACTCTTCTTACTATTCTTAACTTCTTTTCGTATTTGACATGTCTTTGATAACCAGAACTCTCTCGAGCCGTCTCAACAGATTCGCTCTGTACGAGTGCACAGCAGACCTGTCTCATCTCAGTCCTCATGAACACGTCGCGATCAAAAAACTTATTAAAGCAGGACAGCTAATCAACCAAGTCTATCTCCGTCAGGCCTGGTCCGGAAACGAGGCTCTCCAAAAGAAACTCGAGGACAATGGAAATCAAGAACTATGGACTCTATTTGAAATCTACAAAGGACCTTGGGTAAATGTTTTAATTTATTTTATTATAAAAGAAGAAAAGAAAAAAAAAAGATACTCATTGAATATTATCAAAGGCTTGTGAAGACGATGATACACCTTTTATTGAAGGCGTACCCAAGAGACCCGAGGGTGCCAATTTCTATCCAGAAGACATGACCAAAGCAGAGTTTGAGTCCTGGATAAACACACTGTCCGAAACAGAAAAGGCTCAGGCCAAGAGCTTCTACACCGTAGTCAAAAGACAAGGCTCTACTCTCAAGAGCGTGCCATATAGTGAGGAATACGCTGATCTTCTGGGCCCTGCAGCAGCTTACATGCGTGAGGCTGCTGATGAATTGAGTTTGGTACAGCACGCCGAGGAACCCGGGACACGCTTGGAGGATTTCTTGCGCTCGCGTGCGGATGCCTTTGTCTCAAATGACTATCTCCAATCCGAGTTAGATTGGCTGCGTCTGGGAAAAACCAACAGGCTCGAGGTGACAGCCGGACCTTATGAGGTCTATTCGGACTCTCTCTTCAGCTACAAGAGTGCATTCGAGTTCTATGTCCATGTGCGCGATGAGGCTTCTTCGGTTCTGTTGGAGAAATTCTCGGATCTTCAATTCGTTGAGGATCGCCTGCCTGTACCTCCACAGTATCGCAACACTGAGTTGATAGCTGCTCCTATTGTTGTTGTAAACCAGTTATTTGGTGGTGGTGATGTGGCCGTAAGTATATATCTTTTTTTTAAAAAGTATCTCTCTCTGTGTATATATGTGTATACGTTGAATTTAAATCTGTTTTTTTTGTTGCTGTGGGTATTATTCTAGGTGCCAATGACAGCAGCATATAACTTACCTAACGACGAAGTGGCTATCAAGAAGGGCGGAAGCAAACTTGTATTGATTAAGAATGTTCAAGAAGGAAAATTTGTCAATGTACTTTTGCCAATTGCCAGTCAAGCTCTTGCCCACGACCAAATGGAGTATCTTACTAGCGATGCCTTTACTACCCACATCTTACTTCATGAAGTGTGCCATTCTAATGGACCCCATCACACACTTTCTGGTGCTACTGTCCGCTCACAGCTGCAGGAATTCTATTCTGCAATCGAAGAAGCCAAGGCTGGTAAGTGCAGTGAACCAATTCATAAGATCAAACAAACCACTAGACAGGCGGATTAAAATTAACTCATGTTCAAACAACAGATATCGCTGGTCTATTCGCCGCTGCTTTACTGGTAAACCATGGTACAATTGACAATGTAACTTGTCAACAATTCTGGGTTACCTTTTTGGCGTCAGCTTTCCGTAGCATTAGATTTGGTATTCAGGAAGCACATGGATTAGGACAGGTAATAATAATAATAATAATATGTATACGATAAAAAACCAAGGATTTTCTTCTTGTATACTAACTATAATAACAATATTATTATTGGTATTTATTAGGCTTGTCAATTCAACTATCTTTATGAAAAGGGTGGTTTCACCTGTGATGAGAGCACTGGCCGTTTCCGTGTTGATTTTGACAAAATCGAACAAGCAGTATCCGATCTGACGCGCGACATTCTTATTCTCCAGGGAGACGGTAACAAACACATTGTGGCTTCATTTGTCAAGAGATATGGTGTGATTGATCCCAATACAAAGCTGATCCTGGATCGTATTGAGCAAGCCGGTAAGAAAGACTATAAAACTGCATATCACAGCATAGCATAGCATAGCATAGCATAGCATAGAATAGTATAGTATAAAGGAAGGAAGGAAGAAAGGAAGGAAGGAAGGGAATTTCTTTCTTTCTTTAAAAATAAATAAATAGCAAGTAGAATGGTTTCTCACATAATCGAACTTAGGTATTCCTGTGGATGTACGACCATTTTACCCTGCTGAAGAGTATTAGGATTATATGATAGTCTTGTTAAATATTTTTAACTATAAAAATAATATCGACAGTAGGAAAAGAAGAGAAGAAGAATAAAGTAAATGATATAAAGACTTTATTTTATTTTTTGGTTTCTATCATATTTATTTTATTATTTTTATTATAATTATTTTGTGAATAAACACACACACACACATATATATATAAATACAAATACAAATACAAACGAATGCATTAATGCTAGATATCCATTTTCATTACACTCCACCAAATTCTACAAGCATAGAAGTCAGTGCACGTCTTGCTGCATCGTCATCTTCATCAGCTGCGTTTGTTGTTTCGAGCAAATCGTCTTCATCTTCATCTTCATCATCCTCATCATCTTCATCTTCACTAGAGTTGTCTTCAGCATCGTCCTCAGTATCATCTTCAGTATCATCTTCAATTGATCCTGTTTCTGATGGTGTTCGTTGAATGTCTTGCTGCTTATGCCGTTTACGTGATCTTTTCTTCAATACATTATCTGGGGTATTCAATGCTGATAATGCTAATAATGATAATGCTGATAATTGTTGTCGTGGAGGTGGTGATGATGATTGTGATTGTGATGGTGATGGTGATGCTGCTGATAATTGTTCTTGTTGTTGTGGTGGTGTATCGATGTTTACTTTGGAATTTGATACATATTCTTGTTCACAAATGGTAATAACATCTGGTTGCGCCCGAGGGTCACTGATTGAAGGTGTCCTTACAGAAACTGGCCTGCGCATCATTACGGAAGAAAGAGATTTGGGGATTTGATTGTCCATTTTATCCGTATTAAGTAATGGATTAAAATGGTCTTCGAATAGCGGTCCAATGCCTTTGATATCAGCCTCTTCGAACTCTGACATTCTTTTTAATAATACTTGAGCTTCCTTTAGGTTTGGTTTGGTTTGGTTTGGTTTGGTTTGTTTAAAATATGAACAGAAATAAAAAGAAAAGAAGAATGATTCCTGTTAGGATCGATAACCAAGTATGACGGTTATCTATATGTACAAACTCTATATGAATTGCTACTCTTCTTCTTCTTCTTCTTCTTCTCATGGTGATATATTACACACAAACAGGAATAGATAGATAGATAGATAGATAGAGATCATTTTTTTTCCTTTGTAAATATACCTTTATCTGGTCAAGTTTATTTTCCCAATTATCATACATATGCTGTAAATATCGTTGATCCGCAATGATTTCAGTGTGAAGTTTTCGAGACCTCTTTCTGGCATTCATTAATTAGATAATTGAAAAGAAAAACAAAAGCAACAACAATGAAGGAAGCAAAGTAATGATTTTTCAATCTTTCTTTGATTTGCTTGTCTTCCTTCTTCTTCTTCTTTGTCTTGGTATTATATATTACTTATGTTTTTGACTTACGCTTCTAATGGTATTGTAGAATGATAAACTGCACTGTCAAGTTTACGTCTTTCACGATTTTTCAAAGCGGGAGGTGTAAATAAGGGCAGTTTGGAATTATATCCAATGTTTCTTGTTGAATTTATGTGTGATCTATTGACATATTGTTTGGTGGCAAGTGGTTTTGGCAAAGAATCTGAAACAGTGATTGACGATGATTCTTGTTGATCGAGCGTTAATGTTGATGAATTGCTAGGCTTTGATGGTAATGCAAGTTGAGAAAATGTCTCATCATAAACTCGCTTTTGTGATGAGTTTGTTTGCATTGACAAATATATATATTTGTGTGTGTGTGTGTGTGTAAAGAGAGAGAGAGAAAGGTATGAAAGAAAAAAAAGGACTTACTATGGATGGACAAAATTTGTGACTTGTACGTTAAGCATGAAAAGAAAGTTGTGAAAAGAGAAGAGAGAAAGAAAAAGAGCAGAAAAAATAATAATAAAGCTGGTTTGTATCATGATCAAGAAGCATGCTCTATGTGTTTGTGTATTGTATATTCACGATATTATTGGCAATGCAGATATGTCTTATTTTGTCTGATTTTTCTCTTATTGGATATTTTCTATTGGTAGCAGTAGGATCAAGTTATGTATAATTCTACAGTGTACGTATGTATTATTTTGTATTGTATTGTGTGAGTGAGTGAGTGAGTGAGTCAGTGAGTGTGTGAGTGTGTGGGAGTAACTTCAGCTTAGACCAAAGTAATGCAAATAGTCTTAATTATAAACACCAAATTCTTTGATAATAATTTTGATGCAGGCCAATGTCGTTTGATATGCTCCACATAAAAGAAGTTCGTCTTTACATAGCCGCTCTTTCTTCTTAAAGAATACTTTCCTTATTTTCTTTTTTACTACCCCAAGCCCTGTCACCTTCGCCATTCCGAATGACTGACAAGAGAAACACACCCCAATCTACAAACGAGGTTCGCACAAAGAGTGATAGATAGCATAATTTGAGCGGGGATTGTACTTGATTGAGTTGAATAAACTGCTCAAGTCTCTTTTGTTTAATACATATAATATATATACACCTACGAAAACGCACATACACACACGAACACGAACACATATACGAACACATACAAAAACCCACACGGACACGCATACGCACATTTACATGTACCTGTCCTGTACCTGTCCTGTACCTGTACATGCGTACGCCTACGCCTACATATACATATATGCACAAACAAACAAACAAACATATACGCATACATATAAACAAACACGGACGCACACATACATAAATAACATACATATATTAATACATATACATATATATATGTGTGTGTGTGTAATATTTAGGACAATAGGCTACGTCGGCCACATTTGCTCAACGAGCGCTATGCGATTCTTAAAACCCTTGGCAAGGGAAATTTCGGCAAGGTTTATCTAGCCAATGATTCTCTCACCGGAGAAAACGTAGCCGTAAAGGTGATGAGTATGTCGGCTTTTAAGAACGACGACCAGCAGATACATGCCCACAGCGAACAGACTATATGCGATGCCTTTGTTACATCGCTCAACCATAAAAACATTGTCAGGGTTATAGAGGTCACAGCAGACGACAGCAATATGTGTGTTGTAATGGAGTATGTGTCAGGTGGAGAACTTTATGATGCTATTCGGAAGGTTCGCAAACTACAAGAACCCAAAGCTCAAAAGTGGTTCCGAGAGTTGGTAGAGGCAGTGGGCTATATACATAAGGTAAATTAAGTATATAGTTATATAACCACACATAATTATTTCTGTATTTGTATTTGTATTTGTATTTGTACTGCACTGTGCTGTACTGCACTGTGCTATATTGTGCTATACTGTGCTATACTGTGCTATACTGTGCCGCATTGTACTATACTTGGATTTGAATTAATAAATATATCTTTTTAGAACAAGATCGTCCATCGCGACCTGAAGCCTGAGAATGGTAAAAATTAGAATGTGTTTTTATTTTATTTTTTTTCTTATTCTTGTTCTTCTTGTTCTTGTTTGCCTTCTTTATACTCGCGTGCTTCTGCTTCTGCTTCTGTTTGTGGGTGTGGGTGTGGGTGTGGGTGTTGGTGTAGGCGAGTGAGTGAGGGAGTAGAGGAAAAGTTTATGATTTGTATTTAACTTCTAAAATGTTTCATCCATTTTCTTATACATATATATACGTGTTTGTAGTTTTGATTGACCAACATGGCCACATCAGATTATGTGATTTTGGATTTGGAAGAAAACTCGACGATGAAGAAGGCTTACTCAAGACATATTGCGGGAGTCCTTACTACGCAGCTCCAGAGATGGTGACCGCAACACCACACAAAGGGCCTCCTGTCGACATGTGGAGTTGTGGCGTGATTTTGTATGCTATGCTTACCGGAAAACTTCCCTTCCAAAGCGAAACCATGCCCCAGCTATTTAAAAAAATCAGTTTGGCCAGCTACACACCTCCGCGAGATGTATCTAATCAAGCTAGTAATCTAATAAGCCGGCTGCTGTGCAAGAACCCCAATGACCGACTGACGGCCCACCAATGTTTGTCTCATCCGTGGCTCACTCCTGTTGAGCGTCCTCTCACAAGACACCTGTCGTTTGCTTCGACAATCATGAGTGTGCCAGTTTCTTGTATGAGACGACCTTCGACAACGGCAAGTATAACCAATAGTGTCGTACGAAAGGCAGTACCTCTTACTCTGTCGGCCATCAGAATAAAGAAATCGATGATTCAACCACTTGTTCTTGGCAATGTACGTAAATCAAACCTATCAAGCCAACAAGGATCAATCTCGCCTTTGGTCTATCGACAGTCAAGACATTGCGATGCTACTCTATCCAGACAGTCCGAAACAAGCTCCCATGCGGCCTATGCATCAGAGACAACGCCTATCATGCGATCAGACACCAGTACTAATTACTCGAATCAAACAACACGGCTATTTGACACCTTCCAAAGTAGGCCACGATTCCCAGTAGTATCCCAACTTAACGGGTCTCAGGATAGTCCCAGCCAGTCCACACCCCGCAAGCTTATTTCGTTCAAGTGTTTGCATTGCCAGTCAGGAACATGTCAATCGGATTCTTGTAGAGAGTACACTGCTACTGCTTCCGCTACTACTGCTACTACTGCTACTGCTACTACTGCTACTGGTGCTGGTACTGGTACTGGTGCTACTGCTGGTGCTGCTACTAATCCTCCGCTATCTCAACCTAATTACGAACAGACACAGAGACACAAGACTACCAAGCACAAGACTACCCAACACCAGTCCGTAGCTTGCCAGACTACTCCTAGTTGCAGAAAAAATACCGAAGCACGTTTGTTCAAAAAGTCAAAATCCAAACCCAAGGCCCATTCTCATTCCCACACACACACACATACTCAACCCCAGCTCCAGATCCAAATCCAGCCTCAGACCAAGTCCCAGTCCCAGTCCCAGACACATACCCAATCTCAAGCACAAGCTCAAGCTCAAGCTCAAGCTCAAGCAAAGGCACAAACGCAGGCTCAGTCGAATCGTGTATATGAATCTGTGGAAGAGTGTGGGCACCCGTCATGTGAATTTGAATTGTTTGAACCGGTATGCTTTGAGACTTCTCCGTGTACCTTTATTCCGTGTACTCATTTGTCTTGTAAGCCTCTTGAGAAACCGTCGTCTGTTATTCTACAGGCACCTAATGGTTCCAAGGTAGCCAGGTTCTACCACTCGGTATTTAAGCGAAAGGGTATCAAGGTGTCACCCAGAAAGGCGTCCCGGACCGAATCGATGCCACAAAGACGAAAACATACGGGTACAGACACGCTGTTTGTTGAAACAAAGACTGTTTCGCGCATCAAAGGTTTTTTCCAAAATGCATTTCAAAAACGTATTTCTCGAACAGCGCCGTGTTTGTGTGCAAAATAAAGCAACAAGTTATAATGATAGCATTACAAGTAATAAAAGTAATTTAAAAAAAAAAGGGTAGATTCAAAATTTATTACCAAACAAAATATATTCTATATAATTTGTACCTTTTTTTTTGTGGTTTTTTTTAAAAAAAAAAATAACACTAATAATCAAGATACAAATAATATTAAAATAATAATAATACAGGGAAGCAAGATGAAAGCATCTCATTTGTTTTTTTTTCAAGCTGTATATCTTTGTGTGTTATATAAACCTTGGATAATTTGGTAACATTTATTGTAAAGTATTACAAGAAATTGAAGCTTCATAAACTCTGTCCGAAAGATCTATGGGAGTTTCTTCTCCTCTTTTCTTTAATCTACAATGCTGTGAGTGCAAAGTGACTACAGCATCAATAGCAATAAAAATAAAATAAAAGTAAGAACATTAGGTTTCCAAAATATTAGCTTCTAACCACATGCTGGCTACCGTCTGTGGTATTGTTTCTCAAAAGACAAGAAAAAGGAAATGATAAATATAAGTCAGAAATAATGATTGCTTATTGTGTGATTTGCCTTTTTGAAAGAAATACCAAGGGATATAATTATACCTTTCAAGGCCAACTCGTTCTTCCACCCCTTCTTATTTCTATCCTCTGATGCGTTTGCTAGCTTATGTTATTCAGCACGTGTAGTGGATACTTAAATGACCTCTCTCAAGGGACGCACTACACACACACACATATGTGAGTATGTATATATAATAAACTGTACTAATTAGCAAGTGACAGATATCAAATCTACATATTCTTTGTATTCTACCATTTACTGCTATTGTTACCTTTACTACTTCTACTTTCACAGTTACTTGGTATCTCTCCTTACTCTTATATATATATGTATTATTGCTATATCGAAATATTTAAAAATAAAATAAAAACGTTCTTTTTTTTCTGTACAATCCAAATCATGTACTCTTGTTATTTTTTATGGTATCACGCAGCTACATCAAGTAAAAAGAATTATGCTTTTCTTTTAATCCATGCGGATAAATAAATAGAAACAAAAGAGAACAATTCCAAACCTTACAAAATCCACTCTATATTACCATGTATAAAATCTCCTAAACCTTCTTATCAATTGAACTCTTTTATATTCATACGTACATAACTTCAAAGGAAACTTCATTATCTGTAATTTGATTATTATGATTGGTTGATTTTCTCTAGCATAAAGAGTATAAACATCTTGCTTTCTATTGGCTTTTACTTTTGGTTATTCTTGCGATATAAAGTGTCTCAATTTATTATTATTTTGGTTTATATATATACATTTCTTTTTCTTTTTTGCCCTAATTTTCACACATTAATGTATATCTTGTATTATAAAATTCCAAATGCTGTGCAAACAAACCATTATAGAAAGAAAAATAAGACGTAAATGAAGCTAGAGAAGAATATACAAATGAATAAAATGCAGTGTGCAAAGAAGGGTATATGACACACAGACATTTGTACACAAAAACAACTCTCAAGAATTGGAGGGAAATGATCTTCAAATAGATTTTGTCTTTCTTTCTTTCTTTCTTTTTTTCTATCTATATATCATGGCTTTATTTTATTAATTTATTTATTAAAATAATTAAATAATTATTTATTTGTTTATTTATTTATTTAATTAATTAATTAATTAATTAATTATTTTTTCTACTATTACGAATGTCAATGAGACCTTTCTTACAACGCTCTACACAAGCTGTGCGTTCTGTTCATACCTCGGGGACAAAGGCAGTCTATGGCTGGGGACATACACATGCTCTTCCATTAAAGTTTGATGAGGAACGCGATGATGCATACACTACTCCCACAAGATTAGACACCCTATCCGATTATGCCATTGACAATGTAAGCAATTTAATTTTAAATACTAGTATAAATGTATACACTTTTATATATATATATATAATTTATTTATTTTTTTGAGCATTTAGTCCGAGGCAGTTAGTCACATTGCGGCTGGTTGGGCTCACTCACTTATTGGAACACAATCTCAAGTCTATGGCTTTGGTTTGAATCGTAGTGGACAGTTGGGTAAGAAAGAAGAAGAATCTCGGATTGTATGATATAATTGTTCTTATTGCTGTGTATCATTGTCTTTCTGGTTTTATTTTAAAAAATAAAATAAAAACAAAACAAAAAAAAAGGTCATGGTCCAGATACTTTGGTGACCATGTCCCTGGGTAAAGCAAACCTCAAACAATTGGCTTGTGGTCGTGAGCATTCCCATATTGTGACTGAGGAACAGAATTCGACCTCTCTTTACTCTTTTGGAAACTCAATGTATGGTCAATTGGGTATTGGAAAGAGCAAATATACCAGACCTGGCACTCTTTCCTTGGAGGAATTTCCTGTCAAAGTCGAGGGATATCAAGGTGCTGTTACAGACATTGCATGTGGTTTGGATCATACTATATTCTCTACTGGTAAGATTATCGTAAAGGTGATTAGAATTGGGATAAATTATATATATATATATATATATATATATATGTGTGTGTGTGTGTGTGTGTGTGTGTGGAAGAGATATATTCATTTGATAGAGAGAAAACTAATGCAGGTGTGAATATATACAAATAACTTGTAGATCACAACTCGTTGTATGCTATGGGATGGGGATCTGATGGTCAATTGGGTCTGGCACCTACATTTACTGGAGACAAGGATGTCCCCTCTCTGCTTCCAAGGTTGGGAGACTCCAAAATCAAACTTTTGAGTGGATCAACGGACTTTACGTTAATGCTTACAGGTAAAAGGAAGAAAGGAAAGAAAGGAAGATAAATGGGATTAGCGATAAATTTTCTTTAAGATTCGGTGTGTGTGTGTGTGCTTTTTTTTTCTTTAAAATAATAATAATTAATATTAATGATAATGATAATGATTATTATAATCATATTAATACTTGTATTATGTAGAGGACAATGTTCTGTGGACATGGGGAAACTCAGAGTACGGGCAGGGAATGCAAGGCAAAAAGATTGACCGAGTAAGTTTTTTTTTTTTATAAAAAAAAATGGAATAGATACTGGTATACATATATACTAGATGCTCATCTAAAACTTCTATATGTATTTATATATTCACCTCTAAAGATCACTGAGCCTATCAAGGTACCTGTCAAGGGTGTAAAGGATATTGCTGCGGGTGGGCCATTCTCGGTTATATTGACAGGTAAAAGGTGTACAGCCCTGGTACGTGAGAATTTGTTCAATTGACCTTTGTTTGTGTGAAAAGAGGATGGGCGTGTACACAGCTGTGGTTATGGTGCATTAGGACATGGTAAAGGCACAATTGAATCTTTGGTATTGCGTGAAATTGAGGGCTTGAAAGACGTGGAGCGTGTTTTTGCCACTACAGATTATGCTGCAGCTATTACAGGTACGTTGGCTATACATCTACATCTAAATATACATCTGTATATTATTTACGGATCGATTGATTGATCGTGTGTTTATATTGTAGCTTCTGGAGAACTATTTACTTGGGGACTTAATGGACCTAGTGGTCGGCTGGGATTGGATTCTGTCGACCATGCATTTGTACCAAAGCGTGTTGATATCGACAGACCAGTGACAGAACTTGCATTGGGTACAAATCATGTATTGGCTTTGTGCGATTGAACCAATGACAATGATCTGGCTTTAAGCAATTGTCTTTATTTGAATTACAATAAAAGAATAGATAGAAATATAGAAATATAGATAAATAGATCAAGAGTGTGTATACACAGCTGTACAATTAATAAATAACAATAAATGAAACAAAGGTATTGGTTACGTGTTTACTGAATGTACGGAAGTTTTGAAACTCTAGTATGAATGTATCATTTCCCTTTATTTGCTCTAATGTTATTATCCTTGCTTTCTTGATACACTTTTAATATCTCGATAAACCTCCTTTATTTATTTATTTATTTATTTTACTTCTTCTCATTTGCTTTTCTTCTTCTGCCTCTTTTTCTCCCTTGTTATGACGAGCATTTGTTTTTTGGGTTTCTTGGGCGGTTAGAGACAATAGTTGGTTTGCAAGGTTTGTGTATTATATACACACTTTTTTTTTATACAAAAAAAAAGTTTCTTTCTTTCTTTATTTTGTTGTTGTACACTAGGTGCATACACCACGGGGTGTCTTTAGAAACAAATGACTACAAAAGTAAGCTAGGGGAACAAGGAGAACGAGAGAATAGAAGAGGGGTTAAGAAAGTTAATTAGCCAAGCGTTATGGTATAATGGCCTTTATTTTCTCGAATAATATCTCCTGTGAGAAGAAGAAGGAAATGGAGGAGTAAGAGGGGCTGGTAATCTAATCTACGATGATGAGTATTGTTGTGCTGAAGCGCGCGGGCTAAATAACTTAAGCTGTACTATACCCAGCCATTGTATAAAGATCTGGTGACAATACATGCGTGTAAGATAGACAGAGAGAGAAAAGGAACATAGATACACCTTACTATAAAACATATAGTATTCTTTTGCTTTTCAGAAAACAGATGAGCACTAGAAATGATGTCCAATTGATCTCTACAAGATTTAAGGATGATGAAGATCAATAAATGAACTGGTTATGAGTAGGAAATAAGAAAACAAAAAAAAACAAGATCTTAAAAGTGCTTTGAAGACAATACTACAAAATTATTTGACCTGCACAAAAAATAACGCGCCTTTTCATATTGATCAACATTTTTAGACTTGTTTTGCTACCTTATTCGTAAAAGCCTTTCTTTTGCCTTCTTCTTTTATTTCCAAGACACAGAGAGAAAGAGATTTTGAATAGATTAAATTTAGATCTAAATTCCTTAGTGTTTTCGCTGGAAAAACATGTATGGTAAGAAATCATTGCACAGTTAACAATAACTAGAGGCATTTCTATAAATACACAGTATGCACAACGGCGCCTCATGTATTATTCCCACATCAATTACTCAATTGATCGATAAATAATAGATCAATCTGATCAAATATGTTCAGCCTAATATTATTACTACTACAGAAAATTAACATTCATAATCTTCTTGTGTTTCAATAATACCTAGCAATCTTTTATTTGTCAATTGATAATGAACAATTCCATTTAACGTGGAGAGAATGATATAGGAGCATTGTGTTATTATTATTGGTAGTATTAGTAGTATTAGTATGAGTATCCAGAAATGCATACACTTGTATACTTCCTCTTTAAATATTTTCTCCGAATATATATCTATATATATAAAAAAGTACTTGATTACTATCTTTGAAGAGAGAAGAAGTATGATTTCCATAAAATTCCTGTTTTTGGCATTGGTTTTCTGGTCGGAAATACCTTGAAGCAAATGATATGCATACTGTTGTGAATGATCAATGAGTCTATTGACTTTTGTTTTCTTTGTGTTTTATGTTATATTTTTGTAGTGGCTCAAGTTAGAGACGCGGCAGAATCAAAGCTCCGAAGTCTTGTACTGAATAAAATAAAACGTTTCTTCTAGAGTGTTACAGAGTACAGTACAGTACAGTACAGTACAGTACAGTACAGTACAGTACATTACATTACATGATTGTTTGTGTAAAGAATTCTAAATATTAAGCGGGCTGATGCGTAAGTAAAGGTCTAGAAGACAAAGACTATGGGTTCATGAGATACTAGAGATAATGCACAATTGAAAGAGAGAAAAAAATACTAGAATAAATAAATACATATTAATTTGACTGACTGACTGACTGACTAGCTGATTAAATACTATAGTAAAGCTATCACACGTTGAAGGTAGGTAACTTTTCTTCCTCTTCTTCTCTTTCCCCTTCCTGCTCTTAATGTCGATATTGACATTGATATTGATTATTCAAAATATACCAATGACATCCTTGGTTATCACTTGTGTTATTTTGGATAACAAAATCCAGTTTTGAAAAGAATGAAATGTAAGTCAGGAATAAGTTTGTACTTGAGAGGGACCTTTGTGATTGCCTGGACGATCAATGTCTTTGGTTGTTGATATCACCAAAGCACATTAAGATTTCGATATCAAGTGTACAAATCTCTATATCTATATACACACATATATATATATATATATATCAAAAAAGAATTATTTTTAGAATGAAATGTAGAGAAGAATATCCAGCACAAGACTGATTGACAGACAGACCAGTAGATTCAGTTAAAGATCTTTATTTGAATTAATAAAAAGACAGTGACAAAACTGTATATACAAAGAAGAAAGCAAACTAGAGCTTGTAAATGTGTGCTACTGGTAAATCAACTTGTACAACTGGGGTATCATCTATTTATTTTATTCTATTCATTATTATTATTTTGAATACCTCCTGATAGACTGTGATTATCAGACAGGATTTCTTTATTGATGTTATTAGTTTTTGAGACATAATTTAACAAGGTTAATGAATCTGGTTCTTTGAAGATCAAAGAAGAAGAAGAAGAAAAAAAAAGTAACTGCTTGAAATAATAAATTATATACAAACTCACACCAATACTTTTACTAGTACCTTTTTTTTCCCTTATTTTCTTGATGTATATTCAGTATCCTTCTTTTGCCTTCTGATCTTTGTCCACATTTGTGTCTATATATATATATAAGAAATAAGCCAAGAAAATCATTTGGTAAAGATAGAATATTAATAGTGGAAATCCTCCTAATAATAATAATATATAATCAAGATGATCTACAGTTCTATATAACCTAATAACTTGACTTGATATATGTGTGTCTTGTATTGGACTGTAAAAAAAAAAAAAAGTTAATGTCGGACATTTAAATATGGGCAATCTATATCTAAAATATATAGGAGTATCTAATATATAATCCAATGATATACATCTAAACAAGCGGTATCTAAATAATTATCTTGAATATTTGAAACGATTGGTGGTTAAATATAAATAAATATACATATGGCTAAAGAATCAGTGAGGAATCTTAGTATTCCACGTCTACTTCATTAGATAATTTGATACAAGTTTGCTTTTTTTTTATGAATAAAAATAAAAGAAGAAGCTGAATATTTAATGTGCTTTAGGCTCAGAATAAGTAAATTTGGGTATTACCTGTCAAAACACACACACATACATACACAAAGATCCTTGGTCATTGAGAGGAAAATACAATGATAGGAATTTATTGAGAAGGGCAATAGAAATCTAATGATTCAAAATATTATTTTTATTATTGGACTATAAAGACTATCAGAAAATAAATGGGCGCCTTGTTTGTTATTGGGCGTTAGAAAGATACAGGTACAAATACAAATACAAACAGAAACACAAATAAAAACAAACAAAATGGAAATACACCTAGCACTTATTCATTCTTTCAATCATTACCTTGTCAAAATCTAGAAATAATGACATTTAACAACAATAGCAATAACAGATATTGAAAGATCCATACTATAAACCCTCTTCTTTTTACTATACTTTTATTTATATATATATATATATACTAGTCTTGTTCTTGTCTCTACTAATACTACTATATATTGTGAGAGGAAATGGTACATAGTAGTAGCAAGTAATAAAGAGATTATTAAAAAGTTACTCAATTTTAGCTCACAGCCAAGGGATGCATTCTATTTGCATATTTTTCTTTTTTGCACCCTTTGCTTGTACTACAGCGTCTAATTCAACCAACCTCTCATATCTTTTTATTTTTCTTCTCTTTCTAGGTCTATGTATTCATTGATACCTTTTCGGTCCACATGGTATTCCCCCGCCTTGCGAAAAAAAAATTATGACTTTGTTGCACCCTGACGTCTTTTTTATTATTATTATTATTATTATTATTATTATTATTATTCAATTAAAATAATAATAACAATGATAGTGATAATAACAGTGATATATTTTACCCGTTGTATATATATATATATATATATGTAATCTATTCATACACGCAGAAAGCAAGAAAGAAAGATATAGAAAAGTATCTTGATAATATTCAATTAAATTAAATAAATCATTTTAGCCTGGAATGTCCTTGGCTTCAGAATAAAGATTGCTTTAGAAGTGCAATGTTTTAGTAAATTGTGCCTTGTCCAAAGATCTGTGTAACAAAATGCCATTTATTTATTTATTTATTTATTATATAGGTGTCTAAATATACATTATGCGAATTCGTAATACTGACATGGAGGACAGAGGACAAGATACAAAAAGGTATCATACGGATAAAAGAGACCAAGAAATGTGTATTATCATTACAGGTAGACAGGCAGGTAGACAGACAGGTAATTATATGAACAAAATAAGAATGTCTTTCAAGGGTTTGTGTGAGAATGTAACCAAGAATCGGATATACATCTATTTTGCTGGTAGTTTGTTAATACATATTTTAGGTACAGAATAAAAACGACCCAGAAAAGGAAAGTGTACAGTCAACCAAAAAAATATATAAAAAAAAAAGTTTTGGGAAAAATTGAGTTGGATTGTATTTAGTTGAGTTGAGCTCTCCTTGAAGTTAATGAGTTTATATATATATGTTTTCGGTCCGTGCAGTTCTTTGTACACAAGCCAACCACATTGCATGTTGACCACAAAAGCATGGTGATGCTCACACCATACAAAAAAGTGTACTTTGATTTACTTGCTTTTATTTTTATGTGGGTGTGTGGGTTTTACTATAAAAAGCAACCAAATCTAAATAAAAAGAAAGACGCAGAGAAAGAATTGTTGTGCTTTTATAATTCGTACTCTTTTATTATCATTATCATTATCCATATTATCAACTAATAACTCTTTATTATAAATTATAATTAAAATTATAATAACACCATTCACTCTCCTATATTTCTTTCTTTACTTTCTTTCTTTCTTTTGCTCCTCTCTCTCTCTCTATATTGCTCTCACTATTGATCTATTTTCACACTCTCACTATCACTCACTCATTCATTCATTCATTTATACGCATATAAGCACACTCACTTTGATAGCTTTATCTTTTGCTTTCAACTCTATTTATTTATATATCCATATATTCCTTCTGCTTTTATTCTCATACACTTTTTTACCTTACATATGCCCAACATAACCAGAAGAAACCGAAAGAAGAGCGGTAAATAAACCAAAATATACACAGACAGATTTTATTATTATTATTATACTTAGTATATTTCCTGATCCAAAACACAAAACTAAAAAAAAAAAATTCAATGCGTATTTCATAGCCCATTTCCAAATCAATTCATCTGGATCAATGATTACATCGAATATCCAATCATGTCGCTATGATTCCTCACTTGGTCTGTTGACAAAAAAGTTTGTCAGTCTCTTACAGTCTAGCACCCACGGGGATCTCGATTTGAACAGTGCAGCTGCTGAACTCAACGTACAAAAGAGACGGATCTACGACATAACCAATGTACTTGAAGGCATATGTTTGATCGAAAAGAATTCAAAGAACCATGTGCGCTGGACGTAAGTATATCTTTTCTGTCTTCTTCTCTTATAGAGCTTTACTGACATCGACCCATTATTCTTATTTACAGTGGAAGTACACCTTCCTTGAATAGCAGTAGCAACAACAGTCAGAAGAATAATTATCAACATCATCTTAACCACGACTACAACGACAATAATGATAATAATCGTCGGTTGGATCAAATAGATGAAGATACTACAGAGCTATACAGACTAGAGCAGCGGTTACTGACCCTAAAGAGCAACAATAATTCCCTGTTGAATGAGCAAAACCACCTGGCTCAGTTGACTCTAGAAGTAAACGGAAGGATTGAACGAGAGTGTTCTTACCACAGAGACTACTGTTTCCTCACATCTGAGGATCAGGCTCGTCTTGAAAAGCAACCCATGTCCCAAACAGACACACTTTTGGCGGTTCATGAACCCTATGACGCCCTGATACCCTGTTTGGACAATATTGCGCCCCATACATATAATCATCACAACCACAATCACAATCACAATCATCACCATAACAACAGCCATAGCAACACCAATCATAATAATCATAATAATTCTCGATCTTCATTTGACCGCCATAGACGCCAAACATCACATATTTATCCCAACCACCCATATCTACCCTCCACAATTGAAAACAAGGTAAGAATATTTATATGCTTATTTTAAGTAGTAATGGCAACGAATATTAATATTTTGGTTGTGTATTTTAGCACACAGTACGGTGTGTAGTTAGAGTGCCTGATCACTCTGACCAGTCGCTCTTTGGTCGTCTATCAGATGGCCATAGAAATCAATCTCTCTCTCGAGCAAGTTCTTTTTATGCCTCTTGATATATACATAGCATATAAGAAAGAAACCAAGGAGATAGAGAGAATCAGAGCCGATTGCTATACCTTTCTTCTACATCACTTTTTAGTATCTTATTCTTGCACATACCTTTTCTTTTATTATACTACAGACTGTAGCAAACCGACTCAGTTCTTATTCTTCTTCTTCTTCTTTTATACAAGCTATACATGCCCTTGTTCTTGCTTTTCTTGCTTTTCTTGTTTTTGTTCTTTCTTTTTTTGTATGCTTTGACTTTCTTGCCTTTCGTTTTCTTTCTTTCTTACTTACTTACTTATTTACTTACTTACTTGTGTTATCCTCCTGGTGAGTGATGTGAGATTTTCTTTCTTGTCTTAAAAAAATGCGGCCACCAAACCTCACAGAATAATAATATTAATGATAATGATAATGATAATGACAATAATAATAATAACAGTAATAATTAAATTATTTATTCTTTTTTTTATATATAAAAATTTGCTTTGTTTTAAATTGCCCTTTTCTTTATTATTATTTTTTCTATAATAAATATAGAGAATAAAAATACTTGTCATGGGTCTGAAATCTAATAAGAAAATAAGCACAGGAAATGACTGTCTTTATACAACCAGAGCCATAGATGAAGAGGTCAATATTCTATACAGTTGCCCTGGAGATCCTTATGTTTGGATATTTTATTAGTGTTATTAATTCTTAGTGTTCTTTTTTCTTTTTAATTTACTACCTAAATAAATAAATAAATTTTATATATAATAATTATATATAATTATATCTAGATGTCTCACCAAATTGTATGTACGTCTTAATTTTATTTTATAATCCGAGAATTCAGAATGCAAATATGATTTTAACTATAAATATATCTATACATATATTTTGACCGCGCGAAAAAGGAGCAGTACGCGTGTTGCTTAAAGGAGCTTGAATCGCACAAGGTGTATATATATAAGAATAAGAAAGAAGTCTCCCTTGTAGATCTTTGAGTGGTATTTATCATTGATACTAAGCTACAGGAGATAAAGAAAAAAGAATATGACAAGTTTATGTATAATTTATAATATAAACATACTCCTTTATCTGCTGCTTTATAAATCTTTATTTTATTCTCATTCGGCTTATTGACAAAGCTTTATCTTGGTTTTCTTTGTGTGTTGCCTACAGGCAAAAATAAATAAACAGAAATTATATATATATATATATATATTGTTGTTAAGGCGGGCATATTATAAACCACTAGACAACAGAGTCTGTTAAACTTCATCCTTCTGTCCCTTACAATTTCTTCCCCTCAATTTTTTTTTTCGAGTTTTTAGTTTTCTTAGCAAAAAAATATATATACTTAAAAATTACTGTTCTCTTTATCTGTATGTCTGTCAATTGATTTTTGTTCCTTAAAACGCCCACAATATTTTTATTATTCTTTGTATATATATATATTTAATATGCTTTTGAGTACAGTAGATCAGTAATGGAAATCACTTTTTTTTTTTTGCTAAACTCAAATCTTATATCCCTCCATTTACACACATATAAAATCAATGGTCTGGTTGAACCTATTAAATTCATTTGATAATATGATTGAATGGGCTGTTAATATGTATGTATATATATCTTAATTAATCAACCAATCAATATATACATTTCAACAACAACAACAAAGATATATAGGACAAACCCTGTCATATATCTATGTATCTTTTGTATCCCGAAAAAAAAAAGAAAGAGGAGATCGTATGAATAGTGTAACAACGCTTATCTTTAAGCTTTTTCTTTTCTTTTCTTATACAGTCAAACTTTTGGAAATTGGCAAGTCAAAAAATAAATGCCTGCTTTTGGAAATTTTTTGTCTCGAGTTTAGAGCATTTTTGGCAATTTGTCTAAAAAAAAACAAAATGGCACAACTTTCCAATCAAAAATTAGCTCGATTGACTTGGAACTATTACAAAAGCCATACAGGTCACTGGTAAGGACATTGTCACAGCCGTCCCGAACTCTACTTTATAAATTGCACTCTGACTGGATGAATATCGTGCTTAGCGAACTTGGATGGCTTTTTATTCTTAATTCATCTTACTGACGGTGATTTATCGGTACAAGCAATTATTCGTTTCAAAAAACGGATCGCTCTTATATCGATTCAGTAAAGAAGTACAAACCTTTAAGCGACCTGATTTGCGACTGCCATCCAGCGTATGGGGAGGTACCCATCGATCTAGATTCTTGACCTTCCCTATCATTTCAGTATGCCTGTAATTGTTCTGTGTGCGTTTGCAGCGTTTCCGTCATATTTGAATTCATGTAACAAAATAATAATAAAGTAAATCAATAGATAAACTGAGTAATTAAAACGCTTTGAACTGATGTATTAATATAAATATTCAATTAATATCGACTGAATAAACCAGGATTAAAAGACAAAAGCGTGAAATTTTTTATATAGGACAACCCAATATTAACAGCAAAGAAGCAAACATTCGTATTTATCAAACCAGTATTTGGCCTGCTATTGATAAGCTGTGAAATAAATAAATATTTACTCTTACCATAAATGCTGGTTAGGACAATACGTTGTTTTGACACGGGTGTTGTGTGTTCTCCAGATTCGCCCACCCTGATTTAATTTTCTTCTTTCTCTATCCCCTTATTTTACAGCTATTATTTTTCATGTAACCACTCTTGCATAATATCACATCTTACCTCTTTTTTTTTCCTATTTATATTCTCCTTTTGGCACTTTTGTCCTTCTTAGGTGCTCACAGAGTGAACGTCCTTGGGAGTTTATAGAATGCTACGTCTTGATAAAGGTTCCATTTAAGATTATATACTACATGCTTTCTCTTGATAATAAAAGCAAAATAAAGGTAATTTTTTTTTATTATGTATTAAAGGAGATATAGAATTCTGCTGAGTATAGGATTTATTGATATTGTCTAATTATAGGATCATCAATGTCTATATTTGTATATTTGTGCTATTTCCTTGTTAGTTGCTATAGCGTCCTATCATTCCTAGGATGTTCACTCCGTGAGTACCTTGTACTTCTTTATATATATATATATATTTGTGTGTTATCTACAAAAAAGTGTTCTTGGTTTGATTGGCGCAGATCATTTTATACTTATTTATATTTAACATATATCAAATTATCAAATGGATAATATAATTAGATAATTAAATATATTTTGAGTGTACACACCAATCTTAAGTAGTGGCACTTCTTAATACTCCTGCTATTACTATATCGAAATTTGTTAGAAACAACAACAACAGAAACAACAACGACAATGACGATAAAAAAAAAAGATAATAATTATAATTGAATTCAATTAAGCTTTCTCCACCTTTAATTTCTTCCATCTTGTTCTCCGTTCTTGGCGTGTATCCAGATTAGAATTCTTTGTGGATTTGGTAACAGGTTCGGGAATTACCAATAAAACAAGGCACCCAAACAGCAAATAAATAAATACATACATACATACAAAAACAAAACAAATTGGATTACTAGATAGATTAACTAAACACGGCTTATATACATTTATCCTTTTTTTTTAAGGGAAAATATGTTCTTCCTTTCCAATTATCTCTCTCTCTCTGTGTGTGTAATGATGATAGTATTGAAGATTCTACAAAAAGGAAAATAGGGGACAAGAAAATTGAAATAAAAACAAATATTTATTTATTTATTTATTTATTTATTTATTTATTATACTACCAGATAGGTTTAATTAGTTTACAAAACTTGCCCAGTGTAGTTCTAGTAAATCTATAGTCAAATACACATTGATATGTGTATGATACATCATATATCATATGTCTCATTCAAGAAATCAAGATTGTGGTTCATATCTCTTGATAATCATAGCCAGACTTGGTCTTTATTTGATATAGAAAATAGACACAATGTTTGTTATTTCTATGGTTACGAAGAAAAAGGAGATGTTAAAGGAGTCAACAGTAACGGTACGGATGATAAAGCTATTCATTACTACCATTATCAAAAGAATCGATACACAAATGCATAGATGTATCTATCTATATACCAATTCTTTTGATAATGTTCATCTCTGTTTGGCTATATAAAACTAAAAACTACTTGGTTCAATTTTTTTTTGTTTTCATTAATACTTCTTTAAAGAAGTTCAGATTAGCTGATCAATTTGGCTAACTTGAAAGACAAAAAAAAAAGAAGAAAGGGTTAATAATACGTGCCTAATCTCTGTATTTGTGGGTGTGTTTTATATTTTGTTTTGGGATTGTTAAGGAGTAAAGATTTCATATCATACTAGTACTAATAAGAATAAGCGTCAAATCGGTCCTTATTTTCTCTCTTTCCTCTTGACTACATTAAACATTATAAAGCTGTCTAGCTTCAAAACAGTTACTTAAAATTGGGCGTCTAACATAAATTTTATATATGCACCCTATATTTATTGTATTAGCCTTTTCTTTTAATCATTGGCGCCCAATCATTTATATGCATCAATCCAAATATTTACAGGCAATAATAAATAGGCGTCAATTTATCCCAATCTACAGACAGCCAAATACCCTCTCTCTCTCTCTCTCTCGTTTACCTCTGGCTCTTATGCCTATATATGTATATATGTTTATCCAAATGCACATATGCATATATGCACACATGTGTTCCATAGACAATTTGTAATACTTATTTATTTATTTTGTGTATATATATATATATATATATATAGTATTCAACGCCTGTAGTTAGATGCTTCATTCAAGAAGGATGACCTTCTTGGTAAACGTGATTCTGAGGGTGTAGGTCTAATGGTCGACAGATCCTCTTTGGGTACATACATCAAATAATCCCTTCTTGGTTTTGGGGATGAATAGCGACCTTTTTTTTTGGTTATTGATAAATACACATAAAACAACAACAAAGAATATATATATTTAATACAAAACAATACACAGATACATATACATTATGTGTGTACATGAATAGATTAATTACCTTCAAGAATAGAATTAGAAGTAATATAACTACTGTGTCGTCTTTCGGATACTCTATCTATCGCACTCAATCTCTGGACAGGATCAGGTTGAAGACGACGTGATTGTTGTTGGCTATAGTTGCCGTGATGGTTATAGTTCTGAGGTGGTTCTAGAGCAGGTTCGACGCCAACCGCTGTTGAAGTATTGGGAATACTAGTCTTTGGATGTCTTGATTTGCGTGAAAAGTTGTCAGCCCTTGAGGCCATGTGGTCAGTCGTGTCAATGGTGGTGTGGCGTTTGGTTTCATAACCAACCACTGTCTTGCGACGCATCGATAGGCGGGACACAAGATTAGAATTGGTAGCATTAGGCTTGGTGTGCCTTGCTAAAGTGCTCGATTCTGATCCAGCCATAACCAACATAGTCTTTGGTTTCGCACTGGGTTTGGTATTGATTGGTCTGTCAATGTCCAACTGATGTTTGCTAGCTTCGTGTGAAACCTGACGTCTTTGACGGATGTCAGCCAAGACTTCTTTGGCTGACTCGGTTACTGATTTTGTGTTTGAATTTGAGCTTGAATGGTGGTTTGGACTTGAAACTGGGTGTGAATTTGGGTTTGTGACTGTGGTTGTATGTGTTGATAGACGACTTGTTTCGGGTGCAAACCTAGATACCTTTTGGGATCTCTATACAAATACAAATGCACACGCATACGCATACGCATATGCATGTTTGTGTGTGAGTTGGTGGGAAAAAATGTGCAGCTTTCTTGTTTTGTTTTCTTTTGTTTTTTTAAGATTATAATTCTGGATAAAATCTTGTATATTTTACCTTTGGATCTGCTGGCGAATGGCGGGAATCTAGTCGTTGGTCTAGTCTTACTTCTGGTACTCTTTGTTTTGGGGTTCTTGGACTTCCAAGGCTGTTTCCGCGTGATCCTGCAGGCGAATTCCAGTCTCTAGTGTCCGCAACCGAATGTCTTTTTATAAACAAGAAATCAGATGAATTGACCGCCGATTGCATTTGTTGGTTTTGGTTTTGGTTTTGATGTTGTTGTGGTTGTGAATGTTGGTGTGGCTGTGGCTGTGGTGGCAAGCCATGTGTCGATTGCCTTTGTGTATCATACTGAATTGATCGAGCTCTCAGATTAACAACCGAACTATCTTTTTGGCCCACCGCCATTTGTGACACAGCAGTTGCCTGTACCTGTGCCTGTACCTGTGGTTGTGATTTTGGTTTCGATTTTGGTTTTGATGGTAATGGTGCTGCTGTTGCTGTTGCTGTTGCTATCGCTGTCGCTGTTGCTGTCGCTGTCGCTGTCGCTGTCGCTGTTGATGTTGCTCCTGCTGCTGCTGATGATAAAGATGACAGTGATGATAGTGACAGTGACAGTGATATTGAGGGAATTGGTTTTGTGGGCTTTAACTTTATTGACCGATCTTCTAGTCTATTCCGTGGTGTTGATTTTTGCTGGCATCCTCCTCGGGTGTCCACTGCTCTACAGGCATCAGTAGGTGAGTTACTCAACGAAGAATCTCCACTGGTATGGTGGCTATTTTCAGGCGAGTTTAGCTCAAATATAACCGAACCCCCGGATTGACTTGCACTAGAGTCTGATTCTGCCGCGTCTTGGATCTTGATCTGTACCGTCTTGACAGGTCCCAGCCGGCCAGACCTTGCCCCTACAGCCAAGTTTTTGTCTCGGGTTACCTGGGTAGTTACTGATGTCCTGGGCTGTGAAGTATTTGATAGTTTATTGACATCAGATTTGCGAGACCAGCCCAATTTACCATTGCCATTCACATTGTTATTATGGCTATGGTTGATACTACTGGAAGGGTATATTTGAAGCGGGTCGATATCATCAGTCTGGGTTGCCCGCGTTTGCTGTTCTCTTGGTTTTATTTTTTGAGGCATGGACAGTGTGCGTGGTCTGGGTATCTCGGCCGGACCATGTTTTGCCAGAGAATCCAAGGTCAGCAACCTGTGTCGTTCAGGCATGGATATTGTCCTGTCCCGGCTGTGGGAATTTGTTGGCGGGTTGCGGGTTGGAAAATCATTGGTATCCATCGCTACCTGAATGGATTGATGGTTTTGGTAAGGTTGCTGCTGCTCTTGTTGCTCTTGTTGCTGTATGTTTAGATTTAAGGTTTGGTGTAGGTGTAGGTGCCGATTGGGCATATCAGAGCGTGGATAGGAACGGATGGTCATATTATCCTCCCAGTCAAGAGGAGCCTGCTCATTTTCAAGCATGTCAGTAGTCGCATGGTTAGCTAGCATTTCAGTGAGGGCAAATGTTGATATGACACTGCCGGTGTCTGCAGCATTGATCCGCTGCTGTTGGGTTTGTCTACCCATGGCCATGGTGTGAGCTTGTTGAAGAGGCCTGAGATCACTTTCTCTGAGATGATTACCACTGCTAGGGTTAGGATTAGGATTAGGATTAGAATTGAGATTGACATTAAAATTAGAGTTGAAATTTGAAGCAGATGAAAAGGCAGAAGAATGTGGCAATGAATTGATAGTATTGGTAGTATTGGTAGCGGTAGAAGACTTTTGGGTTTCAATTGATCTGCTATCTCTTCTTGAAGAATACAACCCAGAATCTGGATTTGTGATTTTTTCCTTTTCTTGAAACCTTGCTTGGTGTCTCAGGTTACTCAAGCCAGTATCAGAAGGCTTGCGACTGTGGGATTGCGCTGAGTGATGCAAGAGACGATCCCTACTCGGGGTTTTTTCTAGTTTAGGAATGCGCTGAATTGATTTTGAGGAAGAGGGTTGGATGCGTGGACTGGATGATGATAATAAAGATGCTGATGTTAATGCTGGTGTTGATACTACTACTAATGATGACGATGACGATGATGATGATGATGATGGTGTTGTCGTTGTTAATGAGGCTGATTGTTTTGGGTCTGTAAGTGATCTGAATAAAACGGTACGTTGTACACGGGGACTATCCGGTACACGTAATATGTCTGATTGAGTTGGGCCCATCATCTTTGGCCTAATGATAATCTTCTCGGATCTTTTTCCAGCAGTTGGGGGAGGAAGGAGAGCAGAAGCAGAAGCAGAAATATTTTGGGAGGATATACGTTTGTTAGGTTCTGTTGATTGATGTGTAATGTCTTGAGTTTTCGTCATTGATTCTGCGCAAGACTTTGATATCCTAATGATCTTTTTGGTTGGGTCTTTGGTGAATCCAGAGTGCCTGCTGTCTGGCGTATTCAATTGCCTTTTAACAGCAACAGTAACAACGAAAAGGATATTATATTTTTAGTGATTGTAACCTACGTCTTCTTTCATTCTTTCATTCTTTCATTATTTTCTTTCTTCCTTTCTTGGTACTTGTTTACAAACAACAACAAGCAACAAAATAGAAATATAGAACTATAACCCCCCAAAAAAAATAGCAGACCAAAGAAGAAAAAGGAAATACTTCTTTGTTATGTGTGTATGTTGTACTAAGTTTCAGACATACACAAAACAAGAAAGAAATTGTGTATTTATTTGTATTTTATTTGTATTTTACCTCTGGGGCTGCTTTGTAATTGGACGAGAGACCATCTCAGGCATATGTGAATAATCCATCATGTCCCTTAAATCGCTGGACACCAAGTCAAAGGAGACGTCCTCATCACCTTGAAGGGTGCAACCAAAAAGAATATCATTATTTTTCACATATTTCTCATGTTAGCAACCATACATTGTCATTGACTTGCGCTAGCCAAGTTTCAAATGTTTGCATAAATCAGAACGTTGTGAATAGTAAAAAAAGAAAGAAAGAAGAAAGAAAGAAAGAAACGGTGCATGCGTACGAAATACTCGCACACTCGCACACTCTCACATTTATATACATGTATGTATGTAGAAGTGGTTTCTGTAGCTATATATATAAAATTAAAGCATACCATTGTTTATATGGTTAAAGAGCATAACACTCTCACTTCTGGAACGGCTTGTGTTTTGGGATAAGGATAACTTTCCGGTTGCAGAAGCCAGAGAAAGGTCTCCTTGTTGAGAATTTGAAAAAGAATCGTCATGCTGTGTGTTTGAATGAGGGCGAGGGGTGATTAGTGTACGCGTAAAGTGCCTGAGTTCGTCGTCGTCGATGCTCTGGAATGAGATGGGTGGATAGCGAGAGTGTCTGTTTAGATTTGAAATGGTAGACCGACTCTCTTGGTCAAAAGCACGGTCAAGATCAATAAAGTCGTCTGCACCAAGGTCGTCGTCGTAGTGGGTGTAGCGAGTGTGTGGCATTCTACAAAGTCTGGGGAAATTAAGCAAAGAAAGAGGAAAAAGTAAAAAGAAGAGGAAGAAGAAGGGGAAGAGGAGATTGAATAGAAATAAAGAGGGAGTGAAAAATAAAAATAAAAATAAAAATAATATATATATATATATATATAGAGAGAGAGATAGTGAGAATATGGGTGAGACTAACAATAACAATAATAATCAGTGTGAATAGGAGAAGTGCGGAGTAAATAAATAAATAGATAAATGTGTATATAAGAAGAAGATGAAGAAGAAGCAAAAGGAACAGGAATAAGACAGGAATACAAATATACAAGCTTGACTAGAATCTCATCAATCATTTGGCTGTAATTTACTATCATTATGAGTATTAGTCATATAACTTTACTCTATATAGGTTAACCAATTGATTGTGAATATTGCATTTATTTAAATAGATAAACAAGAATCATTTTCAACTGGCATATATTTATTTATTTATCTATTTTATAAAGATACTTCTTTAGAATATAAATGTGGGGAAGTAAGACAAAGAAGAAGATGATTATAATGATAATGCTAATGATACTGATAATGATGATGATAGTAATATAAATAAATAAAAAGGGGGGAAGCGTAGGATTCATTGCTGTCCGTGCGCACACATGTCAACGCCCTTGTGTGATTAGAAAGAATGGGGTAAATGTTGAAAAGGGAAGCATTCTTGTGATCAAATGGATTTGTATTTGACGATTGCCATACTTAAACTTATGGCTTAGCTTACCTACAATATACTTATATATATATATAAATATATATATAAATTTTGAACAGTTGAAAACGGAACAAGCCTTTTATTGTCATTATATATATATACGCCACTTGTGATAATTATTTATCAAATCAAGCAATTAATAAGAAATTATCCAATGGCTGATAATTAATTATCAAATATGTATTATATTGTATTCTGTATGCATAATGAGATATTATTTTCTTTTATTTTTCTGGTGCACATAATTTTTAAATAGATAGAGGAAAAGGGGAAGAGGGAGAAAGGGAGGAAATAATAATTCTGTAGATCGATAGGTGCAAATAAGGCGCGCCGCAAAACTCCCTCAACGAAACCCCCTCCCCTCCTTCATGAGATAGAGAGGGAAATTGAGCTGTTTTAGCCTAAATAGACAAAAAGTAGTTGGGCCACAATTTATTAAAATTTCTGCCTCAAATGACAAGTAGAAAGGACCCTTGACATGGCATGAAAAATATATATATACATTTATCGTCATCTTCAGAAAGCGTTATTTATTTTATTGTTGCATTGACTTGTTGTTTCCTTTTGTGGTTCAGCTATCAAAAGAAAAGCTCTTTGTCGCAATATCCACCACCCCTAAAAAAAATGAAATAATTAAAAAAAAAAATTAAAATAAAAAATTTAAAAATAAAGAGATTCCCACTTCCCCTTCTTTTTTTCACAATCTTCAATCTCTCTTTTATCTTCTCTACCTCTCTACCTCTTGTGCCCTACTGTACTGTATCTATACCTACCAGACCTATAAACGCACAAACCCACAAACGCACAAGCTACATTTAGAGATCTTATTCACTTACAAAAACATTTTTGAAACAATGATTTTGATTGATAATATCAAGCACGCCTGCGCATGTAATACTTTTTTTCATAACAGCAATAATAAGAGCTCTTGGATTTGTTTTTTGTTTCAAAATATTCACAAGATACTAATTTACTTTTTTTTTTAAAAAAAAATACATTATTAGCTTGCATCAAGGTAAGATATACCTAAACATGCACAGTTTTATAAAATTAACAAGAAAAGCCTTCTTCTTCTTCTTCATTATCTTTTTTGTATGCATTGATATTTCTTGATTGAAATTATCATAAAAGGGCCACAGATCATCGTCTTGTCAACACAAAGATAGGCATCTGCTCCCTATAAGACGCAAAGGAAGACCCATAAGCCAGTGTGATCAATGCAGGGAAGAACGCAAGAAGAGACGGGTGCATCAGAAATGTTCATGTTCAAGTAAAAAAGGTAATTCCAGCCAGAATTATAAAGCAAGATAATTATGCTAATGATTTTAATGCTAATGCCCAAAAAATCCTTTGTTTAACTATATACCTTAGATTCTCTCATCATGACACGAACTTCAAGGCAAATGATGTCCATACAAGCCTTACTATTATGATAACTGGTTATCAGACATGTATAGGCATTTAATCTTCATAATACCCTCAGTCTCTTTCTCTCCTTCCCTTTATTTTCTTATATACATACTTATCATTATACTCTTACATAAACATGTACAGGTATGTATGTATGTATGTATGTATGTATACTGCTCGTTCGATTGTTTATTTGTTTTCTTATATTTATATCCACACGCCCATACACATCCAATTATGTGTGTGTGTGTGTGAATAATAGTAAAATCTCGGTAGTACCTATGAAAGATATCTATACTACCTCTAATAAAAACCAAAATATATTCTCATTCTTTTATTAGTACATTCGTTAATAGTTTTCTTTTTTGGATAAAATACCTCCAGCACTTTCCTTTTTAATAAAATTACCTCTTTAACCCTTTTAATAGCCTTTCTAGTTTTCCCACATTATTCCATTTATTTTATATATTTCTATTAATTAATACTTGTATTTCATATAAATCTATAAGACTATAAAAATATATAGACTGATAGATATCTCTGTACATATTTTGTGTGCTCAAATAACAAAAAGAAAAGTCACAGTAATCAAGCACACACTACAGAACGCATATATATATATAAAGAGTACTTCAAGCTTTCTGATTATTAGTATTATTTTAAGCTTTTTTTTTTGTTAATTAAATATATATATATTATCTAATTTAATGCCGTCTTCAAAGGCAAGGTTCTATTGTTATGATTATGATTATTATTTTTATATTTCAGCACATGTTTTGTAATATAGAATCATTAATATAGAAAGGAAATAATAATTATAATAAGAATATTACCAGTTATATTAATACTAATAATACACAGACTACAGAAAATAGTCGTGTAGATATAGCAAACAAGGTAAGTCCTGTTCAGCCTACCTCATAACATACAATCATTAAGGCTAGTTTTAATCTGATAGTGAACATTCTTGTAGTCATCATGCTTAGTTGACTTTATTGACATGCCAATTACATATTCAAAGTGAGAATTAATTTAGCTGTACTCTGGTTAAATTACATTGTGTACAGTGTGAACTAATAAAATTTCTGTTTTACACATATATAATAATAATATAGTAAAGATCTCAATGTGATTATAGAGTATCATGACATTTCTCAAATGACAATTGAATTAAAAGAATGGGCATTTAATCTTGTCAAGTCTAACCTTTACCACCTGTAAATATATATATAGAAAAAATAACTAGTTTTCGACACAAGAATGTTAAGATCTGTCTTGTATGTATGTTTATGAATGTGTAGGTATCGAAAGTCTAATGATGGTTGGAATGCCCTGGAAAAAAAGGCGGAAATGAGTACACCCGAAGCCCGGTATCTTATTGCTCGTTCTGCCTCTGATCCAAATATTCTGTATGGATTTTTGTTGTTTCAAATGGTAACAGAAGAGACTATGGACGATGATGTTATGGCAGAAGTAGCGTATTGGTAAGATTTCTTTAGTAGAATGTATTCTAAAGAATTTCTTCTAACCAACTAGTTCTATCATATATATATATGTGTGTGTGTGTGTGTGTATTATCTCTCGATAATTGTACATAAATTAGCTATGAACTTCAATTGGTTGAATCGGCAAGAAATTATGGACTGGGAGAATATTTTATGAAATTACTGGCCGAGATAGGAAATCACTGGAAAATGGACAAGATGATGCTGACTGTATTCAAATGTAAGCCGGAGAAAGAGATAGTGCTTTGATTGCAGAGTGTTTATTGGCAGATAATGAATTCATAAACCTGTAGCCAACAAAGGAGCATTTAGGTTCTACAAGAAACTCGGGTATGTTATAAATTGCATTTGATTTGATGTGGTATATAATACAATATAACATAAATTAAATATATATAAATATTATATATTTGTGTAGATTTGAATTGGATGAGATCTCACCAAGTGCCTGTTTATCTGCTCTCCAGGCACGCAAATTTGATTATGAAATACTATCAAAAAAGTGCTCATAGTACAAGACCTGGATATTTTGGTTTATCTTGTATCATCAATGAGCGATTTATAACTTATATATATATAAACCAAACTCGATTATCTAGTATTAGAACCCTACTTTCATATCAGAAGATCTTTCTGTGTGCGTGTGTCTATGAGTGTTTTTTTTTGGCACATTTAAATAAAGCAAAGTAAAGTAAAACAAAGCAAATAATATATATATATATCTCTTTTTGGTTTGATTTTTTTTCTTTGTGTATATGCTTCTTGGGTCTAGGCTCTGACTTAGTAGTACCAGGCTTTTGTTTCCAAACATTTGATGATGTTTACTGTCCATCGAGGGATTTAATTGTAATTTCAATAATCTCTCTTGGCTGAGAGTATCATTTGGTGTTATAAATAAAGATACTTCTTCTTGGATGAAAAAGGATAAGCTCTCAGTTGTACAGTCTTGGTGGTGGATATTGTCAGCTACACAAAGATATATAATTGGCGGCTACAAAAAAATGATTGTTGGTTAACAAAAATATAATTGTCGAAAGACAAGATTTAATTATTTTGACCGTTAATGAAGTTCCTTTTGTCGCTCATTTTTTTTCAAACTTTTTATTTATTTCAAAGGTGGAATGGATAACCTTTTTGATGAGCATTGTAAAAGAGTTTATGATCTCATGGAAGGCGTCTTCACAGAAAATCACAGGCCCAAAAATTGTACTTGAACGCTAATTTTTTACGGGGCCGATGTTTTTGGTGGGACATGACATTTTGATTCTACCGGACCACAAATTGCGACCTTTTTGCCGGCATGAAATAACTCTATCTGGTCCCTAAAGATCCATTCCTATTATAATAATTAATACAAGCCAAGATACAAAATACTCCTCAAGATTTTGTCTTGTGCTTGCAAAAGATATTGAATGGGGGTTACTTACCAGTTGGTACTGTCATACTTTGGGAATATAAGTAGGTGTAAGAAAGAGAAAGACATAATACGCGTAAGAAGGCTAAGAAATAGTAATATATCAAGCAAGATCACGTCCCAAAGTGTGTAATGACAGCAACTCCTTATAATCTTCTGCATGGCTAGCTATTGGTATAGTCTATTTGCGACCAATTGTTATCTCTTTATTATCGAGTCTAAATTTAGGACGCAAACGACTATTAATTGAATATACAGAATTTGATTTTCGTATGAGACAGTATTTCATTATTAAGTTGTTCAAATGCAGACTGAGACTCTTAAAAGGGTGAGAGTTAGGTGCCTGGGGAGAGATAGATAAACACAAAGTGTGGGGGCAAAGTAGTAAAGCTAATGCATGTAATGAATATATTGTGTTTTAAGGACACACCATTTTGCCCTGAAGGATTAATAAAGACACTGGGCCCTGGACATGTAGTCACAATTGGTTAGTCCGGTTAGATAGAAACGTCGTGCCCCACCAGGAAACATCGTACCCGTAAGATTGGTGCAAGAAATATAAATATTATTGATAGTGACAGACAAATCAACCAAACATTAAATGGTTTGGTACAATTTGTAAAAAAAAATCACTCATGAGATAAGTATTAAAATTCTCCCAAGATTGTGAGTATCTTATTTTATATTATTATTTTTTCAAAAGAGAGCAAGAGGTACAAGTGATGATTTTGTCTTTATTTATTTGAAAAATAAAATCATCAAAAAGAAAGAAGGAAAGAAATATGTTCACAAAGCTCAATTACAACACCGCTCCATGATATTTGTACAATTGATGACGAACTTTGGTGGCTTTGGTCATCGCGTCGTGCTGGGTTTGGCGTCCTTTATTCACACTTCTTTACTACCTTTTATAAATCCCCATCAATTCCTTTATTAAAATATGAGGTTAGCTATCACAATAGACAAATCTCATCAATGCATTTCTACGTTTATTACATTACAAAATCCACCTACTTAGACACACGCATACATTTATACATACATTTATACATACATCTATACATACCTGTATACATACGTACTAACGTCAATTTTAATCAATGTAAAATAAATTAGTGCTCCTGCAACTAAGCTACGATCGGAAATGACAGAGGAGGAGCTCCGTCAGCAGGAAGAGATCGAGTTCAACACCGGGCCTTTGTCCGTTCTTCAACAATCTGTCAAGAACAATAACCAGATCTTGATCAGCTGTCGTAACAACCACAAGCTTCTCGCACGTGTCAAGGCATTCGATCGTCACTGCAACATGGTGTTAGAGAATGTCAAGGAGGTGGGATAATTCTTCTTTTTTTTACTATTTTTTATTAGACATGTGTACATTGTATACAATCGATGATGCTAATCTAATTGAGATTAGATGTGGAGTGAGACTCCCAGAACTGGTAAAGGAACAAAGGCCAAGCCAGTCACCAAAGATCGTTTCGTGAGCAAGATGTTCCTTCGTGGTGATACTGTTGTCTTAGGTAAAACGACACACACACACATATATATATAGATGTAGATGTAGATATACTTCTTTTTCTTTTATTTTATTTTTTTTAAAAAAGAAGGGAAGTAGGGATTTCAGAAGAGAAAATAGAAAATAGAAAAGGCTGGATATTTGAGGTACAGCAGAAACTAACTATCCTGATTATCTTCTTTTATTATTCTTCTTGCTTTTCCTTTCATTCTTATAGTTCTTCGCAACACAGTGTAAATACATTTATGATAAAGAAAACGGGGATTTCGTTCAAAAAAAAAAGAAAAGAATGTCTTTTGACAAAGTTGTATCTTTGAAGATGTCTGTTTTATATTTGTGCGTGTATGTATATATATGCGTACGTGCGTGTGCTTGTCCGTTTGTTTGTTCGTTCATTTGCTTGTTTGTTTATTCGTTTATGTGTGGGTGTGTAAGGGTGGAACTAGTTCATCAAGTATACTTTTTTTTTGTTTTGGGCAATATATATGTATATATGTATATGTATAGGAAGAAGGAGAGTAAGAAGGAGAGGGGAGATAATTATCGAGTATCAGAATATGCATTCAAACTTTAATTTCTTTTCTCTCTCTATATCTTCTTTTATTATATCTTCTTTTCTTTTAATGCTCCTTCTTCTCTAACCCCAGACCCATTCCCATCGGCCGGCTTTGTTAAGAAAAGAAACGTCTTCTTCCAGTGACTTTTTCCCTGTAAGTTCATTTGGAAATGGTCCGATCGCTGGCTCAATTCGAGGGAGGATCTGATCATAACTTGGAGGTCGTTTGGAAACGATGTCTTTAAGTATATTCCACGGAATACGCATCTTCCCCAGGCGGAGTACCTTGAGTCTCTCTAAATTGACAAACCAATCCCGAACAAATCCTGGGTATCGTTCACTGATCGGTCCTGGCTGACAGAGAGTAATGTGTTCAATAGTATGTGTATCTCGAATAGCTCTTGCAGATCGCTCACTTAAACAGACCGAGTACAAACATAGAACCTTGAGTCGAGGCAACAGGTCAGGTTTGTATGTCCCAAGATAATCTTCTCCTGTCTTGGACAATCGCAACTCAAGAATTTCTAAACAAGACATCGATCGCAACATATTCATAAATTCATCTGGTGTGATGGTTGGGAAACAGAGTCTGAGTTCAGACAGTTGATTAAATGATCCCAAGAGTCGCAAACATCGATCATCGAGCTCCAGCTCATGCTCGGTACGACAGAGATAAGACACAGACTGTAGAAGCCGTGGTTGACTCTCTCGGCCGATGTAGCCTGTAATACGGCCACCGCTGTTACTGCCACTACCATTGCCACTGCCACTACCACTGCTATTACCAATACCACCACTAGTAAGATTTCTGGTGGTTACTGATCGAGATGGCCCAAACTTGCGCTGTCCAGGATCTCCAAAAGTGGTGGTCGACTGCATGTGAGGAAGCACTTTGGTGTACTTTGGATGGATATCCATTTTTGGAGAAAGATCCAGATGGCGGAGAGCACTTCCATTAAGACGATCTAAAATAACATCAAGATTTCCTGTTCTCAAGCGGGTCAGCCGGAAATCCTTTAGATTCAATAGACCAACAATACGGCCAATTGCTGACAACAGAAGAGGTTCCATGCATGAAAGGTGGAGACATTGAAGCATCGAAGTAAACCGTTGCAGGCACAATAGTGTGAGGGGAGATAGATCAATATTGAGCATCTTGAGAGACTCCAGTTGTGGATTTAATGTTCTCAGTAATAATTGTAGCACTGGTTGTGTAATGACACATGAGGATATATCAAGATGACGCAAGTAACGTAGACCTCTAAACCCTCTGCACACCTCTGGGCTGAGACTTTGATACTGCAGCGAAAACTTTTCCAAAAGCGGTATGCGAACCAGCAGCTGTCTAAGTGTTGTCTCTGGCATTGAGAGTCCAAGCGAAGGTTCCTTGGATAGATCCATAGCAAGAGACGACAAGTTGTGGGAAGGTCGGACCTGATAAAGGTGGTCGCGTTGTTCAAAAGGGCCACTGACGGTGCTTCCTATCCGTGTGGGGGAATATTTGTTCAAACCAAGCTCTACCAGAGATGAAAGTGTGCATGCAAGTGTCAACACACCGTCTGCAGTCAACGACCAACAGCCACTAATGTCAACTCGATCCAGAGTCCTTCCCTTCCTCTGAGGACTGTGGGTGATATTTTTGGAAGCTGCTTCTCGTGGGAGCACAATCGGCACAGAGCTGTGTTTGAGGATAGACACTAGGATAATGTTTGTTATCTGGCCAGAATATTTAGAAAGATTAAGTGGAGACCAGCACCAGGGATGGCTGTGTAAGAGAGAATGGAATAGCCGACATGTTGCCGACAATTGGCATTTGTCACCAATGTCGTCAATGAATTCAATGATGTTAAGCAAGAGTTCTGCTGGGAGTAGTTTAAACGACATTATATATAAAGGAAGAGGAGAAATAAGACAAGAAATGAATGGCTAATGATGCCAAGTGCAATAATGCATGTATGTATGTAAGTATGTAAGTATGTAAGTATGTAGGTATTATCTTATCCTCTTCCTATACGACCATATGCCTTCAGTGACTTGCATAACTATTCTTTTTTTGGGGGGTGGGGAGCACAGCTAAAACCACCCTTCAGGAGTGAAGAAGCTTCATCGATAAGAACATCCAAATTCTCATGCAATAAGGAACATAATCCCTTTTGGTTCCACATTTGTGCCACAAACCAAAAGAAGATATTTTGTCAGGTACAGTTTTACAAAAACAGGTTCAAAGAATATGATACATTATCCCCAGTACCATTTTCTTTAACACTTTAAACTACCCTGTTGTTGGTCTTTGGAAAACAATAAGGGAATAAAATATCGGTGTGTAGGATGCATATTTGATTTGTGCTCTTGGTTAAAAAAAAAACTGAAAACCTAAACTTCTTTCCCCTTCTTGTCCTTTTGTATCTGATTCTTTTTATAAATGCCAATGATACTTATTTGGAAGAGTATGTCTTTAAATGAAAACGCCAGAAAGCAAAACAGATCACTGGTACACAGTATCTCATGCGCCCAGGCGCTTAAATATCTAACTCGTGGCCAGTATTGATTGTTCTTGTATTCACGCCTTTTGTATTTAACTTATTATAATTAAATCTATTTTTTAATTTTTATTTACTACAGGTCAAAATTTCTCAATTGGATTGAGTTTAGGCGATTAAGTTCCAAAGATGATGATATCTTTACAAACTCTGCATGTGACATTTTTTATTTGTTCCTTTTTGACGTGTGAATAAGCTTTTGGTCTTAATAATGATGACTTGCGATACCTTTATCTCAAGCAACATATACATAAGATCTATCGCTTTGTTTGTTGCCTTTCATTATCACTAGAAATATTACTAAATGTGTGCGTCTGTGTGTGTGTTTATTATTTTAATAAATCCTCCTTCATTTGACAAGCTCCATTCGCCAATATCTTTTTGAGAACTAAAACATATATTCAAACTTTTACGGGCACGATCTCACGGTTGATATTACTCATGTGGTTGGTGTAATGACTGTCACTGGCTTAATGCAAGTGAAATTAACAATACAAAAAAAAGTATATTATTAATAAAGAAGTTCATTTAATTGACAAGCATAATTGATTTCTAAAAGAACATCTCACTATAGCTACATTATATCTACAGCCATTGAATTGATAGCTGTATTCTTGACCGTTAACTCATATTTATAAAATTTATGTCACAATGAATAACTTTCTTAAGGTGAAACTTTTCAAAACACACATCGTTCGTGTATGTGTGTGTGTGTGTTTTGTAATGAATTCAAACAAAAGGGAAATGATCTTTTGTATTTAAAATAGTTATGTCAATAAATTGGTATATTTTTAACTTTTTTTCTTTTGGTTTTTTATTTTACAATATTGTCTTGGTCTTTATTCTTTAAAACGAATTCACGCATAATTTTATATGCTACTTAAGTGCTCAATTTAGTTTTACAAAATAAGTCATTGTTGAAGATTATATATTCAAAGTATTCCACAGATTGAATGCAAATTCAGTATGATAGGTTTTGCATATACTGTGATTTGGACGGTGTAATAGATGTGGAAATAGATAATCAAAAGTATGTTTAATCAGCCATTATTTGTAGAAGCAATAAGGCTAACACTCACATAATGTATTCTAATAAATTATGTGGTATTACCAACTTTATTTGATGATAGATATTTTTTATGGTTCTGTTTCTCGTTTTAAAAAAAAATCATAATATTTCTAAGGACAGCCATATCCACTCTACGCAAGAATACGCCAGACAAAAGAACTGGTCTTTTTTTTTTAGCTTGATGAGTGACGTATAAGATCCCGTGACATCACAATTTACACTTTGCAAGTATGTGTATCAGACCTATGATCGTCTTGCTTTACTGTTTCGACAAACCATCCATTAGACGACATGTCCCACGTACTTCCACACGACAAAAAGCAACTTAGAGCATGCCTCGTATGTTCCCTTGTCAAGGTACTTCTAAAAGATGATTTGTGTACTCATCACTAAACATGATCTAATAAATAAATCCAATTATAGAATGCTTCGCAATTTCGATCATCGGGCTGTGATAATTGCGAGGATGTACTGAGAATGCGTAAAAACATAGATCGTGTAATGGAATGCACAAGCTCAAAGTTCGAGGGGTAATACAGAATTATCTACCACTTGATACAACATTGTTAGAATGCATTAAATAACGCTTGGCCGATTCTTACAGAATGATCACAATGATGAATCCAAAAGAAAGTTGGGTGGCACGATGGCAGCGTATTGGTAATTAAACTTTTATTTTTATTTTATTTTTACTCTTATTTCCATTTGTTCTTTACAGTATGCATGGATTAGAAAATCAGGACTTTTATAATGATGCTAATAATAAATAAATGTAATTGTGATTTTGTAGACACTTATGTTGTCGGCCTTTATGCTATTCGAGTTTATGGACGGATACCTGAAGACGTCGAAGATGTATTGGAACGACGAGGAATTGCGTACAGACCAAGAGATGGCTCTGTAAAAGAATAAGAGGAATTTAAAGGTGCCTGGGTTAGCTTACTCTATGTACATGATCCGATACGCATATCATCAACACATACATACACTTTATTTTCTGTTCATACTTCTTTCCATCATATCCAATCTCTCTCTCTCGCCCTCTTTATCTCTCTTTATCCTGGTCAACAAGCTAAACCCGGTACCAGACCTACACAACTACATTGGAAGGTTCATTTTATGAGTGTGTATGCTGTACACTCAATAAACTTGAAAATCAGCATATTGTATTTTAATAATGTAAATGATTATTTGGAAAAACACAGTGCGGTTTATTGTCTATCTAAACAACCTACTTTTGGATTCAACAACCGGTCAATTGATAATCTTATCTCGAGTAAAATAATATATTTACCAGAAAGGTGGGTATCTAATATTATACTTCAATATCCACTTTTGTCCTTGCTTGTACATTTCGAACCTTAACATATTTACTTGTTCGAGTGTAGGATACTAACTAACAATTTAAGAGTCTTTACGTAAACAATTAACCTGACCAAATGTTCCTTTTCTTGTCAATTATACCAGTCTAGCCCACAGCTAAATGAATAATTCACTACGGAAAAAAAGTGGGGATTCAGCTGGCGATTTTCACAAATCGTAGTGGAATCTCCAGTTCCCTTTTAAGAAATATATTTAGATTGTCATTGACTGATGGGATGTTACACTATAGAAAAAAGTTGCCATGTATTCTAAAATCATAGCAATTTTCGATAAAAAACCAGTAACTTTTTTAATTTCTTATCGCAAAACTAAATATAGGGTACTTTGAGCTCATTTTCGTTTTTTGAGACTTAATATATATACTTGGTTTTTAATCCTGAAAGCCATTTTAGGTGAAGATTGTATGTTGGACTACTTCCAAGCTGCAAAATTTGGTAAAGGGACAAACATGGCTAACAGATTACGTATTTTTTCAATCTAAGCTTAAAGAAGTCTTGCCACCAAAAAGTAATGGCTATGGTTACTTCTTAATGCAATATTGTTTTTTCTATTCTGTAAAGTATTTTATTTTTATTTTCTTTATTTTTCACAAAGATCTAAATTGTTAAAGACGTTTAAAAGAAATACACTTACTAGTTATCAAGGCTAGTATTGATATAATATAAGTCTGTGAAGTTGGAAAAATAAAGTAAATTGATTAGAGGTGACAGAAAAATATTTGTATCATGTACAGTTTTGTTGTTAACATTACTCGCATGCTCACTAGAAATAATTAATTTAGAGAGTTGCATAGAATATGTCTTTGCTTTAAAGAAAAGGCAGGAGTTAATTATAGCAATGTCAACACAGAAAAGGTGTATACTCTTTGATAAAAAGAATCAATTAAGCAATATATATGCTTTCATCAATACCATAGTACTTAGAGAATAGCATTTTTTTTAGATAAAAAAAAATGTAAAAAGTATCACATAAAAATAGAAACATGTATATTATTTAGTAACTGTATAGCTTAAACTGATACTAAATATCATTAAATTTAGTACTTCTTCTTCCCATACATCTTTATATTCAACTTCTATTATTTTGATCAATAAAAACTATAAAATTCAAATATAAAACCGTGCATTTGTTGAACCAATTATAAGAATAGATATACCTAAAAAAGATATAGATTTTCCATACTTGGAATATTTGATTGGATTAGATGCAAAGTATTCTGAAGTACCATAAATAGCATTCATTGAAAATAATTTTAGTTTACTAAAAGCTGATATACTGTTAGCTGGAGAACAAATGAGCTCGTATATGATATACGATCTCGTGACACGTAGGGTATTTGTAAGAAGCAATGTAACTAATCACGATACTATTGCGAGGAGGGACATTCAAGCTGTATATTATCTACGTACGGGCTAGTAGCCAACATAAGTCTTCTAACCTTAAAGAAGATGTGGTAACAAGGGACAGTAAATTACTTCAAGAGGATACGTTGGAGAGACAATAGATGTGCACTCCAATAGTTAGGATGAGTCAAATAATATTTAATTAGCTAGACGTGTAGAGATGAGAATCAGTTGTCAAAATATTAAAATGGGATATTCAAGTTTGACGAGGTAAAAAGAGATACTTTATTTATCTTCACTAAACTTTCTCTGATATGGCCTCCTCTGCCTCTTCCTCTCGCTCCTCCAATCTATACTTCGGTCTCCTTTCTTCTCGATTTCATACTCCGAAGAGAGGTGGCCGCCAACCACCACGCACATCGTCTCACTCGTATATTATCTGAGAGTTCGTAGTTATAAACTCGGACATGCACTGTGGTAAATGGCAGCATTTATAACTCCGTACTCGTAGCTTTTCTACGCGCTCGTAGATTCTCCAGCAAATGCAATTTGTGGGATTTCAGATTGTTTTTGCATCTAATCCAATCAATTGCTCCAAATATGGTAGATCTATACCTTTTTAGGTACTTTAAATTTTCTTATAATTGGTCCAACAAACTTAATGTTTTATAGCAAAATATTTTTATTTTTTGACTTTATTAATAGTAAAAGTAATAAAATAAGGCTCTTCTTTAACCTTCTCATATCTATAGCATTGCCTCTAACAAAGGGTACTAAAAAATAGTAGACGAATGATAAAATAAGTATGTAAAGAAGAAAACTATAATAATTTTAAATTAAATAAAATATAGTAAAAGTCTAATTAAAATTGTAAGATCAAGGTCTTTATAAGCTACTAGATATCGCTTTGGCCAGAAATAAAAAAGGGAGTTTCGTTTAACATTACAAGAGCTATAGCTATATATCATTCTATCTATAAAATATGTGTATGTGTGCTTATCTTGTAAGGCTTTGATAAAAGGTTTTGTGTTATAGGGTCTTGTTATAGATCTCTTGCTTAGTATTGTTATCGTCCAAAAGCTATAAACTATAAATCGGTTAGTACTTCGTAAAGCCTCAAAGACTTGTCAACAATAGTAACAGTGAGAAGAAATAGAAAGAAAAAGACTTTACGAAATAAAAACACAAGTTCGCATTAAAAAGAAATATTAGTAGGTATGACTGTTTCTGGCATAAGCTCAGATCCAAGGTACAGAGTTCATAGGGTTTGTTTGACCCTCTAGTTGATTTTTCTTTAATCAAGCAAGTAGTTCTCTTTATTCGGAAATCAAGATGGTTTCCTGGGTTGACGACTAGACTTTCATCTTCAAAATATTTCTCTAGAGCCAAAATAGGATAGAGAAACTCTAAACTTGGTAAGTGCTAGATGGTGTTCAAAAATCTGCCATTTCTTTCCAAAATAAGGCAGCTTGTTTCAAATACTCGTAGATTTTTTTCTACAGTGATGTCCTATTGTGGCAGCAGAAAAGAGCCGTTTGAGCTTCTGAGACGATGTGCGTGGTGGTTGGCGGCCACCTCTCTTCGGAGTATAAAATCGAGAAGAAAGGAGACCGAAGTATAGATTGGAGGAGCGAGAGGAAGAGGCAGAGGAGGCCATATCAGAGAAAGTTTAGTGAAGATAAATAAAGTATCTCTTTTTACCTCGTCAAACTTGAATATCCCGTTTTAATATTTTGACAACTGATTCTCATCTCTACACGTCTAGCTAATTAAATATTATTTGACTCATCCTAACTATTGGAGTGCACATCTATTGTCTCTCCAACGTATCCTCTTGAAGTAATTTACTGTCCCTTGTTACCACATCTTCTTTAAGGTTAGAAGACTTATGTTGGCTACTAGCCCGTACGTAGATAATATACAGCTTGAATGTCCCTCCTCGCAATAGTATCGTGATTAGTTACATTGCTTCTTACAAATACCCTACGTGTCACTTCACAATTACTGGCTTTCTTTTTTAGGCTATCTTTTTACGAATATCAAGCATCATTAAACTCCGTCCATTTCCTTTTTTGGCCAGAACTGCATCCCCGGGCGCGCCGTTGACAGGATGAGAATAGAGTTAAGAAGGGAATCCCCCTTTTCATCTATCAATCAAACCAGGAAGGAACATTCATCATGTCTTGCAGAGTCAGTATACTAGCCATTAGATAAATTAGATAATGGATGGATAAGGATTGAATGACTTTGGTGGGTGCAATTTGTGCACTTAGTGTCCCCATCATACTGTCATCATTAGAAATGATGAAGCGGGGTTTTCATTGCTCATTGGCATTCTAAGCAGCAACTAACTGACGTTTTTGTTCTTTATATTTTCTTAGCTTCAAGAATACCAGGTTCGTATAATGCATTCCAGTCAATTGAAACTAGACAGAGCTGACCTAAATGAAATGGACCCCAAGTTAGAAGGCAACAAGCAATTTAACTATGACTTTATGTTTCTTTAGGTGGTTGGGCGTAAGCTTCCCTCAGCAAAGGAGACTTCTCCCAAGCTTTACCGTATGAGAATTTTTGCTCCCAACACTGTTGTTGCCAAGTCTCGTTTCTGGTACTTCTTGAAGAAGCTCCGCAAGGTCAAGAAGGCTGCCGGTGAAATTGTCTCCATCAACCAGGTAAGATATTAAGGAACTTGAATATATACACACGTATATGTACTTAATATACTCAATATAATTTGATTGGAAATAAATAGATCTCCGAGAAGCGCCCTGAGCAGATCAAGAACTTTGGTATCTGGCTCCGTTATGACTCTCGCTCTGGCACCCACAATATGTACAAAGAGTACCGCGAGATGTCTCGCTGCGAGGCCGTTGCCACATGCTATCAGGATATGGCTGCCCGTCACCGTGCTCGCTTTAGATCAGTTCAGATCATCCGCGTTGCTGATGTTAAGAACGCTGATGTCCGTCGCCAGTACATCAAACAGCTTTTGACTCCTAAGCTTGCTTTCCCTCTTCCCCACCGCGTCCAACGCGCCGAAAAGGGCAACCGATCGCTTTACTTGGCCAAGCGTCCCTCCACTTTCTACTAAGTGTTCTCTTCAGATATTGCTCTTTGCTGAAAATAATATCGTTTTGAACTCCTTCATTTCATTGCCATCGACATTCATGCACTCATTAATTGTGTTACACAAACACCCCATCCATTTTATCACTACGGCGAAGTGATCTTTAACTCACTCGCAACCTTTTAAATTTCTTTATTTAGTAAATAACATATACTGTGAATAGCTGTTTTTATATCATTATATCTCTACTGAGAACTATCAGAACGTAATAATTTGCTCCCCGTCTCATGGAGACTAGAGCTTTCTTTAGGGGAATGAGATTTGGTTTGTCTCAAATCAAGGGCAGAGTGTGAGGTACCATGGCTTCGTTCGAAACTATAGTTTTGCTTAAAGGACGACATGGCCTCCCGGAATCCAAAATCTAATGAGTTTGCAGGGGATGAATTGTGCTGCTTGTCAAAGGCAAATAGTCGTAGGGCAGTAACAGCCTGGACGTTTTGATGTTCCACTGCAAGATCAAGTGATGTCTATTATAAGAAAATTAGTTTCTTTCTTCGTCTTACCTCCCATAAATCAATTGCCTAAAAAATCTCTATTACCTTTCCGGATTCATCCTTTATATCTGCCTTTGCATGTCTTTTGAGCAATCCCAGTACAAGTCTGACATTATTAGAATTTGCTGCATAATGGAGGTTTGTCCACCCATTTTCGTCTATTTCGTTCACATTGCTGGACCATTGAAGCAAAAATTCGACTGAAACTTCATTACCCAGTTGAACCGATCTGTGTAACGGTGTCTGTAGGTGCTCATTTGGGTTCCTGTAGTCTACATTGGCTCCTCTGGCCAAATAGCGAAGTCCCTCTGCCAAATTACCTTCAGTAATAGCATCCCAGAATGTCTAGAAAACTTGCTGTTAGAACATTGTGCTTTTTTTAAGTTCAAGTGTTTTATTCTCACCTGGTTCACTGTTTCTTGTGCTTTATCATCCTTGTGAGCAACAAAAGATCGTTTGACATATTTTTCAGTAATCCACAAGTCTCGCTCGATTCTAGCAATTGGTGTTAATAATCTAGAATATAATCGTATATATTAAACCTACGGAGAGGAATTAGGGTTGATTCTAAATGTTTCCATATCACTTGGTACGTGTTCTTCGAATATACTATTTCCAATTGTATTTCCAAGCTCAAGCATAACCTTATAAATACTCATGTTTAGTTCCAGTGATTCCTTACAGGTACATTCAATTCATATTACCTCTATAGATTCAGTTTCCCATTTGTCAAGCACAACAGATCGAACTTTACTGACATGTACGCCAAGACTTCGATGGATACCAGAGCAATCAATGCACACAATTACTCCCAAGTTTGTGCTGGCCCATTCCGGTTCTTTACCCCCATATATATATATATATATATATATATATAAGTAAGCCATATTTTCTTTAAAAAAAATGCTAGTCATTATTACCTCTAGCCTGACAGTCTGCACATTTATCGTTCCCAGGTTTTTCTCGTACCATCTTTAGCAGTTCCTTATCACTATCTGAAACAGTTCCCGAAGACCCAGAGAATCCGTTTAACTTAATAACTGGGGTTACATCAGAAACACCCTTTTTTAAGTTATAAAAATAAAAATCGTGTTCAGTACAGGTACTTCAGCAATTGCTTGTATGTAAACTCACTCGTCTGTGAAGAGATGGTAGTGGGGGTGGCGCCTTATCTGAATTTAATGCTTTTTGATTAACCATTCTTAAACTATTAACCCATTCATGCATGTCTTTCTCATTCTCTGCTTGCAAAACAATAATTCTGTAATGATTGAACGCGCGTTTTAGTAAGAGCTAGTATATGTTAAATATATTTTGTTTTGTAGTCATACCTTTGGGGTGAAATCAACTCAAAGCAGAAACGGCGATCATAAGAATCACTCAATTTAATACTGCATACTCGCAAGTTGTAGGATGCAGACTGATCATCGTCTTTGGATGTCTATTTTACGAATAAGATAATACTTCAGCAGGCAATTTATTTTTGGAGATATATATATATATATTAGTACTCAACTCACCTTGGTATTACGCATTGAGCACACAAGATATTCTCCTTCGATACTAAAATATTTACGAATCCAGCTTTGCATTACACGCCCTCCCTTACGCTCAAATAAATATCCGGACTTGTTTGGGTTTTCAGTGGTATTGTGGTAAGGTACTGTGATTCCTGGGGAGGAAACGGTCGAAGAAGATACAGCGTTTAAAGGATTATATATATCTACAGCGCTCTTTTGTTCATGAGATAAGCCATTTTTGCTACATCTTAACTCGCATTTGATCATTTGTGGAGATTACCTGTGCGCAAAGATCTTGATACTCTGAAGATTCTGATGTCTCTTCGTCATGTCTTTGCCGTGTCTAAAAACGTTCAATTCAGCAAATGGATTTTTGAGGAATATTATATATAATACATACATCATTAAGTAAACCTGATTTACAAAACAAAATACAGATGTTTTTGGATGTTATGAGATTGTGTTTTATCGAATCCAACTTACCTGTAAGATCACGCATATAAGGTTCTAAATCCTTTAAAATTTCGTAACTTTGATGATGGAATGCAGATTTCGTGTACATATAGGCAAGAACCTAAGGTAGACAAACCCAGAAATTGACCGTTTCTTTATATGAAAATCTGTCTAATACTATTTGATATAATTTTATAACATACGTTTTCCATATAATCAACCTTCTTTTTTGCCTCAATATCATTAAGCTTGGATACATATTCCATATACACTTGATAGAAGCCCTTTCGTGCATCAGCAAGTTCTTTTGCAGTCTAAAATATATCTGATCAGAATTCTTTTTCATCTAAATTTTCTTTGTCATTAATACCTCTAGAATAGTGGGATCTTTAGGTTTTTTCCCCATATAACGGCTCAACACAGAGTCAACTTCATCACTTGCTTTCTCGAATCGTTTCTTAAGTTCCTGTATGTGCATATAATTTAAACACAAAAAAAAACGAAATTGGATAACAGTTTAAATATTTATAATTACTCGATCAGTCCCCTTTATTTTTATGTTCATTAAAGATTATATATATACGTGTGTGTGTGAATTGTTGTTATACCTTTATTGGAAAAAGAGTTTCTTTTACAAACTTTTCTAATGGACTGATAAAGGTTTCTGTCACATGCGAATTCTGAATGACAGGTTTAACATCAGGATTATAAGCAGCTTGTCCCATTCGACTTACAAACATAGTTCGGCATTTCTCTACTTCAATCATCGATTTTCCAAATTTTTCCAAAGCATGGGCTGTTGCGTAGCAACAGAGTAAGTTGTCATGACGCCCACTGGTCACTCGAGTGCTGTATTTTTACCAATAATAGGGTCATCCTGGGATTGTGCAAAGGAAGTGAAATCGGTTGCTAGTTCTTGCTGTCTCTGGCTATACTCTATATGACATTATTTAATTAAAGTATTCATCTGATGATGAACTTACCAGTAGACGAATCAACTTGAAGACGGGTCAGTTTTGTAAGCGTCTTTAGTGAAAATTCAAAGTGTTGGATTGAATCTTCATAAACAGCTATACGTTTTCTAAATTTAGGTGAGTCATCTAGACATCCCTTAAGATCGAGCGCTGGCATAAGAGTATGTTTAGAAGAGTTGCACTAAAAGGAAAATCAGATTCTTTCCCGATAAGTACTCGCGGTACTCACATCTTGTAAACGGTTTTAAATGTGTAACCTCATCACCATTTTTGCTCTTTTTGGGATGACGTAGGTTTGTCTGTCTCCGCAGACATTAGAAGATTAAGAAAAAAAAACAAGCTTGTAATCAAGCCAGTATTGTTTTAAACATGACAAAGGGGGGAGGATTATAAATCAATGGCACTATGCCCAGAATTATTCCTAGCTATTTTCCGATTCCTCACAGTAATTAATTATCCAATGCAATGCAATGCAATGTAATGTAATGTATTACACAATTATTATTAGTTTTTCTTTTTCTTTCTCTTTTCGTTTTGCATTTCATTTTGAGCTAGTAAACAATGTACATGTATCTTCCCACATTGTCTTTTAACAGGGTAGTTACAATTTATATATATTTTTTACTGGTACTTTAATATAAATAATTAAAAGAGATTAATTACAGTCAAATGTAAAGTTGAGAATGTTAAAGAGCAGCACCATCAATACAAATCCGAACATTGAATTTAAGTTTTTTATTTCAGGTAGCATTTATTAGATTCTTTCAATAAGTTTTAAAATAATAACGAGGTAGACCGGTTGTCCCCATTAGAACAGTTTAAGAAGCAATACCCATACTATTCTAAGAAAGAAAAAAACCGTTTGTCTAAGTTTAGTTAAATATTTTATTCTTATAAATACACTCACAATCAAAAACGTTTCGACCCCCGCAAAAAATGCCTAAAAAAAATCGAAAAAATAAAAATAAAAACATTGTTTTCTCCCAATATTATTAATCGAATCCAACATGCAAGACACAAATTCATCAGAAAACACCCACAGATCATATGAAAAGGCTGATCCCTATAAATACGGATGTATCATGTACATGAATTTAGCAAATTACGAGGCGACCCAGATTTCATTGGAGGTTGGCATGAGTCTGTCAACTGTCAAGTACATCATTAAGAGAGTGGACGAGACAGGATTTTCCGAGCCAAGAAAAGGGTCCAGACGACCTAGAAAGATTGATGAGAGGACAGAAAGACACCTTATACAAATAGTTCGTAAGGACCCCTTTGCCTCATTTTCTAGGCTAAGGGCTTCCTTAAAGAACATGGAGGTATTTGTCTGCAGAAAGACAATAATCAGTTGTCTGAAGCGTTTGAGCTTCGGATCATATATCGCAGCTCACAAGCCAGCTTTAACCGATAGCCACAAGAAAGGAAGGCTGGAATGGGCCTGTGAGCATGTTAATTGGACAGATGACCAGTGGAGAGGTGTAGTGTGGTCAGATGAATCACGCTTCACAGTTGAGGGTAATGATGGAGGAGCTAGAGCAATCAGGAAAGTCGGTGAAAGGTTCAAGGAAGAAAATATCATCGAAGGAACCAAGTTGGGGAAGGGTAGTGTGATGACCTGGAGCTGTTTCTGGGCCGGTGGTTTTGGCCCTTTGGTGTTTCTAGATGGTAACGTAAACTAAGACCAATACATAAACACTTTGGCTCAGAACTTCCTCCCTTGATTCCAAAATCTTTCACGGGAACAGAACAGGAGTTTCGTGTTCCAAGAGGGCAACGCCAGCTGTCATACTGGGTCGTACTAGAGGTGGTGGAAAGATATCCATGAGATCCGAGGTTTTGACTACTGGCCTGCTCAAAGCCTGGATTTCAACCCCATTGAGCATCTCTGGTGGGCTCTCGAGAGGTGCATGAGTGACGAGAGGGCCAGTATTAACAACATTGAAGATCTTAAGGTTTTAATGCAATGAGAGTGACGAAGGATAGGTTTCGAACTTTCATCAACTTTGACCAGAAGCATGCAGCATCGATGCCAGGCTGTAATTGAGACCAAAGGAGACCATACGAAATATTTGTCTTTTTTTATATTCCAATAATAAACATATATATAATCTTTTATTTGAAGTTTGAATGCTTTAGCTTTTATTACTGAAGAGCAGTTGCATATTGAATACATGCCATGATTTCTCTCAAGCATTTTTTGGGCTCAGAGATTGAAACGTTTTTGATTGTGACTGTATTTGACAATCAATCAAAAGCAAACATAACTTATACAAAAATTGAAAACTTTGGTTAAAATCATATAAACTCAATTGCTATATGATGTGACATTTGATCTTAAACTTTATTCACTCTACTGTTTATTTCAATTTGGCACACGATTACCATCATCGATAATATGTACAAGATTCAGATATTCCCTTCAAAGTTAAAAGTTTACTTATTTATACTGTTCATCTCTGTTATATCTTGAAAAGAAAAGAAAAGAAACAAAGTGCAGATGAGAAGTACGGTGAGACTTTGTTTATTGATAAAAAAGAATGATCTTTTATTGCTATTTGCTATGTGAGTTTATATACACATTGCATATGTATTTAAGATAATGATATGAGTATATCACGTGATGTCTGTTTGTCAGGACTGGATTGTAATTGATACTCAGTCCCAGTATTAGCCAGTTTTCTATCTAAGTGTTGTATCCAATATAATCATAGATTTAAATTAAAAGTACAGACACTCAATAAATACGTACATTGAGTTACCAACAACTAGTAATGATACTAAAAGATATACCTTCCCTTATACAAGGAAATTATGTAATTTTTTTTGTAGGGAGCAATTAGAGCTCAGGTTTTTATTGTGAGGATCACTAGCTAAAAAAAAGGACGCACGTCACAAAATTTGTTTTTGGGTTTTTGATTTTTTTTGAGGTGTATATGTAAGAAGGAAAACTAAAGGTAGAGCTAAGTAGCAAGAGAACAGGCAAGGTCATCAAGAGATTTTTTAGCCTTAAATATAGCAACCAAGCGGGAAGCGGTAGAAAGGATGGTGGAAGATACAAAAGGTGTATTGTCGAATACCGTAGACCAATGATGTTGCCAGATCGCCAGAAGGGCACAGCTAAAGAGAGAGGCGGCATGAATATCAGAGGGGCGGATATAGGGGAAAGACAGGTTGTAAAATGCATCATGAAGTATAGGAAGAGTAGGATGAGATCCAAAAACATCTTGCCAGAATGTAGACCAAACGTCAATTTTGAGGGGGGAGAAGAAGAGGAAATGATCAGGTGTGTCTGTAGAGACTTCACAAATGGGGCAAGAGTTGGTGGGGAAGGGGCCAGGAAGTATGCGATGCAACAGGGAGCGGGATGACAATTTGTGGTGCAGACCTCGGTACCAGATGTTGCAGACATGGTGGTGTATAGGAAGGTTCCAAAAGATTTGCCATTGTGAGCTGGACAGTGTAGATGACAGGGGAGAAGAAACAGAAGAGGAACAAAGAGAACGATACATATGAGGTTTCAGCTTGGACCACAGTATTCCAGGTAAAAGGCCGCAAACAAAAGGGCTAGCATTGATTGATGAACCTGAACGGGAAGGAATGGAAGGGTCATTGAGCTGAAGGATATGAGAAGGGAGGAAAGCGCGAACAAGGAAAGGTTGTAGCAAGATGTTGCAAGAGTCAACTCTCTTGAAAAACTTGCGCAATATGAACAGGTTGCATGGGAAATCAGCCAGTGCTCGACGGCAGAGAATGTCAAAAGAAGGGTCAACAAGAAAGGCATCTTCAACGCGGAGGTGTTGCCAGGAGGGAGGGAAGGAGGTAGTGCTTGTGGCTGGTAGGCATACTGAGTGGAGGGGAAGTGCCAAACACATAGCAATGTTGGGGGCAAGGGAGAAAAAGTCGTGCAGGAGCCTATCAATAGCAGAGAATATGTTGCAGAAGCAACCTGCAAGGCCAGTCAGATTGGGGGGGGGGAGTGAAGATCATGGAAGAGAAGTATCAATTGGGGGTTGGTGCCAGATGTATGATAACGTAAGAGAAAGGACAGCCAAGGAGGAACTAAGCCAGAGGTGGAGTGAGGAGAGAGACAGAGAGGACGTAACCAATACAGCTGAAGAGCACCTTGTTGTATAGAAGGATCTAATACTCCAAGGCCGCCAGAACGAAGAGGGAGACAAAGAGTGGACAGCTTAATGGGAGAAAACATTTGGTGCTGCAAGAACTGACCCATGGCCAACTTCACTTTATCGAGAAATGACACAGGAACAGAGATCACACGTAGGGCATGCCAGAGATGGAAGAGAATGAGAGTATTGAGAACGGTGGCATGCCCCCAGATCGATAAGGATTGAGTGAGGTGTATGGCACAGGAAGATTGTATGGTTGTTAACAATGAGGAACAAAAGGCATCGCGTTGGGCAATTGAACTGACAAGAGGGAAGCCAAGGTAGTGGAGGGAGTCAGGACAGGAACGGTCGTGCCAGGATGTTATTTGGTGGGCCTGTAGGAACGTGATCTATTGAGGAAGTGGTTGTCCCAAAAGCAATATGGCCTCCGTCTTGGCCATGTTGATCTTGGCATTGGAGGCCCAAGAGTAAGTGGCAAGATGTGTGTGGAGGCATGTGAAACATTTGGGTGTGGAGAGGAAAACAATGACATTGTCTGCATATGCAAGACATTTGACTGGAGGGGGGGGCTGGAAGGATTGGCAAGATAGGTGGGAGAAACCCAGAAAATTCAGGGTCATGTTGGAGGCGGCGTAGAAGAGGCTCAAAGGCGAGATTGAAGAGAACAGCGGACAGAGGATTGCCCTGTTGGAGACTGCGGTGCTGAACAAGTTCTCGGGAGATATGACCATTCACATTGACTCGTATTTGAGTAGAGAAGAATAGGTTGCAAATACAATTGACGAGAGAGGAAGGGAAACAGAAATGGTGCAGGACTTGTCACAGGTACAAGGGGTGTACACAATCGTAAGCCTTTTCTTGATCCAAGAGCAAGCCAATACTGGTAGATTGAGTGAGCCGGGCCTGTTCCATAATGGTCTTGACGAGCATGCCATTGTCAGCAATGAACCTTCCCCTCACAAACCCGGTTTGATATTGAGACACAATTGAGCTGGCAGCAGGAATCATACGGGCATTGAGTAGTCGAGTAAAGACCTTTGCATCAGTGTTAATCAAGGCAATAGGTCGCCAGTTCTTCAAAGATGTAAGGTCTCCTTTCTTCGGTAGCAAGGAGAGACAAGTAGATTGCCAAGAGGCAGGAAAAACTCCAGTGGTGAGAGCGTCATTGTAAAGCTTTTCCAAGATATGAGCACACGCAGGATGGTCAAACAGGAGACAAAGGATTTCATAGGGTATCCCATCGGGGCCGAGACTGCTGGCGGAAGGAGACCACTGTGCACCTTTTCGTACGTCTACGATGGAAAAGGAGGAAGTGAGTCTGTTTACAAGAGCGTCAGAGAGAACAATATGAGTCAGAAAATTACGTAGAAGGTCGTCTACAGCAGTTTGCTCAATGTCATTTGGGGAATACAAATCTTCATAAAATGCAGCCGCAGAATTGGTTATGATAGAAGGCTGTGTTGAAAGGACATTGGTGAAGGGGTGGCATAGGCCAGAGATTGTCTTACGGACTTGTTGTGTTTCAATTATATGTTTCAAGTAACTGGCAGAGGTCTCACCCTGTTCCCGCCAGTGTTTTCCAGCATGCAATGCCTGTGTTTCTACCTTTTCGTGTTGTATGTTCTGAATCTGTCGTTCCACAAAAGGAAGCTGGAAGTTAATGGAGGGGTTGAGTTAGTACTTTTGTATCAGATGTGCGCGCTTGCTCTGCAACTGGGCTTCTATTGTAGTGAGGTTGCGGCAAGGGTGATGGCAATAAGAGTGGATAAAATAGATGACATTGGTTTTGAGACTATCCCACTGTTCTTGAACAGATAGAGATGTTGGTAGAGAGTTGACGAGGGAATGAATGTGAGAGTCAAGCTGGAGACAGAAATGCTGGTTGTAGGACAGACGTGGGTTGGCACGCCATAGGCCTTTCCCCAAGACAGTGCCTGAATCAAAGAGAAAAGATGCAGAAACTAGGAAATGGTCTGACCATTGCGGATGAATATAATCCATAGAAGACGAAATGCAGTGGGAAAACATATCGGAAGAAGAGAATATATAGTCCAAGGTAGAGGACGTTGTGCCACAATGGAAGGTAGGCATAGGGGTAGAATCAGGCATAGTGACGCAGTCAAAGAGGTGGTCAGAGAGGAATTGGAGCCATGTATGAGGTGCAAGTCGGGGCCGGAGTGAACGAGTGTCATAGGAGTGATTAAAATCTCCCAGCAGGATGAAGCGTGAAGGATGAGTAGGCAATAATACACTGGGGAATTAGATTTCTACATATATGCGATAGTATGGGAAATTCTGAGTGACAGAATAATTAAATTCTGGAATTTGGCATTTATAGATTCCGTTCGCAATATGTTATGTTATCTGTAAGTTGTTCATGTAACTTCTAAACTTATAATGATCCATATAGAGATGTAAGGTTCTTTTAAACTATTTAATCGCAGAGAGAATAATCAAATTATGGCATCTTTTTTTTTGGATGTTACATTAAATTAAACTTGATTTGAAACAGAGATTCCAATAAAAAATCTATTTTTAATAGAAAACTGTCTACTGAAATAGTAGAATTCTATTGGATTACTTTACCAAAAAAACTGTCTACTGAAATAATGATATTCTATTGGATTATTTAACAGAAGAAACAGGATTTATGTATACTGTCTTCCGAATCTAAACACTTTTATTGGACAATTATGCATGGCTAAACTATAGGATTCACATATGCCATACTACTACAATACTTCTTGCACTTCATTTTAAATATTTTTATAGGGATTGTTTTGGAAAAATTGTTTTTATTTAAAAAAAAAGCTTCTTGCTTATAATATGTACGGCTTGACAATATATAGTCTAATCTAATATATAGGCTACTACATAAGTAATATAATAACAAACCCTTTCATATATTATAATATATAAATACTTCCAATACGATAGAATCCTAAAAATTAACACGTGTTTATGGTATTTCACTAGTAAGAGAAGACTAAAAAATTATTCAATTATATTAGATTATATAAATATTTATTTTTCTTTAATTTAAATAGTATGGTTACTTACCAGTACTTTCGTCAGAATTAGGCATAGTGCACATTGACTGTTGTTCTGAAAGGTTTAATAAAACGCATTAGTAAAGATCATGGAATAAAGTTTGGCTTTATTACTTACCAAAGAAAACCAGTTTTCAAAGACAAGCCATTCAATCAGGTACATAGAAATGTTAGCAGTACTAACAGAGATAGAAAATAAACAAAATTAGATATAAGAATAAAATAAATAAATACATTATTCAGACTTATCAGATAAATTTCTGCTGTTGGTATGTCTTTATGATGAGCTGAGGATCTAATGAGCTGAGGAGCTAATGAGCTGAGAAGAGAAAAAGAAAATAATTAATAAAGAAGCACATACACGATAATCACTTTTTACCTTTTTGTTCTTGTCTATTAATCAACATGGCAAAGACTTGTAATACTATCAGCAACCACAATAATAATAAAAGAAAAGACATTAAGAATAAATATAACAATAGAATAATAAAAACAAATTGCTTACCAGGGTGTGAACTCAAATACATCAACCAGAATAAAAGTAAATAAAGCAGAAAAGAAACAGGAAAAAAAGAAATAAGAAGAAAATAAAGAAAAAGAAGAAGAAAAAGTGGGCTTTCAAACAGAAGGCAGTTTAGATGAGAATTGACTCTAGTAAAATACAATAGTAATAAAATGAATAGTCCGAAATTATATTGTAACACTAAGCTCTATATTGAATATTAAAGAAGTTGTTCAAGGTTATAAAAGATTTTATAGAAAATAATATATAATCCCTTTCTTTTCTCAGCTATTTCATAAATCTACTTTATATTAACTTATTTTGTATGTATATCTTTGATTAAACAAAAATAAATATATTTCAACCCATACATTTATTTTATTTTAATAATTTATTAATCTATAAAACTTTAATAAAAATACAATAAAAAAAATGCCTTTCAATAGCAGCAGAAAAACAGACCGTAAAGGAAAAGGAAAAGCATCTGAAAGTATATCTACCTCTGCAAACCGTGTTTTGGCTGGCCGTGTTAGACCTCGAGAAATTGCCCCCAGTTTCTCATCCGCAACTATCCAAGATCAGCAATATGCGGAAATTGTTGAAATGTTTAACAAAGTAAACAACAGTATCAACGGTGTCAAGGATGACATTGCTGCTGTCAATAGCAACATGACAGCCTTTAAAAACAGGATGGGCGTTGTTGTTGACACGTCTGGAAAGACACATATGGTATTTGCAGACTTTGCAACTGCCTATGCCAACGATCAGACTCATATGGCTAGTCTAGGACCGTCTCTGATGCTATCCTATGTCCCCCAGACCTCCCTCAGTGATGCCAAGGTTTCTGTCATTATCTTGGTAATTAATATTAATATATGTTAGTATTAACAACTTATTAAACAATCTGTATTTAGGAAATTTTTGCGGAAAAGTTGTGGGACTGGAAGTTTGAGTCTGACAACCCTGCTCTTGTTGCCGAGAACGAGAGTAAGAAGAAGTGGAACTTGAACAAGAAGATTAACCACCGCAATAATGTAGCTGTTATCAACTACTTGAAGAGCTACATTAGCACCCAGACTCGTCTAGCTGGTACTCACCCACGGGTGATAAGTGATAAAATAAAGAACAGATATAAGCACAGTCATCATACTTTTCACGAGTCTCCTGAGCAGAAGGCCAAGAAAAACAGCAAGGGGAGAGCTAACAGTCGTACTCTTCAGGTTTGTATATACTATATAAAAAATTAATTTGTATATTACTATTTTCTCAAGCTACAATCTATATAACCAGATGTCTATCTGACACAAGTTGACATACATGGACAACTGGGTAGCCATTGATGCTGCAATGGGATATAAGACTGGAAACCCTGTTGAGAAGGCCTATCTCAAACTCTTTCAGAAGGATGCCATGTCTGATGGTGAGTCGGATATTGAGATTGTGGACAATCTTCCACAACGGTGTTTGCATGTAGCTTGCCCCACTTGGAGAAGTGAAGAGGTAAATAATATTTAGAATAAATAAATAAGTTTTATAACAAGAAAAATAAAGAACTAATAAAAATAAATACAGTTCAACAGATTGTTGACAATGGTTGACAACATTGATCATACCCATCACGTGTCAAATGCAGGCGTGGGAACAAAGCCAAGAATGAACAGATATCCAGCAACATTGTTGCCTTGCTCTGTTCCTGCCACCCTGTCCCAGTCATTGTCTCGTTGGGCAATCAACAATGAATAAACATTTTCTTTTTTACTATGTTCTGTTGTAGGGCCAAATAGTAATAATTGAAATTGAATTGATTAAAGGAAATAATAATAATAGAGGATAAATATATAAGTAAGTGTGTGTATGAGAATTAATAGTAATTTTTTTTGGTAAAGGAATCACAAGTTTTTTGTTGATGTTTTTTGTAGTTTTGTAATCTACTATTGCAGCTGTTAGGAGAATCTGATGTACTGGCAGGATGCTTTGAAAATCTTGCTTGTAGAATTCATCCTGTAACAATTTAACTCCTTCTAATTCTCTTATTTTGTCCGAAGTAGATTTGAACCATTTGACAAACGCAAATACATGCTGACTACTATGGGGATTTCTGTATGTTAGAGAAGAAACAGTTGGCCTAAAATTGTGAACAAAAATGTACTGAATCTCTCCAACATACGCATGTTCCAACCCAGTTCGTTCAGTGAAATATGCTTGTATGTATGATCCGCGGCCATTCGTGCCAATGCACCCTTTGTAGCTTTGCCCAAGAAGATCAATGGACTTCACCATTTTGATCCAGTCATTGACAAAAGGTGAGTCATCAATTACATCTTTGCAACCTGAGATCTGTGGATTCTTGTACATAGCTTGATAGTATCCTACAAGACAATCATATTCATGTTTTGGCATAAATGATAATGGTCTTGTTTTCAATGGCAAGGCGGATGGTGGCAGGGGCTCGTTTCCACGAATTGTCATTGAAAGATTCTATAAAGCTTCAAGATATTTGGAAATTGAGAAAGAGTGAGAGAGGAATGTGTTGGTGTTGGTATTGGTGTTGTTGTTGTTGTTGGTGGTGGTGAACTCATCAAAAATTTCAAAACATGCAAGTGCATGCATAGGTTTCAGAAGTTGACAAACAAAATTTCCCTTCCATGACTCTTCAATGAACTGTCTCATAAATGTCAATTCGAACTTATTTCTTTGATTGGTTTGGATATTTTTCAGGACACTATTGTATCTTTCAAAGCTGAAAAGCCAATAGCCATAGACGGGCTCAAAGTCAATCATTGTTTGGCATAAGTGCAGATGCAAGTGCATGTTGGGAGAGAGAAGGTCCAGGTCATACAATGTCTCACATCCTTTACAGAATTCTTCTAAGCATTTGTGTCCTTTCTCAATGTCTTCTTCAGAAACACTAGGCTTGGTGAAGTATCTGCATGCGTTAACAAACTCTATCCAGTTCTTGAACTCTGGCAATGGCAACACATCCTTAGAACCACAGGAGAGTACACAATGCACCAAGACTTCCACTCATCAGCCTTCATATAGGGAAATCCCTTGGCAATCTTTGTACCAAGTGACATGTAATTGGGCGGCAACACTACCTTCTCAACAGCCTTTTGCATGGCAATGAGTTTTTTATTGTTGATTAATCCATTTGCAACCCATCTCTCCAGCATTCTTCTGGCAGTGCCTAAGAAAAGATTGTGTATGGGATCAATGATCGTGCAGCAGACAATGTCAAAGTACTGAAGACGATGCAGTTTGGACCAGCGAACACCATGTGTAACTTCAAGACACTGTCTCTCAGTTGGTTTGGTTGCATTTCTCCAGATCTCTGCATTCTTATGATTGTCATTCTTAGTGCGAAGGAGACACTTTGAGAAATCAAATCCAGAATAATCAACGGAACTTGTTCCAGCCAACCTTGAAAATTGATGCTTACACTTGTGGCATGCATTTGTACTTGTATTGGATGTGAACCTACATACTTTCTTTGCAGCAGGTATATCACAGGCAACCATGAGAAGGGCTGCTTGGATAGAAGTAATATTTGGACATTGGTGAGTCTTAATTTTAATACCTTTGTACAGCTCCATCAACTCATTCACAAGCAGTTTCAGATAGTTATTTATGTCAGAAGTGCTCGCTTCTTTAGGCTCTGGCATTAACCCAACAAGAATCACGTTCTCCTTCTTGAACCGCTCACTGCATGGAAGATTATTGATTGCAAGATATATGGCACCACAGGAGTAGGTAACACCATTGAATGGCTGAAACCAGTCAATGTTCAGCGTGAGCATGAGTGATTGCTCGGTATCAACAGAAGGTATACCATCTACGTCTACTATCTCATTCTACATCGCACCATTGTACATGTCAAACAAAGTGCTATCTATTTTTGGGCCGCAGTTCTGTGAGTTGATCTTGTTTTCAAAATCCGGGCATTGAAAAAACGTCTTTAGGGCTTTCTTGACAGAGTGGAATACATATGTCTTTTTGGGTGCTTTTGACCCGGGACCAGACTTAAACAAGCTGTTGCCACACAAGGAGGTTTTACCAAAATTGGGTGATGCACAACACAAAGGGGCGGCTTCATTATCATATATGGCATGGCATTCGCTACATGCAACATACTTCTTGACTGTTGTAAATGAGTATTGACTACTGCTGTAATTGAGAATAAGTCTGAAGGAAATAATATAAGGCCTCAGCTATTCCAGTCAAAGGTGTCTACCAATTACTTTATTATTTAACACACAGGTTTAGCATGCATGATAGTGATTATATTTCATATGATGATATCACCATAATATGGGATACATCAGTGGATTATTATAAGCATAATTATAACTCATAAACACATTTACTTTTGATGTTAATACTTCATTGGGACTACATACATTTATATAATTAATCATACATTAATTATCCCAAGATCAAGTTGCTCTGATTAAGGCTCAGATAGGATCGATTATCTGACCCCAGTCATATAATTTTCCCAATCCAAAACAATATAAATAGCAGTAGTAGTTCAGTGTAGGAACCTGGTCAAACTTTGATACAAAATCTTTCTCAATAAACAAAACCTACACAAGTTCTCACGAATCTTTGTTCCTAATTTCAAATCTTCAATTCTTCCTCTTAAAAACTTCTTCAACTTCAACCACCACAACATTGACACCACTTATCAATGCTTCAAATCTGACCAAATGTTTGAGGCCAGCAACACTCACAGGAAGGCGGAATGGGTCAAACAAAAACTGCAGGATCTTGTTGATTATGACAATCAGAATTACAGCTCCTTCATTTATGACATATAGTGAGACAAAAAGAGTAACCAAAATAACAATGAATCAGTGAATTAAATTCAATTCCGAGATTGATTCCAATGAAGAATCTTTAATTTGGTTTTTTTAAAGAATGTTGATTAACTCTCTATTTTCTAGAATATAATATTATCTAAAGCTGTGTACCTACCTTCATCATTGTCTATCTCAACATCGAATTAATCTTCATATTCTTCTTCTTCTTCATAAGTGTCACTTGTATACTAGACATTATCTTCAGAACCAAACACACAATCCGTTTCAGAGAAAGGTTGGTTTCTTGTCCGTATATCTAAAATATCATTTGTGTCATTTAGGTCTGCAAAAGCGGAATGTTAGATCCAAATAAATCAATGTAATAAAATAAGTTTTCTTACTTCTAAGTTCAGAATTCATTTCAATATCTTCCTATTCAAATTCAAAACTATCTTTCTCTTGATTTACAGGCTCAGAAACAGTACTACTAATTGTATCACATATGTCTTCATGGGCTACACATTTATTATTATTAGTGTTAGTATTATTATTATTATTATTATTATTATATAAAATAATAAAAAATAAAATAAAATAAAATAAAATAAAATAAAATAAAATATAGTAAAGTAAAGCAAATGTATTAACCGTACGCGTTTGAACATGTGTAATATCATGATTATCTTTTTCTTGATGACATTTAAATGTTTTAACAGATACATGATTGAATCCTAGTCTCTTGCTTTTACAGATAGAGCATTGACACTCTTTTCTAATAGTTGGTTTGCAAATAGGAGCCATTTTAAAATGAAAAGAAAGGTTTACAATAGTATTTAATAGTAAAGAAAGAGACTTTAAAGAAAACACACTTTTATTTTATTTGAGTTTGATATTGCATTCTAATGCTACATAGCTGCCAGTAGCCAATAGAGTAGCTTAAAATACTATTCAAATACTTTATTCACAAAAGTGAGTTAAACTACAATTTTATCTATTCTGTCTATCAGAACTTAGGTATACTTTATATATGCAAAATTGATCTGTTTTTGCAGTGCAAAATACTGGTCAAAATAAATGTCAGAAGGCATAACATATGCTATATCTAATTGAATTGGCCCAATTAAATTTTTGCCGTCAAAAGTAAAAAACCCTGTAGAGTTGAAATATTATCAAAATTTCCCTTTGATTCAACCAAAGTTTCTCAAGGAGAAATCATATAATTTTTGTAGTGTAATTATTTAAAGAATGGAATGAAATTAGTAGTTTGGGTATAAGGGGTATCGGGAACAAGATTTCCCAAGGAACCTGGGGGAATCACTTCTGTCCCTCGAGACACATCACTTGGTCGACTTACCACCGACGTCAATGTCCACGAGTCTGGTACCACCCGTCATGGCTCACTGCCAGACCAAACCACCAAAGGAACCCACCGTCCAGTGTCCATCACCAGAAACAAACTATTGCCACACATGTTAATATTACATATAATAATTCTCATAGCGCGGATGGTTAAGTGGTATAATCTTCGCCTGCCACGCGAAGGGCCCGGGTTCGATTCCCGGTCCGCGCATTTTACCTTTTTGGGGTGCCCGAATTCTTGTCAGCCAATCGGGATTTACAAGCAACCAGTAATGGTTGACTTTTTGTCAATTTGTCGTTCCTGATCTGGGATGGTCTTCCTTTTACTATAGCAAAGTCAAAAGGTCAACCCCACTGGGGATCAGAGAGTATATGTAAAATCGAAGAGAGGATAAAAGGTACTTTTTATTGATAGGAATTGAATTGTCTTATATAGTTTTCTAAACTAATACTGCGCATTATCTGCAGTAAACTATTATACTCTATTTAATTACAAGAGAAGTCCTTTTACTGCGGTTGATGCTCAGAAGATGTTACTGTAGTTAATCTTTACAAGACATTACTGCAGTTCGTTATCTATGAGGTATCTTTGACACACAGAACTGTTGCGGTCAATTATCCCAATTTCTCGGATTCATCAAAATAATGTCTGACAAATTCTCGATCTAGTATTTCTTTTCTGACACTTGTTAAGGTATTTGGGATTGTTTATGGGTTATTATCTCAATAATGAAAAAAGTAGATACTGTGAAAATGTTATTTTTTAAAGAGACAAGATAATATTGTTTATATCTGCTACTATTCAAATCCTTGTAATTCAAATCCCTGTTGTGTAATGATTAGTTTACACTGTATGAGTGTGTAGTGTACAGGTGCCTGGTGTGTAACAGTTCCAGAGATTGTTAACTTGCCAGGTTCATTAACAAGAAGGAACTAGTGTTTGGTTGTGAGATCTGTTCTTCACTCAATTGTGGTGTATATCACACTTGTAACTAAGTTGCAGAATCAATATCACTGGGAATTGTCAAGTTTTAAGAATAGTTTTTTAGATAAGAATAAAGATGCTTTTTATTAATTATATTTCTTGACTATTTATACAAACTGATGTGGTGATCCAGACACTTGGATGTTGGATTTAACACATATAAGAGCATATTTGTTATGGTGGTTGAAGTTGAAGAAGTTTTTAAGAGGAAGAATTGAAGATTTGAAATTAGGAACGAAGATTCGTGAGAACTTGTGTAGGTTTTGTTTATTGAGAAAGATTTTGTATCAAAGTTTGACCAGGTTCCTACACTGAACTACTACTGCTATTTATATTGTTTTGGATTGGGAAAATTATATGACTGGGGTCAGGTAATCGATCCTATCTGAGCCTTAATCAGAGCAACGTGATCTTGGGATAATTAATGTATGATTAATTATATAAATGTGTGTAGTCCCAATGAAGTATTAACATCGAAAGTAAATGTGTTTATGAGTTATAATTATGCTTATAATAATCCACTGATGTATCCCATATTATGGTGATATCATCATATGAAATATAATCACTATCATGCATGCTAAACCTGTGTGTTAAATAATAAAGTAATTGGTAGACACCTTTGACTGGAATAGCTGAGGCCTTATATTATTTCCTTCAGACTTATTCTCAATTACAGCAGTAGTCAATACTCATTTACAACAGACTGGAATAGCTGAGGCCTTATATTATTTCCTTCAGACTTATTCTCAATTACAGCAGTAGTCAATACTCATTTACAACAATATTCATATTGGGATAATGTAGTAGCTATCATCTTAACAGTAGAAAATATATATAAGCAATTAAGTAATCAGCCCAATAATTATTACAGTTAGTACTGTAGATAATATCTTAAAGATTGTTAAGATAATTATATCATACTGCTGGGTAAACTGTGTCAGATCGATATGGAGCTAATTTAGTAGGAAGTCCTAAAGCTCTAGTATAAAAGAGAAAAGAATAGCTAAGAGCTAAAGAAGTATGATTTATGACTTGATGTAATAATCATAACACCGACACTAGTTAAGCAGTAAATACACTCTAATAGCCAAATATAGTAAAGGAAGAAAGCCTTAAGAAACTAAGACGTAATGACAAGAGCAGATTGTGTTTTCTTATAAAAAGGGACACTTTTTATTTATAAATAAAGACAACTGATATACAGTCTCAAAGTATTTCTATATGTCTCTATTATCAAATATTTTATTTTTCTATTGTTTCATACCTGAAATACTACATAATCAACTTATAATAATTTGTAATATTACTAGACACTACTTGAGTGTAGTCAAAGATGAATAATCATTTCAAAAAGTATATAAGATAATCCAAATCAAAATAATAAAAATTATCTTTTATCCTCTCTCTTATTTGCTTACTCTTGTGTTATTAAAGCTTGACCAATTTGGCTACATTTACAGTGAATTGGAAGATAGCCTAGATCAGGAATAACAAGATTTTATGAATTCATCAAAATATCGTTTTCGATCTGGATTGTTCTTCCAATGCTATAACACAGCCAAAATTGATCAAACCCACTGGGAATTGTAAACGAAGATAAAGGAATAAAAAGAGGATAGAAAGATAGATAACTTTTATTGAATGAAATAATGTCCTCTTTTATATCTTTTCTGAATCTACTCAGCCATTATAAATGTCTGTTTTGGTTTCTATTCTACTTTTGTTAAGCTATGTGCTTTGTAATTCTTTTGTGAGCAAAAGGAAATCACTTCGGTCATCGTTCTCAAAAGAGAATTCTGTGTAATTGTCATCCTGTCATTCCTGATCTGGGGTGGTCTTCCTTTTACTATAGCAAAGTCAAAAGGTCAAACCCACTGGGGATCGGAGAGTATATGTAAAATCGAAGAGAGGATAAAAGGTGCTTTTTATTGATAGGAATTGAATTGTCTTATATAGTTTTCTAAACTAATACTGTGCATTATCTGCAGTAAACTATTATACTATATTTAATTACAAGAGAAGTCCTTTTACTGTGGTTGATGCTCAGAAGATGTTACTGTGGTTAATCTTTACAAGACATTACTGCGGTTCGTTGTCTATGAGGTATCTTTGACATACAGAACTGCTGCGGTCAATTATCCCGATTTCTCGGATTCATCAAAATAATGTCCGACACATGACAAAATCCAACAACAGAAAAATTAGGTAACACGAATCAATGGGCTTCTCCGGGAATCGAACCCGGGACCTCTCGCACCCTAAGCGAGAATTATACCACTAAACCAAGAAGCCTTTTCTTTGCGCTAGACTTGTTTAAAATTAAATTGCATCCAAATATTACAAAACAACAATTCCTCGCATCATGTCACCAAGAAGTACCCCATTGTCTATCTATACACCATCTTGTGCATCTCTTTCCCAGCTTTCAGATAAGCCTAGTTTGAAGTCTCCAGCACCTTTGGTTCAAGAGTTATCCTCTTCAAGGCTCAAGAAAACCTTGTTCAAAAAGACCTTGACAAATTCTTTTGCTATCTGGATACCTTCCCCTCAGTTGGAGCTCAAACAATAATTGAATCTTCAATTATACTCATTGCTATATCTGACTACCCTCCAACTGCCAAAAATCAGTAAATTTTTGATCTTACAGTACTGGATCAATTAGTGATGAATTCGATCTGTACAAACTTTGCTACAAAGAGGACATCTTCCTTTGTGATTGACTATGATGAAGACCATAAATGATGCATCACACTATCAGCCAAAGACGCAATAATTACTGAGCTAAGATCCTCTTTAGCTCTTTTGAAAGAAATCTTTGACAAAGTTAAGAAATCTAACAAGACTTTAAAGTCTATGCTCCAGGCTCTTATAGACAAAGACACCGTGGGCCCTACATCCTTGATGGCATCCAAACATGCACCAAAGAACATCACCAACAGCAGCAACAACAACAACAACAATAAGAACAACAACAACAATAACAACAACAAAAAAACAAAAACAACAATAGTAATGATGATACTAAAATAAACAGTATGTCCAAACAAACATATGCTGATAATGCCAAGTTAACTATTGCAGCCACAGTCCCAAAAGTTTTAAAGCAGAAGCTTGGTGTTGTGGTAGTTGAAGTTGAAAAAGTTTTTAAGAGAAAGAATTGAAGATTTGAGATTAGGAATGAAGATTTGTGAGAACTTGTGTAGGTTTTGTTTATTGAGAAAAGATTTTGTATCAAAGTTTGATCAGGTTCCTACACTGAACTACTACTGCTATTTATATTGTTTTGGATTGGGAAAATTATATGACTGGGGTCAGGTAATTGATCCTATCTGAGCCTTAATCAGAGCAACATGATCTTGGGATAATTAATGTATGATTAATTATATAAATATGTGTAGTCCCAATGAAGTATTAACATCGAAAGTAAATGTGTTTATGAGTTATAATTATGCTTATAATAATCCACTGATGTATCCCATATTATGGTGATATCATCATATGAAATGTAATCACTATCATGCATGCTAAACCTGTGTATTAAATAATAAAGTAATTGGTAGACACCTTTGACTGAAATAGCTGAGACCTTATATTATTTCCTTCAGACTTATTCTCAATTACAGCAGTAGTCAATACTCATTTACAACAGCCCCTTTTCAATTTGTTTTGTTTTGTTTTTGGTAGCATTGACTAAGAAAGTTGTGTATATATAAGACAAGAGTTCTTCTCATAAACTCAATTAAATTTTAAATTAAAAACTCATCTTACCTGAGTCAAGAGACTCTTTTTTGATTTTTTAATATTTTTGTTTTGTTTTCTTGTGACCTTAAGGCCAGATAAACTCTTTTCAACTATCTTTGTAATATTTTGTTAGTACATTGCCTTAATCCCGGCCTATAATTCCATTAAGATAATTAGTTTTGTCCTATGTTTAATATAAGTAAATCACGAAACTTACAGTTCCAGCCAAGATACTTGTCTCTCTCCACATTGGGCAACCAAAGTCCTTTGGCAAGTATTTAGGATGGCTGCTGCTGTGGTGATCCAGACACTCAGATGTTGGATTTATCACATATAAGAGCATATTCATATTGGGATAGCATAGTAGCTATCATCTTGTCAGTATAAAATATATATAAATGATTAAGTAATCAGCCCAATAATTATTACAGTTAGTACTGTAGATAATATCTTAAAGATTGTTAAAATAATTATATCATACTGCCAGGTAAACTGTGTCAGATCGATATGGAGCTAATTTAGTAGGAAGTCCTAAAGCTCTAGTATAAAAGAGAAAAGAATAGCTAAGAGCTAAAGAAGTACGATTTATGACTTGATGTCATAATTGTAACACCGACACTAGTTAAGCAGTAAATACACTCTAATAACCAAATATAGTAAAGGAATAAAGCCTTAAGAAACTAAGACTTAATGACAAGAGCAGATTGTGTTTTCTTATAAAAAGGGACACTTTTTATTTATGAATAAAAAAAAGAATATACAGTCTCAAAGTATTTCTATACGTCTCTATTCTCAAATATTTTATTTTTCTATTGTTTCGTACCTGAAATACCACATTTTTTACTTTGAATTCTCAAAATGTCTCAACAATCCGCTGTCAACTCTACTATCATTTCTGGTGAAGAAACCGCCCGTGTCAACTCTGGTGTCATTCCTCCTCCTTCTGCTGCTGGTTCTGCCGACCACGATGGTGATACCATGATGACTCCCTTGTGTTCTGAGGACAGTGCCTTTGATTCTGAAGAAGGTTCTTCAGGTTCCGATGCTGGCCGTTCTGGTTATGAGGGTGCCAATTCTCCTCGCATCTATTTGGGTAACTCTGGAGTCAGAGTTAGCAACAACCTTGTGGCCACCGTGGAAATGTTGCTGGCTTCTGCTGAGGAGGACCTCAACACTAAGAAGGGCAACTACTATGCCGCTCTAGGCCACTACTTGGGTGTTTCCAAGAGGGATCCCACCTCTACTGCTGCCAAGTCTGCTTCCAAGGGTGCCAAGGAAGCACAAGTACTGTTTGCTGAGGCTGAGCAAATCCTCAAGGACCTCAAGGCTTTCACTGCTCCTGCGTCTAAGCCTCATGACAAAAGAAGCACTCTGGTTCCCAGTAACCTACCTTTTCTCCAGCTTCGTTCTGAGGGTCCTCTGGTGAAGGCCAACCGCGATGTGTTCGATTCGGTGTATGACTTCTGCCAGGAGTTTACCACAGTCCTGGAAGCACACTCTCTGTCCTTGGATTCCTGCTGGGAACGTCTGTTGCCCACTTGTTTGAACAAGGAAGAACGTTCTTGGTTTGAGGACAAGCTCAAAGGCAAGGCCTACAACTGGAAGAAGGCCGAAAGTATTCTTCTAGATCACTATGACACGCCGTTCCGTAAGTTCCTGAACATGGGTCGTGTCTGGTGCATGAAACAAGGCAAAGGAGAATCTGCTCGTTCTTTTGGTGCCAAATTCCAAAAGTTCTGCCGCCAGGCCTCGTTGGACGATGGTGTTCAATTGGTTCTCTGCTTCTGGTGGAATCTGCGTCCGGAAGTCCAGGAAGCTTGTCTCATTCCTTTGTCAGCCAACTATGGCACCAAGATGCCCTCAAAGATTGAGGACATCATCTCGTTGGTGAGTGTGTCAACAAGTGACTCCACTGCTTTGTTACATAATCCTGCCAATGGTACTGCCGCGTCCTCCTGGAGTTCGTTTGCTGCTCACAATGGTGCGTCCTCTCTCTCTGCTGGTTCCCACAAGGGAAAGAAAAGGTCTTTCTCTTGCGAGTGTGGTTCTCAGTCTCCCAAGAAGGCATGGGACTTCAAGAAGGCGATGAAAGATGGCATCTGTTTCTCATGCAAGGCTCCCTGGGTTAAGGGACACTCCTGTCCGGAACGGGAGAAGTACTTGACAAAGGTGTCAAGGATGGCAGTCTGCTCCTCTGCTGGTAGACCAGCAAGAGCTTCCACTGTGGTTGAGGGGAGTCCCTCGTTGTCTTAGTCAGAGTACCAAGACAACACTAGTGCTCTGGCCAAGATGGCATTAGATTGTAAGTACAATCTTAAAGACATGGTTATTAAAAGAGATTTTAAGAACATGAGCACTAATAGTACCTTTCCTATTTTGGCAAATAATTCTATTAGAACCATCTCCTTGTTGGACTGTGGGGCCACGTTCAGTTCGGTGGACAAGAATTTTTGCTTGAAGAATGGAATAGCCATTAGTTACATCAATCACATTAATAAAGATTTGTTGAACAAAAACAATGTTCATAAGTATTTTATTCATTTGGCTGATAGCAATACCCAGATTAAAAGAATCGGTACTTGTGTGATCAGTGTAACTTGCAATAGTAAGACTATTCAATGCGAGTTTGAAGTGATGAATTTAACTAATAGTCATGAGCATGATTTCAGTATTGGTACTGATTATATGTCTTCTCTTGGTATTGGTATTTATGGTTTACCTTTATCATATAATGATGCTGATTCAAGTGAGGAACGTAGAGAAGCCAATAGATGCTTCAACAATAAGAGTGATCTTCTTGAATCCATTGAGAGAGAAAATGAACGGAAGGAAAATAATCCGGCTGTAGGTCCCAAACAGTTTGAGGATGCTATGGATTATATTCGACCGTTCATTAAAGACAATCAAGATATTCCTAAGAGTTCGGTTTGTACTATACCTGAAAGTGTTGTATGTTTGGACACTCCAGAAAATGCTACGGCGTTCAGAAGCCCTTATCCCATTCCTTACAAGATGCAAGGTGTAGTGGATGAACAGGTGAAAGAATGGCTGGACAATGGTATAATTGAAAGAGCGTCTGCAAACACACAATGGAATACGCCTTTGACTGTTGTCAAGAAGACAAACGGTAAAGGAGAAATTACTGGATATCGTGTTTGCCATGATCCCAGATTAATTAATTGCCTATTGAAGTCAATTGATTGTATGCCTTTGCCATTGATCGGTGAATTGTTTGAAGATTTAAAGGGTGCGAATATTTATTCCACTCTGGATTTGAAATCTGCGTTTAATTCTTTGAGGTTGAACCCAAAGGACACACACAAACTTAGTTTCACATGGCGTGGTGTACAGTACAAACCTATTGGTACAGTGTTTGGTATAAAGCATGTCAGTTCACAATTTCAAAGAACTATGAGTATAGCTTTGGAAGGACTATCTTTTGTACGGTTTTTTGTGGATGACATTGTTTGCGCAAGCAAAACGTTTGAGGAACACAAGGAACACTTGAAGCAAGTGATTGAGAGATTAACAAGGGTCAATTTGAAGTTGAATCCGAAAAAATGTCATTTCTTTCAGAAAGAAATTTATTTGCTTGGTTTTCATATTTCACCTGAAGGAATTACAATGGACCGCAGAAAACTTGTTAATGTTCTTGAATTTCCTCAACCAAAGACGGGTAAAGATATCCAAAGTTATTGTGGGTTGATCAACTATTTTAGAACATTGATTCCGAATGTATCTTCCATTATGTCGCCACTAGATTCATTGAGAAATGAAAAGTCGATTACCCATTTATGGACAGATAAGCATCAAACTGCATTTAATTACTTGAAAAAAGCACTTTTGAGTGATCTGGTGTTGTCGTACCCAGATATGAACTCTACTTTTAGTATCAGCTGTGATGCATCTCTTACTGGTATTGGTGCAGTGTTGTATCAAGTCAAGGATGGCAAGAAAAAATATATTTCTTTCGTGGCTAAGAGCTTATCCCAAAGTGAAAGAAAGTATTCTGCGACCAAAAGAGAATTACTAGCGTTAGTATTTGCACTCAAGCGTTTTCACAAGTATGTCTATGGTTCTCACTTTACCTTGTACACGGATCACAAGGCATTGACATATCTTCACACCCAACGTGTTGCGAATCTGATGATGATTGCATGGATGGACATGATTTTACAGTATGACTTTAAGATCGTTCATTTGCCTGGTGTTTCGAATGTGCTTTCTGATATGTTGTCACATTTATCTGAAGAGACTGAAACATTATCAAATGAACTGGGTGGGGATAGTGTGGTTAGATCCATCATGAGAAATAGTGCTGTCACTATGGAACCGCTACCAGACATCTTGAGTGGTGAGTACTTTACTCCTCCCACAGAAAATGAAAGAAATAAGTTATTAGTTGAAGAACATTTGAAAGGTCATTTTGGTGTAGAAGCTATACTACATGCCTTAAAGAGAAAAGGTATCTATTGGACCAGCTTGAAGAGTCAAGCAAATGATCTTATACAATCGTGTATACAGTGTCAACATCATAATATCACAAGAAAAGGTTACAATCCTTTAAGACCTGTGACTGCAACACTTCCTGGTGACAGTTGGGGAATAGATCTGGCTGGGCCATTTACAACGTCGACTAGAGGAAATGAGTACTTGTTAGTGATGATAGACATCACAAGCAAATTTTATGTATTGCGTGCCATACCTGATAAAAGGGCAGCTACGATTGCGTTACAAGTACTGGACGTCATTAGTACATGGGGTCCGATGAGAAAGTTGCAGAGTGATTGTGGACAGGAGTTTGTGAACTCGCTGATGACATGTATAAAAGAGAATGTTGGTTTTGAACATGCATTGATTTCGCAGTACCATCCTAGAGCTAATGGTGCAAGTGAAAGAGCTGTCCAGTCGGCAGTGAACACCATTAAAAAACAAATAGTTGGTAATGTCGCTGATTGGGATCAGAAGGTGCCATCTGCGCAGTTGTTTTTGAATAACAAGTATAATGCTAGGACTAAGAGTACGCCATTCTCGTTAATGTTTGGAAGGAATCCAAATGACTTTGTCGATTTTAGTAAAGAAAAGGATAGTGCAACTGCTGAACAGATTCAGAAAGAGTTGCAAGAAAAAATTAAAAGAATGACTGAGATAGTCTACCCTGCTGTGTTTGAACACGTAAAGCATGTCACAGAAAAGCAAAAGGAACGCTTTGATGGAAGTCACAAAATGATAGATCTGGTTCCAGGAACCACGGTAATGATTTTGGTGACAGAAAAACAGAATAAATTAGATCCGAAGTATAAGGGATTCTACACTGTTGTTAGAAAGACTGCTGCCAATACTTATGTATTGAAAAATGAAAAGGGATTTTTAGAACCAAGGAATTATCCTCCTTCTTTATTGAAAAAAGTTTCTAACAAGGTATTAGAGCAAAAGAATGACTTTTTTGAAGTCGAAGCAATTATTGGGCACATAAAAGATGACAAGAACAATTATTTGTATAGATGCAAATGGTTGGATTATGATGAGTCTCACGATACCTGGGAGCCAGAGGATCATTTTACCGATCCTAAGTTCATAAAGGAATACTGGCAAAGAATTGGTGAAGCTCCAGAAGGTATCAAAGACATCAATAAGGCCAATAAGAAATTATTAAAGGATATGAAAGTTGCATATTCCGCACCTAAAGAAAATTCAGGTACTAAAAGGAAGAATTATGCAAAGACAGCTTATCAAAAGAAGAAACGCAGTAAGATCTAAATAAAGAGTTATTTGAGCACCACAGTACTCGTTTAAAAAAAAAAAAAAAAAAAAAAGAACAAGCTGATCAGAAGAATTGCATAGAGTACTTGAACGGTATTTAGTTAATACCTGGGTGGGGATAATGTGGTGATCCAGACACTCGGATGTTGGATTTATCACATATAAGAACATATTCATATTGGGATAGCGTAGTAGCTATCATCTTGTCAGTATAAAATATATATAAATGATTAAGTAATCAGCCCAATAATTATTACAGTTAGTACTGTAGATAATATCTTAAAGATTGTTAAGATAATTATATCATACTGCCGGGTAAACTGTGTCAGATCGATATGGAGCTAATTTAGTAGGAAGTCCTAAAGCTCTAGTATAAAAGAGAAAAGAATAGCTAAGAGCTAAAGAAGTACGATTTATGACTTGATGTCATAATTGTAACACCAACACTAGTTAAGCAGTAAATACACTCTAATAACCAAATATAGTAAAGGAAGAAAGCCTTAAGAAACTAAGACGTAATGACAAGAGCAGATTGTGTTTTCTTATAAAAAGGGACACTTTTTATTTATGAATAAAAAAAAGAATATACAGTCTCAAAGTATTTCTATATGTCTCTATTCTCAAATATTTTATTTTTCTATTGTTTCGTACCTGAAATACCACAGCTGCCTTTGCATCTTCCTGGATACTTGATGTTCTCAGGCGCTTGCAGTTTGATAGGAGAATGACTATTTTTGCCATCAAAGTCATTTACAGCTTTTTTCACTTTTTTTAAAAGATCAGCAACTTGCTGGCTGCCTTTGCAAGAGCGGAATAAAGCTTCAAGCTTAATGATTTTACTCATCTACTCTTTGGGTTTTTCAATGACAGGAACTTGCATATTTGGCTGATTCCATGCCTTGTGTTGTAAATGAGTATTGACTACTGCTGTAATTGAGAATAAGTCTGAAGGAAATAATATAAGGCCTCAGCTATTCCAGTCAAAGGTGTCTACCGATTACTTTATTATTTAACACACAGGTTTAGCATGCATGATAGTGATTATATTTCATATGATGATATCACCATAATATGGGATACATCAGTGGATTATTATAAGCATAATTATAACTCATAAACACATTTACTTTCGATGTTAATACTTCATTGGGACTACACACATTTATATAATTAATCATACATTAATTATCCCAAGATCACGTTGCTCTGATTAAGGCTCAGATAGGATCGATTACCTGACCCCAGTCATATAATTTTCCCAATCCAAAACAATATAAATAGCAGTAGTAGTTCAGTGTAGGAACCTGGTCAAACTTTGATACAAAATCTTTCTCAATAAACAAAACCTACACAAGTTCTCACGAATCTTCGTTCCTAATTTCAAATCTTCAATTCTTCCTCTTAAAAACTTCTTCAACTTCAACCACCACAACACCTTGTCTTCCTTTCTAGCATCAATAACCCATCTATCTGGTAAATCAGAGATTTGAAGATCCCTTTCTACTGGTAGGGTATGGTGACAAGGTAGACTATATTGAACTTTGTTCATGCAATAGCACTTCTCATCATCTTCTGGTAAACGGAGCTCCTGGTCAAGTACAAGCAATGCTCGCTTTGACACCTTCATGAAGAGATTTGAGAGACGTTGGTTTCGTCCCACAAGAGCATCAATCGTGTTCACTTCTCTTATTCTTGTTGCTCGGAAATCCATCTCTAGCCTTTCAATGTATTTGGCTACACTCTCAAAGGCCAACCCCAGAAAAGAAATGGCAGAGATACCTCTCTTAAAAGCTTGATGAGCACTTTCTACTTGCTGAGTGATAGTACACCCAAAATGTATAAGCTTGCTAGTGATATACCCTGCCCACTTATCCTTGCAATTCAACCACCTTTTGGAAAAGTAGGTTGATGCCGGTGCTCTGGCCTTGCCATCATCTACTTCTAGCCCAGCACAAGCATCGTTAAACTTTAGGAGAGCCAAGTTGAACTCCACCTTAGTTCTACTATGAATAATGCGGCTTATATGATCCATAAGCTCTTCTTTCTCGGCTATGGACTTCATTTTCCCAGAGAAAGCTTTCTCCACACTGTTCAGCATATACCAGTAGCACAAAAGCTTCTTGTTTTCTGGGAAAACAGTGCCAAGTGCATTCATCAAAGCAGAACACTTGTCTGTTACAAACAGAGTGGTTGATTGCTTGTTATCAAAAACAAGTGCCTTGATTTGTTCCAAAAACCAAACATAAGAACCAGTTTGCTCATTGGAGACCCAGGCAAATGCAATTAGAAAAGATTTTAAGGTTTCCTCTCCAAGATTGTGAACACTCTCAATGCAAATAAGAGATATTCCCAAGTTGTTTGTCAAGTATATTGCATTCACCACTATAACTTCGAAGAGTTTCTGGGCTCTTTCCAATATTTTGGTGTGGCTAAACAGGATTCTCTTGAGGCACCCACTCTTATTAGTCTCATAGCAAACTTGATAGCCCTTCGACTCCATAGCTTTGATGAGCTTTGTTCCATTATCCTGAAGAGTAGAAGCAGAAATATGAGCATATGCTGTCTTTATGTTATCAATGTCTTTAACTTATAACTTATGGCCAGGGTATGCTTCATCATTGATTGCTTTTTGAATCTCACGAGTCTTGTTATTTGTCTCAATAAGCTTTGTTATCATAATAGAATCTTCTGTTGTAACTCTTGAGAGTCTGCCCTTCAAAATAGACTCCATACATTCATTGTCAAGAGGATGATTGTGGAAGGTTTCTATCTCATGAGTGACCTTCAAGAAAAGTATTCTTTGACTGCCTTCTTGTAGTATATCTTAAGAAGATACAGGCACCCAATCATTCCACTAGAAGGAATTTTCTTACGGTCATTATTGTCAATCTTTTGGGTGTTTTTATAGTGACCATCCTTAGAACACTTCAAGTAAACTCGAGTTGGTTTATCATCTTTGATGACAAGTACGAAGTTGTTGGTGAGGGCATATTCTTGTATCTTTGCAATTGCCAGCTGCATGTCATTATAATCATTAACTGGTGGGATGGGGAGAGGTTGTTGGACAGGAAAATGTTCTTTTCCATTAAAAAAATGGATTTTTTATTGATAGGGTTCATATTAAAGTAAATTCTAAAAAGTACTTATTAACATCATAATTTCTAATTGCTAATCTGCAATAAGCAAAGTAATATCTTTGATATCTCTGAGAAAAACATTATTCTCTAATACATTTGATTCGTAAGTTCTTATAAGATGAGTAAATAATAGAAAAGAAGGTTTTATAATCAAATATTAAATTAAGAATTTCAGGGCACACTGTTTTGCTCTGAAGGATTAGAGAAAAGACATCCGGCCCCAGACAGATAGTCACAATCAATTAGTCCAGTAAAGTCAAAACGTCATCTCCCATCCTGAAAATGTTGTCTCCCTAGGATCGCTGAAGAAGTTCAGCAAGCTTCTTATGATTTTGAGTACCCAGATGGAGAGTTTACTGAATCTAGAAAAAAGAAGATGTCAGATTGTACTGACATTATAAATGGCAACTTAATCAATATTTACAGAGCAGTCAACAATCCAGAATTGTACTGAGATTCCAAGGGAAACATTTCATTGAACATCATGGTCATATGTGATGCTTTCCAAAGATTCACATACATATATATTGGAAAAGCATACAATATCAATCCTTTAAATAATTTTTGATTATTTACTGAATGTAAATATAGAATGATCAAATAACAAATGAGTTTTTAACCATAGTGAATTTCTCAACCACTGTAAAAAGCTTGACATATATTTAAGAATGATACTTATATGTTGGAGATATATTATTTTATTTGTATTTTAATTTATTAAGCTAAAGTTTCAAAATAGACTCAGAGCTTCTGAAGGTGCTCTCAGAGTGCTTTATCGATATAAAATTGCGTATTGATACACTACCAGAGATTTTTGTTATCATTTTGGGTGAAAATTGGCACCTAAGCAATATGATTGGCTTAGAGGCCAAAATATTGTAATTTGTTTTTGTACTCAATTTTTTTCATTCGAATAAAGAATAAAATTAAGTTCAGTACTACTTGTGGGCTATTAAAGTAAGAAAAAAAACTGTTAGGGAAGTCAGAAAGTGTTCAAGTGAGACAAAGGATTTATTAAGGAAAGTTGGGGGTTGGTTTGAGTAACCAAAAAATGACCACAGAAATTACGCAAAAAAATTGATGTTGAGAAGGAGAAAACAGAAGGTTCAAATAATAATTATAATAATAATAAAGAAGTAGCATCATTTTATTCATCAAAAAGAATATTATTGAAAATGAACCAGTAGGAACCGAACTTGCTCAAATTTACAATGTAAAATAGGTTGCGGAAAATGTGCAAATCTAACTTACAAACAAGATTCATGTTAGCAACATCAGAATGCTCACCTGTCATTACAGCCTTGGCATAGTTATTGTTTCTGTCATTATCCGTATGAGGAACAATGCTAGGAAACTTAACAACAGAGCCTGAGACAAGTCCTATACGAGGGTGAGAGATTGGATCATCTTTAAAAACAAACGCACCAAAACTGTTGTTTTGGACGGCGTCATCTTCAATATCTCCAGTGTCATTGTTGTCCTTTAGCTCTCTCGAGCTGCCAAAAAAGGTTTAATAGAACAAAGATTCATTGTTGTCCTTAATGAACCTTTCTATTCCAGTTCCAGACTTCTCTCGGTTGCCAGAGCTATTAAACTACAACCCGCCATCAATTACATGTTGCAATGCTACCTGCTTTGCAAGCTTTAGGCAAACATTCCTGGAAGTGTTTTGGCAATTTGTATAAAACAGATGTTCGCAAATGTGCTTATTGAACTGTTCACCCTTTTCTGTTTCATAATTGAGAGCTGGGCCAAAACGAATTATATCTTCCTTGAGATGTGTCAAGTAATGAACTTTCAGCTTGGTGCAATATGCCTTGTGAAGCTCGTTCTTGGTTCCTTTATTGTAGTCAAACAATGCTCTGATCAAGTGCTTCACTGCATTATCTACTCTGATAATATAGTTATCAAAGTCTGATGTCACCTGACGAACGACTACCAGAGAACACAATTGGCCAAGTTCAACAAAGCATGATATTACAAGGTCTAGCTCATGATTTCCAGAGAATTCTGTAATCAGAATTACAGAAAGTATTTGAAGCAGAACCTTGAAATCTCTACCAAGGAATGAACCACTATGTCTCAAGTTTCGGGTGAACTTTCTTGATAGACCAGTTGATCGCGTGTAATCTGTCAAGAATTCTAAAAGTCTTGCTATTGTGGCTATGTCATTCTTAAGCACAACCTTAACCAAGTCAATCACCATATACTTTGCAACACCAAGAAGTATTGTGTGGAGGATTTCCACTAGTGTATTCTTTTCTGGATCAAACGACTGCAATTCTAATAAGTGGCCAGTCGAATGATCTCTAAAGCTTATCTTGTTTGCAGGCATGTTCATTCCAATTTTCAGAGCATTTGAGATCTCAGTGTCTCTGCCAGGTGACGAGTTTGCAAGAACATAGTGCTCTCGAGTTTGTCTCTCATGGCACTCACAGAAGTAGGACAAGTCCTTCACAAAGTCTTTTGCACATCTAAGTTCGATGTAGCATCTTCTGCAAGGAAATGTGGTGGCCAGCCCAAGCAATCCGCAAAGTTCCAAATGACATGACATGTCAGTCTCAATCCAAAGGATGGGAGCAACAACCAGAACATACTTCTTGTCTTCAGCGGAGAACATTTTTACACCTTACTCAAGTTTCTTAAAGTCATCAATGATTGCTGGCAGAAGAGACATACCATTTGCACCATCTTTCTTAGGAATTGTAGAAAGAAACTGGATATTTGCTATCGAATTTCGATCCTTAAAAGGCAAGGCAGTGCATCTCATTAACCAGCTTTCAAACGGATTGTACTGCTTTGAATGATTACCGGAAGTGTCGTCTGTAAAAAGGATGATTGAAACAATTCTAACTTTGTAAAATACTGCGTCGCGATCTACATTACTGGGCAAAACAGAAAGAGGCATAGACTTCTTCATTGGATGAACTCCAAAAAGAAGAAAGTCATGAGCAGGACTCAATCTGGTAAGGCTACTTGAGATACTGTAGTAGTGATCTCTTTCAACAGGAGTGGTGTCAACGTGAGAGATCTGCTCTACTCTAAGATCGGCAACAGCAACCTCAACATCATAGCATACAATCAAAATTGCTCTGACCAGATACCCTCTTGCAAAAATGTTTTTGTTTGCCATGTGGAATAATTCAACCAAAAAGCAGATGCTGCAATTGTTTGTCTTCAAGTAAACAATGTTTCCAAACCAGATATCTATACCATTTACAGTGTGCATAGACTGCTGAAAGAGATGGTGGGTTCTCCACTTTTTACCTTGTTCCAAACAGATCGATTGGTTTGGGGTATGATTGGGCATGGACGAGATCAACTTGGATTTCTTTGGGTTTGCCATAAGAAATCTCAAGTGGTCGGATGGAAGGTTAATGTGGGCGAATGCGTTCCCATTTGATCCAGGTACTGATATTCTTTGTGAAGAAAAGACAGGCATTTTAAACTTCTTTCTTGCCTGATAATTTAAAAGAGCATCAAAACGAGATAACTTAAATGTTCTTTCTATGGGAGTTTCTTGCTGGATCTTAATAATCAAGTTCATCGCAAGCAGTATCTTCTTCAACATTAGCTGGGAGATCATGTCATTATCCCCATCGATAAAAGCGAAAAGGATCATGGTTTGAAGATTGCAAAAAGGATAACAGCTTGTAGGGTCATTTATAGCGCCAATTGTCCCAAAGACTTCTTCTGGGATCTCAGAGTCATTATCAGTCATTGATACCTCATCAGCAGCAGCAGCAGAAGAAAACATGTCAGAGAACGCGTTGAAAACTGGATTACTGTTCATTTCAATATCGAAGAAATTATCGACAATATCGTTTTCCTCGTCTACAATGTTGTCTTCTTCATCCCTGATACTGGAGGAGTCATCTTCATCACTCAAGTAATCAAATGCATTAGCATCCGGAATAGTGTTCTCGACTATCAATTCGGCCTGCTCAGGTTTGTCGAGTACAGTATTGGTTGCCATTTGATTACTTATATGGTGAACCTTTGAATGCCTTTTCAGTAGCCAAGGCTTTTCGAACTCTTTTTTGCATTCAGAGCAGGTAAAAACACCTGAATTGATGCTAAAGTTAAGTTCGCCTTGCCTTTTAGGGGGGCAAGTCTTAACAATTTTATATGTTTCTTGTCTTGTATTCTTTTGCATAATAGTAAATTGATTGTAAAAACAAAGGGGGGGAAATGACTTTGCGAAAATAATTGAATTTATAAAATGTGCAAAGATCGATATTTAATGTCAGCAGACCAATTATAATTTTTTTACTTCTTTTCTTTTAAGAAAATATCACGTGTTTTTGTCTTCTTTTTCATTTTACTTTTCCACAAAATATTTATTATTTGCATGAGCTTCCATTTGTAAGATATTCCAGTATGCTTATAGTATTTATACACTATGCCAAAAAAATAGGAGTTTTAGAGGTGGTTTCACAGGTGGTTCCGGAGGGGAAGCCAGGGCGCGTTTTGTGTCCTCCCCCCTTTTTTCCAACCCTGAGTTCATGTGCATTTTAATACATCTCCGCTTACCAGTAGTTTTAAGATTCTATTAATATATTGATAACCTTTTCTTTTGCTAATATTTGTCTTTCAATTGGACAAAACTTCTTTAAGTATAGTTGAAATATTATATGCCATTGGTTACTACTAATTCATTGTTCTTTTAATTTAGATTCTTTTAAATATTTCTTGCTTAATCATTGTTTTTATTGGATAAGACATAATTGCACTGTAGTGTATTTTATAAAAATACATTTTTATTGGTTTCTCAAATGGATATATTTTTTATTTATCGTTTTTATTGGTTATTACACTACACAATTACATTTTATATATCACTTTTATTGGCTGTTATGATAGACATTACATTTTATACATCATTTTTATTGGTTATAAACAGTCAAATACATCATATACTTCCAATATTAAATATACTACTTTACACTGCAGTAGATAGTTACTTACAATTACCTCCTTTGACGGTCTTTTCAGAGATGACTGACTCTTGCAATGGATGCCCAATTTTGATGATATCTGGTGAAATCTATACCAACCCTCTTAAGCATGTTTGCATGTTTATTGTAAATCATTGTTCGATCACATTGCTGGTGAGAATCCAATTCCTGCCAGCACAATGATACAGCTTCCTCTGGGTAGACAGCTTGCAGTTGCTTTGGCCAACGACCGCACCAGAAAAGAGATGTTGTATCGCCACCATCATATGCAAAAGGCTGATGGCAGCATTTCCAATGTCTTTGATGGACAGGCATACCAGTCAAAGAAGCATCTTTTCTTGGGTGAAAATGACATTGCCATTTTGCTGTCTGTTGATGGGTTTGCTCCCCATAGTGTTCCGGGTTCGGTAACCATTGTCCATGTTACCAACCTTAACCTTCCCCCAATGATCCACTACGAGCGCAGCTGTATGATCCAAGTCGCGATCATCCCTGGTCCCAAAACACCTGCTGACTTCTGGTCATTCCTGGAGCCTGTTCTGAAAGAACTTCAGGTTCTCCAAGCTGGTGGAATGGTTGTGAAGACACCATCTGGAGATATTAGTGCAAAAGTCCATGTACTAATGACAACTGGCGACATCTCAGCTCTGGGAAAGATGGCTTGTCATGTGGGCCATATGAGTAAGGATGGCTGCCGCATCTGCCACATTGTGAGTCAATCTTCTGGCCATGGCCAATATTTCCGAATGCCATCTGCCATCACCATGCGCACACCGGAAAGTTTCAAGCACTTTGATGAGGTGACCTCATCCAGCAAAAAAGGGTTAACTGACCAATCTCCCTTCTCCTTACTGGATTCCTTCTCTGGTCCGTTCTTCTTTGCATTGGATGAAATGCATGGCATTTGCCACGGCATTGGCAAACAGGTCTGGGGGCTCGTGTGTGGCAAGTATGGAAAAGATCATCCTCTCTCTCTCTCCCTTGCTGCTCAGAAAGAAATTGGTACTGCCATGGTGTCAACCAGAAGAAGTATTCCGACATCTTTCCACAGTGCATGGATCAACATTGCAACAAGATCAGGGTACTTCTGGGCTGTGGACTGGGCTGACTTCATCTTGTTTGTTATTCCCACGCTTGTGGCAGAGCGTGTCCGTGACCAAGCTGCCCATAAGGCATTGCTTGATCTGGTGCAGACATGCAACCTACTCATGAACTGGGAGTTATCAGCAGAGGAGAAAACCTTAATCAAAATGTAAGCTTTAATTATAATTAATATTATTATTTTATAACTTGTGTTAACTTATCTTTTTTTTTTTAGAAATCTCGTCGCATGGAATGCGTATCTGGAAGCCTCACTAGCTAAAGGAGAGGTCCAGCTCAAGGTCTTTACGATCAACCAGTACCTCCTGCAGCACTATCCCGCAATGATAGAAGCATATGGTCCCCCAGAGCGTATAGTGCACGATCTGTTGAGAGGACGATTGGGGAATACTCGCAAGCAATAAAGAGTAATTTGGCAATTGGAAGCAATGCTGGCAACATCATGCTTGACTTGACACAGATTCGACAGATGAGAGTTGAAAATTCAATAACGGCAACAGCAACAGTAACAGCAACAACTCTCCTTCAGTATGACAATCCCTCTGCTGGTTGGCCAATTGACTGAGAAGGTAGTAATGTTGGTACTGATTCTGACATTGAGTTCTGGGGGCCTTTGAGGAACAGAACAATTGTTGATAGTTTTGGAGGCATTTCTTGTCTTCCAGAGCTTCTTCAAAAGTTCTACGAATCAAAGGGGGAAGAGTGTAGTATGATTGAAGCAGCCATTAAAACAAGCCGTAAGGCATTTGTAAATGGTTGTGTTATTGACTCTGCACTCGACCATAATTGTGTAAGAGAGGCACATAACGTCAGACTTCAGGTTCAGGTTGATGAAAACCGCAACATTGGGTAAAGCTACTCTCCAGTCTACAAGGATTTCTTTGGGAAGGTCGTCGTTTTCTTTGAGCACAAGCTCAACAACAAGAGGTGGCCGCTTGTCCTTGTCAATGTTTATGCAGTTCGTTTGGTAAATAGTATACCAGCAATCAACAATGGGCAAATGAAGCCAATGGTAGTTCACCTGGCAGATGTCAAAGAATTAGTTGGTTTGGTGAAGTCGGACGCGACTATAAACACAATAACAACAACAGCAACAACATATGTAGTGTGGCCAGAGCTTAACCGCAGCCCAAAACTGTCACTTGGTTCTCTTGCAGACTTATAATTTTTTTTCTTGTAATACATTATTTTTTTTCAAATTGTCTTAACATATTTTATCCTCCCAGCAAAAAGTTTAGATATTTTTCTCTCTTTTACCTCTGACTTTTAATAGTCATTAATTGCAATCTACATTTACTAAAAATGTAAAGTCTGTAGTTAAAATGTACTTTTGTCTATCAGGAGATTTAATTTTAGGTGGTCAATCTGCTTTTTGTCAACCTTTTCAAAAAACAGAGATTTTCCAGTTTCAAATTGGATTTTTGGTGATTTTTTAATTATTATAGGCCAAAAACAAAGTCACAAATACAAAAAACCGCCCCTATTTGTTGTAGTGATAGAAGCAGAATTTTGCTTAAAGACCATAAGCTCAAAGGTATTTATGCTATCAAAGTTTTTTATGTCATTGTGTTTATTAATCATACAATTCTAGTTTATAAATTAGTTTTTCATCATCTCGGTAAATCAATAAAGAGGTAATAACTACATGTTCCTCTTACAAAGAAACAGATGACTAACTATTTACTCCTCACTTGCAGAGATTTGGCTGCCTTTTATTGCAAATGCCTTAATAGAGTCAAAGGTAAAATTCTGTTAAATATATATAACTAAGTTTAATTACTAATTATTAGTTCTTCTGCTTTAGCTTTTCTCGAAATTCAAATCTTTATGCTCTTTGGGTTTATTGACATTTCTGGCACCAGGTCTCTTGGATTAGCTAGACATAGTAGTTTGCAGCAAACTGATCACGTAATTTACAGGTATAAGTACAAACAGCTATACTACTAGTGTTTCTAGTGGTATGGATATACTGGTGTGCTACTGCCTGTGAATTTTATGGTCCAGTCCAGCTTTTTTTTTAGCCTAATTTTTTTTGAAAATAAAAAATAAATTTTTTACAACCCAAAATTATTTGAAACAAATTAAAAATTTGAACCATTTTTGAAATTGTGCAGTACATTTTTCAATTGAAATCTATTGGCCAAGAGTAGTCCCCCCATCCCCCCACTTTTTAGTCCCCCAAAAAAATGAATTTCCTGTTATGGGCAAAATTCGCCCCGTATACAAGAATCCTTTTAAGGAACAAGATTATACAAAAAAATCTGCTATGGTGTATAGATACTAATCACCATATTCAGGATAGCACAATTTACCAAATATATGTGATATTTATGTAATTTCAAGTCGGTGTTTTAATCAATACTACACTCAAGAGGTAGGATCCTGTTTGAATATCACTGTAGGAAATGGCAGGATTTACACCTCCAACCTCGTAACAACACACCCACTGAGATTTTTTTAAACTCAATGTCCAAACTAGATTTAAAGTTGACCTGACTAAAATTTCCTAAAGCGGAATATGAAGTGTCCGCTCGAATTTACCGTGAATGGAAAAAAGGATGGATACAAAAAATTTGAAAAATGGGGGGTCCAGTAATTACAATTATAGGGTTTCAAAAAATGTGTTTCAAAAAAAATGTTTCAAAAAAATGTTTTTATTTTGGTTTCAATAAAAAATAGTACTAGGATTACGCGTTCTATATACTAGTAGCTAGTCTAGTGTAGCAGCCTCTCTTATGCAATAGATTGGGAGATAGACATGGTAAAAGTAAAGAAGAATGACTATTAAACAGAAACAAAGTATTAGTGTTATGACCTTTGAAGTAAATAATATGGTAAATTACCTTTTTATATTAGACAGACAGTGATATATGAGACTTACCTAAAGAGATGAGGGTAAAGTTATTAATAAAAGTAAAGGAAAAGACTGCTTGTTTAGTTATGTTAGGAGTAGATACCTTATAATATCACGACAGACAGCTTGGCATAGTTTGAAATAACTTTCTAATACAGTCTCATGTTGGAATCTCCATAGAATCTAATAAAAAAATATATATTAGTATCAATATGAAGTAGGGCATAATAAATATATTACTTACTGAGGGTGTTTGGTATGATGGACACTATCATCTTGTTAGATTACGCTTGAAACTTACCTTTCAGTCATGAGAAAAAAAAAGAAAAAGAAGGAAACAAGTAAACAAAAAAAAATTAGCTCACATTATTTCACATGATTTTTTTAGCAGTCATTTTTTGCATGATTAAAGATATGGTATCTCGAATTAGTTTACGTTTTTCTACATCTTTCGTTCCAAAGATTTTTAAACATGGAAAATCACTTCACAACAAAGAGGAACACATTCCTCACACCAATGGCTACATACAATCAAACATTTGTGTGCACCATCTGCGAAACCAAAAGAGTGTTAGAGTCCTTGCAAGGCCTCAGAAGACATTATACAAAAAAACATCCAAACGAAATGGGGGAGTATGAGAAACTTCTAAAAAGAAGGTAAGTTAATCCTAAAAGTAGGATGAAAAATACTATGTAATGTAAAGCTGAAATTGAGCATACCTTAACATTAGACCTGCTATGTTTGATGGCCCTTCTTCTGCAAGCACTGCCACTGCCACTACCACTGCCACTACCAACCTGAACAGTAATAATGGACCTGCCTCAATGGAATTTATTATTGAAAACCCTTAGGACACATATGACCATGAAATCTCTGACGAAGACGAATATAGTGATGATCACATTCTATCATAAGTAAAAATTAGTAATGCAATATTGAAATAGATAATAACCTGTTTTTTTTTGCTGAACAGTGATTCCTCAGATGACTATGATGAGACCACTGACAACGAAGACACAGACACCAGAGTAGAATATGATAGCCAGGATCATATCGCTAGAATGACAGCAGAAATGAGAACCTTCCAATCTCTTTCTCATGCCATGAATGCCTACTCGAACGAAGACAGCAGCAGACAGACATCATACTGGCCTAATGACTTTGCTGACATTTTTACTGGACCCACCCGTCCATTTAAATCGAAAGTAGAGTTTATCTTACATGCTCTCTTCTACGGCAATGAAGATCTTGCCTCAGAAAGATCTATCAAGAAGATCATGTTTGCCATGAAGATGGTCTTGGACATCTGTGAAGAATCTGGAGTAGCACTGGATTTTCTGATACCAAATGCTGTGATTAACTATCACAAGCAGAAAAAGAACCAGATCTCTGTTTTTCCTACTGCCAGTTTCGATGTTGTGAACCAAGACAATGAACAACATGTACTTTGGATGAACAAACCATCCGATTACATCAAGTTTACCATGACATGCCCCGGAAAATCATCTCAAATCTTGGCCCTTCCTGACTTCATGGAAAACCAGCGGTTGAATCTCAACCAAGGCGAAAAGTGGAAGAAGAACCCATTGCTCCAGCACCCAATGATCACTTCAAACGGAATGGACTACTGGGTGGGTAATGTTGTCGAAGTCCAAGGCTCCCCAAACTGGTATCTCCTTGAGAAGTTCTTCACCAAGGACGGATCCATACTTGCCAATACGTTCTAGGTTTATGGTGGCCACGATCCTCGGCTGAATCATCCTGATGATACTCACTTCCTGCGGTTTGGAAACTCTACGAACTTTGCTGTCTCTACCCTGAAGTATACCATTGAAGTTCATAGGATTATGTCTACTGTTCAAAAAGACAGCAATCTTTTCCTTGGACGTGGTTTCTCTGTTTCTTATTGCCCTGCCAAAATTGTCACCTATGCTCTTACTGGTGTTCAATCTGACTTGTGGCTCAACAAATCCCGTGTTGAAGAATTGAAGAGAAGACTTCCAGACTCTGGTTCGATGAAAGTGGTTGTCTGCCCACTTAATCTCTATTCCGATGATACCTCTGGTAATTCAACAAAGCAGTACAACAAGTATAAGAGTTACTTAATGTACTTTGCTGCGTTGCCACTTGAGACGAGAAACAAATGAGAAAATGCTCTTTTCATTTGTACCTCGAATCATACACTGAATGCCATTGAGATGTTGCCCCCTATTGTCAATGACCTCGTTAGGCTGGAGAAAGGTATTGAGATGTATTCTGAGGATCATAGTGAAGGAGTTCTTGTTGTTGCGCCCCTGTTGCTCTTTATGGGTGACAACCCTTGTCAATCTCAGCTTGCCATGCATAAGGGAACATCTGCCAAGAAGTTTTGCCAAAAATGCCTCATACCTTTGCCTCGTATTGAACAGGGTTCCATCCCTGACACTCCGCCATATTCTCCAGTTGACCACCATGGGTCAGAAGAAAGAACGAGAGATTTCTTGTGCACCTTTGCCAATGCCAATTCCCAGTCAGAGCTATATCTCAATGGGTGCAAATTGAGTTATATCAAGAATGGAAGTGAGGAATTTCTTAGACTCGAAGCCTTTGACCCTACCAAAGACATGCCTGTCAAAATTCTCCACATTATTCCTCTTGGCCTGACGAAATACTTGATGACTTTTCTCTGGAAACAGAAGATGCTGACTACAAGTGAAAAGGGGAGACTCCAGGAAGCTCTAAACTCTTACAAGACTTGTAAGAGTTACAGCTGAACATTCAGGAACAAGCTTCGCCACACTGGTTCATTTGTTGGACGCGATTTCAAGGAATTGATTCAAGTCCTGCCTGGAATTATGAGCAAGCTCTTTAGTGACAAACCATTGGCAAGTTTGTTCATTAAAGCCTTGCATGCATTAGGCCGCCTGTCGTCTTTGGTGTACATGCGTGGAGTTGACCGGTGCTTTGACTACTATATTGCCCAGATAAAACATGCTGTCACTGATGTAACAGATCTGCTTTTTCAACTGGATGTCCAGATTCACCAAAAAGGATTTTCTAAGCTAGACTTCACGTTCAAGCCAAAGGTCCACCTTCTGCATCATATCACTGACTATTGTGAATGAGTATTGATTACTGCTGAATCTGAGAGTAAGACTGAAGGATAAAATAATATCCTCAGCTATTCCAATCAAACGGATCTCCCTTTATGATATTATCTAATACACAGATCATCATACACATAATTGATTATTTATTATTATCACCATGACATGGGATATACAAATACATATACATTATATATATGGCATCATTATATTTCATCTACATATTTCTTTTATTATACAAATACTTAATTGAGAGACTACAACTACAACTATCTAATATTATGAAACATTACCCGAGTATCTGGGTCGGAATACTAAAATATTACCAATAGCATAAATGCTCTTCTTTACCAAAACTCTTGGACTGATCTGACTGGAGAAGTATCATATCAATTGGTCTTTCCGGATCTTTCCAGAAGAACAATACTCCTGGAAGATGACTCATCGTGATAAAGATTACTTAAGCACACACTGAATTACAAATTAGAAAAACATATAAATATCAGTAGATAGTTCCGTGTAGAAAGACAATCGAATTTTATCATTCTTTACTTTTCTTTTGAAATAAACAACCTACACAAGTTCTCACGAATTCTTTCGTCTATATTATATTTTGCTTTATTTTCTCCCCACAACACTGACGACATTGTTTGTTTTGATTCCGTGCTGCAATACAAAACTGAAAACGGTGAACAGTTCAATAAGTTCATCTGCGAACATTTATTCAAGACCAACCACCATTTCACCTCTCGAGACGTCGCTACAAGATTCGGCAAGCAATTCATCTGTTGGCATCTTTGTAATGGAGGATCGTATGTTGTAGAGAAACCAGCTGGTAATGGAACAAGATCTGTGAGAAGTTCAATTGGTGATTTTGTCAAGCTGGCCCCTGTCAATTTCCCAGGCTTTAATCTCCATTTCTTTGGTTCTCGTGTCAACAGTGACAATTCTGGGTTGTTGACTCCCACTTTGTGCAATACACTTGCAGGTGTTTTTCAATCAAATGGTCAATTATTCCTTGGTCAGGTAAAGATCGTTCAAGCAAGAGACTCTGCAGACAGAATGAGGAAGACGTTCTTTATGCAAAAGTACCAAATTGTTCCGAACAGCAATGTAAATTGCATCTATACCCCAGCCGTGATAATGGACAATTACAACAACATTGTGATTCTGCCCCTTGGAGGCCTGGTTGAAGTCAACAAAGATGACATCAACATCGTTCAGGCTGTTGATATTCACTTGTCCATTGGGTCTTCCAATAACCAAAAGTTCCTCAACGTTGCAAAATTCGGCATGTTCTGGTGGATGTTGATGAACATTGCAAAAATCTATTAAAAAAAATGACTTATCAAAAAAAAAAGTATTTTTCCCAATGGAGTTTGTCCAATAAAATCTCTTCTTTTCCAGCTCTCTTTGCTTCTCTCCCCCATTTCAGATTTTTGTACCATCTAAAATTTTATTATGACACTTAAAACATTACACTAATCCACTTTTGGCTCATTTATATCAAATTCGTACACCCAAATCTGAGCCTTAACAGGTTCAACTTAAAATTAGAACTCTAACCAATAGAAACAGCTGTACCATTAGAAATTACCATAAATGAAAGAAATGTCAGTAGGTGTGAAGTTATGAGTTTGTAACTTATGCTATTTAAAAGTCCATATTTAACATACTGACCTCATAACGAGTTATGAACTTGTAACTTTTATAGCCAATAGCATGCCTGTTTTAGCCTATTAGTTTTACTTTTTGTCAAATACGATTTATGGGATTTTCTATTATTTTGCATCTAAGCCAATAAAATATTCTAAATATGGCAGATCTATATCTTTTTAGATATTTGTATTCTCTTTATGATTGGTTTAACAAATGCATGATGTTTTATATTGAATTTTTTTGATTTTTATTGATCAAAATAATACAAACATAAAGAAGTATGCAAAGAAGAAGTACTAATTTTTATGATATTCAGTAACAGCTTAAGCTATACATTCATTAAATAATATCCATATATCTATTTTTATGTGATACTTTTTACATTGTTTTATCTAAAAAAAGCTATTCTCTAAGTACTATGATATTGATGAAGACATGTATATTTCTTAATTGATTCTTTTAATCAAAGAGTATAAACCTGCTTTGTGTTAACATTGTTATGCCTGATTCCTACATTTGAAAAAACAGAAGACAGATTCCCTGCGATTCTCGAAATCTACCAAGATCTCTAATGAGCATGCAAGCAATCTTAACAACCAAATTGTACTTTATGCAGATATTTTTCTGTCAATTCTTCTCAAGTTACTTTCTTTTGTCAACTTTGCTGATTCGTATTTTATTAATACTAGCCTTCATAGTTATTAGGTGTGTTCTTTTTAGAGACCTTTAATAATTTAGACCTTGTGAAAAAATAGAATTAAAAAAGACTTTTACAAAATAAAAAAACAACAATGCATTAAAAAGTAATCACAGTCATTACTTTTTGGTGGCAAAGACTTCTTTAAGTTCAGATTAAAAATATAAGTAATCTGTAGGCCATGTTTGCCCTTTTCCCAGTTTTGCAGTCTGATAAGCAGTTTTACATACTATATTTATCTAAAATGGCCTTCTGGCTTAAAAGTAAGACAATCCTGCTTGAATATCAGCTTCCGCGTACTAAAATAGGTTTAGTACATACTAAACTTAGTAAGTGTGTGTCGGACTTTTCGAGTTACGAGTTTTGGGCAGAAAGTTACGAGTATAAAAAAATACTCGTAATTCATTTTCTACAGTGCATATAGCATATTAAAATTAATTGTCTTTCCAATTTCTCGTTAATAAAGTACAGAATATACTGCTTGAGATAATTTTTTTTGCTTACAATAATATATTGCTTGCCTACTTAAAAAACTATTAGCTTTGATGTATATAAAATCTTGGAAAATGGAATACTATAGTAAAAACAAGATTATTCTTACAGGCAGTGTTGATAGGAATTATCGAAATCACCATATATGGGTATTTAAAAAGATTTAACCCCTCTTCTTTAGCAGGGGTAAAATATACGGACTTTAAAGCGAAATAACCTTTTTTGAATTTTGGAAATCACTATATATAGTGTTTAGTGTCTATATCAACACGGAATTCTATATCAATAAGGCACTCCAAGAGCACCTTGAGAAACAACTAATTGATTCCATACCGTGCAAGAGATATGAGCAATGTGGATAGCCAGATTTACAGAGATAGAACTAAGTACAACACTTTCTAGTCTACTGTGAGAACTGGAATTGAGAGAAGCTTTGGTGCATCACAACACGCTGGCGTTTTCTGTTCAAATATATCTATATCAAAGATCTCAAAAGACTAGTAAAGGTTATCAATGCTTGCTTTGTTCACAACATATGCAAAGAGAACAATGACGATGCCAATTTTGAAAACCATGTTTTTGTTTTGGGAGGTCGTGTGATTGACGTTAATGGTGATATTGCTGCTGATATTGAAGAGAAGTCCAGTGAAAGAGATAGACTGAATACCATTGAAGAGCAAAGAATTCAGATTGAAGGATACCTGAAGAGGGAGAGAACTCTTGCAGATACTAAGCAATATTCTGATAAATTTCAAAAAATAATAAATATATATATTTTACAAAATTTTACTCATTATTATTATTATTATTATTATTTCTAGAAGCAAAACGTTTATTGAGTATATCAAATATGAAATTTATTCTAGTATCACTTGCACTAATATACTGAAAAATCTCTCTAATATAATTACTGACATTATCAGTCTCCCTTTCTGCTATATTAAGACGCCTAATCAAAGTTTTACCTTGCGCCCAAAAAACAGCAAAGTTCTTCTGTCTCTGCTGCATGTTTCTTGCATTTCTTTCCTCAATGCGATCCATGATCTTATCCCCTCTTTGATCGATTCTGGATCTGATTCAGCAGCATGGGATCTCTTAACTGCTGTTCTCAGTTGTTTCTTCATAACGGCATCTTATTGTACCAGCAACAAAAGTCATCATGTCATCAATAAACTCCACCATCTCCTTTAACAGACAATTGCGGCTTTCTTCTTCAGAAGCGACTTCCTCCATTGGTACCTCAGTAAGTGATTGGCGAGTTTTCAGAACAAGAGTTAGGATTTGGCTCCCAGAAGAGAATGTTGCCGCAGAAATTATCTGGGGGTTGACTTTCAGAATATCCCCCACATTTTTGTAATGTGGGCAGTTGGTGTTGGGTGCAACCCCATTTTTATCAGTCGACTGGAATCAGTCGAATTGCCTCTGGAACTTTGCCTCCAGACCCTTCCACTTTTTCTAAAGGGCATTCTTGCTACGGTGGTTTTTTGATATGGATATTAAACTATATTTCAACAGCATCCCAGATCTTTGCCTTGATCTGCACCCGGCTGCTACTGTTCTGCACACTTTGCATTCTAGAAATCTCGAGCACTTTATCATAGTAGTTGACAAGTCTCTGCTCATCAACCAAGGTCCAATTTCTTTCTCTGAATCTTGTCAAAATCTAAGCTTCAGCAGAAACAGATCGCTTGGGTTCGTCTTCGTTCTGGAATTTATTTTCACCCATGAAATACTTGTCTAAAACGTAAGGTACGTGAAGAGAAGACAGAAATCGTGACTAAGGGCTAAGTAAATCAGCTACTTCCATTCTTCGTAAATCATCCCAAATACTAGTAAACTCATAGATCTATCGGCATCAAAGGTATTGGTGTTTGCGTTATAGAAGTTGATGTTATCTATTTTTTTTAATTAGGTAGGTAAAAAGGTGTTTTACGCATTGGTACCTCATTTTTATTAAATTAAAACTATACATGAATATGCCATTTTCTTGTACTTTTAGTAGTAAAACACTAAACCGCATTTGTGCTTCTTGTGATTTATCCAAGCCGCTTTTAGAATTAAAAAGCTTGCTAAAACTTTGGTGAGGACTAAAGTCAAATCCAAACTCTTGGCTGAACTTGCCAAATTAGGATTATTCTACCATACAAAAAAGGGAACCACCGCCAAGATTTAGGACCTTGGTGGGTACTTGAGAAACTGACACGTAGAGTACTTGAGGGAGCAGGTGTAACTAATTATGAGTCTACTATAAGGAATGACGTTCGAGTTAAATAGAATTTATGACCAGGTTACTAGCTAACAAAGGGTCAATAAAATACTGTTAAGAGGAAACGTTCTAAAGACAATAGAACTGTACTCAGTATATTTCTGTGAATGTAATGAACATCCACACACACACACACACACATATATATATATATATATATATATATATTCATTTATTTATATATTAGCAAAATATTGATATTAGCTTTATCCCTGAAATTATGGATATAAAATAAGTTTAATACATTACTTTCATACTATAGAAGCAGTAAGAAATATATTATGTCATGCATTGCTTTACTGATAGCTAATCTCTCTGCATAGCATTTAAAATCTGTAAAATTCTGAGGAACAGGTTGATGATGTCCATATACAGAGACGTAGAAGCCATAATATAATCCTCGGGAGAGTATCGATTGAAAATCAAGAAGGTATCAAAGATAATGTAGCCACTGAAGATCACAACACCACCAATAGCCATCGCTAGCTCAATTCCTTTCGAAAAAGGAATAAATATCTGTACAATACCAGCTAACAAGAGGACCCAGATACCAGCATATAAACTAAAAGAAAAAGTCAGGATTTAAGATTAAATAATCTACAAAGCCTAAGCACAGCTTACATTGGACCCATTCCTGAGAAATCCCACTTTGACTGGAGAGTAAAAATTGTCAAGCCAAAAAAGACACCCGCAGTAATAACAAGAGCTTGCAATACAATGGTCTGATCATAAAAAGTGACTGGAATGAAGGACAGGTTAACACATGATTTAACCGGGGTTATAATTCAAGAAAATGCAGCCTTACCAACAGTTCCAACCAGTTGACTCTCAAGGAGAGTAAAGATACCCAAAAGGACGTAGTTAAGAGGAGCAGAACGGGCCTTCCACATTAGAAGAAGAAGTACGCCAAATGAACCAAACATGGAAGTATACAATAACCAAGGGCTATTTATTATATACAATCTTATTAGTATTATTTTCTTTTAATGTTATAGCTAATGTCTTACTTGGTCTGAACAAAGTGCTTGGCATTACTGTTGTACAAGTAAAAAGCTGACATAATAACAGTTCCAAAAATCTGGGCAGTCAAGATGGAATAAACCTTGCGAACGAATTCTTAAAGAATTATACAAGAATTAGATTAAGATAAACTTGTTAACTAAAACTTACGGAGACGAATCTCGATGGAGCTATTTGCAACAGTAGTCTTATACATGTCATCGTTTTCTTCTTCCGATTGAAAAAGAGGTTGACGGGCCTCTTCTTCATAATTAGGTGGGGGGGCAGAGTAATGCTGCGGAGAATTGTATGCCATGATTGAATGAAAAGCTGAACAAGCCGAGAAATGCGGGGATGAAATTAGCAAATGTAACAAGTGAGCTTCACTTTGCCCGTCACACTTTAGTAACTATTGTTTTCTGAATGTCATGAGCCTATTCAGCTTTCTTCTCGACACTACATTATGCCAAAAGCCCAAAGAACCAAATCCAAGCTCAGATCTAAAGACTCGAGTATAAGATCTCGTAAATCTGCTGTAGACAATAAACAAGTGATTGAAAAGCCATTTGATAATGTGCAGATCACAGTAAGGTTTTCTTTGAAACTTGTTTAATTATTAAGAACGACTATTAATCACAGTCACTTGTTAGACAAAGGAGTCTATAGTTGAAGAACTAGACAATGTAGCCAGCAAAAACTTGAAGAGAAAGATTCGTCATGATGCATGGCTTGAAAGTATGTTTAATCATTTAATCTAAATAGAAGCACAAAGACTGATTAATATCATTTACACCTTATTAATTGTGAACTTTTTTTTAATAATAATAGAGCTAGACACTTCTTATAACGCAAAGCAACAACAAAAGAAGAAGGCAGACAAAAGAAAGAATGGATTGAAGACTGACCTCTCATCCTTTTCTGATATTCTCAACACCATAAAAATCGAGCCCAAGATTCCTGTTCAAGAAGTTGAAGCAGCTACAGCACCAGCGCCAGTTAAACCTGCTGTCCTTCCATCCACATCCTTCAAGAGCAAAAAGGCACGGAAAAAGGCAGAGTACGTTGAAGCATATTGATGAGTAAAATCATATTATTAACAATGTGCTTTTATTAGAATGCAAGAAATCCTTCGATTTCAAAAAGTTATGCAGCATTCGGCCTTTCAACAGAACCCAATGGCAACTATTAGACAACATGTTCAGAACACCTTTGCTAACGAAATTGCATAAACCATATATTTTTGCATTTTGATATTCTCATTTCTCTTGTTCATCTCATTAAATTTTGATTTTTTTTTCTTTTTTTTTAAAAAAAGTAAATGAATTCCAATTTAAAATAAGCAGTTAATAATGGTGTGGTTTCTAAAAGGTATCCGAAAATAGGAGAAGCCTTAGCAGATATGGTTGTTTTCACTGTATCTTCTTTCTGATTTTTCAGAAAAAGGGAATTGCCTTGTATAGAAGAAAATGACCTACTTTGGAATTGTTGTTTACAAGGAAACAGTATTCAAAGCCTTAATTTTTTTTCTTTAATCATCAATAAAGGCACACTGTATAGCACATTTCTCTTCCACATTTCTCTTTTTCTTTTTCAAAACGAGTCTCAATGGTCTACTCTCCCTGGACATTTCGATGCTGTGGATGTATTGATAATCGGATAGGCAGCATGCTTGCATGCATATTATGGGCTGTAAAGTCATTAACAAATATCCAGGCCAGTCAACAAAGAACTTATACTTCTTTAATAGGCGTTTAGCTTTTACCTTGCTATTTTGGCGTTTATGGGAAGCAGCCGTAGGTATATTTATGAGTTTAATTTGTGCATTCGCAACCATTATTAAAATAATCATAACAATGATTTAAATTATTAGCGTTCTTTTCACATCTTGACAAAATCCCGCTGATCGTGTTTGGTGTCATCAATATCTTCTTTGGCCTTGTGAGTTTGTCGGGTTTTATTATTCTAATCGTCCGAGTAAGTCGCACTTGTATAATAATGACACATACGCACACATATTTACTTTGCTGAAGTCTCGGTATTTTGCACCAAGAAAATCCCTTGTGTACCTCCTTGTGTTTTCTGCTTCAGCTGTCTTGGTAGACTTGTTTATAAATCTTGTCCTGTTCGGTGTTGATAAATCTAGCTTTCAAGAATGGTGTGTCGAGCAATCTCTCTACAACTTTAAAGTCGATTTCCAAAAGAGTACCAATATAACCACCGTCCCAATCAATGCAGACTCGGATTTTTACAATTGTAACAGACTCTATGAAGATGAGTTCAAATGGTCTCTGATGGCCGTAGTAGGAATCTTTATCGTCTATGTAAGATTTAATCTCATTATGTTTTTACACGAACGAATAACAATAATTCAATTGGAAGTATCTTAACTTTGAAGAATTGTTAGATTCATTGGATTCTCGTAATTATGTCTTACATCCAGAGCTATCGTGCCTTATTTTCCGTTGGATATCCTAATGGCTCGATTGTCCCTGTACCACTTGAGCCTGTACTACCAGCTCCTCCTATGGTAGAAACCATGCTTAACATTCCACCAAAAAGAAAGGAAATATTGAACTATCAGAATGTCAAACCAGGATCTCTTAAGAAGATAATCGGTCGTTTCCGGCGTGAAAATATCCCGTTTGCGCACGAGAGATGGGACAAATTAGGACAAGATGATTTTACAGGCGATCACAAACACGAATCTTTAACGACACTTACAAATCTTACTTCAAACGCTGACCATAGCACAGAATCCTATCTTGAACAAGAAGGCCATTCAATTACACCAAAATCTTCACGTACCTTTGTCTTGTACTAAGGAATATATAAACACGCCACTAAGAATCACAAATTATAAATTTACCAAAACATCATATACCTCCTATTTATCTGTATAATTTAGAGTGCCAACCATTTTCTTTTACATTTACTAGCTATTCCTTCTTACACATGTAGTATTATCATGTTATTTTCTCCATAATCAATATACAAGTTATCAGATTGAACTCTGTTGTACAAAATAAATATAGAGACTAGCCTTCATAGGTCTCCTTGGTATTTCTATTTGTCCACGTGCGCTATGATGGGATTCACTGTCACTGTAACAAACCACCATAGATTTTAATATTTGTGTAGAAAACTTGAGAGAAAAGATGTTAAGCAGCCCTTTTTTTAAATATATATATATCATATTAAGCTAATAGGTTATGAGACAACCCTTTCATTCACATGATCCTGTCAAGAGTGGGTATTACTTACCTAGAAATTGATTTTACAAGTCAAATGAATTTTTTTTTGGCTGGTTAAATTGCTATGGCTCCGAAGATTGAAAGTTCAACGTTATCATTAAAAGAAATTGTTCAATATTCTTTACAATTCCTTGTAATGGAGGACACAAATAGCTTGAACAAACGTCTGAAACTCGTTTATTTTTTGTTTATTTATCTATGCAGTTAAATAGAGCAGGTTTTCATTTATTTCTCATTCAAAATAGCTGATTAAAGACAAGAACTTCCACTTGTAAATGAATTTTTTTTTGAATGGCTTAGATTCAATGAATGTGTGTAAGATTCTTACACAAAGGAATCCAAAAATTTTATTCTCAATATTATAAAATAATACTATCTGATAACACTTATTGCTGTATTCTTTCTTATGCGATATAGACATCATAATTTTACACAGGCAAGTATATTAGCTCGAAAATATACACTCGAAAATCAATTTTCTAAAGATGATAGTACATTTGAACTTAATTAATTCACTACTGTATCAGTGAAAAAAAAGACTCTAGTGCTATATATTGATATACTGTACACTGGTAGTATATCACAAAGTGTTCAATATTACAAGTATAATGATATGTGGATGATCTGTATTTTCCGCGGATAGGCTAGTCAAAATATCTGTGTAGCAATTATTGAATGTACAAAGTCAGATCCAATAAAGTTGTGGAGACACATTGGCTGTGCACTTTATATGTAGCAACGTGCCAGGGACTTATCACCAATGTTATGCGAGTGTTTCTGCAACGTGCCTTTAACACCAGAACTTGCGGATGTAGGCCAAACTTGAAAATAGTATAAAGAGGCAAGAAATTTCACACCTTCATTTTGATTATCGAAAATACAAAAACAATCAAGAAATGAAGATAACCTTGCTCACCGTATTTTCGTTGGCCACCATCTGCTCATCAGCTCTTGCTGGCAGCACTAGCAGCACTAGCAGCTACAAGCTTCGGCCAGACCCTGAAGGTCAATTCCCTCGCTTGGGTGCTTGTCCTGATGCTCATGCTTGTATCTTCCCTCCTGATGTGTAAGTTTCAATCGGAATCAATGTCTACAAGAGGTCAGTTAAGCTTACCCTCCTTCTATTTCTATTTTCCAGTTCGCAATTTATCCCTGGAGCTTACTTTGATCTGAGAGTTGAGCTTCATGCTTATGACGAGGATACTTCCAAGCCTACCCCTGCTCCTTATACTCAGTTTAAGACAACTGTTCGCAAGAACAATGGCCCATGGTCCGATGTCAACCGTTACTTTGATCTCCCAAATCCCAAGCTGGAGGAGTGGAACTTTAGCTGGGTTAACTCCATCGATGCTCACCTTGGTACCATAAAGGATGGAAAGCCCGTCTCCCCTGTCAATGTTGCAGTATCATCGCGTGCCTGGCGTAAGCTCAAATTTAAGGAGGCTGGTTCTTATGAAATCAAGGTTGAGTATGGACCCAAGCAATCTTATACCGTAAAGTACACCGTTGTTGAGGTAAGATCGTAGGCTTCAAACAAGAACGAATTATGTCTCTTATATGTCTACTAGCCCAAAAAACCCAAGCAAAAAGCAAAGAACGTTATTTTGTTCATTTCCGATGGTACAAACACTGGTGTAAGTTTAATCCGTTCCTTGGATTTTTTTTTAAAAAAATACTCCCAAAATGGATATAATCTTAATTTGGACATTTTCTCAATTTGGTGCAACCATTATAGATGATCACCGCTGCTCGTGCAGTTGCAAAGGCACATACCTCTGGAAAATACCACGAATTCCTTTCTTTTGAAAGCTTTGATAACCTTGGACACGTTATCACGAACTCGGTTGATAGTCTTACCACTGATTCTGCTAACTCTGCCTCGGCTTATTCTACTGGTCACAAATCAAGTGTCAACGCTCTTTCTGTTTATTGTGATTCCTCAGAAGATCCTTTTGATGATCCCAAGGTCGAGTCTATTACAGAGTTGATCCGTCGTCGTCAACCTAATAAGGGTAAGTATTGGATAATTATACCTCTGACCATAAATTAACAAGTGGATATATAATTTTTAGCCATTGGTATTGTCACCACTGCTTATGGACAGGTAACAGAATAACTTATATATTTAATATATCTAAATTACAAGAAACTAACCATTCTTCTTTAACAAAAAGGACGCTACTCCTGCCGCATTTGTATCTCACACCCGTAAAAGATCAACCTATCAAGAGATTTCCGATCAGATTATTAACGGTGTTCCTGATTGGACTGATCCTGTTATCCCTGATGTTTGGTTGACTGGTGGTGCCGAATACTTCAAGGGTCCCCTCAGTTTGAACGGAACAGATTACTACAAGGAGTTTTCCAAGAAGGGTTACAAGGTTGTTCAGAACAAAAAAGATCTTAACAATTACAATGGCAAGGACAAACTTATGGGTGTCTTCCGCCAAGGAAGTCTTGATGTGTAAGTAGTGTATTCTATTAAATCCAGTTTGTCTAATCTATTTACTGTCTTATGACGGACTTAGTTGGTTTGAGCGTAACTTGTATGTCAATAACACTGTGGGTAATAAAGCTGCCCCTGATATGAGCGGCAAGGATGCCCTAGGTAAGTTGAATACTTAATTAGATGGGTAGATTATTGGATCTAATCTCCTAATCTTGTAGGCTCTGACCAGCCTGGTCTCGAAGACATGACTATCAAGGCATTGGAAACTCTTAAGAAACGCGGTGGCGATGATGGGTTCTTCTTGATGTCTGAAGCTGCATCCGTCGACAAAAAGGTAATGCCGTTAGCGAATGAAAGACATTATGATTGGCTTGTTTGTTGATACAATTATATTTGGGTAGTTGCATGTATTTGATTTTCCTCGTGCATTTGCCGAATTGGTTGAGCTTGATGTTACTATCAAGAAGACTGTCGAATGGCTCAAGGTAACTAAAATAAATACTATGCATACCTCGAGAAAATGGAGTCTTATTGGTCTACTTTAGAAAAATGGCGAATACGAGGATACTTTGATCCTTGTAACAGCCGATCACGCTCATTCTTTTGACGTCTGGGGATCTGTTGATCGCAACTACCTCTCTGGTCATGTTGATAACACCGCCAAGCTTAACTCTATTGGTGTCTATGGGCAGTCAGGATGGCCCGGTTATTTCGATACCAATGGAGATGGTTTCCCAGATAATTGGACTCCAAACATTGTCTTGGCTGCTGGTACTTCCAACGGTCCTGACCATTACGAAGCCTGGAACACTTCCAAGGATGAAATTCGCAACCCTTCTATCACTGGTCCCGACAAGCTTACATATATTCCTAACCCTGAGGACGCCGCTGGTGATTACCAGAGTAAGCGAAAAACAGGCTTTGTGTATTCAAAAAATTTTCTAACTTTTGTGATTTTATTTATAGAGGGACTCAAGTGGAATAGTAATCTCCCTACTGAAGAAAACCAGGGTGTTCATTCGATGAGCGATGTCTTCATCTATTCTAACGGTAATTTCGATTAATTTCTGAGGAACACTGAATTGTATACTAATTTATTGAACGCAGGCCCTGGATCAGATCTCTTCAAAAAGACCTTTGAGAACTGGGATCTCTTCTTCAAGATGGCTGAGGTATATACTTTATCTCTTTATGGATAAAAGAGCTAAGATCCTTATTAATTTGGTATTTTTTACTTGTTTAGGCAATGGATTTGCTTAGACCTACCAAGAAAGAAAACTAGGCTTTTTTTCTTTCTTTCTGCCAACAAACATCCTATAGCGTTTGGATTGTTCGAGTACAGCCACTATATATCTCCAATTCAACCTTATAATCAATTTTCTATCTATCTATCTATCTATCAATTGATATAGGCATCTATTTATCTGATAAAATTACCCTTTTTTTTTAAATAATAATAATAATAATAATAATAAACAAAACCTTTCCTTCTTTATTTTACTTAATAGCCAACGATCTCCCACATGTTGTTTTTCATGGATCTCATTGGTCCAAATATAATTTCTTTTAAGAAATTGTATTATTGTGGAATACCAAGATCAACCTTGAACTTCTGTGTATCTTGAGTCATAGAATACTCTATCTCTAAAACCATAATAGATAAATGTATCATAAAAGTCCAAATTAAATATATATATACTAAAATATAGATAAGAAGAAATATACCATGTTTAACAAGAAGTATTCCAAGAAAAAAAAATCCCGTAAAACATTAATGAAATTTAAGCTTTATAATACGAAAAACATCCTTTTATACATAAATATATAAATAAGGCATAATGTTTACAAGATTAAAAGGTGCCTCGAAAAATCCAAAACTCAAATATGCTACGTACTGTATGCCGTAAGAATACAGACATATTATTTTGTGTGGATCGATATTTTGAATGATTGAGATACAATATGTTCATCTATATTTCATCTCTATTAATCAATGGCCCACTATTCCTACTGGGTTTTGATGTTCCCTTTAATCCTAAGTTTGCTACAGCATCCCAAATAGCATTACTCGCTGCAGTCCGTTTTTCCCCTTCAAGTACAGCCCCAGTCTCTTTGCTAGAGCTATGAGAGAGAGGGAATACGTGTGAGTGCGCTTTCTCTTCCTCAGTAGGATCCAATATTCCTTCTGGTCGTAATGAATGCGATGGCTCAGTGTGGCTGCTTCCTTCCATCATCAAAGCTTCCCGCGCTCTTTTGAAAGCAATATCAAAATTGGTGGGTAAATGATCGAGTACAATCGACCGACGAACAATAATCTCTCTAGACACTCGTTCAGCATCGGTTCTTTCGATTACAATACGAGTTTCATTACTGGGAGTAGGATCCTACGAGTAAAATACAATAAGAATGTAATAATAGGATATATATTATGTTGTATTTTTTTTATAAAAAAAAAAGACTTACCAGCCAAAATTGATAAACCTGTCCTGCAACGTACAGCTAAAACCAACAAAGAGTTAGAACGAGAAAATCATATGAATTCCAAATATACATACGCGTGGGTTAGCCATTGAGTCCAGGCATCTCTGGCGACACTCTGCAATTCTTTCGTAGGCAGTCTTCCATTTTTCACCTTCCATTTTACCAACCCATAGTACTTGACCAACACCAAGTGTCTTTGCAGCTTCTGCACTAGCAATAATAAGCTCCTTGACATCCATCATAGACCCATAGCTGAGCTTGCTGACTACATCATCAGCAAACACAAAAGACTGGATATAATCCTAAAACATTATGATTTGTAAGGAGACTCCTGATTTTAATTGTTTCAATAACAGCGCAGGCCTCTAATGTTTACCTTGTACTTTTCTGACAAATTTAAACTTAGACCACACGCTGGAGCGTACCCGAAACATTTTAGAGAAAAATCCACATCCGTGCCCTTTCTAAACTCATCAAGATAATCTATCAACATAATTGTTAAGATTGCTGCAGTTGCTGCTCCTAAACTGTGGCCAACTATATAGAGTGCTGAAGTGGAGTGCTCGTTTGAATAGGCAATTAACTGTGGTGCCACATTACGGAAAAACCACATAGCAGAAGACTACAAAAAAAAGTAAATAAAAACAATACTTAGTTTGCTTGACTATTCAAACAAAACAGACTTGTTTTTCTTTTGCTTTACCTTCATTCCTTTATGGATCAAACCTCCTCTCCATGGTTCGTACTCACATACCAAATCAGTCATTGTGTCAAAAACGCTCTTTAAATTGACAAGAAATTGTGTCCAGATTAGCAACGCTTGCATTAAAATAAAAAGATGGAAATACCATTGTGCCTCTAATAACTAGAACTATGGAGTTCGTAGTCCGGTCGCGTGTAATAAAGTAGCTTGGTCTGAACGCTTCGGCTGTCCGGAATTCATAAGCCAGTAAATCTTCTTTTGGGATCGACAGAAATTCAATAATCGACAATGCATCAGAGTGATTCCTAATGGCGTCAGACAGGTACCCGTTTCCTTTTCCAATAAAATTAAGACCTTTCCAGCCATAAGATGCAACCGAGAACTTCCAGAAATGAGAAGCTAGCTCTATTTCTGACAGGTCTTCAACAAGATCCCATGTTCTCTCTCGGGGTAGTTCTCCATAGAATTTCTCGAGAACAGTAAACCCAGTAAGCACTTGGAGGTTAGTAAGTTCAAAACCTTGACCCTAACGACACATATCAGTAAAATTATTATATGACTTTTCTAGAGGATATTAAATTACTCACAAATGAAGCCAGCAGTTTTGCAATTGTCCGTAGAACCTGGTTGGTTTCTTTGTTTACTGTCCAAGATCCAATTGTTTCAAGGAGAGGGTAAGCCTTTATATTTTCTTGGTCATCGCTCAAAATGACGGATTCTAATTCATTGTTATTAAATGCAGCCTTCTTAGAGTTCGAAGGTTTTGTATTTGAAGGGTCTGGTACGGCGACAGTACTGGCTGTTGATAGTGACGAGGACGGCTTGTTAAAGCGGAACCAGGAAGACACCTTGTGAACAGTTGATTCCTTGTTGGTCGCATTTTTCGCATCTTCTTTCGAAAGATTAGAATCCTGGCTCTGAAGACTGCTAGACTTTATTCTCCCCAAGGCTAATGGGCGCATTAAAGAATTGGAATCTTCTGAGTCCGAATCAGATTCGCTCTCATCTGGATAGTCGAGCGTCTCTCCCAAGTGTGTATCTCTTCCTTCTTCGTATTTGCAAAATTTTATACCGGCTGTCTTTCGCTCACGTTGGAATTTAAGATGCCTCTGAAACTCAGTCGCAAGCTGCTCTTCTGTCAACAAATTGCTTGAGCCTACAGGAGTATCTGTCTTTCTCAGCTCTCTCAACACCAGAGGCTCATCTTTGCTATCTGCCGAAGTTCCATTGTTATTCTTTTGCTCACTTCCGTCAGAAAGTTGTGTTTGTTCGGACTGGTACACATAGGCTATTTTTACTTGAATAGCCCCCACATTAGCCGTCAGAGTTTTTCGCTGTCCTACACTCGAACTTGCCCCAGTAGAAAGTTTTTTATCCCAAATTTCGTAATAGCTCGTGAATGTTTCCGGCATTCCTTCCAATAGTCTAAGACGTATTTCTGTTCTTCCAATATGCCGATCGGGTAGTAGCATATAGCTATCGAACAAGTCTAGTTGTATTGTCCCAAAAAGCTGGGCATGAAAACTCACAGATAATTCAAAAGTTTCATGCCATCGTCCTTGTTCATACTCGGATACAGAGGTATAATACTTTTGCTCTATGTATGGTTAGACTTGAGATCGTTATGGAGATTTAGATGCTTACCTCCAAGTGTGATGACCACATATGGTCTTTGAACAGGTACGTTTAAGAAGCAGTCAAGGACTTGTAACTGCGTAACCGATATTAGCATATATTTAAATATTAACTTTGAACCTTTACTCTAAGTTTTCCGGAGGGTAATGGCGGTGATTGTCGGCTTAGAGGCGTGTTTGGTATATTATGGCTGTGAATTTGTTCATGAGTAATCGACATGATCGGTGAAGAGAGAAGTTTATGCTTTCTGTGACAAGATATTTATTCTACTCCAGCTTGTGAGTTATACATGTGACATCAGAATTTACTATCAATATAGCAAGACAAGTGAAACGCAAACGCAAACCCAACCATTATCTTTACCTACTTTTGATTGGACATTAAGCGTAATATAGGATAGCCTCAAGAGAGGTTTCTTTTAAGTAATTCAATAGCCCAATAGTCAGCAAAAATAGTCTATGAAAGCAATAATAGAAAAAGTAATATCCCAAACGGATTCATACCAATTCAGAAATGTTGCACAGCCCATGCACTGTCAAACATCTAAAGACCATAATATGACCGTAGAAAGAAAGAAAATACGTCACACAATAATCTAAGTAATTAGAATCTGGCGGTTGATAATCGATAAAAGGGGAGACAATAAAAGTACGGTTTCGATTGTAAAGTAAATTATTAATGACAATGAATCTAGAGCTCATGCTAGCTCATTCTAGATATTTCAGGGCATAGATTTGGTAACATAATTTTAATTTATTTATTTTTTTACTTAAAATGGTTGAAACTGGCTTATGTTTGCTTCTAAGGTTGGTAGCCTCTTTTTTTCTTCTATCTTTATTTTCGTATCTCATATACCGTATATACTCACACCATCATTTTAGGTCAGTAAGAAACTCTTGCCATCACAAATCGTTGCAAAATGCGAACGACCAAAGACAGTAAACAATCTTTTAAGAAATCTATGTCGATATGAAATGCATGTGAGAATAACCACAATAAGGTTTTTAATATGTGACAGAGGTGCAAACACTTGTCTTATAGCCCAGATAAAGAGAAATAACTGCTGGCTCGATTTGATAATATAATTCAATCATAGATAGCTGCTTATGCCTTTGGATTGTTTTTTAAAAGTCCAAAAAACAAGACTTTTGCAAAAATTAATACATCAAGAAAATAGTATGTGCTTATGAAGATGGATAGTGTACTATATCAATACCGCTAAATCATTTGCTGTTTTTTTTAAGACTTCTTCTTCAAAAAAAAAAGAGTCTTAGTGCATCCTCAGCAGTTACATTTCCAAAAACATTTAATAAAATATTTGGTCACTTTGATCCTTTTATAATTCTGTCGAACATTAAACTTATTTTCCCAGGCAGAGTTCTTCAAAGGAAATATTGAAACAAATCCAGAGATAGGTTACTTGATGTCGATTGTCCCATACTCTCATATAAACGGGCAAAATTATTAAGAAATTTTACGACAAGTACGCTACTGTGTGCGTATCACGTATCCGTTAATAATTGTTATTTTCTTCATAAATTGATACATTTTATTTATTGATTCATTTCCTCTAATATTTCTCCTTCACAAAGCGTTGCCCGAATCAACCAAAATAATAATAATAAAATCTAATGGTTATAGTAATGGTAATGTTTTTTTTTGTTAAGAGTGTAAAAGAGAAGAAGGAATTAATAAATAAAGATGGCATATATGTATGTGTGTTTTCCCCTCCCCCTTTTTTTTAAGCTGTCAATAAACAGCTATCTAATGAAAGTATCTTGGAGTGGGATGGTAATAATAGACAGGTGCATCAACATGAGTACCCGCGGCTCGACTTAATCCTTCTTTATCAACAGATTTTCCTCGGCCATCGTCTTCTGATACAGATGTTTTTGAAGCTTTCCCTTCTACATCTCCTTGTTCATCTCTTGGTTGTTGATCCAGTTGATTTTGATGTTGGTGGGGCAGTTGGTGGGGCAATTGTTGATGTTGATGCTGATGCTGATGCTGCATATGCTGATGTGGCTGCGAGGCCATCATTGGGCGAAATGAAGGCTGCATTGGCATGGGAATTGGCATTGGCATTGGAGCATAGTAATAGGACTGCATTTGAGGGGGATGCATTTGAGGGGGATGCATCTGAGCAGGGTGCATCATAGGCTGACCCATACCATAGTAGACCATTCCATTCACTTCATAAGGAGATGCCATGGGTCCAGCTACAGGCGAAGGAGTGTATGGATAATATGAAGGTGGTATATCCGTAAACCCTTCACTTGGCTGGGAGTGGTACTGCATGGGATAATACTGCATTGGCATATACATACTATTATGTCCAGACCCATCTGCATAATGCTGACCACTGCTTGATTCTGCCGTATTTCCGGATTCGTCATCATTAATAGTGGCTCGAGTGCCTGCAGACCTTGTGCTATTTACTGGACTATTACTGGCAGTTGATCCTTCGACTGGTGTATCACGCTTGCGCCAGTCTTCGTGTATATGGCGGGAACGAGCCGACTTACTCTTTTTGTTTGAAGATTTGAATATAAGAGGTTGTCCATTGGGTCCTGTGGCTACCGCTGTTGCTAACAAAGTTGTTGCATCCTTAGCAATATCAACAGCATGATCCTCTTGGACCCTCTCTGAGCTTTCAGATGGTGCAGAAGGAGTAGATATTCCTTCAGGAGGAGTAGGAATACCAAGAATTTGTTCACTTTTTTCCCAATCATATCTTGCATCGGCTTCAAGGATAATAACTACATCTGAATCCTCATCTGGTTCTTCTTGGTCGCGGATAGTGTCCTCTAGGTATGAAGTCACCCCAAGTTCTTTGTCTGCCTTCTGGTCAGCAAGTATCTCTTTGCGAATACTAGACTTGGCTTCTTGCTCATGCTCAGCAATGTTCTCGGCGGTATATTCTTTGTTATCTGACTTTTTCTGGATAGCAGAAACATCATTTTTGTGCAGCTCTGGAGATTTTGGTGAAGAGTGGCGTTTACCGCCTTCTTTAGGTGTCTTACTAGAAGCTACCATCTTTTTGTCATCAGCATTGGTTTTGACATTATTCTTTGTTTTGTTTCCACTTGGAGAGGTACACACATCTACACTAGTAGACAAGGTCCAAGATGCCCATGCGTTTGAAGCTTCTTCGCCTTTATACAAGCCGCTTACAATAGGAGCTCTAGGAGGACGTGGAATTTTTTTCTCGGGTATTCTAGGACGCAGCAATGGTTTACTCTTTTGTGATCCAAGAGGTTGATTCAATGCTGGAGTGTGCTTTAGAGACTCTCCTGGATTAGCTACCGAGTTATCTTCTGTACCACCGGTTCGAGATGCCTTCCCGGAGTCTATTCAAAATATGTGTTAAATAATGTTCTAATGTAATCCAGGAGAAGCGTGTTATTTTAGAGTCGACAAAATTACCCCATTCTGATTTTTCTGTAGAGTCTGGAACAGTTCCAGTAGTCGTGGCTGCTCCCCAGTTGTCTTCTTGATTCATATCCTGAGCAGTAGTTCCCCAATTGTCCTCTTGTTTCACACCCTGAACAGTAGCTTCCCAGCTGTCTTCTTGCTTTACATCCTGGACAGTAGCTTTCCAGCTATCCTCCTGCTTTACTGGCTCCACATATTTAACAGTACGCTCCCAGCTATCCTCTTGCTTCACATCTTGGGCAATAGCTCCCCAGCTGTCCTCTGTATTTACCGGCGCTGCAGATGCTTCTCCCCATCCACCTTCATTTATCAACACGCCAGGAGTTCTATCCTGCCCGCTTTCTAGTTTTTTGTTTAAATCATCAGATTTTTCCACAACGTTCTGTGCTTGAATGGATGTATTCTCTCCTACGTTTCCAGAGTTCTCAGTAACAGTAGTCGTAGTATCATGAATCGTTGTTTGGGTTGGTTTCTTGGATGACTTTAGATTACTAGACTTCGTAGACTGGCTCTTGGCAGACTTAGCCTTAGTCGATCTAGATTTAGATGCTGTAAGACCTGATTTTGTCTCTGTATTTATATTAGCGTCCTTGTCATTGGCTTGATCAGAAATTGTAGTTGGGCGTTTTTTGGACGTATGTTCTTTCTTTGGTGTTGAGAGTTCTTCTACAGGCCATTCATTAGCAGTGACCTTCTTATCTACTGAACCCCAGCCAGATTCTTCCGAATTGGGATCTTTTTTAGTTGAATGTTGATCAGAAACAATAGCTGGTTGCGTAGTGGTTCCCCATACTGGCTCTTCCACTTTATTTTCTTTATCTGAAGTTTTCTCAATTGTTGTTGACTTCTGTTTGCTCTCCTTCTTATTAGACTCTTTAACATGGATTTGTTTCTCACTCGACTTTTCGCTTCCACCAGATTTTTGTTTAGTTTTCTTCTCACCCGACTTTTCGCCAGATCCTGACTTTCTGTTTGATTCGGCTTTGCTAGAAGACTCTTTAACTTTTGTTTCTTCTTCAGGCCATTCAGCCGAAGCCGGTTTCTGTTCAACCTCTCCCCAGCCAAGCTTTTCTGTATCGTTCTTATCCCGTTCGGACTCTTCTACAGGCTGATTTGGGATTTATATCTTCATTTTTCTCTCTCTTTTCTGTTATTACTTACTTCAACCCCATTGAAAGTTTCAGTATTGCTGACATCAACAGCCACATGGTTGTTGGTGGAAACAGACTGCGCGTTCGACCAGCTGCTGGTACCATAGTCCAAAAGGTTATTATTAGTAGTAGCCGGTAACTTCTCTTTGGAACCTTTGCCATTTTTTGGTGGTCTTGATGATTTTGGAGTAGTATTTACAGGTCTGGGAGGACGCGAGGGTTTAGGGGCTCTGAGATTTGGTTGGGCTTTAACAACAATAGGCTTAGGTGCACGGCCAATGGTGGCCGTGTCAATAAGTGCTCTCCACTGACTACTAGCAACAGCCTCCTTTTCTGGTGTGTTATTTAAGGTGGTTTTAGGTGCGGCTACTGGAGTTTCTTGGACAATACTGGTAGACAAAACTGGTGAACCAATATCTGTGGTATTTTCTATTGGGTCTGAAGCTTTAATAGAAGTATCGGATGATCTAGGTTCATGTGCTTTTGGTGAATCAGCAATGTCAGAAGAGATTGGCTCTGAATCAGGACCTATAACAGCTCTCTTTTCGTCAACATAGGTATTCCACTCTGTTTCGGCTTCTTTAATAACGTCTACCAATAACGAATAATTTTTTTTTTAAAAAAAAAAGACTTAGAAAAAGTTAAGCAAGCATATGTTGCAAATATTATATTACCGGGAGAATTTTGAGGCATCAAGCCAACAGAGTCCAAAGTGATTTCCCCGGTAACCGGTACACATTTTTTGGATTCAACCGTAGGAGTATCCTTGGAGACAGTTTCTTTTCCCTTGGCCACCACAGGGCTAGAAATTTTACGAGCATCTTCTTCAGCCTTTCGTAACTCAATTGCCTTTGATGCCGCACTGAATTCCAACCATCGATTTGGTCCAGATTCTGCCTTGGAAGCTTTCTCATTCTGTCCACCCGATCGATCTTTAACAGTAGGAATGTCTTTTGATGTGGAGGAAGCGGCAGAAGTCTTTAAATTTGGAATGCTTTCCCGGAATTTGTCTCGCCACTCTCTTTCCTCGGTTTCTACGGTCATCAATCGTTCATAACTTTCATGTGACCATTTTCCATTCACAAGTTGATCAATAAGTGCCCACTTTTCTTCATGAAGTTGGGCTCCCTTTGACTTTCCAGTACTCTCAGAAATTTCAGCTCCTGGTACCTCAACGTAGGGCGGTGGGACCAGACGTGGCCCTGTTTCGCGTGGCGTTTCACTAGCAGTCGCATTGATGGCATCGTCTGCATCGCTTTCGTCACTTTCGTCGTCTTCATCATCCTCGTCGTCTGAAATGTCTTCAGAGTTTGTGTCTTCTGAATCGTACTCTTCAGAGTCGTCAGAGTCGTCAGAGTCGTCAGAGTCTTCTGCCTTGCTTTGACTTAGGTCAGTCTCGATCTCAGATTGACTGTCATTCTCAGACAGACTGGATTGTTCGCCTTCGCTTGCAGGTTGATTGAACGCTCTCGTTACACGTCTGCGCGATTGAAGCAGGCTAGACATCTCTATGAGATGGAGAAAGAGAATAGAGGAAGAGCAAGTCTTTCCTGCAGCTTATTCTTTATTTTATTTTTTTGAATAGACATTGCCAGACTTTTCAGTCACGTGTTAACTAAAGAAGTTGACAAAGTTTGTCAAAAATAATAATAATGTTGAAAGAGATATATTGATACGGATAAAGAAGTGCCGAGATAGTTACAGTTGATATATATCTTTCTTTCACTTCTTCTTAGTCTTTTTAACTATTCATAGGAAAGACACAATTTTTAAATACTAGATGTTTTAATACGCGTTTTGATATTAATGTACCCAAAAATAAATTATACCTTTGAAGACGGTACGATGGATGTGGTGCCTGGCAGATCTGAGTATATTTCCAATATTTTATCAGTAAATAATATAAGAAATCTTTAAAGCAAACATTTTACTAATAATTTAGAGGTTGAAGCTGACATTAGTTTAATTATATATACACAACGAAATACCCCAACCATCTGTATTTACAAAGATGGCACATTAAAGGCAAATACAAAATTATGGAGCTGACCTGAAGAACACAGACGAAAGTTCTGTCATATTACCAAATTCACAATAATCTTTTTGTCTAAAACTAAAATAGTGAACTAAAAAGCATAACATGCTAAGTACTTGAATATGCATATACGCTTTCGAAAGCTATTTCTACAGTGTAGAACATGCTATTAGACGTATAGCTCTTGATATGACTATACAAAATATATGCTTTCACAAGATCCAGGAAAAAATATTTGTGTACAATTCCTCATATGGCTTCATTTTATAGGAAAGTTCATTCACATAGGTTGAAAATAATAATTTTATAATCATTTTGGTTGTATATATTGCTTTTTTTTTAAGCAAAAACGATATAGTTTACAATATACCCTTCAAATACTATCAACGGACCTCCAATATACTGATATATTCAGAAACCAATATACGCAATCACAGTCAATACAATAGTTAGCTGATAAATAAAGTAGTACTATTGATTTGATATCGCTGTCTTCTGGTTATAATGATTGATATCTCGTCTTGAAACAGAACATAGACTCTATCTCTTGTCCATCACTCAAATATGTTTTTCGCACATTGAAAAAAAGTCATCCTGTAAATATAAACTCCGACATACTGCCTTGATTTTTATTTTATTTTCACGTTTGGTGAGTAAGTGAAAAGGAATATAAAGCACAACACAATGACCGACACATTTACAGATCCTCAAAATTCTCAGTTACAAAACGACCAGCTTGATGAAGAGCACGAATGGAAACAGCATGTTCCGTTAATGCCTAATCTTCCAACCCTCCATTATTTGCGACAAGCAAGTGCAATGCTCGATCTGTAAGGAACATTGTCTCTCTCGAAAAAACTCATGGCTCTCATCACTCTTATTCACTTATGGGTCTACTTATGAAGACCCGTTCGTACTACAGCAACTGCTATAATCTACTACCACAGATTCCATAAATTCATGGCACTCTACAAAGGAAAGAAGCAGCCTAAAAATGGTCAATGGGTTGACGATTGCCTTCCATTGTTAACAAACGAAGAGGTATGAACATTTTAATACTAATACTTTGTAAGCTAACCATCTATGCTCCTGTCTGATTCAAAAACGAAACAACAACAACAAAAAATATAGTTGTTAGCTACAACATGTTTGCATTTAGCATGCAAAGCAACCGACATTCCTCGTAAAGTTCGCGACTTAGTCAACGTTGGGTACAGGTAAGTTACCCTTGAACATCGCTTTTAGACGTGTAAGGTGCAAATAATCGAATAATATTATACAGATACTATCATCCAAATGAGTCTATGCTTCAAGTAGATGAGGTAAGGAACAAGAATGAAATAATCTACTTCTCTTCTTTTTTTTTAAAGAAACATGCCTAAACCTTTAATAAAATTGTAGACGTATTTCCGTATGCGTTCATCACTTGTTACAAGTGAATTGTTGCTTGTTCGCACACTTGATTACAATCTTGAGGTTGAGTTACCTTTTGCATTCTGTCTGAATACCTTGCGTGGTATGGGCTCTGTTCAGTTCTTCGGTCAGAGTACAACTGCGTTCAGGCGCCACAGTTCAAAGAATGGACCAGTCTCAGCGCCTATGTCTGCTCCTGGATGGCAAAAAGAAGTCTGGAGACGTATGGAATATGGCAAGTGACAATAATTAATCACTTGGATATCAAAATAGGCAATCCCTAAATAACTCTCTTATTAACTCTTTAACCTTAGAAATGGACCCTGAATTAAGTGCTGTTGCACGATTATCCTGGATGTTTTTATGGGATAGGTAAGTAATAATCAAAGCGAAGACAGTGATAAAAGTCTTTGTTTAAGGATAGAATGATGAATACTAAGTATTAACTGAATAACACAATTTATTAAAAATCAGCATTTGCTCCCCAAAGCTGTCTATGACCCATTCAGTACCTGGGATTGCACTAGGATGTCTATATCTTGCCCTCAGAACGTCTAATGCCGATTTACCTATGACTATGAGCGAGGTTTGGATTGATTTGCTTTAGTAGTATACTATATCAACGAAAGAAACTAGATTATTGAGAATATGTGATACTAATTTTTATTTTTTACTTTATATTTTTTAAAGTGGGTAGATATGTGGGGTGCCTCTGAGAACATATCTGTACAAGCTGTACGAGGTATGACCACCTTTCGTATTTTTCTATTTATATAAGAAAATGAATATCATAAAATCTAACTAGTATCCATTTTTTTATGGTTATATAGATGTTGTAACAGATCTATTAGCATTATATGAAGCAACATCGTCTTCCTCGCTCTTTCAGCGGTCCACATAATATTCCTTTTAGAAAATAACAAATGTAGTATTAAGAGGAGGTAGAGAAGAGAATCGATTGACTTTGGGTCAACCATGCAAGCTATACTATTATTGGCCGCCAGCGAGCATTTTCTCCAGTCTTCATATAAAAATGATCTCAAGAGGACAAAGATGAGTGAATGAAGAATATAAAATAAGTAGATTAGAAAAGATACAAAGCAAGCAAAAAATCAAAACAGTAGGAATAAAATCGTAAAACGGCCTTGTCTCTATCTTTCTCTTTATAGGATACCCATAGTCTCCAATTTATGGCGTTCTGAGCAAGTAGAAATGAGTATTTGTAATCAAACCTATAGTGAAAATAAACTTACGAGTCTGTCGAGCATCGGCATCTTCCATTTCACTATCTTCTCCATCATTAAAGTCATCTGCATTAAAGTCTCGCGGTACCTCTGTGATAAGAATAAAAATGAGTTAAAAATGCAGAATAGATGTTATATTTATGCTTCCTACCCTGCATTCCTACAGAAGGTGCAAATGGCATCTCTCGAAGATTGTCTATAATTTTTGCTCTATTGAATCGAAAAAAATTCGTTATTAGTTTGATTTAATTATACTATGCTACCCTACTTACATAATACGATCTAGATAATCACGCGTATTGTGATTAGCCATATTATTCGAAGGGACCTCAAGCTTATATTCAGGGCCATAGTACTCGAAATAATTGTTATATGGCAGCTCCTCTAAGAATTTGTGGGATATGTTAACCTAAACATTTTTATATTCATTATCTTATTACTCACCCTGTGTTAAGTCTTCGCCTACGGCAAGTCCTGTTTCGAATGTCCATGTTCTTGCAACATTTCTAATTGTATATCCACCACCACCAACCATAATCATTGGCACGTTAAAAGACTTTATGAATTCTACACATGCCGCATGGCCTCTCATTGATAGGTTAAAACAGCCGAGTCTGTCACCAGCTAAAGAATCGCCGCCACATTGCAGTACAATTGCGCCTGGTCTGTACCAATTCATGATATGTTGGATAATCTAAGTATTATAAAAAAAACAAATATCAGTTTGGCACTTAGTTTTTCCCTTGCTGATATATCAGGTGCCCTTTAGTATACTCACAGGTTGGAAAACATTTTTATACGTATCATCATCAATACCATCTCTCAAGGGTACATTTACGGCGTATTTCTTTCCTTTACCAAGTCCAGTATCCTGTAATTAAATGCACCCAAGCCAATTTCTTATTAGGTACGGCAAAAAACAGATGGATAGATAATCTTATTTACTTTAATATCGCCTGTTCCTGGGAAGAACTCTCCGAACTTGTGAAAAGAGCATGTCATAACGCGATCTGTTGTATAGAATGCTTCTTCCACACCGTCACCATGATGGACATCAATATCAACATATAATACTCGCTGGTGATATCTACTCTCATGGTTATTTAACAGCTAATCTCTTTAGTTAGTTAGCCGTGTTTACTCTTAATATTTACCTCAAAAGCTCCAGAATACCCAATACAATATCATTCACATAGCAGAATCCTGATGCCTCTGTTTTTTTAGCATGATGTAGACCTCCGGACCAGTTGACGGCAATATCTGCCTCGCCGTTGAGAAGCTTATTTGCAGCACCTAAAAAAACCAAATTACATAGTAATGAATAGAGTTTCTCGAGTAAAGCAAAAGGAAATAACAAGACAAGCATTTACCAATTGTTCCACCTGCAGAAATCGAGCAAAATTCGAAAAGACCTTCAAACACAGGACAATCTTCACCCACATTGACTAAATAGAATTCGATGCATATTTAATTCACATATTTGCTCAAGTAAATCAAATCGACGATTTAGCTTACATCTAGCAATGCCCTGTTCAAGACTTCCATGTTGCATAGCTAACAGCTCAAGGTTGTCTGGGGTCACATTTTGTAAGAAATTGATATATTCATCCGAATGGAAGCGCGTCATTTGGAAAGCAGTAGTTCTATCCGGTTTCTGTGTACATAATATTATCATTAATAGGATTTTATATATATTACATCGCTTTATCAGAAAATATGAAAACATACGACAATGTCAAGCTTCTTATAAAGCCCATAGTTGACAACCATATTATGAACCATGTGCATGCGCTTGGGCTTCATATAATGTCCTATACACCTTGTATAAGTGTGGCGATCTCGAATGCTAGAATAATGTTCTTACCTGGACCATAATTGAAGTTTCCAACATCGTCTTTAAATAGATAATCAGTCAATTGGTTCGAGTTTATAAGTGAGACCAAAATATAGCTTACGGTCATAAAAGTATGATACTCGCTGTTTGGAGCAGTTTGCGAGGCTGTAGGAATTAGACATTGTATGTAAGGGAAATGAATGTGTTTGTTGCGGAGATGAGAAGGATCCGACAGACAATTAACCGTGCTTATGTTCAAATATAAAAATGGAAGAGAAAGGAGACGCACTCCAGCAAGACATCGACTTTACAGCCACTGGAATTAAAGAGGCGCCTAAGCAGTCCCAGCGATAAGTATATACTACAAAATACAGGCAGCCACACTTTCCTGAACCTGAAAGAATTCGGCAGGTCCAGCACAATACTCAGTGTGGACAGACTAAAAATTCGAAAAAAAAGGTTCAAAGAAAGGGCAAAACGAGCTCATCTTGAACTTGGCCAATCAGACTAATTTATGACTGACCACACCTTTCTTTAAAAAAAGTTCAAAATTAGTGCAAGTATATATTAGATAAGATTGTGCTTATAAAGCCTTCCCTGTCATTACGTGAAACCCTATTTTGCGAGTTATTCTAGATATCGCATTCTATGACACATTTTTCCTATAAAAATGCTCTTTCTCTCAATTATAGTGGCAATGGAAGAATTATAGCCAATCAGAGTCGTTTACAAATTGATCTTTTTTTTTGTCCTTTTTTGCCCTTACTTTGCCCTTACTTTGCCCCTTTTTTTATCCTTTTTTTAACTTGAAACTATCACAACTCGACACCTTTATTACACGTACTCCCTTATTAAACAACTTCTTCAATAAGCCGAATTCCATTTACACTGGGGCTCATATTCACCCAATATTCATCCAATATTCAGCTTGAGGAACAATTTATCAATTGATCGCAACTTTTGATTATGTCAACCCCGTGAGCACTACCTCTTGGATGTTTACCTCTTTGTTTTCTTTGTTTTACCCTAAAGTGTTTTGGCAACCCACATATCCACTGAGCTGGTAATATTAGCTGCATAAATATAGAACGAATTTACACTGTGAATTAGTATATAATAATTGAAATGTATAGTACAAACAAACGCCATATTCGCAAGTTCGAGAAAGAATAATCAATGCGTCTAAAAAAAACGCCGCAAGGAACTTTTTACCAAGGAGTGAGCACCTTGCCACCATCCTTTCTACAAAGTAATACCAAACGAAACTTATACGAAAGCTTTTCAGAAGAAAGTGTAAACAAAATAAATCGTGTAGAAGGGCTGGTGAAAGACTTGGAGGAATGCTTCTTTACTTTGATGAGAGACCGCGTAGAAGAACTTGTCAAGCAAACTAAAAGTCAAGATAAAACAAATGAACTGAAAAACAAGCTCCTAAATGTAAAGACTCTACCGGCAGCAATAATAACGAACGCAGCACAACTTGCCAAGTGCCACAGAAAAGTAATGCGCTCACATATGGAGCACCGCCCTGAGCTAAAAAATGTTGAAGAATGGAAGAAGTTCGTATCTCAAAACTTCGACAAAATAGCTGAGGCTGCCGTAGGCTCGGTCGTAAAAGCCATAGCTAAAGAATACTCTTCTGCCACTCCAACAAATAAACAGCCGTATGAAGAAATGAGAACGTGCACGGTCCAGATAAACAGCCTCTTCGGATCAGATTTCCCTCCTATTGTAAAGACATTCGTGTGTACTAGATTACAAGATTCGATGGTTACCTCGACAGACTATACCCTTTGCTTTTCGGCACTCGTGAATATGATTATAAGTGAGCTGAGGACTAGCGAATCCTTCTTTGACAACAATGATATCAAGGTTAAGAACGTTCCTGGATTCAACCTCGCCGAATTGTTGCCTTTTGGTACAAATAATGAGCCAAAACAGACCATCCAGCTTTGGACAAGAATTTAATTGTCTCTAAGCGATTTGATACGGACTTCAAGTGTCTCTTCACAAGCCAACATCTGCAAGTTGTGCATAGTTATTTTTTTGGTGCCCGTGGTGCTAAAGAAGAAAATTTAAACGCCCACCCTGTGCAGAATAGTCTGTTTTGTTCTTTCAAATAATCCGGTCTTGATAAACAGAGCTTCTGCCTTGAGAAAGCATCATCATCGGCAATGTCGATGGCTATTTAAACGTACCTGGTCAACTTCGAGAATATGTGGGACGGCAAAAAGATAATTAACAAGCTTTTGGACAAAGTGGTACTAGTGCTACTTCGCCACCATCTTGCCCGCAATAGAGAATCAAAGCGTATTTCGACCACAACAACAAGGAACCCATCAGGAAAGAAGGATATGAGAAACCATGCGCGTTATGTTTGTCGTGCAGAGGATAAAAAGCTGAAAAAGTTGATACAAAGAAAGGAAAAAGCAGGCGAATTAGAAGGAGAAAAGTGGGCCACTAAGATAAATAGTGCGAAGCAGCGTCTAGCAAATTTAAGGCATACTTTTAAAAAGGTAAGGTGGAAACATTTCTTATTAACTTGAAATTGCCAGCTAATGCTTCATTTTACTATAGAAGATAAGCCAAATGCTGAATGATAGAAAAGAAGCTTCCGTGGAACACAAGCTCGTTGTTCAGGATTTGAACATCACGGAAGAACAGCAAGATTTTCTGGAAGAGGAGGGGACTTTGGATGATGATGTTCCAGAAAGGAGGTTGAATCAACTCAAGTCCATAATCAAACACTTCGTCTTCCGCAATGATACGCCTGTATGTCTAGAATATGTCAAACGTCAGTCTCCTGAGACCACCACCACCGAACAGTCAGTATGCTTGTTGATCTGCAATACGTTGATGAAGTTCTTGCCTCCGAAAAAGCAATATCATGTAATTGCGTATCAAATGTATTTCTGTATCTTTACAAATGACGTTCTTAAATATGCACGTTATACAAAGTTTACTCGCGCATCATGTCTTTCAACATCATTCTCGTCATCGAGTGCACTACACCTGGATTCAGTTACATTATATCAGCTATTGACCCAGAATATAGATCAAGAAAAGTCGGAAGAACCATCATCACATACCAACCAGCAAAAAAAGAAAGGGTATAGTAGAATGATACTCTATGGGTATGATAGGGATGAGCTGATAGGGTCTCAAGACAAAGCGCGCCAAAACAAAGATGCCACATTTAACGCAGTATTTGATATGAGAGAGATTCAGAAAGCATGTGAATCGTATGGTCTATCTTTTGTACATCGGATAACATGTCTACCAGGAATGAAAACAGTACGATTATTGGGATCGAGAATAAAAGCCCACGGGACCGTAACAGAGGAGACAAATCAGTCATATGAAGCACGGATCTTAATAAACCCAAGCATTATACAAGAAGGACGAAAAACAAAGGATGCTCTTTTTTCTGAGCTTCAAAATTTAACAAAAGAAGTCAAGGCACTTGAATCTGTCCATAAAAGAGAGCTAGATCTTCTGAAAGACAGTAACTTCCAAAGGAAAATCAAGGAATGTAAATCAAATTGGGGGACAACAGATGACAAGGATCAGTTATACCGGACGATTGGAAAATATAAAGAATCGAGATATAAATCTTATTTGACGGTTAACAAGATCAGAAACGAACTCGCGGAAAAAAGATAACAGCTATATTTCCAACAGATGGCAATTCGTTCCAAATCAAAGCTCCATAATGTTAAAGATGTCCCTCAATATAGCAGAAGTCCAATTGAGAAATGTGGCAAAGGTGTGACCAAGGTGGAGGACCGAACTGTTGTGAATCCTGGTGACTTTAACTATGCGGGTACTGACAATGGCCTGGTGAATATGACAGCATCAATACCGATGTCGTTACAAAGAATGCAATTTCACTTAAAGCTTTTCAACTATTACACCGCGTTAAGCAAGGACTCCAATGAAGACAGTATCGGCTTGAATCTATCTAAATAAGAAGAATCATTCCTACATTTGCCATCAGTTACGAATACGAAGGCTAGTGATGTTGATGTTGGCTGTGGGTATTTTCGGCAACGAAAATATTTAGAAAGACGAAAGAAGTATACGGATGAAGGGAAAAAGGTCCAGTAAATAGAAGATTCAATGAGAGAATCGGAGTCGGCCCCTGTTGCTTCTATTGACATGGCCATCAGAAACTTTCGTGCTAAATACGATCAACGACGAAGCCTGCGGGATTTCTACAATTCTCCAAAAATCATCAACAAAAAAAGACATGTAGAAATCCAACAACATCGTTATCGGCATCACCTCTGTCGGCGAGAGAGATTGGAATTGAAGCACTCAGAGAGTAATAATTTGTTACCAATATTAGTATTGTATTCGATTTTTATTAACGCGCATTTTTTTTCGGCTCAACAGATAAGTTGTCTTCTAAAAAGCCCTTGATACTCTTCATTGGCGATCGAGGGACCGGTACCGGTTCTCGAATCAAAGGCTTTAGAAAGTATGGTGGTAAGTGGAAGCAGAATATAAATGGGGAAGCAGTTAATGTCTGCATCACAAATGAGTGCAATACCTCCCAAACGTGTATATTCTGCTTTTCGCCTTTAACCAATCCGAGGATTCCTGGCAAAAAGGAAGAAGTTACAAAGTCAACAAAGGCACCTTCCTTTGTATCAATCCTCGGTGCATAACTGTCAAGAATTGATGCGCAAGTAAGCCGAGAGATGCACTTTCAGCTCTCGCCATTGCGCTGGTAGGCCTAAGCTCAGTTATGTTTGGTGCCGCGCCACCTCCTTTTTACAACCTCAGCCAAATCACTGCTGAACATTATACAACAATAAAATCTGACTTCTGTACACGAAGAGACGATTTGGCAGCAACATTGTAGCTCTGGAGGTAAATATCATTGTACAGTACCAATTCTTGTGAATTTTTAATTTATTTTAATATTATCATTTTTTTAAAAAAAAAAATGGCCGCCCATTTTTTTGTGGGAAATAAAGGCACTCGCAGTCCCAGTAACTCTTCCCTTCTCAAAATTGTACTGCATGCACTGATTGGATGTTTATATTTTGATTATGCCATCAAGATAATTTCGTATGTAATACAGTTGTAAAGGAGTACTCTAAATTGTATAATATTTTTAATTGATATATAGATTGGCATCAAGAATGATATTAAAATTTGGTGTACTTTATTATAAATATATATTACAGTAGTGTTTTTTAAAGAAAAAGAAGAAAGATGATTGATGTGTAAAAGGGGAAATGAGGGTATATACAGTAGTAGAGTAAAAATACATAATTAAAAAAGGATTCTCTTAATAAACGCCTTCAGGCTCATGAAGTTGGAGTACATTATTAGCAGTACCAGTTGAACCATTTCCGAGAGGATTCATAAGGGTGCTTGCAACACCTCCATGACCAAGAGTATCATGCTTAAGGACGTTGATAGCATGCCCGACAATCAAAAGACCAGGAGGGCGGCTTCCACCGACACTATCGAGTACTTGAACAATGTTGCCTAAGACCCCCCATACAACCCGTTGATCAGCACAGCTCGCTCGCTCAACAATAGCACAAGGAATGTCCGTAGGATATTTTTGAGTATTAATTAAATCTTGAGTTAGTGCAGCCAGGCGGTGAATAGCCATCAAGAAGACATCTGTGCGGTGTGGATCAAACATAGGTAGAGCAGCAGCAGAGTTCTTCATTCCAGTACCAGTCGTAACAAGAAATTGCGAGGCCACCGAGCGATGCGTGAGAGGAATACCAGCCAGAAGAGGAGCAGCGACAGAAGAGGAGATACCAGGGATAAGCTGAGCAATGTAACCATGTTTACGGAAGAAAAGAACTTCTTCACCGCCACGACCAAAGAGGAAGGGATCGCCTTGCTTCAAGCGAACTACCTTTTTACCTTGTTTCATGGCCGCAAGAGCCAGATCATTAAACTCTTCCTGAGCAGCATCGGCGTTCCCGGGAAATTTGCGCGCTATCTTGAGCTCGCACTTCACCAGTGCAACAACTTCAGCAGGTACAATCTTGTCGGCAAGTACAAGGTCGGCAGTCTTGATCGCGTTATGTGCGGACATTGTCAAAAGATCTGGATCTCCAGGACCTGCACCAACAAGCACAATCGAGCCCATCTTGGATACGGTATTCACTGGTGTTGCAGGTGCACCAAGCAATGTTGTGTTTCCCTTTTCCACACTCTCATATCCTTCGTCGTCGTGGTATGACTCAAGCAAATCTTCCATATCTTTGTCTGATAATTGTGCTAATCTTTCCATACTCCAGTACTCGCAAATCTGAGATAGCCACCGCATACGACGGACTCTTGAAACATCACTGGGATCTGACTGTCGAACCTTTTTACGTAGAACACCTACACGTCGAATTGCATCTCCCAATCTTGGTGGTAGTGAAGATGCAATATGGCGGCGTACTCGGTTTGAGAGTTTACTAGCTTCTCCGTTGGTGGATACTGCGATCTGAAGAGACTGATCACGGTAGTTTGAGGTCATGAAGAAGTCGCACAGATCATTGCGATCTGTCACATTTAAAGGCACACGATGCTTTCGACATTCACTAGCAATGGTCACGGCTTGATTAGGATCCAAGTCACAGAAGAAAGCGAGATCGACATTGACAAGACACTTGGCGGTGAATTTGTCGCTGATCCACTCGACCTGGTTATGTTGGATACGGTATAACAGCTCAGGGCACATATTTTTCTTTTCTCCTACAAGCCTGACGTGGGCATTGGCTTCGAGTGACGCCAGACAACGACTAGCGGCGATTGCATTGACGCCGACAACAAGGATTTGCTTTTGTTTGCACTGGAAGGCTATCATAAGGGAGGCACCGCCTTGTGGAATTGGCACATTGGGAGTATATGGGGTCATAGAGTTGGGATTTTAAAGCTAAAAATGTAAGGGGTTTCTGACTGTTTAGATGTAGAAGTATGGCTGTACTTTATATATACTGATCTTTGATCATACACAGCTGGGTTTGTAAGTGTCTTATTCTGCTCTGCTTAAAGCTTGTCTGGCAAACAAATCACAAGCACGCTTGATGAGGCAATTCGTAACCCATTTATACCACCTATTGTTTGATTGGCTGATGATGGCACCACTTCTTGATCTTGGTCTTTCTCTGGCCCTTCTTTCATTTGTGGATAGTTCAAGATCATATCTTGGTTTGTCAAAATATGACAGTCTTATCTTTATCCCATATACTCTCTCTTTGTGCCTGTATTTAACTAATTGTGCCACATGGCTTTGACCACTGCAAAATACACTAAAACCAATAATGGTAATGGTAAAATGATAATAAATTTAATGATAAATAGATATTACAGGCAGCTTAAAAGTATTTTTTACAGTACTGCTTAATAGCAGGCCAAGCCATTATTGTTAGCGGGATATAGGGTAAGATGCACACATAAACCTGCAAGAGCTCCAGGAATGGTCGTCTGAGTCGGATAGGAATCTCAGCTGTCTGATTCTCTTGAGATGGGAAACTTCCGTGAGTGTAAAAGTGACTCATTAATTCGTCTTTTTCTACCCATCGTTCCTGCACCCATTTTGCATAAGCTTCTTCTTCTTTAGGAATTGTTTTTACTGCGAATCTCCTAATATGCACATGAACCTTCTTGGGAGACTTCCCAAAGAAAAATATGCCCTGAATTGTATAAACATCCTCGGGAATATCATTGGGACCTACACCAGAATAACCCAGGGTCATATCATATAGCCATTCTACACTATCATCAAGTGCCTCTGTTGATAAACGGAGACCAGTCGAACGGGGTAATAACGTGTATTGGTTATCTTTCTACAGCAGATTTTATTAGCATATCCATAGCGAAGACAATTTACTTACAAGATCATTCTTTTTGGCATATGCTTCAGAACGATTTCTCATTTTCTTTGATATAACTATAAATTGCAATAACCCTCTTCAGTAGCTTACCAAGATATACTTAAATATTCTTACCAGTGCCTTCTGGGAATAATAAAAGCCACATTGGCTGGCCAGCTTTTTTCGAACGCTTCAAATTATCTTGAATTGTGTCCTTGTCGTCTGCCAATTTGCGTCTCAAAAAGATAAAATCAAAATATTGCATTCCCTGCATATGTTTATCAGTTCTTCCGACTACTACTTTGCCAATTTATTATATTGGATTATATTTTCTTAAATACCCTATTTGCAACATATTAGTAAGAGGAACAATGTCATTTGTCTTTACATACATTCCGTAAATTGGCAGGTTCTTCAAGCTGTCTTTCAATACGATTTTCATGGCACCGTGAGCGCTGGCAAGATATGACACGCACCAGATATAAAGCCAATCAGCATAAATCTTTTGGTTCTGTTAGAATTGTTTCTGGCGTCTCTTGGAGCTCTGACTGAACTCACCTGATGGTTAGCTGTAACGATGATACGTTTTGGAAAAGATAACCCAACGACATTTCCATTTGAATCCCGTTTAAATACATTCTCCCCGGAGCATGAGGAATCGAGAGTAATTACTAGCGGGCTAGGGGCAAATAATTGGACAATCCCAATGAGACCTTGCGACCACATGCGCATAGTAAATGAGATGTAGCGTAGGTAAAAGGATGGAGCTAAAAATGCTACCCATGTAGATAAAAATTGTGCCAATACTACACATGTCGAGTGAAAGAAGAGGCCACCATTGATGAAGAGAAGCTTGAAGCCCGCGCGTGGGGTCCAGACGGATGCCATGGATAACAATGCTAATAGTAGTACTAGTAGTAGTAAAAGTAATAAAATAGAAAAATAATAGTAATAAGAGAATGGGTAAAAGATAACACAAAAAACTACTTAAAATATACACGAGTTGACATGTGCAAAGAAACGGACATCGAAAATTTAGAAGCAGAATAAAATTGTACCGTTGTTGACTATAACCCAACTGAGTCTTATTCTCGCTATTTTTTTGTTGCAATGGGATTGAGCGTAAGAATACCCTTTTTTGACAAAATAGGTTCATTTTCCGATAAAAATCCAAATTTGTTAATTACAGTGCTTTTACTTGAGATATAATGGATGCTTTTGTTTTAACATGAATGAATATATGTCGGATAACAGGCATATAAGATAAAAAGAACTCATACTACTCTAAAAGTTTATATTGCTTGATGACTTGTTAGACTACTAATGCCTTAACATAAATGATTATTGTTTAAAATCGGCTGTATTTATCCAAAGAAATTCTAAGCTGCACTCCTCCTTTTTCCATTTTTTTGACCAGTTTGTCTAGGAAATATATACTCTAGCTCTATATTTATATTGCTTGAGTTATATAACTCTTTTTTTTCCTTCCGAAAATCTTGATTTCTTTTCCATATTTTCTGGTTATTGTATGGATAGATTGCAGTCGAAGCCAAAAGCATACCCTCTCCAACCATCAGTATTCAGGGGAAAATGAACTCCGATGATCTATGTCACACTTGCAGCAAAAATTGAAAGTTGTGTACCCTGCCAGAACTATATGAAAACATCTTTCTCTTTTTCCCTTTATATTGATATACTCGATGTGCAGTCCATCAAGTAAAAATGCTTTAATAACGTCTGGGTTACTGAAACCTTCCAGATATAATAGCATACAAGCACCTCCTCAGCCTCAGTTCCGAAAATCTGTCTACTTATCTGCCTTAGTAGCAGCTTTCGGTGGATTTGTATGTGGATTTGACACAGGTGCAATATCGGGTATTATGGCCATCCCAGTCTTCAAAACATACTTCTTTACACCTACAAATATGGTGTACTTTCAGGGGTTTATTCTAGCTCTTTTCCTGATGACAGCCGCTATAGGATCTCTTTTATCTGGATTTTGTTGTGGTAGGATATATCAAAATAATATACAATTAGTAATCGTTTTCTACATGTAATTTATGGACTATAAAAAATAACAATAGATCGCTTCAGTCGAAAATACTCCATAATTGCTTCTGCTGCTATATTTTGCGCTGGAATCTTTTTTCAAATTCTCGGACAAGACGTTACTATTCTTTTAATTGGCCGGGCTATAGGTGGATTTGGCGCCGGATTAATGAGTAATGCGATCGCACTCTATCACTCTGAAATCGCTCCCCCTGATATTCGTGGTCGTCTTATTAGTTTCTTTACCCTCATGAGTTTACTTGGCCAGGTGGCTGGTTACTTTTTTACTTTCTATACCAGTCATTGGACATCAAACTGGTCCTGGAGAGCACCATGGATGTTTCAAATAACTGTATGTGCATCATGCGCCATTCTTTTAAATGTCCTACCATTCTCACCACGATGGCTTATTGATCATGGCTATTCTGAAGACGCCCTTTTGGTTCTAGCTGAACTCCATAGTACTGATGTCGACGATATAGCCGTCCAAAAAGAATACGAGGGGATTAAGTCTGAAATTGAATTCGAACAATCACTAGGACACCGTACCTACTCAGAGCTCTTTCACGGAAGCAATCGCAAACGCACATTTATTTCATTTTTCATTACTATATCTACTTCTTTTACCGGGAGTGTGGCTATTTGGTACTATGCTCCACAGATCTTCATGGATGCCGGTATGACCGATGTCTCTAGCTCAATTGCTGCTACTGGTGGTACGGGCATTCTTTCTTTCTTTGCCACTGCTGTTTCTCTCCGGTGGTTTGTTGATGACTGGGGGAGGAAGCCTATTTTCTTGTCTGGATCTGTATTAATGGGCGTCAGTATGTTTGTGATCGGCACAATGTTTTCACAATACACCGTCCTCGACACTAATACAGGGAAAGTTATCGTCACAAATACATGCGCTCGCGGGACCATCATAGCATTCATTTATATTTTTACGGCGACCTTCTCATCTACATACGGTATTGCAACATTTGTTTATCCTGCAGAAATTTTCAACATGCGTACACGAGCCAAAGGACTTGCCTTGTCTTACAGTCTTAACTGGGTCTTCTCGATACTAATAGCGTATTCCGTTCCGCTATTTATCACATATACTGTTTCCGGTCTTTACTTTTTCTTCGGAACTTGCTGCATAATATGTTTTATTGGCTGCTGCTTTATCCCAGAAACTAAAGGCCGTACTCTCGAGGAGATGGAAATCCTTTTTCGCTCGGTTCCCTCTTAATTATTACAAGCGTGGTATTGATTACAGTACGCACTAACAGCTTTTTATTGTTTAGACCTAAATAAATTTTATCCACAAGAGGACAGGAGAAGAACCAAGGTTCTTCTTTTGGTCTTTTGTATTCGATAATACATTTGGCTCAAGGGGTGCTTTCCTATACAGAGTGAAATACTTCCTCTGTCTAAGTTAGCTGAGATAATACCCTCATTAGCGGACCAGGGTAATTCCTGCGTCGTGATGATGCCACAATGTTTTGAAAGAGTGTTTGTGTGCGAGAAACACAAACACAAACTTAATTTTGGTAGAAGTCATATTGCGAGTAATAAGTGTAGTTAGATTTCTATGGAAATTTTTGAAGTTTTTATTCAGAGGTTAAAATAGTTAAGATTTAATTATGAAAACAATAATAGTTGAATCGATTATGAGTTATTAAAGAGTTTTGATTTTCTCATGAGAATAGATAGGGCTGCTGTTATTGTTGATTTAAGAGGAATAAATTACTAACATTGAAAATACGAATAACTTTCACAAATATTATGGAAGAATATGAGCATCTTAACTGGTTATATTCATCATGACCAAAAGCCAAAAACGTCATATAATCCTCATAACCCTCAAACAAAAAGTATAATTTTCTAATAGGAGGTTTCATTATCTCTTAGGATTCGGATTCGGATTAGGATTCGGAAAGCGGATGTTAAACCTGTAGTCAATGAAAATGATTATAAAATGAAAATTATTGAGTCCCCCTTTCTAATTAATCGTCTTATTCTTGTACCTGATATTTTATTATAAACAATTAAGTTATTTTCTATCACTTATATTGGGAATTTTTTTTATAAAAGCTGGTATATAAAGTAGAAATATGTAAGAGAGGCAAATAAATTGATGAATCTTTGCTTTAAGTATTTCAAGACTTCAAAATGAGCAATCCTAAATTTCAATCCGAAAGCTTTTTTCTTTAGATTAAATCTACACATTTTAATTCTATTCAGTCTTCTAAGCCAATAATTTTACCATTTAAACACCGGCTTTACGAATCCTAATCTGAATTCCTATCCGAAGAGATAATGAAACCCCCTAATATAGTTTCCGAAATTAAGATATATACGCGAAATCCTGTTGAGCAGCCCTATGGAAATGAACTGTGGTACCAACCAATTGGTACAGATTCTGTTTTATTTACATATGTACATGTATGTGTATAATAAAATAAATATCTAGTATACTATTTTAAAATATTATACCTTGAAATGAAACGCAAGCAGCTCCCATCTTGGAAACGTCGTGTCCTTAAGATCACTAAATATATAGATATATATATCTGGGGGATTGTTGCACGTGAGAATTGACGAGTTGTGTACATTATCCTTATATGAATACTTATTCAACATTTCACAGTTAAAGAAATTATTACAGGATTTATAGTGATATTTCTGTTTTTGAAAGTATTTCAACAACTTGAAGGATTCTGCAGATCAAGACGAAAATATACTATACTATAACCCTGGGCAGCTGGTTCGTGGTGGCTGCAAGCTTTCTTGACCCCAAACGGAAGAAATCAAGTCACACGTAACTTGCATTTCTCTTTTAATCCTGCCTCTGTGGTTAAATCGAAAAGGCGGATATAGATTTTTCTTTTTTAAAAAGGTGACAATCGTATAATCATTATGCCAAAAGTGTCCACTGAATTTATTGCGATTGGAGCCAATCGAACAGCACACACTGCTTCATGGGGGCTTGATGGACTTGTTGCATTTGGTGCTAATAAACTCATTGCTCTCTATAATCCACTGGTACAGTTCACAGTGATTTTTACTCATTAACTACAATTGACAGCTCTAAGCTGAAATAAACAAACAAATAAACAAAAAAGGACCCTACCAGTCGAGGAATCACCGAAACTTTGCAAGGACATAAGCAACGTGTAATTTGTGTAGAGTTTATTGAAAGAGGTACCTGGCTTGTTACTTTACTTTTTATTTTATTCTGCGCGATTTTAAAATGCGTTTGGGAAGAAGAAAGGGTCTTTTATTTCTAACATTATTGAAAATTACATGACTTGAATTCAGGTCAAGAAGGTAATCTTTCTTCAGTGGCCCTTGTGTCCGGCTCAGCTGATAATACTGCAAAAATCTGGAAAAAAAACTCGCTTGGTCAGGTAAAGACGCATAAAATAGTTTTTCTTTAATTTAGCTGAGAAAACTGTATATTTTATGATTTAGTGGATCAATTCGGCTACGCTTACTGGGCATACAGGAGCGGTTGAGACAGTTGCATGTATGAAAGGGCATTGTATTATGGGAGACACTGATCTTCTTGCTACCGGTTCTGCCGATGGTACCATTCGCATTTGGGAGCGTCGTATCTTAGATGACTCCAATGGTAAGTAATGTGTTCCATAAGAAATATGTTTTTGAATATGTGGTATTTGGTAATTAAAATAATGGCATGTATACTCAAATTCAATGAACATCTATTAGACCAAGTTACCTGTCTTCAAGTGATTGATTGTGGGAACAAGTATCCTTTAGCTCTTGCTCTCGCTTATCTCCCAGGCACAACAGGTACACATATTTAGGATAAATACATTTCACTCATATAAGAATCTTCTGACCTAATCTGACCGCCTCTGAAACAGTTCCTATTCTTGCTAGTGGCAACACAGATAAAGTTATATCCATATATATCTATCAACATGGAGTTTCTTGCTTTAAACGTGCTCACACATTACAAGGACATGACAATTGGGTGCGCTCTTTGGCCTTTGCTACGTACACTGGTACTGATGCTAATATAAATGAAGAGGCAACCCACACCTTGAGAACAGGCAATCTAATGCTTGCAAGTGCATCCCAAGACAAATATATTCGTTTATGGAAAATCGCACCTGAAGTTCAGAGAGAAACAAAATCTAGTGCACAGGCATCAACCAAAAATGGTCAAAGCAATGATTTAAATGAAGTTTTGGAAGCCTTACAAGAGAGTGCACTGTAAGTATTTGTTTTAATATTTAGTAGTGCTGTTTATTTTCTAGATCATTCTAATAATTTTTTTCTTTAACTTAGGTCAGCTGAGAATGTTCAGTTGAGCACAAAGGCACACCTTGTAGATGTAGACGTACCAGGTAGTGAGAGGTATTTATTTTTCTATCAAAATAATATGAGATCAAATGACACTGAAATATTTTATAGTAAAAAACAATATTCACTTATGTTTGAGGCTTTATTGATGGGTCACGATGACTGGGTGTACAGTGTAAACTGGGAAAGACCAAGATATTCAGGTAACGTTTTTTTTATTCGTATACATGTATAAATGGAATTTTCTAATATGTGCACATAGTATCCAATGGTGTAAAGACTTTTATCCAACCTTTAAGATTGATTTCTGCTTCAAGTGATAAGTCACTGATGATATGGAGTCCCGACACCGCTTCTGGTGTATGGGTGAACGAAGTAAGTTGTGATCTGCAATATGAATGTGCACGTAATTTGACAAAATAGTATAAAGGTTCGTATGGGAGACATGGGAGGAAACAGCTATCTGGGATTCTGCGGAGCTCTCTTCAGTCCAGACGGAAAGCACGTTGTATCTCACGGAGCCAATGGCTCTTTCCACATGTGGAGAGATATATCTACTAAAGATGGTAAGAAAAATATAACAAATTGCCTGTGAGTTTTCTAAGTGAAGAACTTTAGAGGAAAACCGTTGGGCACCCGAGGTATCCATCAGTGGTCACTTTAAACCAGTCGAGAGTGTAGCGTGGGATCCTCATTCAAGATACTTGCTATCTGCTAGGTAATAATTGTGAACAAAATAATACTTTGGTTAAAAAATTATTAAAATTGAAATTTTATTCAATTAGTTTGGATCAGTCAACACGTTTATATGCTCCTTGGTGTAGAAGCACGGAAGGTAAAAAAGTTGTAACATGGCATGAGATGGGTCGTCCTCAGGTTCATGGATATGATCTTAAATGCATCGCCTTTGTAAACGATTGGCAGTTTGTGAGCGGTGCCGATGAAAAAGTAAGGTGTAGTATGTATTTCTTACTAAAGTATATTGACTAATTCTTTGAATCTGAGTAGGTGCTTCGTGTATTCGATGCTCCCAAATCTTGCGTAGAAAGCTTGGCAGTCTTGACAGGCGAAAAGGGACTGACGTCTGAAGTAGTAAATATACACAAACTTTACTTTATTTATTGTGTAATATATGACTTTGGTACTAAGAAAGTTCTTGTACATGTTCAAATGTATTAGGAAAGTAGACCTATTGGTGCAAATTTGCCTGCCCTTGGTCTATCAAACAAGGCTGTGTTTGAAGGTGATATTGAGACAATGGTTAATTCCGAAGAAAATCATGCTACTCTACAAAGCTACGCTCAATCTTCTTCTACACCTACTTCATTATTGGAGACCATGGTGCATCCTCCATTCGAAGAACATTTGCTTCAACATACATTGTGGCCTGAGATCGAAAAACTGTAAGCTATGTCTTAGTGGAAGTACGGATTTTCGCATCCATCTTTTTAATAATAATGGTTTATTTAGGTATGGTCATGGATATGAAATTATTTGCACAGAGGCCACTCATGATGGTAAATATGTTGCTTCAGCATGCAAGGTAACATATTTATGAATACGTGTAATATATTTTGTTTCCTTTTAATGTAGATTATACTGTGTAGGCTGCTACTCCAGAACATGCCGTTGTACGTCTCTTTGATACCAGCAACTGGAAGGAAGTAAAGACAAAGATTAACGCACACTCTCTTACTGTCACACGTGTCAGATTCTCTCACAATGATCGCTGGTTGCTCACTGTTTCGAGAGATCGCGTGTGGTCCATCTCTGAACGTGTTGAAGGAAATCAAGGTAAATACAACAAAACAGTAGCTTCTAATTGATGTTTGTCTTAATAAATTTCTTATGTTCTAAAAAAATAGATGTTGCTTATCGTCTTACATCCAAGAACCAGGCACATGCTCGTATTATCTGGGATTGTGCCTGGAGTCATGATGATAAATTCTTTGTAACCGGGTCGCGCGACAAGACTGTCAAGTTCTGGGAGCAGAAAGATGGAACACAATGGACTTGTGTTGCAACTATCAAGTGTACCGAACCTATAACAGCTTTGGACGCAGCTCCTATTTTGGTGGATGGAAGGTAACAATAATGGCTTTTATATACGTTTATGTACATAGTATAATTATGTTTTATTAAACCCAACCCCTACTTTTTATATAGCTATATTGTGGCTGTTGGTTTAGAGAGCGGTCAGATTGAGCTGCTGTCTGCTAAGGAAGGAAAACTAGATACGTGGACCTCGTGGCACAACATTGAAAAAACGTAAATATTTTGATATAATATATATGAACAAAGACTAAAATTGACTGATGTTGGAATTATTTAGGTTTTGCCATGCTGGTGTTGTACGTTCGCTTGCATGGCGTGTTCCTTCTACTCCAGGCGGTCGCCTTCAGCTGGCTTCTGCAGGAGAAGATCATTCTGTAAGAATTCTCAATGTGGAATAATTTTGAGATGTTTCAATAAACTTAATCAAACATAACTATCATGCATCATTAAAGTTTCTTTTTTCTTTTCGTTTCTTTGTTTTATATCTTGAGTTTTTTTGTTTGTTTTCTTGTTTGTTTTTGTTCTTGTTAATCTACAGATTCGACTGTCTTTTTGGTGGTCTTGTATAGTTTAAGACGCTCTTCCATCTCTTGTGGAATATCTAACTGTATATGTGACTGTCTTGCCCATCGATCTGTCAGTTGGTCCAAGAGTTCGGTTCTGCTTGTGTGCATAGGCAGTGTATCCAGCAAAACTTGTTTGTAATTGTATTCAGTCAAATACATTGAATGTAGGTTTACAATGTTGCTATGAATTTCTTCCGGCTTTATGGCTGCTACTTGGATCAAGGCTTCATTCGATAATGGTACACGTTTGTCTCCAAATGTTGATAGTGTGGAAATGTACTTTTGAAAATGTTTTGTTGCATCGGCTTCTAATCTCTGCCAATCTTGAATTACGTCTGAAAAATCATTCATTATTTGATGAATTTGGATCATTGTGTCCTCCATGGCAATGGTTTGCTTATAAAACAATCGTATTGGATCCGCTCCCATGTCCACTACTCTGCTGTATTGATCTTGACTTGCAAGACGTTGTGCAAGAATGTTCCCAAGTGATCCTAAAAGGGCTCGTGATGTTGTCTGGTACTGAGCCCATTTATGACACAGGGCTGTCGCTCGTGTGAGAAGGGTTATCGAGGTTGTTCGTATCTGAATTTGTTTCTGCATTTGTTGATAATAAAGAGTTTGCTTTAACCAAAGCCTATTTTGTAACTCGAGAAGCAATGTTTAAAAATTAAAACAAAAATTAGCCACGAGAAGTGTATCTGACGGAGTTCACCAACTAAATAAGATATCTGTTTCGATCGGTGTAATGGTTTGCACAATATTGTATTATTTGTCAATCTTCAGGCAGCTCAAACATTAAGTAAATTACTTTGACTTTGTTTTTCTTTTTTTTGATACTACTAGCTCATCTGCATTAGCCTCTTTTTTGACCTCCTTAGTCTCTGAATTTTCTAAACGTGCTTGGAGCCTTGTACGGATATGAGGAATAGTTTCTTTTGTATCAAAAGTATGTGATAATCCTTGTTTGAAGTCCTCGTCTTCTTCCTTTATCTTTGATTCGACTTTGATTTTGGCTTCCTCCTTGACTTTCTTATTGCTCTTTCTTCCTTTTGTTTCCATGGTCTCGTTTCCGTGGTAAGGTACAAATGATTCGTCTTTTACATCGCACAAATTATAATCTTTATAGAGTTGAAGGACGGCTTGCTCTAAAATAAAGGTTATTTCCATAATATTACTCGTTAACTTTGATGACAAAGACATTTTTAATATTTCTCAAATAAATTATAAATTCTTACCCTTGTCTTTGGCTTCAATCATCAAATCAACATCATCTCCTGTTGGTGGCAAATTCTAAGTTGATATTGATAAGTACTTTAATATCAGTATTTAGGGATAGCATGTGTGTGTATATATACCTTTACTCTTTATTTGATGATTACAATATCAATTTGGTGAGTATATATATATATATATATATATAGTATTTCTTTCATTAAGCCATCACTCAAAAATACCTATCACTGTGAGCACGTCTTTCCATCATGGATGAAGCGCCTTTCCTTGATTCTGAGTAATGTTGCTACAAAAATAAAATACAATGAAATGAAATAAATAAATAATAAAATGAAAATCTAGTAATAATATACCTTTGGCTTTAATCCTCTCCTGGTCCATGTCTCATTGATAGATGGTACCAGGCTTACTAAATCTGTAACCTCGCCAGGATTGATACTGTGTATACGGCATGTTAAATATACATCATGATAAAAATATAAATTATACCTGTGATGATGCCTTTATAAGGTTGAATAATTAAAGAATGTTAGAAGCTGGAAAGAAAACAAGAAGTTTTCTAAGCTATCTTACCAGTCAAGTACTAGAGGAATGTTAAGCCTTTGGCAAAGTGGAAGAAGATCTGAGACAGAATAACACATTTCGTCGTTTTCTAGTACCTATTTATAATATTGGGTCAGTGCCTTTGATTTTTCTTTCTAAAATGACTCTACCAGGCGCCGTTTGATATTTTCAGGAAGATCATTGTAGACTTTTTCAAAACGCTAAAAGTTTGGTATACTGAAAATTAGATCAAGTATTCAATATTGGCTCAAGTAATAAGTTAAATATTGAACTTACTGCCATTGCTGCACATTTATCCCCTGTAAATAATAACAAGAAAAAAGGTCAGCTATGCGTTAATGTTGTAGAGTCAATTACACACCGTAAACTCCACCCATATGACTATTACAAACATACGATAATTAGATATATAGTATTTTGGGCTGTAAACGATAGTACTTGCATAATCATAATTGAATCTGGTGGCAGCCCCATGTAATCCATCATATCTGCATGATCTGGTGTAATAGTATTAATATCATTCTCTAAATAATATTAGGCTTTCTTACAGTTTAGATCCTTGATGGTACGCAAAACAACCTTTGGTGTTGGTGACCCTAGCTGGTTATACTGTCCTGGGTGAGTTGTCTATTAAATGAATAAAGTGTAAAGGCAAGCATGAGTCTACAAGGTTTATCACGGTTTAATCTGGCTTATATTTTACCAGTCGATGATTGTATTTATGGGCCAATTTCCCAATCTCCTCGAGGTTATCTTTAGCATACTCTAAAGAATAGCTTGATGAAAAATAACATACAAAAATGTAGTGTGTAAGTTCTTTTTTTTTTGCAAGACAAAAAAAAACAAGCAAACAAAAGCAAATTTATTTACCCGTAGTCGTCGTGGCTTGCAAATGGAAATATGTCACTTGACATGCGCATAAACGTTATTTTATTCTCTATACAAAAACAATATAGATTAATTGAAGTAGCTATCCATGTTAAGAATCCTTAAATATATACCATTATTCCATTCAATCAATGTTTTCAAATCCTTTACGTTCTGATGGTGTGATTGTGAAATTATATTTGAGTAGAGCAGTTATAGGCTTTAGAATAAGCTTACCTGCAAGGCAAGATCCTTGACATATTCTATTCCCTTTTGCTTAAGGGTGTCTAATATATTTTCAATATTTGCTTCAATGTACATCAACTAACGCTAGATGACCCTTTATATTACCTATACGACAAGTACGTGAACAAAAAACCGGTACTTTCTGCTTTCTCAATACGGTATTTATACAGCTAGACAAATATAATCATCAAGAAAAAATCCTTACAGCCATATAATATATTATGCTCAGGGTGGCTTACGCATAACCAAGACGACCTTTGTACTTTGTCGGATCTTTGTGTACTAAGCGTGAATAGAGCTCTACTACTGCTGACATTTTTAAAGTATGAATATATGTTGTGCGTGTGCGAATCAAGTAGTAGAGAACAGATGTATTTTCAAACTTATTTATTTTCTCCAGAATAAAAATAAAACTGTTCTGAAAATCGAAAGAGAAGATAAATTGGCAATAGATCGACGATTCGATCGCTCATTTCTGATGGAGCTAACCTGTCTTACTCTAAATAAGTGTGACGACAGGTATGCCAAACTCAGAAAAAGGACGCATTTGACAGAGCGACAGAAAAAGGAGATGCTGCTGACAGTTTCTCCAAGCCGGGATATACACACATCTAAAACTATGTTTTGAACCTCCGAGAATAAGTCTCTCATGCAAGAAGACGTGACCCTAATTCAACATATAAATTCTCGTTAATAGATACAGTTAAGAGCTTCATGCTTATTGTGTAATTATTAAAGCAAAAAGAAAAGTTTAATAGCGATTATTGGCACCTTTATCATCATTTACTGCCTTGCATCGATGACATACTTCCCCTCCAAAATTATCCGCCATCGGTCCAATTGACTTGATTCTTCATCAATTATAGCAAGATTTTCTTTAGTATGGCTTATAATAAGAGCCACAGCCGTTATTTAGTATTAAAAAGATTTTTATTGTGGGCTTAACAATAGAGCGAGGAGAAAATCGTATTTTTTCTTGCAATTTTTGAGAGAGGTCTAAACATTGTTTTGTCAGAGTGTAGAAGCTTTGACCAAATTTAGGCTTTTTAATGTTGCCTTAATATATTTAGATCCTGGTATCAAAATGATTTATTTGTTATTTGATTTCAATGTGTGAAAACTGGGATTTAGTAAAGTCAATAGACGTGTGACAATTTCGACAATAGTTTGATTGTCCATAGTCAACATAGACTGTTGGACCTGGACTTGAAATAGTCAGAATACCCTGGGAGGCATCCATAGAATAATTGTCATTGGGGATTTCTTGCAGAGGTTGATTTCCGATTTGTGTTCCCACTTCAAGTTCGTCTTGTTCGTCTTTTACGTTTTCAATTCTGAATTGTTTTATTAAGAGATAGCCTGTAATTGCCCCTGTTGTTCCGATAATAAAAATCAAAGTTAAAATAAAATAGCTCACTAGATGCCATTGAACTTACAATCAATAGCGTAAAGATTGGCTGAGAGAGTCCCAAATACTTCAAGAGAAATAAGAATGGCTATAACCAGGTTACTAAAAAATACTCCAACGCTTATAATGTTGCATTAAGAACAGAAATACAGTATGCTTAATAAGTATATATATATTATGTGTGTATGTTAACAAATTTACTACTTACAAGAATATTATTCCATTTGATAATAATGTTCTCAGCGAATAACTGCCAAATAGACGATAATGCTGATAGATTATCAAAAGGAATGCAAGCGACAAGAATGAATTGCTTCCTAGATCTAAGCCTAGCTTTGCATAGGCTTGCCAATGCACTTATTTCCAATAGTGGCAAAAGAGTATTGTACTATATTAGCGGATTTCAAGATACACTGGTCTCCTGGTTTGCTTACTGTCTTCTATCTGCAAAATATTAATAACAATGGCAATGACAATAACAACAACAACAACAATAAAGCATTAATTAATGATTATCTTGGCTGAAAATTAAGACTTACGGTACAATTGCCTGCAACATCCATAGACGATTTTGTTCTTCCAAAAGTACCGTATATACATATAAGAGCAATATAGCCCATGTTTATTATTAACCCAATCATGATAACCCATAATTTTCTCTGGTAGCAAACATAAGCCTTGTACAAGAGGATAGTGTGAACACAGCATCCTCCAAGATCAATGGCAATAATCGACACCCAGAAGCGCTATTTAATAAAAGTTAACACATTAAGCGTGGATATTATTTGCATAATATACTATCACCATTATTGTTATGTTCATATTTTTTTCTAAATGTATATTTACCATTGTACAGTCTAGAAAAAATATGGGACTAATAAGACTGGCCGCGATAGAGCAAAAGGACAGAAAGATCGCAGCAAATACAGCCCAATGGATTAACTTTCCGGATCTCCAAGCCATAATTGCAGAAACTATTGTTTGCCAAGTTGTGCATGCTAAACAAGCACCGAGATACAGCATGGTAAACATAGTGGATCTCAAGTATATTACGATTGCATCTTTAGTTTGTGGAGTTACAAAGGTATCATCCATTGTGGTCTGTTAGAAAAAAAAAGGTAAGGAGAGAAAGAAGTAAAAAATATATATATGAAATTATATTTCTTGTTGTTGTAACCTTTATAAGACTGTAGTTGCTTTATGATCAATTAACAACTTGTATATTTCTCTATTTTGGTCTTCTTTATCTATTATTTGATATTTTTCTGTTTCTAATGTTACAGCTTGAAAAAATCAAGGCTTTAATGCACAGCCCTTTGCATTTAACTCTGGTTATTACTTCGATATTTTCTACTGAAATAACAATAATTCTTTTGTTCGCTTCATTTGGAACTGATCATCAACCCCTTTCACACACCAGCCAAAATGTGTACAAATATATTTCGCTTTCTGTACTTCACTTCTACTTTTTTTGGAGTACAAATTTACGTTATCAGTACATAAGACTAACGCATTATCTAAAAAAAAAAACTTAAAATGCCTTTATTTGTAATAATTGAAATGTTTTTGAATAAAGTATATTTAACCTGTCTCCGATTTTAGCTCTAGGGCAAACAATGCGCAATACCCAGCTCTGATACGCTACCACAAATCCAAACTGAATAATAAGGTTTAAAATCCCGTATTTCGCACGCTTTTCTGATATAAAGACATCCCTCTAGCTAATTGCTCAAGAATCTTCTTCTTCTTCTTCTTTTTCACTTCTTATTTTCAAATGATCAACGTTGTTGCTCGTTCTACCTACCTTAGAGCCTGTCTTAACCCTTCTAGAAGCTTTGTTAAAAAGTCAATGCTGTTAAACCGCGCCTCATTTCATTCAGCAATAGGTGCTGTTGCCATTCCAAAGGTAAATGAAGATAAAAGTATTTCTGATATACCACAGCTAGTTAATAAGTTTTTCAATAAATTCAAAAGCTGTCGGATCCCAGTCTGCTCCGTCATCGCGCTTTTGTTAACAATGAGTGGGTGTCCGGTAACACAAGCGATGTATTCGCCGTTCACGGTAAGTCTCGCACATCGAAATATCCTTACATATCTTATCGCGCCTATCCGTCAAAAAAAAACCCCTTTTGTACTCACTTAATGTACAATGAACTTTAGATCCCGCTACTTCTAAGGAAATTGGCCTTTTGCCTGACATGGGAACTGAAGAAACCAGAGATGCTATTCAACACGCATCTAAAGCTTTCCAGGAGTGGTCCCAAACTACTGGTAAAACTCGACACGATCTTTTGAAGAAGTGGTATGATGCAGTAATGGAGAACCAAGAGGATTTGGCCACTATCTTAACCTGGGAAAATGGAAAGACAATTGGCGAGGCCCGTGGTGAAATTGCTTATGGCGCAACATTCTTTGAATGGTTTGCTGAAGAGGCTGTACGTACTTATGGTACCGTCATTCCTTCTCACATGCCCAGCCAGCGCTTTGTAACTATTAAGCAACCTGTTGGTGTAGTCGGTATCGTAACTCCTTGGAGTAAGTAATATATATATATATCTAAAGGCTACCTTAAATTGCTGGAATTTATGACGCCAGCATGAGTCATTGAATCCAGAACATATAGATTAATATACAATTTGTTAGATTTTCCCACCGCTATGATTACCCGTAAGGTTGGTGCTGCTCTTGCAGCTGGTTGCACCGTCGTCATAAAACCCGGTGCCGAGACACCTTACTCGGCCCTGGCCCTTTGCGAGCTTGCCCAGCGGGTGGGTATTCCCGCGGGTGTAGTCAATGTTGTCACAACTCACAAACACGTTGCTGATGTTGGTAAGGAGTTGTGCCTCAACCCCACAATCAAGAAGATTTCTTTCACTGGCTCTGTAAGTGCTTTTTTTTCTTTTCTAAAATGATGATAATACTTACATATAAACTTTCGGTTTTATATACGTATAGACTCAGGTTGGTAAGCTTCTGATGTCCCAGGCCTCATCTACTATGAAGAAGGTCTCAATGGAGCTTGGTGGCAATGCCGCCTTTATTGTATTTGATGATGCTGATATCGATGCTGCTGTTGAAGGTAAAAAACAAAACAAAACAACAAAAGAAGAATGACTTTATCATTAATAAGTTATACTTTTAACACCAAAAAGGTGCCCTCGCTTCCAAGTACAGAGGTACTGGACAGACATGTGTGTGTGCCAACCGTATTTTCGTCCAAAAGGGAGTCTATGATAAGTTTGCTCATCGTTTAGCCGAAAAGGTCCGTGAGTTTAAGGTCGGGCACGGTTTTAGCATTGAAACTACACATGGTCCAATGATCAACGAAAAGGCTACCGAGAAGGTCAAGCACCACATTGAGGATGCTCTCTCTAAAGGTGCAAAACTCTTGGTGGGTGGCAAGCACTTGGGTGGAAGCTTCTTCGAGCCCACTGTGCTGACCGGAATGACCAAAGACATGGCCGTATCTGATGAAGAGACATTTGGCCCTATCGCTGCCTTGTATGAGTTTGACACCGAAGAGGAAGTTATTCAGGCTGCAAACGATACTCCATTTGGACTGGCGGGTTATTTCTTCTCTAGAGATATTGGACGTGTCTGGCGTGTGGCTGAAAAGTTGGAGACTGGTATGGTTGGTGTCAACTCTGGTATCATTTCCAACTGTTACGCACCATTTGGTGGTGTAAAGGAGAGTGGTGTAGGAAGAGAAGGTAATAAATATTTAAAATTGAGTAAATGTGTTCAATGTTGTATTAAACATGTTGTTTAGGTTCTCTTCACGGTATTGACGACTATATGAACATCAAGTACATTAACATGGGTGGTATCTAAATACCTCTCCAATTTTTTCTTAAAAAAGAAACAAACAAACTCCCCTTACACTCATATATCTGTGAAATAAACAAAAAGCTCTCTGTTTCAAAACTTGAAAATAAAATATAATAAAACATAAATATTTGACCCTCAAACATTCACAAAAAGACCATTATTAATCATAGTAATAAAAGGAGTCTATTTTATCTGTGTGTGTGCGGGTGTGTGAAAGATAGATGAGTCTCAACCTTGGCAAGGTCGGTCTTGTTGTTTTTCCCGATTTTATCTCTTTTTTTAAAACTTCGCTTCATCCCTAACCCCTTTTTCCTATCAATGAATTTTCCACGTCTATCACTTAAATATCTTCAAGGCAGCCGTCGTACATGGATGGTAAATAGCAAACAATATTGGTATTTCATACATAAAACAATATTTTCAGTCACGATCTCGATCCTTACCATCTTTGCAATGAACTTGTAGAGTACGGCTGGTATTGAGAGATCTCACCGTGCCATTCTGTTTCCCGGTAAGATTCACACAGAAGAAATCTAATGTTGCATCACAATCCCATTAAATATGTATATATAAAAAAACTTAAATGCAGGACAGGGATCCCAGTTTATTGGAATGGGTCGAGATCTTTACCATCTCTATCCGCGGTCTGCAAAACTGGTGTTTGATGAAGTAGACGAAGCTCTGGGTTATGGATTGCGTGCATTGATTTTTCAGGGACAGCAGGTAAGCAAAAATATATAGCATATGAAGGCAAGACAAGGGATGAATACCATTGGGTGAAATATCCAACTAATATGTTGCAAATATGGTATAATATATTTAGGAAGTACTCAAATTGACTGAAAATGCCCAGCCTGCTATCTTAACCACGTCAATTGCTATGCTTCGAGTATTGGAAATCGAGTTTGGATTTGATGTAGCGAAAGCGTGCAATTATGCCCTTGGCCATTCATTGGGTGAATACAGTGCTTTGGTAGCTACTCGTTCCATGTCCCTCACGGATGCTGTTCGTTTGGTGCGTTTGAGAGGTGAAGCAATGACCCGTACTGTATCATCAAAGAATATCCAAACAGCAATGTCAGCACTTGTAGTTCGCAAAGGCCGTTTGCCAGAATTAGAAGAAGCCATCAAGGAAATTAATGAAAAATTGCCAAAAGATGAACTCGTAGCTCTAGCCAACATCAACAGTGTAAGAATATATTATCATGAATAATGTCTTCGGTAGCCTGAGATATTGATCTACTGGAATAAGATAGTCGTTCCAAGTTGTGATCAGTGGTACAAGCAAAGGCGTGGATGAGGCCTCGCGTGTTCTTCAAGAAAGACGATTTGCAGCCCGTGCTGTTGATCTTCCAGTCTCGTAAGAATATAGTCCCTCTTTATGTACACATATATGTATTCAATCTTTCTTTTCTTCATAGGGCACCGTTCCACTGTTCATTAATGAAGGAGGCTGCTCAGGTGATGGAAGATGCCTTACAGAACGTGATATTTAAAAAACCTTGTGTAAATGTGATTTCCAATGTCACTGCCAGACCTGTAAGTTTTATTTTGTGGGCATAAAATAGGTATTAATTTACAAAATACAGTATGCCAATGTTGAGGAAATCCCAAAGCTGTTGGTCAATCAGATAACTTCTACTGTGGAGTGGCAGCGCAGTATCCATTATTGCAAAGAAGAGGATGTCGAAGAATTTTTATGCTTTGGTCCTGGAAAGGTGCTTGCAAATCTACTGAAAAAGGAATACCCCCTCGATTGTGTAAAGTGAGTAACATTTGATGTATGATCATCTTACTATTTTTGTGTACAGTTGTTAAATCCAAAAAAAACTGTGTGTATATGTTTCAAATAGGTCCATCACTAGTGCTGATGATATTCTTCGCCACACCGAGGAATATAGTAGTAAATGATAAGATACGCGCCCACACACCCACACACACACACATATATATATATAAAGAGAGAGAGAGAAATAGGGACTAGAATAGCCTGGTTCTATACTCCAAGCCACTCCAAAGTATGAATGTTGTATTATAGAACAGTAAAAATCATTGATTTGCTCTTAACATGTACACAAGTACTTTATCCTTTGAATTACAACTCCAAAACAAACCCTTGAGAGTGGTTTTTGACTGGCTGTGGATTTTATCTGGCGAATATTCCCATTTACCTAGATATCGAATTGGTAAACCTGCCATAACGGGTTGTGCGCGCTGACCTGTCTTGAGATGAACTACTTCTACGCTCTCACGACAAAATCCTACTGCGCACCAGTCACTGGTGACTAATTCGATGAATTCGATATGCTCGGGTTCGTCTTGCCAGACCCAAGATTGTGTAGAAAACAATGCACCCGAGAGATCAAGAATAAAACTCTGTTTTCCAAGAGTGGCAAAAAATAGTCGAGGCGCAGAGGTGGATGGTAGGACGACCGGATCAGGAGATTCAGAAGGTGCTGTAGATACAACTGTGGCATATGATGGAGGGATCGAGTAATCTGTGGTCACAGACGTGGCTGGTAAATGATCAGGGTAAAATGGTAATTGGATCAACGATGTCCACTGGATAAGTGGACAAGGGGTTGGGTTTGAAGGGCGCATAAAAGATAATGGTAATGTAGGAGAGCGTGGACTGTGATTATTACTGCTATAATTGCTAGAAGATGTGCTGCTGTTTCCGGCTGCATTATTGAGTTGTTCACGTTGCCAACCTGATTTGTAGAGTTCTTCAACTTGTTCTTTGAGTTCAAACATGTAGACACGATTGTCACGGAGATCAATCACACTTGCTTCACTTGGAAAAACTGGCAAGATTAGCCGTAAGCTAGAACGATCATCAGCAAAAGAAATCGAAACGGGTTTTTTTGGTAGCCAGTAGTTCTTGAGGCGTCCAAATAACTCCAATTGGTCGCCTTGTTTGCGTTGCCATATTGCTAATTCATTTTTGTGTAGTACTGTTACAAATACTGAAGTGCGGGTATGGTAGGAATACAGTCCCAGTGCGTCTTTTGAATCAGGAAACTTATAATAACATTCCAGTAAACCATCTGTACAGCTGAGATTATCGCTGCTGATGCTGTTTCGAATGATATTCATTCTGCTAATATTATTACTTGGTTTTTTTGCAGATGGGGATAATGAATTCTGCCAGGCATCAACGGTAGGGATAGAATCGTCTGCTGGAGAAAGGGATGGATTAACTCCAGTAACAGTATAGCAGAGCTTGAGGACTGCATCCAGTGAATAACAGCGAACTTGCTTATATCGACCAGCAATAATAAGCAAGGTTCGACATGATTCCAAGACAAGCATATCCCGAGCTCTTATTCTAATGAGAGTTTTTGGCTTGCCATCCGTAGGTAGATGGATGACCTGTATTCCATTGGCAGAATGGCCTAATAATAAGAACTGATTATCAAGAACACAACTACAATCATAGTTTGATTGAGATATGGCTGTGGATGCTACGAGTCGTAATTCGAGCCGAGAAAGATCAGGCGCTGATGTGTCTGGCTAGACATGCGGTTAAGATGAGTTTTGTATTGATCGAAATTGAAATAAAATAATAAAGTGCAAACTTTACCTCTCGATCAGTAGATGGGGATTGTGGGGGTAGGTATTCAGGGGTGTAGGGTGGAGGAGGCACAGATGGCATGGTGAGTCTAGTAAGGCGAGTTGGCTGGCTCATATTATACGAACCCAGGGCAAAACAACCGAACTATATTTGTGTGTGTGAGTGTGTGAGAGAATGTTATTGTGAGTGTGAGTAAGTGAGAGTGTGAGGAAAATGAATGGAAGGGAACACGATATATATATATATATATTTCAGGTCAAACTATATTTTTTGTGAAAATACAGTTTAAACTTGAGATTGGGACAAGTTGGATTTTTTTAGACCAATGAGAATTCGATTTTATAGGAGAAAACAAAAAGAGATAAATCACTTTTAGTTTTTGTACAATTTTTTTATAGAATAAGTTACCTGTAAAAATCCCAATTCCTTTAGAAGGAAAACCTTATTCGAGATGGTGGTGTGTATATAGTATTAATAAAGTCATTCGTTTTTGCAAAATTCTTTAGGACGACTACGGCTACGGCAACTGATAACCTTAATTGAAATCATTAAAAAAAAAGAAACAACTAAAACATTTTTTCTGGATTGTTTATTAGAGAGCAAAAACAATATTATGATACATATATATAATAAAGGATCATATCTAAGGGTACATCAGCTTCAACTCTTCAAGTAACTAAGATAGGCATTGCGGCAGTTATGTTGTCGCTGAAGGGAGTATCACCAAAAACTAGCCTGAAATGAGCTGACCAGATTGCGCCCACAGTCCATCTAAAGACAATCTGAAAGTTGGCAGTTGTGTTTGTGAATTAGAGTGAAGTTGGATAGTATTAAAGAGTGAGCTGTGCAAATTGCAGAGCAGCGGGGTTAGAAATGGATTTGTTCGCAATGATATGCCATACTGAGCGCCCGGCAGCGCAAACCCAAGAGAGATGTTTATCATCCTACGAATTATTGCAAGTTATGCAGATTGGGATAGCAATATTCTTGACGTTCCTGTCAAATAATTGTTGAAGGCTCGCAATCTTTTGATACATCAGTATCCACCATACCGCGAAGACTTTATGTGGCAGGTTGGTATTCCAAAAGTACATCTGGTTTTCTGGGGTACGAAGAAAGGGAGGTAAAATGGCTGCGATAGATATGCGGGTATATAAACGAATGAGCTTTGTTGTGAGTTGATATACACTCCCACATAAGAAATCACTGATAATTCTTTCGGATTCTACTTTTGAATAAAACATACATCAGCTTCATTTTGTTATATCCTTTCGGGAAGATGGCTAAGTAGTATGAAATTTTGCCCTATTATAGCCAAACGTTTATACACTGTAAAATTAAAGTAAAAAAGAGTAAAGGTTTAATACACAGTGTGGCCACCCAAAGTCGTAATTCCTGCCTTGACTCTATCAAGCATACTTTCCACCAGAGTGTGCAGAAAGTTTGAGTTAAAGCTGCTGACATTCCTGACGGATACAGACTTAAAATTATGAAAATTGCTTATAGAACCCTTTCTCTCTTGAACCTTGGATTTTAGAGCATGCCATACGTGCTTGATTGGGCTCAGATCTGGACTTTGTGATGTTCATCGGTCAAAACGCTAAATCTTCCAATGGTTTTTTCATCACACTATGTTGGGTCCAGTATGGTAGTTAGCACAATCTTCTTGGAATATGCACATTGTGTCATGTTCACAGTTCAGCCTTTTTATACCAAAGACTACAGTACTTGGACAAACAGTTAATGTATGCGTCTTATTATACATATAATGACACCAGCCGCTTTTAAATCCTTTATTGAAATATAACTTTTGAAAGAATTGCGTCTCACACTTCGAAAAAAAAGATTGTGGCATTTGTAAACCTTGTTTTATTTTTGCCGAGATCCAGTTAGCTTTAGTTATTCAAGTAGTCCCCTAACGCTTGATCGTGTTATAAGCTGTTGTTCTATAGATGCTCATACTTATCTGATTTGAAACATCAGTTAGGATATTATTGGCTTTATAGAGCCAAAAAGATGCCTCCGTGATACAACTCTGACAGCTTATGTCTAGAGGAGAAGACACTTGGTTATTTTATTTTTTGATAACATTAATTTTTAAGTTTGAAGGAAATGTGTTAGGAGTAGAAGTGTATAGAATATCATGAAAATTGTAATTTTTCGCTAATTTATGATTCCAGAGTGCATATTTAAGAGCTTTAGAATTAGATGCCACGGCCACCAGTGACCTCAAGGGTGTGACCAGTAATGTAACTAGCCAATGGAGTGCAAAGCATAAGAACAGATCCAGCAACCTCATCAGCATTTCCAGCGCGACCGAGAGGAATATCAGCGAAAGGGTTGACAGCAGCCTTTGCAGCACCAGTGGGAATACCAAGAGCGACCTTTTGACCATCAATTTCGATAGCAGCACCAGACTCCTTGGCACGAGTAAGGCGGGTATCAACCCAACCAAAGGCAACAGTGTTAGCACGGACACCAAAAACACCCCATTCCTTAGCAATGGTTTTGGTGAGACCAACAATACCGGCCTTTGCAGTAGCATAGTTGGCCTGTCCGATGTTTCCATGGAGACCAGATGTGGAAGAAACGTTGATCACACATTTGTTCTCGCCATCCTTCTTGCGCTGTACAATACGTGTATGTGACTGTGTTGGTTAAATTTGATAAGATAGTTTAAACTGCGTAACACATACGAGATACTTTGCAGCAGCACGAACGATCTTGAAAGGAGAAGTGTTGTGGACAGCCAGCATAATATCCCATTGTTTGTCAGTGATCTTGTGGATCATACCATCGTAAGTGAAACCAGCATTGTTGACAATATGATTGATCTTTCCAAAGGCCCTGTTCAATTTTGTATATAAGTATATATATTTGGGGAAAGGGTGGTTTGGCGTGAGAATCAAAGCCAAGCTGGGGTAGTGATTGATTGATTGATTGATTGATTTATTGATTGACTTACTTGACGGTACCCTCAACAAGAATCTCGGGAAATTCAGGGTTAGTAATGTCACCAGCAATGGAAATGGCCTTTCCACCGGCAGCATTAATATCAGCAGAAACCTGGTCAGACTTGGCTATGTCAAAGCTATTAGAGTTTTGCCCGTACTGGATAAACAATGAGCTCTTTCCTTTGTGCAAGCTTACCGGCATCAATATCTGTCACAACAACAAAGGCACCCTCGCGAGCAAATAACTCGGCACAGCTCTTTCCAATACCCTGGCTAATAAAAGTTGAATAATTTATATACATGTGGTTGACACGTATCAGATTTACTCCAATACGTTTTGTACATATTTAAGACTACTGTCTTACCCAGAACCAGTGATAATAGCAACTTCACCAGCCAAGAGACCCTTAGGGTAGTTACCAGACAAGTGGCCCTGGATAGTAGAAAGACGATCGGCAGCAGACATTATAGATTTTATTTATTGAAAGAAATAAAGAAAGAAAGAAGAAAAGAAAGTGTGGGGAACAGTCGTAATTTATATTTATCCAATAAAGCGTATTTCCTGCTTGTCAGCACTTATAATTGTATTCTCACTCCGACCAGTCACACACAAGCAGAATTATTGCCACCTGCTCTTTCGTTTTTCGCCCAGCTGCTGCTGTTGCTGATGTTGTTGTTGTTGTTGTTGTTGTTGTTGTTGTTGTTGTTGTTGTTGTTGTTGTTGTTGTTGTTGTTGTTGTTGTTGTTGTTGTTGTTGTTGTTGTTGGTGTTGGTGTTGTTGGTGTTGTTGGTGTTGCTGCTGCTGCAATGGTACGCCAGAAGCATCAGTTGTAGCCTTATGAAAATTCATTCGAGTACCCAATACCCTAGAAGCTCCACCTGCACTCAAATTAGATCCAATGCCACTACGCACAGGAAGAGGTTCACTATTTGCACCTGTGATACCAGAAGCTATTTTTTTGGACATTCGTATTAGTTAACTATTCAGATAAAGTTGCATTGTTATAATATGCAGTACAGAATGTTTACCTTGACCTCTTCCCTTTCCTCGTCCTCGTCCTCGTCCTCGACTTTCTTTAAATTCTCTGGATCCTCTAAATCTCCCATTTTGCATGGCCAGTGCCTGCAATTCTTGCGAGACCAACTGGCCAGATTGCTCAAAGTGACGAACCAATTCACCCGCGAACCGATCTTCTTTCTTTGTCAATATTGTGTATGCTGTACCCTTTTCACCAGCACGGCCTGTACGTCCAACTCTGTGAACATGGGAATCCATATCACGTGCAAGATCATAGTTTACTACAGTCTTTACGGTTTTTATATCCAAACCACGGGCAGCTACATCTGTAGCCACAAGAATGTTGAACTTGTTTGCTCGGAAGTCTTTTAAAACTTTTTCTCTATCATATTGTATCAAGTCGCCGTGAAGTGCCCCGCCTATTTTTTGTTTTTTATTTTCAAAGTTATTAATTATATATGGTTACAAATATCTTGTTTGTCCTTTGGTACATACATTGGAACCCTGCTTCTTGAAGATTTGATGCAAGTATATCAACAGCTCCTTTGCGAGACACAAAGATTATCACACTTCCCTCTGATATATTTGTATTAGTAATATTAATTTGTATTATTATACAGCCAATTAAGCGGTGCTTCGATGTTGTTATGCTTACCAACACAGAACCCAGCTAGATAACGCATCAACCAATCCCATTTGTACATATCGTCTTCCAGAATGATTGCTACCTGAGTAATATCCTCATTCGCTTGTCCAGCATTACCCACGCTTATACGAATAGGGTCGGAAGTAACCTGACGAGCGAGTTGCTCTACTCTCTTTTGGAATGTGGCACTAAACAGTAAGGCTAAAGTAACCATCCAAAAATATATATTAAATGTGTGTGCGTGCATAAATAATCTTAATATTATTGCCTTACTTTGTCGGTCTGGCCTGACATTATCACAAATTGATCGAACTTGTGGCTCTACAAAAATATCATTTTATCCGCAAAATAATTATTCAAACGTCAGATTCAACTATAAAAATTGGAGTAGAGAGAGGAGATATTTCTTACCAAATCCAAGATCAAACATTCGGTCTGCCTCGTCTAGTACCAAATAACTAACTCTTCGAAGATTGGTAGCTTTCATTTTTATCATATCGATCAATCTTCCGGGTGTAGCTACCATAATCTCTACAGTTCCACTGCGCAATTCCTTGAATTGGTCCATTTTAGAAGCACCACCGTACACAGCTGCTACTCTATTCACATAAAATAATTCAAGATCTTTTTTAACTAAACGCACTTTAGGATAAAAATATATACCCCGTAATTTTTCTTTTTTCTTCTCTTATTTCTTTTGTACGTACTTTAAACCATACGCTTTCGCAAACCTTTTAGCTTCTGAATAAATTTGAACAGCCAATTCACGAGTGGGTGCCAAAATCAATCCAATTGGACCATCCCCTTTTGCTAATTCTTCTTGATCCATAATGTGAACCAGCATTGGCAGTACAAATGCAGCTGTCTTTCCAGATCCTGTTTTTGCGATACCAATAATATCTCGACCTTCTAGTGTGACAGGTATCGCTTGCTTCTGAATTGCAGAAGGTTCTGTATATCCTGCCTTGAGCACACTGGCAATTAAATCTTCATCAAATCCAAAATGGGCAAACGATACACACGGTTTTGCAGGTCGATTACCCGAGACATGTAGCTGCAATTCTTGGCGTAAACGTTGGACCTGCTCTTGGGTAAGTCGGGCAATATCAGGATGCTCTTCGTAAAAGCATTTTTCGATAGGGGGATAAGTGATGCTGCTGTGGCTAACACGTGCAAGAGGTTCAATTTCTTTACGAATAACTTGCACATTTTCGTCCGAATCGTAGTTATTCTGGGCATCGATTGCTGCTGCAGTGGCATAGACTTCTTCATCAGAATCAGCATTCTGATGATGAATGTGAGATCATAAGATAAATAATATACACACATGCGCACACAATATATATATATATATATATATATTGAATTATTTATCTTTTAAACGAATAGAGATAAAAACAAAGGTAACATTGCTTACTTCATCGCGCAGGATTGGTCCATCGTTTTTGCCTATAGTAACACCCTTTTCCTTCATGTGTCGTACGTAGGATTCTATATCATCTTCATCTTCGTAATCATCTCGTCTTGCCTATTATTATTTTTGTTGAAATGAAACTTTTGGTTAATAAAGGTCTGTTGCAACAAGGAGTTTTATTCCTTTTTAAATAGTATATATATATATGTGTGTGTGTGTGTACCTTTGGTTCTGACTTGTCTAGGGTGGCCTGCTCTGTCATATCAGCCATAAATGCATCCAAAGGATCATCCTCGGTGATCGGGTCCTGTTTTTTTTTCTGGGGTTCTTCTAGCCAAGAGAAACAAAGAATCGGAATGAATGACACCTACACTCGCGCGCTTCTCTTTCTTGGCGTTGGTGTACCAATGCCAGCACTTGCGAGGAATTCTTGCGTATCGTCTAAATCCAAAACTCGCATCTTCTTTCGTGGCGCATCTTCGTTGTCTTTGTCTTGTTTGTCGGCTGATCTAGCAGATTGGTTGGCTGCAGTTTGGTCAAATACAGACTTTTTACTAGGAAAACCGAATTGAAACTTTTTTGCTGACGGTTGTGTTTTTTTAAACATATTTTCTATATTTTATTGCTATTGTTTTTATTCTTCTTTTTTTTGCTTTTTTTATATTGTCTAGAAAAGAATATATAAAAGGGCTAATTAATGATCAAAAATATTATTTTTTAATAAAAGAGGATCCTATACTCCGATTCAAGACGTCACGTTCTTTGTGAAGACCTACTTTCTGAAGGCTATCCTTACGGACAAGACGACGGGACAAGATTTCGAGGACAATATTTTCATCTCTGACGTCAGAGATGATTAGTGTAACAATCCCATTTTTTTGGGGGGTCAAATCCGAGTATTTCGTAAAAGTTTCAAAAAATATTGATTATAAAAAAAGTTGACAATTGAGATAAAATTGATAGAAAGATAAAAGTTGATATAAAAATAAATAGAGATAAAATATATAAAAAAAAAAACTACAAAAATAAAATATTCAATGTTAATATTATCAATGCCAATTCAAGTACAAAATATATACCTTAGTAATTAGTACATGATCGAGTTGTCGCTTAGGCCATATCTTTTGACTATGACTTTGTGGAAAGGATTTATTTTTGGCCAAGTGAAGTTTCTGATAGGTTTACGTTTCGCAAGGAGAAAGTGGTTGATGTCCAAGATGATGATTATTGGCTTGAATTTTTCTGGTGTGGTAGTTAATGGAATGAAGAGACAGTCGCCTGTTTCTCTTGGAGTGTTCCAATATACAGCTACTGATCTATTGAACGCATCTGCTACAAGTTGTGGATGGTCAATCGTTCCGAACCAATGTTGCTGTGGGAGGGATGATCTTGTATCTTTGAGACTGATTATGAGCGGGTTTGTGGATGCAGGCATGTTGTCATTCTCCATTCTTCCCTGGTAATATGTATGCTGATATTTTAAGTAGGCTTCTAGCATATTTTCTTTAACTTCAGGCCATTTCTCCTGGTCCTGATATATCTCCATTGCTATTGCTCGGTATCCACAGTTGCCATCTGCTTCGGGAGAAAAGACTTCGGTTATATGTTTAGGAGCAATAGTAAGATTTGTTAATATTGTGTGATCGATTGGCAAGCCAAGATTGGTGATATTTTGCAAGGCTTTTTGCTCTTGAGTTGAGGATATTTGTTTTCTAGAAAATAGAGCAAAACTTGAGTGAAATAGATTTAGGTAATGTATTATAAATGAATACTCACTTTTTTTGTTCTTTTGCTATTTTAATTTTTTTTGTATCTTTTTCTTTTTCAGCTTCAATGCAGTGCTCTAATGCAATCATTTTACGCTTTGTATTTTTGGGTCGGCCTTTGATGGCTTCCACTATTGTTGGACCATTAAGATCCTCAAGTTTCTGCTTGGTCATTTTTTCTAGTATGTTTTTTACTAAATTATGTATATCTATTTGTTCTTGTTTGCTGTGTGTACTGTGAAAGCCTTCATGAACAAGCTCAAGATCGTGATCAAATTGAGGTGATATAGTTGTTATTTTAGCAATATTTGCTGGTACTGGTTCTGCGTTGTTAATTGTCAAGTGGTTTATATACAATTATATATTATATGAGAAAATAATGTTATAACTTTTATATGTATTACCTTCTCCTTCTAGATAATCTTTTCTCCAGCGTCTTGGAATTAGGGAGATTGGAATTGTATTAAAAATAGCGAGTTTATGATAGCATGGTAGGAGATAGTTGTAATGTAAGAGGCATTTGCACTCTTTGGTCAATTTTTCAGGTATGATTGATTTTGATAGTTCTAGTTTGATTTTGTCCATTGCAAAGCAGCTAATTTTTTGACGAATGTCATTTAGTCTCGCTCCGTTGACTTTGTCAAACACAACTTCTGTGTTCTCTCCGAGGCACTCTGTCATTAATCTGCATTTACGATCATCAACCTATTTAATATACAAATATATTATAGCAAATAATTATAATTAGAGAACTTATTCAACTAACACATAAAATAAAATAAGATAATGCAAACTTACCAGTTCCTGATACCACTTTTTCACTTTTAGTGTCACTGTCATCAATTTACCAGAAGAGGTACCAAGAGAATGCTTGAGGGAAACATGTGCACTTTCTGCGCGGTTGGAGGTACGATTTCCAAAGTGAGGGTATTTATAAACATACATGTTTACCCAGTTCTCCTTGTCTTTCATTTTTCTAGTAAATTACACAAAAATTACCAATTTTTTATAATTAATAAGCCATTTTTGTCAAGTTCAATGGCTCTATATGTACCTTTCAAGAAAATTACTGGCGGTTTTCCCCTGGTCCTTGCAATTCTCCTTTGCAAACTCGAGGTACCCATCTGTCTCTTTCTTTACTTCTTTGGGCGTCTCACACTTCAAAGCAATCTTGTTAAGAAACCCTGCCAAAGTCTCCAAAAGCTCTCTCTTCTCACTGCTCTCTTCTCCCTTCATCGTTGGTAGCAAGTCTTTTTTGAAATTATCTTTTATATGCTTATAGCATAAGACTTGCTTCAACTCAGGGAAAACACAGGTAATTGCATTTCGCAATGCTTTCTCATTGTCAGTTATAAACACATTAGGAAGAAGAGGTATGTATGTGTTTGTTTGTGTTTGTGTTGTTGTTGCTGTATTGTTGTTACTATTGCCACTGTTATTGTCTTCAACATCTGGCCAAACTGCATCATGGAGACAACGAAGTACCCAGAGATAATTCTCAACCCTTTCATGCTCTACCCAAGCACCAGCAATAGGGAATGTCTTCAATGTTCTGCGAGATTTACCAGTTACATTACTGGTACCAACAATATTGACAAATGTCATTCTATGGCTATTTGTCTTATATGTAGCATCAATGATTATTGTCTCAGGCATTCTTTGCGCTTCCTCAACACTACGGGAAAAAACTCAGGATTTTCGAATTTGTGACTTTCTTTTCGGTCTATAATAACTAAAAAATCATCAAAAATTCAAAATGAAACAAGAAAGTCTGTTTTTTGAAAAGATTGACAAAAGGCAAATTGAACACCAAAAATTAAATCTCCTGATAGACAAAAGTACATTTTAACTACAGATTTTACATTTTTAGTAGATGTAGATTGCAACTGATGACTATTAAAAGTCAGAGGTAAAAGAGAGAAAAATATCTAAACATATTTTATCCTCCCAGCAAAAAGTTAAGACAATTCGAAAAAAAAATGTATTACACAAAAAAAAAACAAATTATATGTCTGCATTACAACCAAGCAACAATTTTGGTCCACGGTTCAGTTCTGGCCAGACAATATACTGTTCATTAGTGGCTGTAGACACCACCAAGCCAACCAGCTCTTTTACATCAGCCAGATGAACAACCTTTGGCTTCGCGGGTACATTTTTCATGACAGGAATTCCATTTGTTTCATGGATGGCATATACCTGGACAAGAGCAAGTGGCCACCTCTTGTTGTTGAGCTTGTGCTCAAAGAAAACGACAACCTTCCCAAAGAAATCCTTATAGATTGGAGAGTAGCTCTGCCCAATGTTGCAGTTCTCATCAACCTGAATCTGTAATCTGATGTTATGTGCCTCCCTTACACAATTTTGGTCGAGCGCAGAGTCAATCACACAACCATTGACAAATGCCTTGTGGCTAGTTTGTATAGCTGCTTCAATCATGCTACACTCTTTCCCCTTTGATTCATAAAAGTCTTCAAGAAGTTTTGAAAGACATGAAATGCCTTCAAAACTATCTCAAATCGTTCTATTCCTCAAAGGCCTCCAGAACTCAATATCAGACCCAGCACCAACACATTCACCTTCACCCGTCATTGGCCAACCAGCAGAGGAATCTTCATATGCAAGAAGTCTTGCTGCTATATATGCCTTTGTGCGCTCTACCTGTCTGGTCTGTGCCAAGCCAAGCATGATATTGTCAGTGTTGGTTCTGATGGCAGAGTTACTCTTAATGGCATTAGAGTACTCACCGATTGCTCTTTCTACCAATCTAGCACTGTATGATCTTGGCGGGCCAAATGCTTCGATCATATCTGGGTAGTGTTGTAAGAGGTGCTGGTTAATGGTGAAAACCTTAAGATCGACCTTGTCCTCGGCAAGCAGAGTCTCAAGGTACACATTCCATTCAACAAGTTCTCTAAGATAGAAGTTAGTATATATTTTTAAAAAAGAATAACAAATAATAATATTTAATATACCTTTTTATTGAGGCTTGTTCCTCTACTGATAACTCCCAGCTCATGAGTAAATTGCACACTTGTACAAGGCCAAGCAATGCCTTCCGTGCAGGTATATTTCTTATCCGTTCTGCTACTAGAGTCAGAACAACGAACAGAAGGAAGTCTGCCCAGTCTACTGCCTTAAAGTATCCTGCATTCTTTGATACGTCTCTCCAAGCACCATGAAATGATGTAGGGATCGTTTTCCTTGTCGATGCCATTGCTGCACCTATCTCTTTCTGGACTCCAGCAGAGAGAACAAGCAGATGTTTTTTTCTGTACTTGCCAGTGACGAGCCCCCAGACCTGTTTTGCTACACCATGGCAGATACTGTGCATTTCATCCAAGGCGAAGAAATATGGCCTGGAGAATGCATCCAATGTTGCCAGTGGTAATTGTCCTGTAAGTCCTCTTCGGCTGGACTCGTCTGCCTCACGGAAATCACAGAAGCTCCCCAGTGTACGTAGGGCAGTGGCTGGTGACATACAGAAATACTGACTGTGGCCAGGAGATTGACCAACAACATGGCAGATTCTGCAGCCATCTTTGCTCATGTGGCCAACATGACATGCTAGCTTTGCCAGAGCTGGGATATCACCCATTGCCATTAACACGTGGACCTTGGCCTTGATGGTTTCCGTGTGTTGTATCCAACATAATCGTAGATTTAAATTAAAAGTACAGACACTCAATAAATACGTACATTGAGTTACCGACAACTAGTAACGATACTAAAAGATATACCTTCCCTTATACAAGGAAATTACGTAAAGAACATACTAAGACAAATACTAAGACTCTAGTCAATAACACTAAAAACATAAGAACTAAATCATAGAAGATAATGGTAGAGAAACAGACATTACATGATATCATCATATCATCACCAAGCTAAATACAATGTCTATATAAACGCACAATACTAATAGCAATAGAACAGCATCTCTTTTCTGATTCTTGCACTTCTTCTAATAAAACAAAGTCTCACCGTACTCTCGTCTGCACTCGTTTTATTTTATATCTTATTTTTACCTCATACATAACACCGTGGCTGTTTTGACAATCATTCCTTCAGACTGCAACACATGGAGATCTCTGACAATTGGTCTCATAAATGACCAGAAGTCAGTGGGTGCCTTGGGCTCACGAATCATGACAAGCTGGACCATTATTTTTCTTTTGTACCAGATCATTGGATTCAAGTTCAAGATGGTGGCATGGACAATTGTTACTGATCTGGGAATATTGTGAGGAGCAAACCCATCCACAGACAGCGAAATTGCAATGTCATCACTTCCCAAGAAGAGATGCTTCTTAGACTGGTAGGTCTGACCATCAAATACATCAGTCTTTGTGCCATCTTGACTTGGCTCGTGGTGGTAATGGTAGCGCATCTCTGTTCTGGTGCTATCATTGGCCAAACAGAAAGCAAGTTGTCTGCCCAGAGGAAGTTGAACCATGGTTCTTGCAGGAACCAACATACCATTGTCTTGGGCACTCTTGTAGTGATCTTCACCGCAATGCAGGCACTTGGTTTCATTTGCATCAAACAATATACAGCTATTGCAGCAAACGTCATATTTCTTCTCCTCTATTCTGGAGAAACGCTTCAGAAGCTCTTGACCGAGGTAAGGTGTGCATGCTCTATATGTGCTTGTAGAGCTAGCAAGAATCTTGTTGAAGTGGCTGGCAATCTTTTCATGGGCATTACAAGAAATTCCAAACTTCTTGACGATTTGGATAAATTCCAGGTTCTTTACATCGTTGGTACTGGGAGTGGGGAGAGGTTGGCTGAAGTCAAACACCAAAGGTGCGGTTGCATCTTCAATTTCTTCCATGACAGTTGATTCCTCCATGATATTATCATGTTCCATATCGGCATCATACTTTAATAAGGTAAATAGTAATCAGTATAATGACTTTATACTATATATATCTATAACTTATCATGGGCTCATCATTTTCAGTTCTGTCAACGATATCCATATTTTCATCACTGATCATATTAATGTCATCACTGTTTGTTTACCAAAGTATCTAGATAATTAATATATTATCTATCTTTTTGTATTTTAGTTTTCAATAAGCTTACTCAACGATCAAGCTTGGGGCTGGTGCTGGCATAGACTGGATTTCAACAGGGAGAGAAACGTCTTGGATGAAAGATCCATTGATAGCTGCATCTACCAGCTTTTTAAGACATCTATTTCGACATTTGGTAGCATTTGAAGAGCTATTGTAAGGCAAATGACAGGAACTGCATTTGTGAGGGGAGATCTTTGTGATTCGAACCATATTTTGGAGTAAGTAAAAAAAATAAAAAGAACTTTTGTTATATAAGTGATTGTAGAAGTAATTGCTTTCTGAATGAATATGTTTATACTTAATTATATCAATGTAATAATGGCATGGATAATTTGAATGTACGCTCATAATCTTAAAGGGGTAACTCTATGCCATCATTCTAAAATTACTAGATCAATAATTCTTCAAGAGTAGCCAATAGATTTGGACAAGTAATTTGAAACTAATAATTTGGAGCTAACGATTTGAAACTAATAATAGTTTTAGGGAAAATTTTTCTTCTTTCTTTCTTTTTCTATAACAAACTCATTACTTTTTTTTACTATTATGAATAATATAGATAATTCAGTGATTCAGTTGCTTCAAGGCATTCAAGATGTGCTTATTTCTCTAAAGAATAGTCAAGAAGCATTGGAGAAAAACAAGATGCAATGCAACTCGAAATAACAAGTCTTTGCAATGAATTGAAAGATTGAGAACTCCTGAATAATACTATTGTAGCTTCTGTCAATGTAAGTAAATACTATAATAATTAAAGCCTTGTCAATTAATATCAGCTACAATAGATATATACTGACTCTATCCCAAGACCAGTACCAAACATCTGTAATATAAATTCCAATCATGTATTACAGATGATTGAGCAAGACCTAGGAATAAGTCCAACCGCAGAAGTCAAAGGGACTATCAACACTTGCATCAAGCATATTTGTGATCAGCTTGCTGCTCTTTCGTCTGTTCAGATTCTCAGACCCAATCCAAGCTGGACATCTATCCCTCAAGAGGACTGGACCAGAATGTGTGTCAGTCATTCACACGTGCTCAAGAATTATGGAATTGATTTCACCAGATGTCATAAAAACTGGGCATCAATCACAAAGGTTAGTCAGTTATGGAGAAGTTGTAGAAAGCAACACCTCTCTGGTAAGTTCATATCAGGTAGATATAATAAACTGTATACTAAATATGAAAATATGAAATTATTCAAATGATATTTAGCCAATACAATTAATGAATAAAGAATTGTTCTTTTTATAACAACCAATAAAAACATTTTTAAATAAAAATCCTCTATGAAATAAAACTTTTTTGCCCAATTAAAACTGTGAACAAATCCGAATATATATAAATGAGAGCCATTTAAGAGAATGTTTTTGTTGAAATGACCAATACAATTTAAGCATATACTATGATAAAATGTATTTTATCCAATTAAAATAATTATAAAAACCAAAATAATATTTTATTACCAATTAAAAAACTTTTTTCTTTCATTCATACCAATAGAAACCTTTTTCTATTCTTTTACTACCAATTAAAATAAGGGTATAGCAGATGGGTAAATATAGCGGGATATGAATAAAAGCTAACATCAATAAGCTAACAGCAATTAAAATATATTACTTAAAAGGGAACTAGAGATTCCACTGCGATTCGTGAGAATCACCAGCTCAATCCCAAGCCGAATCTCCAGCTGAATCCCCAGCTGAATCCCCACTTTTTTTCCTGTAGTGCAATTGCATTCTTGTGAACAAAGAAAACCATGTTGATTCTTTTGTCATCTGTATTATCAACAGTATAGTGGATATAGAAGTCCAGGTCTTGTAAAGTGATAATAAAACCAAACATTTCCTTTCCTTCATAATCTTTTCCAAAGTGCTGCTTGATGTTCTCAATGTCTTGACATACAACATTGGTGTATCCATATATCTTCAAACTGTTGAAGATGATTGATACATCATCATTATTCTCCAGATGTCTTGTTACAAGGGCCATGTCCTCAGGCAAAAGTTTTTGGTGCATAGCATACGCCTTACGATCTTCCTCAATTGGATGGTTATGTTGTGCCTCACACAAGTGCACAGCAACTCTTCCGTCTTTTTTCTTAGAGGCGTACACAAAGCATTGGCAGCCATGCTTTTGTGTATCCTTGACATGTTTTCTTTCCCATCCAGGAAGGGGACTCTCTTTGCTAGTAGAGGTTTCTAAAGCAATCTTTGCAGCCTTATGAGTGTCTCTATATTTGCCCGCATGCTTACAGATAATCTTTATGCAAGTTTCTGATGAAAACATGGTGGAAAATGCAATATTATGTGTGGCACCATATGTCTTGACAGCTTCACGAACAGCTACAGTTGAAGAAAATTGTCTTCCAACAAGAAAGATAGAATTAAACTCGGTCAAAGCAGTATTGTACTTCTTGGAAGAAGTCTCACTGACAATGACAAGGTCATTGGTGTTGTTGGTGTTGTTGATGTTGCTCATATTAAATGTCAAAAAAATTATGCACTGATGTTGTAGTAAAAAAAGGGCAGTGATTTTATTGGCAATCCGAAGAATCATTTATCTAGTTGCTCCCCCCAAAAAAAATGGGATTGTTACACTAATCATCTCTGACGTCAGAGATGGATATCTTTTCCTCGAAATCTTGTCCCGTCATCTTGTCCGTAAGGATAGCCTAAGATTTCAAGAACAATATTTTTATCTCTGATGTCAGAGATGTTTGGTGTAACAATCTCAATTTTTTGGGGGGTCCAATCCAAGTATTGCATAAAAGTTTCAAAAAATATTGATTTTAAAAAAAGTTAACAATTGAAATAAAAATTGATAGAAGGGTAAGAGTTGATATAGAGATAAATAGAGATAAAAAATATAAAAAAAACTACAAAAATGAAATATTAACAGTTAATATTAGAGACATTTGTGAACTCAGATTTTCAACTTTTTGCACGAGCTCATTGTCTTAGAAAGAAAACTCAATGTTACATACACATCTATATAGAGACACTACTCTACCAACTTGTGTGGTATTTCAGGTACGAAACAATAGAAAAATAAAATATTTGATAATAGAGACGTATAGAAATACTTTGAGACTGTATATAAGTTGTCTTTATTCATAAATAAAAAGTGTCCCTTTTTATAAGAAAACACAATCTGCTCTTGTCATTATGTCTTAGTTTCTTAAGGTTTTCTTCCTTTACTATATTTGGTTATTAGAGTGTATTTACTGCTTAACTAGTGTCGGTGTTACAATTATGACATCAAGTCATAAATCGTACTTCTTTAGCTCTTAGCTACTCTTTTCTCTTTTATACTAGAGCTTTAGGACTTCCTACTAAATTAGCTCCATATCGATCTGACACAGTTTACCCGGCAGTATGATATAATTATCTTAACAATCTTTAAGATATTATCTACAGTACTAACTGTAATAATTATTTGGCTGATTACTTAATCGTTTATATATATTTTATACTGACAAGATGATAGCTACTACGCTATCCCAATATGAATATGTTCTTATATGTGATAAATCCAACATCCGAGTGTCTGGATCACCACAACTTGATTAAAGTTTGGTAGAAAATCTACCAAACCTTATTCAAATTGGTAGCCTCTAATATTCATTTATTTGCTTTTCTAAACTGATGCTATTTAAACAGCAGAAATATATAGAGAAATGTAACTTTCAAATATAAGCTTACAATGGCATAGAAAAAGTTTGATTATATATTTTTATACGCAATTTACTCTAATTCTATATCACATATGGCTTGGAAAAAATATATGCAATACAGTTTCCAATTACATATAGAATTTACAGCTGTTTTATAGTCAAAGCAACAAAAAGTTTAGTTGAATCAATAGCATACCCTATGGGAAAAAATGGCGGTTTTTTGCTTTTGTGACTATGTTTTCGGCCTATAATAATTAAAAAATCACTAAGAATTCAATTTGAAACTAGAAAATCTCTGTTTTTTGAAAAGGTTGACAAAAAGCAAATTGACCACCTAAAATTAAATCTCCTGATAGACAAAAGTAAGCTTTAATTACAGACTTTACATTTTTAGTAAATGTAGATTGCAATTGATGGCTATTAAAAGTCAGAAGTAAAAGAGAAGAAAATATCTAAACTTTTTGCTGAGAGAATAAAATATGTTAAGACAATTTGAAAAAAAAGTACTATAAAAAAATATAAACTCAAGGACAGAAGCTAAAACATTGCGTAATAGCTGTTATTAGAACTACAGTAGCCCAATAATAATATTGGCTGGACCAATAGGTTAAACTCATTTATATGAAACTAATAATAGACAATAGAAAATTTTTTTAGCCTTTATCTTTCTTTCACAACAATTTTTTTTCTCAGGTAAATCAAACTCTCAACATGAATAACACAGATAACAATTCCATCTCTTTGCTACATATAATGTACAATGAGATACTATCTTTGAAGGCAGGCCAAGAAAAGGCCAAACTTGAAATGAAGGCACAGATCTCAGAGTTGAAGCTCGAAATGAAGATGAGCATCGAAGATTTGAATTTGGAGATTACAGCTCTCCAGAGCCAACTGGAGAATAGAAACATTCCTAACCAACACACTTCGCCTTCTGTCTCTGTCATTGTAAGACAAAAAATAAAACAAGTTGAATATATATTAATATGTCATTTAATAGTCTAGTGCTAATATCATCCGCAAACCAGTGAGCATATTCCATGATATAACTTTAAAGCATATTGTTGTGAATGAGTATTGATTACTGCTGAATATGAGAGTAAGACTGAAGGATAAAATAATATCCTCAGTTATTCCAGTCAAACGGATCTGCCTTTATGATATTATCTAATACACAGATCATCATACATGTAATTGATTATTTATTATTATCATCATGACATGAGATATACAAATACATATACATTATATATATGGCACTATTATATTTCATCTACATATTTTTTTTATTAGACAAATACTTAATTGAGAGACTACAACTACAACTATTTAATATTATGAAACATTACCCAAGTGTCTGGGTCAGAATAGTAAAATATTACCAATAGCATAAATGCTCTTCTTTATCAAAACTCTTGGACTGATCTGACTGGAGAAGTATCATATCAATTGGTCTTTCCAGATCTTTCCAGAAGAACAATACTTTCGGAAGATGACTCATTGTGATAAAGATTACTTAAGCACATACTGAATTACAAATTAGAAAAACATATAAATATCAGTAGATAGTTCCGTGTAGAAAGACAATCGAATTTTATCATTCTTTACTTTTCTTTTGGAGATAAATAACCTACACAAGTTCTCACGAATTATTTTGTCTATATTATATTTTGCTTTATTTTCTCCCCACAACACATATCTTCAAGATGATAAGTGAAGATCTTGATATTGAAATAACAAGTAACGAAAAGGCCACACTCAATATGTGTACAAAGCTTATATGTGATGATATGGCTGCCCATCCTTCGTTGATCACTCTTGGTCCTAATCCTAGTTGGGGGTCTATACCAGTAGCACTTAAGAAAGAAATGTGTGCCAGGCACGCAAATATAATGAAGGATTCTGGTATAGACTTCACTAGATGTCTCAGAAACTGGGCATCAACTGCAAGAGTTGCACATCTCTGAAGGGACCGCCATAAAAGATTACAGTCTTGTAAGTAATCCAGTGTAGTGAAATTGAATAGAATATTATATTATGAAAACCTAGAATATTAAATAGTTTATAGACAATAAAATGTATCTATAAATTTTTTTATGCTTTAACAGCCAATAAAATAAATAATATTATTTATTTTTCTGTCATAATAACCAATAAAATGAACAATATGATTTTTTTTCTGTCATAACAACCAATAAAAATAATTAATAAAAATGATCTTTTATTGTAATAACCAATAAAAATTTGTATTTATTAAAATGATCAAACATTTACATATATATTATCCAAAAAAAACTGTTTTCATAAAAGTAACAATAAAAAAAAATTACTAGTATCTAATAGAATTCCTTTCTAAGCTAAAATATTAAAGTAATAAATGACATTTAAAAGAGTACCCAATAAAAGTAATCAATTATATAATATACTTTATACAATAAAGAATGAAACACTGTCCAATAGAAGAGCCAACAAAGGAGAATCAGAAAGTAGAGATCTGTAATATGTATTTAAACTCCAGGGGGGCAAAGTGGATATTTGGCAAAAAACTGCCACAAAGCCGCCTTGTCAAACCACCATAAAGCAGCCATAAAACCCCACTTTTTTTCCTGTAGTGTATATATTATTAGTTGTAATTTTAGTAGTTGCCTTGTCAAAAATATTAGTTAGATAATGAGCAGTCCTTCTATGAATCCACTTTGAAAACTTCAAAAAACCTTTTTTTAGCTAATTATTGTACAACTCTACAAATCTGAGTCTACAAACGTCTCTATTATCAATATTAATTTAAGTACAAAATATATACTTCAGTAATTAATCTATATACACTATAGAAAAAAAAGTAGTCTTTTTGGTGGTCTTTTAGGTAGTATTTTAGATGGTCTTTTGGGTAGCAGTTTTGGTAAAACCAGCAAAAAGACCACCCCTATTTTTGGAAATATAGTTAGATCTCTGTTGACTGATAGATGTTAGGTTTTATTCATATCCCGATATTTAAATTTATGAAAGTCTATATTTTCTGGTAGATGATAAAATATTAACCGAAATGGTAACTGCCAATCCTTTTCTTTGTTTTTGAATTGTTTATTTGAAACAGATATTCTATATCCATTAAATTATGTGTTTTATTAAAATACACACTCTCACCAAATATGTCAATCAACAACACTCAATCTAACAAAACCATTTACACTTTGGCAACAATCTTCCAAGCCTTAGAATGCTCTTTTGTTCCAGGAGTGATGACACTTAGATTAGAAAATATTATTAGAGTAAAAACATCTGAGTAGAAAGAATGTTTAACAGAGATTGGGGAAGCTTGTGCAGTCAAGTGGGTCATTTGTAACACCAATAAGCAACTCACCAACATTACTGCTGAAGAAGCCAAAGCAACTGGTATTAAGTTGTGTTTTTCTCATGAGTATTCCTGTTATCGTTAGGGAACCTATGAATCTAAGGCAGCTTTGCGTGTGGTTCAAAAGCGAACAAAGAAAAACAAGTGTTCTGCTCTTCTTTGTGTGAAAGGATTCTTTAAGACATTCAAGTTTTATGAATTTGTTGTTACAAAAGATCATGCAGAGCATACTCCTGGTGATATGCCTAGTGACATTTGCACCCTTCCTCTTGCAAAGAAATATCTTCACGAGTTGGCTCAGCAATTAGAACAGTCGTCAAAATCTGCTAGTCAAATTAGAATTGATATGTTGAGAGCTGTAGATTGATATGGTAGAAAGTCTGAAAGAAAAGTTAACTATTATGATATCTGGAATTTGATGAACAAAGTAAGCTTTAAAAATAATATATCTTATAGCATTTACTTTAATATATTTCTGTAATAGATCAATGAAAAGCTGTATCATTTTGACAAAGACCAAATGACTTCTTTCTTAATCTGGATAAACAACAAACTTCCTGCCTTAAACTTCAACATCTTTAAGGCAAACACTTCATATTCTCCAGATCCATCAGCCTTTGCATATGGTTTTATGTCACCCGTTCAGCAAGAAAAAATGAAAACTGCAACTTCTTTCTGTTTGGATGCTACTCATGCAATCTCTAGCAACATGAATGAGATTCTTTATACCCTTTTGGTGCGGGATGAAGATATTGGTAGAGGATGGCCTGTTGCCTTTATGGTAACCAATGATCAAGGTGTAAGCCCCATTGTGCAGTGGCTGCAGTTCTTGAAGAGATCTTCTTTGCTTGTTGACCCAAAGCAATTTACTATTGATTGTTGTGCAGCAGAAGTTCATGCCATTCAGACAACTTTCCCTGCAACATCCATTCAATTTTCCATCTTTCATGTAACCCAAGCATGGAACCAAAAGTTATCTGACAGTGTGAAGATTCTTGGATCCTTATTATCACAGGCACAAATTTTACATGGTGTGATGATGAAGTCTCTGCAAGAGATCATTTATGAAGAAGACATAGACGAGTTTCATCATAAAATTGTATAGTTTAAAGAAGACTTTGACGACCAAGAAAGCTTCTTGGATTACTTTGAGAGAAACTGGTGCACAGAAGCAAAGTTTAAGATCTGGAGTAGAGCATACCATGAACAACAATTCTCCCATATGCTCACAAATAACTATATCGAGTCCTGACACAATCAATTAAAAACAGTTTTCATGAAAAGATATAGAAACAAGAGACTTGATAAGCTTGTTTTTGTTTTAGTACATGATGTTGAGTATTATCTCACCCAAGAATACAAACGCGTCATGTCAAACAATGGTCCAATGAGTTCTTTTACTAGACAACAAAGAATACGTGAGATGGAAGCTGAAGAAGTCAACGATGATGACAGGGAAATGATGATTGTTGCTCCTGGTACTGCAGAAGATGTAAATTGGCAAGTTTCGTCGTTTGTAAATGAAAATACAGCATATGTCGTTCAAATTGCAGAGCCAAACTTGATTATTTCGTGCACCTGCTTTGATTATCAGCAAAGATATAAACCTTGTAAGCATATGTATTTTCTTTAAATTGCATACAAACCAATCTCTCTACTTCTCTCCACCTTCTGTCACAAGTACAAATGTAATACAGCCAGTCTCTACCTCTGAAACAGCCACAATCACACCAACTATCAGTTGTACATCTGCTTTTATACAGCAATGTATTGATATCAATCAAACACTTTGGTATGCAAACCAAGATCTACTGACTATGCAACAGTATATGACTGAAGATGATGGTCAGACTTTGTTTGATGCATATCAACGCTCTCTACAAGTCTTTCAGTCTATGAAAAACAAATATGAAGTTCATCTTCGCAGATCTCATACACAAGAATCAAATTATAACTATCTAGCTTTTTTCTCAAAGAAATGTTTTGTAAATTGAAACAACTTTCAAAACGACTTAGTAAATTATCGCATTTTTTATTTTCTGGTAGTTGTATTTTTTGTCTTATTTTCTGGTAGATAAGCCTCAATTTCGGCTAATACTTTACCATCTACCAGAAAATATAGACGTTCAAATTTATGTATTATTCTTCTTGTTCTATTGGTGGAAAGAAAATAAAAAAGAGCTTTCTTACACTATGGGAAAAAGGTGGTCTTTTTTGAATTTGTGACTTCATTTTTGGCCTATAATAATCAAAAAATCACCAAAAATCCAAGTTGAAACAAGAAAATCTTTGTTCTTTGAAATGGTTGATAAAAAGCAAATGAATCGCTTAAAATTAAATCTCAGGAGGGACAAATGTCCATTCTAATTAAACATCTTACATTTTTGGTAAATATATATTGGAATTGAGAAATATTGGATGTCAGAAATAAAAAAAAAAGAAAATATCTAAACTTTCTGCTGCTTGGATAAAATTTGTTAAGACAATTTGAAAAAAAAAGAAAAATTTATTACAAAAAAAAAAACAAATTATATATCACTTAAGGCACCAAGTGTCAATTTTGGGCCACGTTTAAGGCTAGGCCAAATGATGTAGTGGCTACCATTGACATTTGATGGCACCAAGCCAACCAACTCTACAATGTCACTGGCATGAATCACTATAGTCTTCGGCTTTACTACAGATGTAATAGGCAATCCATTTTTCAAATGCACACTATATATGGTTATGAGAGCTAGTGGCCATCTCTTCGAGTTGTATACATGTTGGAAGAATATAACCACCTTTCCGAAGAAATGCTTATATCCTGGACGGTAAGAGCGGGATCTTCTGGAGTTCATGTCCACTTGTAGCTGCACATGAACATGACATGCCTCTCTTGTAGAACTTTGGTTGAATGCAGCATCAATAACACAACCATTAAGATAGGCCTTGCGGCTTGTCTTTATGGAAGGCTCAAGCATACTAAATTCTTCCGCCTTCAAATCATAAAACGTTTTAAGAAGCAATGAAAGATGAGATCTATCTTCAAAGCTATCGAAAATTGTTAAATTCTTCAAAGGCCCCCAGAACTCAATCTCACACTCAGCATTGGCAGGATCACCTCCTTCTGTAACAGGCCACCCATTGGTATATGCACTGTAAACTAGAAGGTTAGCTGGTGGAGTTTTTGTGTTTGCAACGGTTGTCAGTTCTGCTACACGCCGGGATTGCGCCAGTCTGATCATGATGTTTCCAGCATTGACACTGACTTAGGAGTTACTCTTGATGGACCTGGAGTACTCACCAACGGCTCTTTCCAGGGATCGTATGCTATATGCTCTTGGCGGGCCGTATAGATCAATCATCTGAGGATAATGCTGAATAATGTGCTGGTTAATTGTGAACACGCCAATGTCAATATCTGCTGTAGAAAGAAGACTCTCTAGGAATAAGTTCCATTCTACAAGATTACTAAGAAAAAAGGTAAAAGTAAATTACTATGAAAAATGAAATAAAATATGGCATTAAACATACCTTCTTATCGAGGTTTGATCCTCTGCTGATAACTCCCAGCTCATGAGTAAATTGCATGTTTGAACCAGGCCAAGTAATGCATTTCGGGCAACCAAGTCCTGGACACGCTCTGCAACCAACGTGGGGACAACAAAGAGTAAAAAGTCTGCCCAATCCACAGCTCTAAAGAAACCGGCATTCTTTGTCACGTCTCTCCAGGCACCATGCAACAATGTAGGGATTGTGGATTTTGCGGCTACCATTGCAGCACCAATCTCCCTTTGAGTGGCAAGAGAAAGACATAGAGGATGCTTGATTCCATACTTTCCGCGTACAAGTCCCCATACCTGTTTACCGATTCTGTGGCACAGACCATGCATCTCGTCTAACGCGAAAAAAAACGGGCCAGAGAATGTTTCCATTGAGGCTAATGGTGACTGACCATTGAGCCCCTTTCTGTCTTCACTGCTTGCCAGATTGTAGTTCCTGAAACTCTCCAGTGAGCGCGTCTGGGTTCCAGGCAACATGCGGAAGTACTGGCCATGTTTAGGAGTTTGGCCCACTACGTGACAAATACGACAGCCATTCTTACTCGTGTGGCCAACATGGCATGCCAGCTTTGCCAGAGCTGGAATATCGCCAGTGGCCATGAGGACATGTACCTTTGCCCTGATCATTGTCGTCGGTGTCTTTACTTCCATGCCTTCTGTCTGGAGCAAACAGAGATCTCTCAGCGTTGGCTCAAGAAAAGACCAGATGTCACTGGGACCAGTGCAACCAGGAAGCATTGCTATTTGGATCATCCTGTTTTTCTCATAACGGATCGTCGGATTCAAGTTTAAGACAGTTGCATGAACAATGGTTACTGATCCAGGTACATTGTGTGGGTTGAACCCGTCCATGGACAATGAAATCGCAATATTGTTTTCACCAGAAAACAGATGCTTCATAGATTGGTATACATGACCATCGAAAACATCTGCTTTCTGCCCGTCTTGGCTGGATTGGTGGTTATGACGATAGAGCATTTCAGCCCTGGTCTTGTCATCAGCCAAGCACAAAGCAAGCTGTCTGGCCAAAGGAAGCTGTACGATCGATCTCACAGGAACCCTGGTGTCACTTTCACTAGTTTGGCCATTTTTGTATCTTGCTTCACCGCATTTTACGCATGCGATATCATTCTCGTTGTTGAACTGCATACAACCTCTGATGCAAATGTCATATCCGTCTGCTTTGATACCCAAGAAGCGCTCAAGAAGCTTGTTTCCAAGGTGTGGGCTGCATGCTTGGTATGTAATATTGATAGAACAATTAAAAATCTGGTTGAAGTGTTCTACAATCTTTTTGTGGGCTTGACAAGAAATTCCGAACTCTTGGATCAACTGCATGAACGCGAGATTCTTTTTCTCATCGTTGCTGAGAACAGGAAGAGGCTGGCTAAAATCAAAGACTAGCAAGGGTATAGTGTCTTCAATTTCGTCAATGTCATTCTCACATTCTTCTCCAACATCGTACTATAGTAAGATAAACAATAATAAGTATGATTATCATGATATATGTATTTATGTATCTCACCATGGGCTTATCATCTTCAGTACTGTCAATGATATCTATATCCTCATTACTGCTTGTGTTGATGTTTTCTCTGTTTGTTTATCAAAGTATACAGCTAATTAATATACTGTCTATTATTTTGTGTTTTTGCTTTTG